ATTATTTCCAACATCAAGGTTAGGAGAAGCTTGTATTTCTCACTTATTGGAAATAAAATGTAATAGATCACCATGCAAGTGACTAACAAAGAGCCGATCCCTTGAAAAACATTTCATTTTGGTCTATTTTAGTTCAGTTTTCTCCTAATGTTTCTACAAGTGATATATGCCTTTTTCCAATTGTATATCGCCATCAGAGTTTGTATCATCTCTGTTTTTTTGACAGATGCTGGTTCCTCTCTTTCCATGCTTTTTTGTGAGAAAATGCAAGATCGGCTTGTTCATTTATAATACCAGTGGGTTTCATTATTCAATAGTACTATTTTTAATCAAAGACATTGTCCTGGTTCTCTATTGATACAGCTATTTGTCAACAAAATGTTACCATCAATAAAAAGTTCGATCTCATTAGAACATTGGCACTGCCATAATTACATAATATCAAAGAGACTAGTTTCCAATATTTTGTAATGCAATACTAAATATGGTTCAATATACAATACTATATACAATGCAATGCAATATGATACAATATTATACAATTAGGCAAAGAAGTGTAAAATAAGTTCTAGAAGTTGATATTTTATATATAATAAGTTGATAAACTTTCTTTTTAAAGCTTCTTTGACTAAGCACATTTATTGATCATAGCATCTCTAACATATTGTTTACATAAGCATCCTTCAATTATGACGTGTCAACAAATTTATGATACATTTTAGCAATGTTTACCTAGGAGTGCCTTATTAAAGAGAATAAAACAAAAGGCCATTTTTGTAGAGCTCTAAGTTACCATCCTATGAATGCTCATCTAAAGAGAATTGATTCTCGTAATAGATCCCTATAGGTATTTTATCGGAGAATGTGTTGTCTCATATTAAGTGATAGAGCCTTGGAGTTGTAACTTTAGACTGATCAAATGTTTGTATAGGTTGGTGTATCTAGAGGTCTTCCTTAGATTATCGGAGTATCTATCTCATCATTTTCTTACTAAGTACTGTTTCAATATTTTGTTGCTAATATTTATCCGTAAATAAAGCTATGGATTACTGTAGAATTATGCTTCCATTTTGGTTACTAATTTTACTGGAGACTCTTTAAAGGCTCATGTGTAACTCTACTTATTAAGGGCTTGTCTCAAATTATATGTTAGGTTTGACATTTTTATTGATAGCTAAGACAGGATTTTAATACAATACTAAATTTCAGGACTAGTTAAAAAAATATTTTCAAAATATTGTTTTTTATGTTGTTTATTTATTTATGCTGTGCTATCATGGCATTCTGAAAATCAACACAAACTGTTTTGGTTAATTCTGCATTGAGAATAATTGAATGGTGTCACGAATTCTGGTTTGCCAAACTTATTCATTAAAGTAATAAGGTTGTATTATTCATGTCATGGGAGGTTTCTTGTCATGACAATACTGTCAGTAATATAAGTTGGCATCTTTATTTGCCCATATTCATGAAATGAAAAGATGGACATAAAAAGCCACTTTCTCTCTCGTGCAAAATGCTTGTCATGCTTTTTTCATATATTTTCCCCAAATCGGAATGTTAGTCTTCTAATATTTCAAAAATATATACTATTTAAACATCTACATCAATATGCATAACAAATTATACATTTCCTCCTTATTGCAAACTTGCATATGAAAAAATGAATATTTTTTAATTTTTTGTTTGGGTCTTCCATGCTGGGAACTGACGGCTGTCATTCTAAACCAGTCAGGATATGGACGTTTCTATAGGCTAAATACTCATTATACAAATCAAATCAAGAATATTAGACTAAATTAATTTTTAAGGAGGAGACATTGTCAGCATGGTTTTATTAGCTATATTTTCATGGATCAACATACTGAGTCCATATATCAATTTAAAGCTAATAGATTTAAGTTGACAACAAAAAACATCTAATATAACACTTTTAAAGCGTAAAATAATTTAAATACTCCCCTTTGGATGAATTATTTGATAGCTAGCTGCAGGAGTGACTGATTTATTTACAGCACATTAACTAACATCTTAAAAATTGCACGTGTCTGTAGCTTATATAACGATACATCTTTATATAGTTTGTATACCTTATAATTATGTTTTATTTTTAGACAAACAAAGGTCTCATATATAAGCTTTCAATTGTGAGAAACGATCCACTTTCATTTATAACTAGCAATTAGATTACAAAATATATTCATGTGTATTTTAAGTTATGAATTGTATACACGTTGTATTAGGACTAATGAATAAAACTTTTTAACTATTTGCCAAGATTTATAGGGCTACTGTCTCCGAAACCGCTTTCAAGTTTGATAAATTTTTGGCTTGACTGTCCAGGAGTGAATTATTCAATTTGCAAATAATATATATGCAAGTGGGAGAGAAGGCAGTCAGGATATCAGTATTTCTGCGAGTTTGTTTTGGAAAAGTTTATACGGAGCCAGCCACAAGGAACATTTTGTTGATGTTTTTATATTGATGGTAAGTTTATCTCTTGGATCGTATTGACCTGATAAATACAGATTTGAGTTTATCAAGATTATTCTTATGTTGTATTTAAGGATTAAATTTCTTCTTGGGGTTGGAGGATATCTCTTGGAATTTGCTTAGGTGTTTAGGTTTGGGTATTGTGGCATCTATAAAAACATAGAAACAGTAGCGGAATGAGAAAAGTATAGTAGAATCATTAGGAAATAATTTGATGTTCCCTGGACCATTCTAGATAAGTCCCTGGGTCTCTTTTTTAAGTGCTATATTTTTAAGTCAGATGTAGAAATTCAAGAATATCCAATCAAAGACCTCATTTACATCTATAAGAGAAATGGTAAGAAAATGGCACCACCAGATTTCTTGCGACATCATCTAAGCAAATTGTTGAATTTGTAATACTGTAGAGTTATCATTGGGATGTTTACAATTTCCCATAGATAGTTGTAAGGTGAGAATAATTAGAGACAACCTAAACATTAATTAACAGTAATTGAAATGATTAGAATAAATGGGGGATAACCTAAATAGTACAAAGTGGATAGTATGATGGTCTGTAAAGTTGATGTTTTCATTTATTTAATTTGTTGTGGTTTGCAGTTTGGACATTCATAATAGTCAGCACAGTGCCATCTATGGTGAAATGATTTTGGGATTTTTTTGAAAAATGCTGATTTTCTGAATTATCGAAGCAAATGGCAGTAATTGCTCGTATTCCCTGATTTATCAGAAAATAAAATATTTTATGGTCAACTACAAGTGGCCTACATGTTTGGTCAACTTTCCTGGCCATATGGTAAATGCATGAACTATTAACTGGAGTCTGCACACACTTCACAAATTCAACAAACTAAGTAGGTACATGGTAAAAATTAATCAACTTTGAGCCTAATTATTTGGAAGTATTTATAAATGTTGAATTATCAATGGCAGAATTAACTAAATGTGAATCAATTAGTGAGAGTAATGGGGTCACCTCTACTGGTCATTATTTCCTACCCTCGGGCAAGATTTTAGTTCTTCCAATAAACTCTTCAATAAAACTTAAGACGTAAAAGTTTGAAAGTCTGTTGAGTGAAAACATTTCCATGTCTCTGTTTGAGAGTTTTATCAAATGAGTGTCGAAAAGTTTGATTTGAAACACTGGTTTTATGTTAATGATGCAACACCTGTTATTGAAGATTGAACAGATTCCTGCTATTGACAGCTTCTTGTTTATGTCCAACTGTCTCCATGGCAATGGGAATTCAAATTGCAGTTGCCTTAGCAATTTGTCTATGTTGTTACATAACAATGGGGAGGGGGTAGTCAAGATTTTTCAATATCATTTCATCCATCTTGATTCACAAGGTTTCGATTGTTCCTACCACTAGACCCAGTGGAAAGCGACAATGCTTTCATTACCAGTTTAGAACACATTCACAAAAACATGGACAATGACCAAATTGGCTCGTGTAAATCAGTGGCTACAATTCCTTGAATCTGTGCAGTATACTGACTTTCAGAAAACCTGCATCTTTGTTATCTCTCAACACTTTTCTGTAAAAAATAAAAACACAAATTGTTACTACTGTGTAAAGTATACAAACATCATCAGCACAATATGGTGGTTTTGTTTGATATTTTAGGGCACTTGAAGTCGTTGAAACTGCTGAAAATAACAGGCTTCAATGTAGGTTGCTGTGTGGAGTGTCATAAGCAATATACCTTGTGATTGAAATGATACAGGCTTTTTAAAATTATAATGTTTTTGAAATTAAAAGTAAAGTAAAAAATGTGAGATATTTCGAGGAATCATGAATAAGGATGTAATATATATATAAACTTTAAATTGTATCAAAATTGAAAATGAGTGTCATTTCAGTCAAAATACAGAGGAAAGTGTTAATGGTCAAGAGTAATGTAGATATTCACACACGGGAGTGGAGATATCTTCTTAGTTGGCACAGTAAATAAAAAACTTGAAAAATTGTTGTATTTCATCCAACCTGGATTATATCCAGTAAAAACAGTTTAGAAAGGTATCCTCCTATTAACAAAATCACACAAAGTCAATTCCACAATACAAAATAGAGTGGGATAGAGTGAATGTAGAGAGGACTGAGATAAACAAGCACACGGGCAGTACTCTAAATAATACAAGAATGCAAGAATATTAGACACTTCATTCATACTTTGGAGAAAAATATGAGAAACTAAAAGGATTATTTCAACAGGAGAAGGTATCTAAGTTGTGCTTAATCTCAATCTGTCTGTATATGGGATTAGTGTAGGGTACAGCCTGTGGCATAATCACCCAAACACAGCTGAAATAAGCCAGAATAAGTAGAAAGAAAATGGGTTCATTAGGCATGATGAAGAAAACGAAAATGTAGTGTGATTATCATTACCTTGAGCCTGTCTCATAAGATTTCCAAGGTAATTTGAGGGATATAATATGATAGTTTTATAACAGAAATGGGCAGAAATGCATACTAAGCAAAATTTTAAACATTTATTGTGTATTTTCAGAAAAATTTGTCGCCATTGTAAATGCCCACAAAACACACACGATATGCAAGGTTCCGGAGCTGAACAGGAGCAGAGTGTTAACAAACTCATTCACGATTATCAGCGCAGCTCAGCGTCAGATGACGATAGTGGGTGTGCCTTGGAGGAATATACATGGGTGCCCCCTGGCTTGAAACCAGAACAGGTATGTTGTTTGAGATATATCAGATGTAGTATCAGAAAAGTGCAAAAGGCAGCATTTGAAGGACAGAAACAAATAAAAGACCTTATAAACATATCAACACATAAAACCAACATACAACCAAATCATATAAAAATCATGAAAAATATAAATTTTTGTCAAACACCTTAGAAATTATTATATACAATCAGATGATGCCAGATAATGAAATCATATATAACGAGAAATCTAGAAATAAATAACCATGACAACCATATTTGTCATACTTGAAAGTAAAAGTTTGGATATTTTGTTTGAGGATTTTCGTTATCTATGATTAGATACTTGTCTGTGCTGTGTATAGATAAAATAACCTCGCGATTCTTTGTATTTGAAGTTCAATGTAAAATGTAATGTAAAGGTTAAGGTTAAGTATTCTGTAAACTTGAAAAACATTTTTGTATTGCTAAATGCTGTCACATCCTGTACTTCACTTATTATTCTCATCCTCTCAGACACAGACACTTACACAATAGCGTTACTATGGTAAATAAAAAATGCACGTCCAAAATCTCAAAAATTGATCATACAACTTTAAAGTATTATAAATTGAAAGTTATGTTGAACTCTGATCTTTAGACCCCCACATATCACCACTTTCACACAATTGAGACCCCTTGAAACTATCACTTTTGCTGGTATCTATAGAACCCAGATGAAGGATATTCATAAAAATAAAAACTGATTGGAAAGCTACCATTGCAAAGCTACCATTGAACTCCAACTTTAATATAAGAATATATGTTAGCCTAATATAAGAATGTATATAAGAGCTGAGGAATTTGGTGGAAACTGGCTAAATATTTGTTAGGGTGTTGTACCAATTATTAATTGGTTTAATCATTCAATACTAATGTAAATACTATGATATGTTTACTAAGTTATGCCGGATGATAATAAATAGGTAAATAGAATGTAAACATATGAATACCATATGAATGCCACAATGTGGCTGCCATATCTTAGCACTTGATTAGGAACGTATCATTGGTGTGAACCATAGTTGCCATTGTTTACCCATAGTTGTTATGGTAATCCATGGTTTTGAGGAAATGACCCATGGTTACTTGAGTTCAACCCATTATTGCTGTGGTTGACCCATGATTTCTAGAAACAACCCAACGTTTCTAGGAACAATCTACCATTTCGTGGTTCAACCCATAATTATGGGGAGGATGCCACTGCAAGAAAACACGAAAAGATATGATAAGAAAAGTATAGAAAATAAAAGGAACATAAAAGTTATACCCAAGGCCGATATCAATACAAGATTGACATGAATTCCCCACTCCCAATGCACTTTCCAATCTTGATAAAGGAAGATACACTCTGCTCCCTCCAGTTGAGTGCATTGAAGACGAAGACTGCGAACAAAAGACAGATGAGGTTAACATTTAAATACAACAAGGGGCAACAATCAAGCTCTATATCAACAAGAGATTGTATTATAATCCAATTCATGAAGTTCTTCGACAGCCCATTGATCTATACTGGCAGAAATGTTCTTATGTGGATGAAAGATAGTTTATCTTGGAAGTGTGGAAGATGTTTTTCTATGTGAGGTTATGTTCCCTACATCTGTAGGGGATAATATTACCCTCTAAGCCCAGTAAACTGTAAACCATGTAATTTACCTTTAGTTGTATTTTCATTTAGTTGTAGACGAAGCTCTCTTTTAAGAAACAAGTTCATAAGAAAAGGTACATATTTTATAACTGGCTGCCAAGTTATAATACTTGAAAACAATGAATATGATTATATGGTCAAACTTGTAAATTGATTAAAAAAATTGGCTTACGTTTTGATCATTATATATCATATACCACACATACTATAAATAAACGGAAATGATCATTGATCATCAGAGTGATGTCACAAAACAATGAATAGAGTCAACAGTTCTTTTTCTCAAATACCATTTATCCCCGAAGCTAGTAAGTTCTGATATGAAGTTCCCTTGTTGAAGATGCAAAATGAGCATTTGAAAATGGTACTTGATCAAATCAACTTTCTGAAAAAATGTGGAAAGGTAAACGTAGATCTCTAGTTGTATTTTTGATGCAGGATTCATGCCTTGCTATCCCTCAAAACAGACTTGTTAGAAATGGCAGATTGTATGCTGATCAAAGGCAAGGTAAACATAAGCACAGAATTTTTACTCTATTCATTTCTACAATTTTTCACCCATTTCTTTCAAACCTGTTAACAGTATACCGTGATATAAACAGTCTGCAATTTTAAGATTCCCGATTTCCAGAAATGCTTTCAATGTAAATGTTCAACTCTGATTGACAGAATGCACTTCAATAAGAATTGGCTGGCTTTTTTGGCAGACATCTGAATTTTCCAATTGATTTCAAGTGGGATATTTCGATATGGGGGCTCATAGGGACATGTGGTGTTAGCCCCTTACATAAAACAACATTTTGTTCATGCCTTTTTCACATATTTCTCTCTAAAATTTGAATAAGAATCTTGGTTTTCTTTCAATTTCTTTCTTTAAACTACACAGTTTTAACATAACCTTTGGTTTTTATTCCACACCAAATCTCCTTTTTGACTTTCGAGCACACAACCGTCTTGAACTTTACAAAAGGTTAATACAGATTTGTATAAGATAGATAACCTCTGTTTTACTTTGATATTATTTTTATTTGGTATATTATACTATTTTTGGCCATGAATGCATCAGTTATGACTTGGAAAGGATGCAGTCTGAACTCAAGATAGTGATATCTCATATCTCGTGTAATGAAACTCGATCATAAATTTTTATGATGGTTTTCTAAATACGTTAAAACTGTAAACTTTTGTTGGTATTCCACTCGGGGAATCCTTCCACAGTAAAACAAACCATGCGACGAAGCCAATAATGTCGATAAGAATTCTTATTAATATTAAAGTTTATTTCTGAATTAACCGCAAGTTTAATAATGTCAAATAGTTACCATGGTAACTAAAATTGATTTCCGGTTGTGCCACGGATTACATAAATAAAATAGATCCGTATAAGATAAGATTAATTCGTTACTTTTTCTTTATAAAATCGTACAAAATTTCATGGCTCAATTCATTCATGCCGATGCAAGTGACATACTCAAAAGTTATATTTCATTTTCATTTCTTATCTAAATATAATAAGCAGTATTATCAATGCTTTCAATTATAGGAACAAATATTCAGGTGCCTTATTAATCAACAGTGATTGACAACCAGGTAGATTCTCAGGTATAAGCCGTGTTACTTAATCAAGGTGTCATAGAAATGGGACTATAGCTTGCGAAGATGAAGACAGGCTATCGTTAACGTTGGGTATTTCAAAAAGACATGTATGCGTATATGATTGATATTATCTATGCTTTAGTATGTGATGTAGCACTTTGTAAAACATCTACCATGCGAAAGGATTTCATTTTTGTATTTATTCCAGTCTCTATATTTAGAATTTGAATAGAATATCTGGTATCTTATTGTACTTAAAGATATCAGCCTTGTCCATGTTTACTTTATTCCTTGATTGGTTCTCTAGTTTTTTCTGTATCATAACTGTGTAATGTGTGTTCTGTGGTATTTTCTGCACAGTCTGTCTGATATGTTATCATAATACTAAATAACCTAATGTAAAACAATCATTCAACTAAATATGCTTCATATCACTTTAATATGTTGTGAATATCATTAGAAAAACCACCAACGAGATCCCCTAGTAAGAATATCATTTTTTGTAGCTTATAGGATTTTTAGTGGACTTTAGAGAGGAGAAAAATTAGACATATCCAGAACCTACCCGAATACAGTTTCTAAAAAATCAACTCCTTGGTAAAATGTTATAATAGAAAGAACACCTAGAGGTATAGCTGAACTGGTACATGTAAAACGATTCTAACCCAAACAGACACCAGACCTATAAAGTTTACATTGTAATTTTTCTCTAAAATCTCATTTGTTTGAAGTGTTGGTAAAGTTGTCTCTACCACAATGGTTAACCCAAAGTCAATTGTGATCCAGGGGCAATGGAACTAACTGTGCCCTCTAACCACAAAGTGGCCCAATGTTTGACCTTTTTACCCCACTTAATCTATTTTGAGTACACTACTGACATTTTTGTTGATGTTGACGTGAGATTGATACCAGGAGGTTTTGACAATGGCCCATGTTTTACATGACAGAGGTTTGGTTGGTATTCTTTCTTGTAAGGATTTGAGAATGGAGTATTTGCAAGTAAGCCAGAAGACTGGTATAATCATAGAATCAGTTCATTCCAGTGCATAGTCTTGTATCTGAGTTTAAAGAGATGAAGGCCATAACACAATGGCCTTATGCCAGACTATCTGCTTTGCCCCTTATATTAAAGGTTTCTTTGACAAGGCTCGACATACCAGTATGAATCGTTGTTTGCCGGTTTTGAGGTCTTACAAAAATGTCCAATCACTTCCATCTCTCTACTAGACACCCATCATCTAAACCATACCAGAATTGCCAGTCCAGTTGTTTTAGGAACCTAAGATATCAGCTACAGAGGGGTCTCATATCTATTACACACAAAAATGGCACTCGTTTATTCATTTCACTCTATATTTTGTTTCCTAGTTTTTATGGGCTGGTATGTTGTAAGAAATATGTTGGGATAGTTTTACCCATCAAATTATTTTGAAGTGTAATGTTTGTTTGCTTATTTTCTCTTCATGAGATCTGAATTGAACACTTGATTTCTCACATTTTAGATCAATTTTGTTCTGTTCTTGCAAATATGGTTTTCTTACTTGAATATAAGTTATGCATGTTATGATATTTAATTAATGGGTTGGCAAGTCATACTGTCCTATGTCACGATGTAATGCTGTTCCACTTGTAAAGAGAATTTTGTGGCTTTTTTCAATGAATTTTGTTGTTGTTGCACCGGCATTTATGTAGCGCAGCTGCATTAACTCACAGATCGGAAAATATGACACTGGCTGAGCATTAAAAGCAATAAAATGGGTTTTCTATTAAAGGTAGTGTATATATAAAAGAGGAAACCTTTTTGAAAATGTGTTGCGGGTTTGCAGTATTTCTGTATGAAAATAGTGTTAATGTAACCCAGGCCCAGGTGTTGGCATCTAAAGTTCACCTGAAGTATCATGACAGTCTTGTTTTGCCTTTTAAAATACAGTCAAAAAGAGGAATTAGCTAGAAATGAAGGTATCGGGGACCAGCGTGACTATCTGAATTATATACCAATCCCAGAAACCCATTCACTTTGTTGAGAATTTTGGGAATTATTTTGAAATGTGTGTAACGTGAATGAAATGATATCTGTTTATATGTTTTCATCTTACAGTTGCTACAATTTTGTAACATTTCTCGAACTTTAGCATACTGTGAGCACTTGCGTATCCTGAACTGTAAAAACAAGCTAAAAATATTTCCAGATCCCATCTCTAAAAAACTTTGGTGAACTCAGAAGGAGGATGATGTTCTTAATCAATTTGTGTGATTCCAATAAAAATGAATGTATTGTTATTGTGTGTTTGGTTCGCGAACCTCAAATGTGCAAGAACGTGTAAATAAAAATATTGGGATATCATTATCAATTTCATGAATCTAACCCTACTGAGTCACAAAAAATATCTGCTGAGATGTTATCTAGGGGTAGAAAGTTTTGAGGTGTTACCGCGGATTAGCATGTCATCCCTTGACAGCTGCACGTCAAGATCAAAACCAATCTCTCCTAGAAGTTAACTATTTTTTAAACGCTTTAAATCGATCCCTCGGTACGAGAAAAACAATAAATCTAGCCACATATAATTTATCTGTTTTTGGCATCGGACATTTTCCCTATTTATAGTCGTGGAATTTCCATATTTTTAATTTGATGGGCATTGAGGCCTCTCATAAAGGATAGAGCTTTGACAGGCTAGGAAATGCCTAAACATGCAGATTTGTATGCTATAAAAAATATACCAGGCCTTTCGTTCACCTATCATAGACCGAAGGATTCTACAAGATTCCATGATGAAACCTATACATCTAGACAGTTTGTGGTTAAGTGGTGTTATCATTGAGCATAGCAGAGATTTATTAATATTTCAATTATAGTATTTCACTTATCTCTGTATTCATTGATAAGTGATATTAGCTAGATTTGTAGGAGCCTTTACACAAGTCTACACCTGTCATTGTTGATTTTCTCAAATTCATCACTAAAAATGACCTAAAGAGAAGGGCCAGTTGGAATTTCATCACAATTTAGTTTTCACTTTATTTCTGTTAAGTTTTTTATGATTATTCCCGTGGTTTTCACTGTATTTCACTTGTTAAGACATGAAATGAGAGGGATGGAAGTGATAGATTCAATATTGACTATAATTATCCTCTTAGATGCCACAGAACTCCAGAATTACCTGAAAATAGAGAGACACGTTTCCAATTATGAAACAAAGAGAAAAATAGTGCAAAAAGCAAGGAATAACCTAAACTTGCATATTCATATGGAGGAAGATTGTATGCTATGACGAATATATTTAAAAAGTAACGGAATTGTACCATTTCCTTGATCCTTTGAAGAATTAAAAAATGCCTGATCAATCATGTGCTAATGGACCATGCATTTTATGGTATAATTCTCATTTGTGTTAATCCTTCAAGTATATGATAAATGGTCATAAAAAATAATGAATATTGTTCAGTATTGAGTCACTTTGAGCACCAAATGAAGCATATGTTATCAACACTGGTTTTTTATGTCTTCGAAAATGAGATAATTAGAAAAGAAAAAATGGTGTATTTAATCATTACAAGTCATACTTACTAATTTGCTTAAATTTGAGTTTTGATTTCAGTCAATGAGCTATTGTCATTTTTGTCCTGTCTGCATGTCAAGTACTTGTTTTAAGGGAGGGGGTGAGTTTGTAAGAAAGTCTGTGTAGTTTGTTATATTTAAGTTTAGACATATTGCCACGCTAATTTAGGGGCTAGCATTTGGGGAATTGAATATTTAGGTGGCGACACTCTTTTGGTATTTGAAATGGTAATTTTTAGGACGTGTCCCTATTAATTGAGTCATATCTGATGAAGGATTGGCAAATGAAACAGAAAAATACAATGACTAATGGGATATAATAAATGTCTTTCATAAGGCGACTTTCCAGTTCTGTCAAATAAAGATGAATAATATACTAAAGGATCTTGATATGATCTTAAAGAATTATCTGGGGCCTCGTTGGAATCATTCAAGCACCCAGTTCTTAAATATTTTTATTTTTGTTCCTTTCTCTGTAATGTTTGAAAGAAATGTCAGATTTGCTTGCATTTTTATATAAATTGGGAACTTCATTCCATACTTTGATTGTTTGATTCTCGTGAATTTCTTTTTTATCTTTTCTGCATTTTAAACTGTGATCCCTTTGGTGTTTCATTTGGGGGAGCAATTCATGGGTGAAAATATCATGTGCTTTTAAAGGCCATATGGAAATGAGGTCAGTTTTCGATGATTTTTCATCCTGAAATATGGTCAGTTTTTTGGGGTCAATTTTTTTGACATTTATGTCTTGAGTAATAATGAGAGAGGACAGAGTACAGCATTAAATTCTGTTTACTCAAAAGTTGTATCATTAGTTTTTTAGACATGACAAAATGTGTTTGCGTTAACAATTTCAAATCTGAACTGGAGACGTGCTAATCCCCAAATGACACTATGCAAATTGTAAACTATTTTAAAAAGATGTGAACTTTTTCATAATGATTATCAATAAATAAATGGCACATATTGAACAATACCACCTATGTATGGTCTAAAGTACGAGGGCTGATCAAAGAGTAATGGATAGGGATGGATATATCATTCGAGCTGAAGGGTCCATGTATTTTCTTTATTTCTCCCCGAAATAATACAAAAATGCTTTTTGGTACATCTCTGAATAAATCTGTATTCTTTTATTCAAAATTAAAAATGTAATAATTATTTAATTATATAGCGACTTAATTTTCTTGCTGAACTTTATGATTTTCACATCCCCACTTTATTTTGATGCCGTGACTAATTTAATTTGCAAGATAAATTGAAGGATTATGGATGCATCCCTTTTTAGGGCACTTTGGACTTAATTAAAGCTTTTTCATTCATTTGGATTAAATCAGATCCCCAGGCAAACATATATTATGTTATTATCTCTAAATATTGGTAATGGGCTTCATCTAACTAATAAGATATTATGTCGAGGATTATAAGTACAGTTTGTTATTTGTAAAAATTTTATTGGGTCTACTTTGAACATGCGTGTCCATAATAAGAACAATACTGAATAAAAATCATTGTACTAGTTTTATGAGTATCTTAATTGTTTTTTGAGCATAAAAGATTCACAGATTTAATAGATAACAATTTAATATTTACACAGCTTCAAAATTCAACCACGTGTCTGTTGTGGTCAAAAGATATGAAACATAAAAATAACAACATAAAAATTGATAGCTATAATTTTCTTTTATGAACGCTTTAGAGATGATTTTGCACATCTGGGTTTTTCCAGAAATTACTCCTATCTTTTCGCTGTTATTAGTTATTTTCTAAGGTTATTACTTCTAATCAGATGTATTAATTGCATTTCTTTGTGTATATGTCATGTATGTTTTCATAAATCCTAATGACTTTTAATTCATACGAAGAAATTGTCAGCTATTATCTATGTTGATTAAATATATTGAATGAGTGACGTGCTCAGGGCTCGTGTCCTTTATTGTCTTTGTGTTGTCCGGCATGGTCTAGGTTCTTTGTCGATGTTAAAACATATTTTTGTACTTTACAAAGATGTTTTGACTATCAGGTTTCAGGAAAGAAATCTTAAATAAAGGAAGATATTAAGTTACCTAATTTGCATGGGATTTAATTCAGAGGTCTTGGGGTTGCCATGCTTGATTGGATGTAGTTAATCATGTGATAGCACCAGGAATTATGGGCCCTTTGTCAAAGAGGGTCAGTTGAATGGTCAATGACAATAGAAACATATCAATTTCTTATTGGCATTTAAACAATTGATGTCATATTCAGAAAGAATGAAATTATTTTGTTCAGTAATTTTGTATGTTAAACATCCATATAAGAATTGACTTTCAATTACATATACTTTTGGACTGCATATAAATATAGATATTCAATTCATTCTTCTGGCTCATGACTTCAAGATCCAGAATGCGAATTCTGTATTTAGTCATCTTTGTATTCGTTTCAAAGGGATTTAGTACACTGTATGTCCTTACCCCTCCCCAGGGCATGCTGATTTTGTATTTTTCACCTTATGCACTTCATGAAATCTATTTTAACCTATCAATAACACTTAACAGTTTATTACACAAAATAAGACTGAAAATAACAGAATTGACATGCTATGAAAAAAATATACAAAGCATTACATGTGGTCATATGAATAGAAGTATGAAAAATTGATATTATGTTATTATGGGAGAAAATAAAATAACCATTAACAGATTGCTATGACAAGCAAGTAATATTGCACTTCACGAGCAGATGTCTCAGAGAGGTGAAATCAATTAAATATTCTCATTAAAATTTAAATCATTAAAATTACAAAATCGTAACACATACTGTACATTTTTGAGCTGATATGTGATATTAGTCATAACTGAAAATCAGTTTTTGGCATCTGTTATTTTTAAGGTTACCAAAATATTTTTGTTATATGTCTAATGTGGTGACTTATAAAATGTTCAACAGTGAAATATTTATTCAAAGAATTTGGTGATTTTCATCCAAATTTTGATATAGATTTCAACACCCACTTCAAGTGCCATGAGAGCAAATACGAAATCCTGCTAAGTATATTATAACATAACACATCAATTATGAAAACATAGATTAACTTGTACTTTTCAATCGCCAAAAGTGCTGTAGATTTAGTGTCACAGATTTACCACATTTTTGATAAAACAATCCACAAATTGTACTCTTTCAACTCCTAGTTCAAATATATATTTTTTGATATCAGTCATTTTTGTGGTTTCCTTATTTTCATGGTTAATTTTTTTGATTTATCTCAGAATTGATGAGATTATGTATTGGTGTTAAACAAACATATATTTATATATAAAACCACTCAATAGACTTTCCCCTGTATAGTTCTCTCCTAAACTGGCCCTGGATGCACATATCGACAATTGTGAAACATATATAGTGAAAATGATGAATAACAAGCAACAAGCAGTTTAAATTTGAAAATAAATGTAACATAGTAACTTTGAAAGGAAAAAGAAAACATAACAAGGACTTGGCCATTGATGATATGATGATAACAGATGATAACATGTGGCTGAAGCTCAAAGAAGTGGATGATGATGATGTAAAAGTTGTTGTTGTTGATGGAGAATATGAAAGTGATAGCACGGATAATAACACAAAGACAGACTCTGAATCTGAAATTGAAGTCTTAAAAGATGAAGTAAAACGCCTTCTCAGGCTCAATTTAGACATTTCGAACATCTCTTTGGCAACAAACAATTTGTCTGTAGCAATAGAAGATGTTACTATGGCAACAGAACAGGATTGTACTATGACAGATGAACATGTTAGTTCAACAGATAAACTTGGAATTGAAGAGAATGATTCAGAAGATTCAGATTGTGATACACATTGTGAATGCATGATAACAACACCACAGATCCAAGCCATGGTGAATCTTTTGCACCATCTATTTAACTTTTTGGCATTATTAGAACATTGCTAAAAAGTAGAAATGCATAATCACAAAAGCACAAGTTGTTCATATTATTATCATTTTTAAATATTTTGTTGATCGAAACAAGCCAAAAGAACAAGTAAGAACTGACGCAAAGATACACCAAATTATCTCTCTCCATCAGCATTGTAGTGTCACCCATCTTACCACACTGTCATATTTCACTCATACTTTTCTAGGTATGCAAACTTTACCATATTTACCTGTATTCAATTGTTATTCCTATATTTCCAGGTTCACCAGTATTTCAGTGCTCTACCGGAGGGTAAAGTACCAGCGTTAAACAGTGCCGGGGAAAAGTACCGCATCAAACAGTTACTACAGCAACTGCCTCCCCATGACAACGAGCACAGATATTGTCATAGCTTGAATGATGAAGAGAAGAAAGAGCTGCGACTTTTCAGCACCCGCAGGAAGAAAGAGGCCCTGGGGCGGGGAAGTGTACGTCCACTGCCTCTGACCATGCAAGGAAGCATCTGTGAACAGGTAAATTCCCATGTCTTATTCATAATAATCATTTGCATATTTATAGATAAAATAAGGGGGAACTTGACATGTTAAGTTCTTCATTGTGGATTTTTGGGGAAAATGTGTTTTATGGGAACTTTTTAGGGGAATATCCAAATTGAATGGGGACTTATTTTAGGGTAATATCTATAGCAGAAAGTGAATGTGTTGTGTTTGCATGTCCTTTCTTTAGAAAGTAAATAAATACATTGAAAGATCTTATCACCATGATTGTTATTATAAAAATATTCAAGGACTCTTCTGATTTTATTTGAAAATATCTATTCAAATGCTACTTTCAAAATTGAAATGAAATTTACAAATTGAACGCAGTAATCACAAGAAAAACATGTTTTGTTGACAGTACCAATAATATGTGTAAACATTTCTTAAATAACCACTTGAATCTTTGTCTGTAATACTAGTATTTATTGAAGCCCCAGCGTGAAGCGAACTTTCAAAGCATCTTACATTGGTTTCAATGTTCTGTTTATACTGTGAAGTGTTTAAGGTGGTTTGTAAAACATGGTCTCAATGGGGGAAAGTAGCTACATATAATTGCTTCGTGTCACCTTAACATGAACTTAGGTGATGCTTATTGATTGAATCCTCCCCCCCCCATTCTATGTTGTGAATGGTTAGAGTATCTTTACAATTCTAGTTTATTATATTGTTCTATGGGAAGATACAATTTACTTTAACAAGTTTGAAACATTTTGAATTGTTTGCATAATTGAGATTGTTTGTTTTGAGTTGTTTTGCAAACTGACAAATTGTTTGTAACTTTTATGCTTATCAAAAAAGAGAAAACATCAGAACACATCCGGGAAAACATGCAGGAAGTTTGTAGCAAACATTCCAAACAGTTTGCAAACAGCTCAGTGTCAAACACACGGCAAACATTTTCACTTTTTGTATACATGACTTTACATTACATATATATGTTAGTTGTCTTTGATAACACATAAACATTCAGACTTAATACGCATTCATTATATGTCTTGAAAACTAACATCAACATTTTCTGGTGACAAAGTATAGAATATCATTTTTCAAATAAACAATGAAAATTTGACCTCAGTAAATATTCTGGAGATTAGTAGTTTAGATTAAAAAGGGAATTCATGTACAGTACATGCGTCTAATGTCAGCTACATTATAATGAATGCCATAAATGGATGTAATTAGTCGCAGCAAGTAATCTAGCTAGTGGAAAATCTACGGAGAGTGTCATTTGGTGTTCGAGGAATATTACAAAAATCAATATTTATCATACCCGTGTCTCTGATCAGTAGAAAAAATTGTAAATGCATACAAAGTGCTTGATACACGTGGCTGTGTATATATAACTGAAAGATGACATTGGAGATTATACTTGAAATCCTCAGAGAGTTTAACCATTTAAACATTAATTAAAACTTAAATTGTAAAAAGTTGAAAGGTCTATGGTAGTCCTATTCTCTATGAATGCAGAACATGAAATAAGGGTCATACAAAGAAAAATACTATTCATTTGTAGATATTAAAAACAGGTAAATAAAAAAATTATTTAGTCAAATATCAATGTGTTACTATTTTGTAAATAATCAATATTTTGGAAAAAGTATAGACATCAGGAATATGTATTGAAAGACAATGAAGAAAGAAGGTTTATAATGTGTAATTTTGGGATGACAAATATGTGATTCAGTATACATTATACACTTCCTAGTAAGAGTATATATAATATATAATAATATATACACATTTTTATATTTTCAGTGTGGAGATACAATCCGTGGAGGTGATTTGGCAGTTTTCGCAGCGAGAGCAGGCCACGATACATGTTGGCACCCGGCGTGTTTCCTCTGCAGCACTTGTGACGAACTTCTCGTGGACCTCATCTATTTCTATAAGGACGCTAAAATTTACTGCGGCCGTCATCACGCTGAGCTTCTGAAGCCTCGTTGTGGGGCATGTGACGAGGTAAGATTTTTTTTTTAAATTTTTTTATTTCAAAGAAAAAACATGTTTAAATACTCTAAAATAAAACTCATGATATTCATCATTCAATGGGACATTGATTTTTTTTTTATTTTGTTTTATAACAAACATACTGTAATGAAATACTAATACATCGCTAGAGAATGCAACTTTATGGTTTCATTTTAAGTAGCAAGAAAAACATAATGAAGTTGAATAATTAAAAGAAGTATGAATGATACAGGAATAATCATATCAACTTTATTGGACTTCTTTTTATAGAGTTAAAGTTTGGTTGCTTTAATCAATAGTCCAACATTATAATTGGCTCTATATAATAAAGTTTTTATTTCCATTTGATGATTGGCCAGGATAGTCCAGCCATTTCTGCCCAGTATTTGATTGCAACTTTTATTGCATTCCTGGCATTCCTGCAAATTGGCAGATTTATCCCTTTAACATGTGATGCGTCTGATGTATTTATCAATTATCCAAACATTAAGATATGTATCTATCAAATCCAATTGAATGAGTGTTATGTATTTGAATTCCTATTCCCAGTAATTTCTGTTGATGTATCTATGAGAAAAATGCAAGCTCTTCTGGTGGGAATTGAACCCACGACCTCTCTGTTTTACACAAATTTATGCCTTTGTTTCTGTCTTTCCAGATCATATTTGCCGATGAATGCACTGAAGCTGAAGGACGGAGCTGGCATATGAAGCATTTCTGTTGCTTCGAATGTGACCGTCAATTAGGTGGACAGCGTTACATTATGCGAGAGGGGCGTCCTTACTGTACCATTTGCTTCGAGACTATGTATGCTGAATATTGCGATTGTTGTGGAGAACACATCAAAGTGGATGAAGGACAAATGACCCATGAAGGTCAACACTGGCACGCATCTGATGACTGCTTTAAGTGTTACTGTTGTAAGAAGGCCTTATTAGGACAGCCTTTCTTACCCAAACATGGAGTTATTTATTGTTCGACAGAATGTAGCCGAGGTGAGGCGAAATTAGATGATAGCGCAACTGGCGGCTCAATCCAGAATGTTGACTCCTCATCTGGCTCCCAAATTGGGGATACTTATCGTCTTAGCAATGTAAACAGCAACAATCATAGCTATGCAAATCTGACAAACATTGGTTATGACACCCATACGATCGATAGCCAGGACCCAAAGAATGGATACAACAGTGGGAGCACAGTGAATAGTGCTGGGTACCATAGTGACACTGGTTCAAATAAATCTGGTTACAATCATAAGCTCTCTGGCTATAACAGTGACAATGGTTCAAACAAGTCTGGATTCATACATAAGGCAATCCCATACAGAGGGGATGGTAATGCTATCCTAAATGACTCATACAGGACAAATAACATCGCCAATACCAGTGCATTTAGTGATACTGGATCAAATAAATCTGGTTTCAATCGAAGTGAGAGTAGTTCACGACGGTCAGCTCAGAGTGTGAGCTACAACGCCAGCGATAGTGGTTCAAATAAATCAAGTGCCTATGGAGCCCCAATGGGGTACAATAATCAGTTACCCCCTCTGCCCAGAATTGAGGACATTTACAAGGATTGCCAGGTGAAAATTAAGGAGAGCGGGGTTCAAACTGCTCGGCCTAGTCCCCCAACTATACCAAACCCTCCCCCTCCCCAGCACCCTCCCCCACCAGAGGAGGCAATAACAAGGGCAAAAAGTCAAAGTCGGGAGCCACTCAACTTATGCAATGAGGAATTTGATGGCTATTTAGAATACGATAATGAAAAATATGACCCCAGGGGGCGCCGGGGGTCTCGTAGTTCCATGCCGGACTTATCCCGCGATATGCCACAAACACCTCAAATGGGAGTACTCAAAACATGTCTGAGTAAAAACCGACCAAAAAACAGTTCAGACAAAAACTTTAATGTACGATTTGATCCTAAACAGGATCCATTCTCCACTCGGTTTGACCCCAGTGCACCTAATGGTGTTGTCTATCTTGGGGCCCTATCACCATTTAGTCAAAGGAGAGACAATCGAGACATTAATCGGCTAAATCAGGACTTTAGTGACCAGGCACAGAGTACTATGAACCCAATTTCGCGTCCTCAAGAGGAACCACAAGCCAAAGGAGGTAAGGGTACCTACCCACGTAGCCAGAGCTACACAGGACACCCTGCACTAGATGCAATATTCGGAAGTGGACAATTTAACTTACAACAACCATATAAAAGTCACCGCCAATCCCATAGTCAGGCAATACACCAAAGGGGAGCGGAGTCTGATGTTGGCGTTCGTCACAACATAGACCGCTATGCCCATGGCCACAGGGAGGTCCAATCAGATCGCTGTAGCACATGTTCTAGCTCCAGTGACGATGATGACGATTACTTCCTAGATGGAAGACCCCCTAGAATAACATTTGTAGATGATTATGGTCCAATGCACCGTGCAAGGAGTCTCCCACCATCTTCTAACTCTGTCAAGGGTGGTAGGAAAAAATTACAAAAACGAAAAAAGAAAAACAAAAACTGTCTTGTATCATAACCAATGTAATATTTCGAAAAAACTGTATAGAATCTATTATTAAATGTTATTATAGTTAACAACAATATAAGGTGTATACTTACTCTAGCCTTGTTTATTTAGGCCTGAGTTTTGCAATTATACATTTTGGTAAATTAAATTTTAAGCATCCATCTTGAAAAACTGAGAATGAATTTTGTTTTTATACAACATATTTACAAAATTACAATTGTGACATCATATTTAGTGGATGACAATTATTTGGAACATTTTATCGAGATAATAAATGTGCAGATAAGGATTTATTGTAAGAACCTAGCTTTTAAAGTAAAAAAGTATATAAAATGTATTATAGTGTACATATTAAAACTATAAATGTAATATATTTCATTTTGTTTTGCTCACTTTTAGTCAGCGAATTATCTCTATATTTAGGTTCTACATGTATGTGTACCAGGAAATTTTAGTCCAAGTGGATGTATTTTACAGATGAAGTTTTGATGAAAATTATAAATCTATAATACTTGAACATAACATACTGAGATCATATCTTGAGGAATTGCAATACAGTAAAACTTGTTTCATCCAAACACCACTTGGATCACCTCAAAGTTTTGGGCTTAGCAGGTGTTCGCATTTTAAGGTTTCTTCATATGTGAGTCGATGGGTATAACAAAATGGGCACTGAGAAAAGTGTTCACATTAAGGGAGATGTTAGGATTTTAGAGGTTTTACTGCAATGATTGTTGACTTTCCTGTTATACAAGTATGCATGTGGGTTTGGAAGATTGATTTGATAGAAAACAATGACAAATTTAATTGGAAGATATGTTATCAAAGGTCTGTGCCAATATTTGATGCAAAGTATTATAAATACATGTCATTATATGAGGAATTTGGACATCAATGCTACTTGCTATGAGGCAGGTGAGCAGTTTGCCTCCCCACCTCCCCAATTTTACCTCACCAAAATTTTAATGAAAATGTGTTTTCCAACAAAAAATGAAATTTTGTCACATAGACAAGGTTAGGATTTTCTTTGCATGTTTTAAATTAGCCTATTTTTGGCTCCTTTTGGCAATGTCCTTGACATGTTTTTTCTGCATTTATGGAAGAATTAGTATACACTAGAAGGCATTTGTTAATATACAATATACGCAATTTTCATGTATTTCAAGGTAAGGTGCTGTAGTCTTATATATCAAAAATTGACAGTATTATTTTGATTTTTATTGTTATGTACCAAAGACATCAAAATCACTATGATTCTTTTACACGGAGTCAAAGTGAACTTGTTCCCCTATAGCATAGCATGATCAGTCATGTTCAGTTATGGATAGGTTATTTCATTTTGTCTTGATAATCTCTTTTTCATTGCCCTTGTACAATAAACATTAAGATAATTTATTTTTAGTTCCATTATTATAACTAGGTTGCGAATAAGCTGTTTATCTTTTTTCACGAGAATGGTCCCAGAAACAGAAGTGTAATTTCAATAGCCTTATTTAAAAACAAAAGTTTTTTGCAGTAGCCTCGTTGTAAAACAAAAACATGTTTCTGAGGCCTTATTGATAACTGTAAAAACAATGTTTTAACAGCCTTTTTGGAGTCTTGGGATTTTTTCTGTGAGAATTGGATGAAAGACGGCAGACATGTACCTAGACAATGTGTATGGTTGTATTAGCATGTATCAAAACGTAATAAAGAAATAAACAATTTGTAATTTAGATGTTGTTTTCTTTTGCTTATCCTTGAATTAGGAGTTGTATACTTCATGATGTGGTAAAGATTATCTTGAGACCTCAAAATTTTATCTGAAATTCTCTGACATCGATTCCCTCACCTTTCTGATCAATTCTTTCCTGAGAGCTATGAATGAGAGGACAACACTTTTTTGATGGCATTCAGTGGAAGTATGTTTAGATCATGTTGTGCAAGAAAACCAATGAACTAAAGAGATCATAGTGCACATTTTACATGTTGAATTATTTAGTTACAACTTCTCTCTACCCAGTCTAATTCCTCCAACTCCTTTTGGACATTCCATAAAGGCAATTTTACGAGAAACCAAAATGCCTGATCCCCAATTCTACTTGACTATAGCGACCCTAGAGTAAGTGATAGCGATGCAAGGAGTATTGTGATTTGAAATCATTGTATATTCTTTGGGATTATTTCTCTAAATGTATCAAACTCCATATATTACCTCCAATCTTCTGGATAGCACATTCACTCCACCCCCCCCCCCCCCCAATCTGATATTCACATTGCTCTAAAATTCTTAGATAGTCCATAAATGCCCATGTATATTTTAATAGGTATAAATATTCAGCCGGAAGAAGTAAAAGTGACTTTCAGAGCAATAGTTCCCATTTTACATATTATCTTGGGAATACATTTTTGGGGATCCCTATTTAGTATGTATATGAGATGGACAAGTTAGGATGAATGGCAAGCCCATATTGGGATGAAATCAAATTAATTGATTTCTTCGCTCATTAATTACATGCTTTCATAGACTATCAGTGTATTTTAATTTCATATAATATTTACATGTTAAAAATGAAAAATGGTGATTTGTTCCTGGGATATGGGTTAAACATATGCAGCTGCCATCTATAAATTAATAAACATGAATTTTGGTGACAACATCGTAGAAATGACCCTCGGATGAAAAATGTGTTTGCACAAGTGCTAAAGGGAAAAGAATAAATAATGTTACAGACACCGCAGGAAAAGAAACCAATCAAATGTACACCAGTCATGAGAAAAACAAACCCCAACTATCCCAAACCATTATCTAACGTGAAGAGAAACCATTATCACAATCCAAGACTACAGCCCAAGTCAATACAATTGATGTTGAAGGCTAAATTATTGGTAACTAATACTCTTAACAACAAAAACAGTTGTAGAAACTGTAGTATTCACACAAGTTTAAGATAAAGCATTCAGTCTCAAATGACAGGTAAAATCCCGTTTCGAAGTCCAGAGAAAGATAACCCAGACCCGAGATCATATTACTAGTATTACAGCCCATTGATATCAGTATATTAGTATTTAGACATCATGATAAACCATGACATCTCATTTCTTCTCAGTCTTGAGATTTTTCAGGTGAAACAAATGAATTATGAGTATCAGAATGGTATTTAGCTGCCATCTATAAATTAAACGTGAAATAAGATGCAACATCATAATCAAATCTTTGAGTCTTTACATCCTTGGTCCAAGGGTATTTCACTTCTTTCCTGATTTGAGTGACAAATGAAGTCCTTTGAATGAAGAATGGTCTGTTTACATCATGTTGCAATTCAAAAATTCGAGACACTTCAAAATCTAATGCTACATACGCTCTACTAGGTCTGATCAGGCCTGTAGCCAGAAGTGGGGTTCTCTTTTTGTTAAAACATGCAGATTTGCACCGCGCGTAATACCTTAATTATCATTGTATATACAGTACATTTCCTTCAGATAATTAATGGATCTTAAAGATATGCCTATCTTCGTGGTCAAAATAACGTTATTGTACTAAACTTTGCATTTTGCACTTGTATTAACATACTGTATGGGTTCCTGAGGAAATATACATGGTAAAGAATTAAATATTATATAAAAAATTAGATCGCCCCAACGCCCTCCCCTTCCGACGCCAATGTAATATCATGTAATATAGATGAACTTCATTTTTGACGAAAACCTTTTCTTAGAGCGAGGTTGTTCAACTGTATTGTTTCTGACATAGTAAAAATGATCGAGTACCTTTCCAGTCTGTAATTTTTATTCATTTTACTTTGTCATTTTGATGGAATACACAATCATGTAGTGTTTGAAACCAAGTTCACGTTGACGTCCCTATCATAACCAACCAAACCAAAAAGAGATTACACTCATGAGAGGATGTATAGGGGGTGTTGGAAATCAATATACAATATTTTTTCAGCTCTCTTATACCATATACAATATTTTTTCACACCTTTCATACAATATACGATACTTTACAAAAGTTCAGGTGAAATACAATATACGATAATTTTGAAACTGCTGTTGATTTAAGTTTGGATATTTATAAGGAAATAATATTAGGAGAACCAATGTACCACAGTAAATGTATTATCATAAGGCAAATAGACTGCACATACAGACCACTGAATGATTTCATTAATTGCATTATGAATAAGACACCATTCGGGTACATCCGATTGTGTTCAGAAATTCTGTGATCACTTTAATTTTCAGGTATTTATGGAATAAGATTCATGACTTCTTTTTAGTGATTTCACAACCTAGTTTGACCAAAACACTAATGCCATGAAGATATTCAAAATTAGCACAAACGTGCATCATCGGAATGGGTGTTAGACCTGTTTCTTAAGACTTACTTTTCCATGAATTATATAAATGTCAATGGAATCCTTCACAGGGAAAAAATCCTTAAAACATAATTGATGCAAAATTGAGAATGTGGAATAAAAGATTCATCATGTGTTCTTTGAAAATAAAAGGAAGTAATGCGCTCGCCATTATGATCTCCCCATGAAAAAATTAATTCATCTGATTTTTCAAAATGAGTATACTCAAGCCCGGTGATCGTTCAAAATGGATGGAGGGGGGATTAGGCGATTTCTGCTAGAAAACTCAACAAATTTGGAAGATTAATTTTTTTCAAGAGAAAATTTACAACTGAATTGCCAAATGAATAGGCGCAGTGCATGGCAAAATATGTTAGGTCATCTAGTATTTTTTTTTAACTGATACCCTTCTAAGATATGAGATCTATTAAAAAAGGCGCATCATCACCAACGTGCAAAAGTCAATGTTTTTGCTATAAATCGGGCAACAATGGTCTACACGACCTGTAATAAATAGGTATAAGGGACGTTATTATCACAATACTAATGACATTGCTCACTTTTTAAAGTTAGTTTCCAAACTTTTATACTATTTGATAAGTGTAAAAGTTGTTTTTTGAGAATTTATCTATAGCGGCCATTTTGTAGGGGAAAAATGATGAAAAAATGTAATCTTTTATTTTAAAGTATTACCCGAATCGGTTGCAAACTTCATATTTGCACATTTGATGAGATGAACCATTTGTGTCATTGTGAAATTATCAAGTTTGCAATCGATTCAGGTTGTATTTTTTGTATTTCTGTGATAATCAATGGAATCCAATGGCCTCTATTGAGATCTAATGATAACCTCGTATTAAGCCAATGGTGCACAGCCTCATGTAAGTCAATACAACCTTACTGAACGGAATGACCCCTATCTCAGCTTATGTGTGCCCAATTTACATTCTATTCTTCATGTAACACCACATGCGGTTCCCATGCTCAATCATTACGTTCTATCTACGTTCTGAGGATAGGTCCGAAGCTTGATGAAGCACTGGTAACACCATGGGGATTAGATATTTGCCAATAATCGCAGCTCTTCCTTTGCTGAGGAAAATATGTACACATAACACTATCATGAGATAGTGATCATTCACAATGCACAATAATTTGTAGAACAGTCACCTGGGAAATAATAACTATTAAAACAATTTTGGAAACAAAGGACTTCACAAACTTTCATGTCGATACTTCATTTTTGACTGGACTAAGTCTTTGAAGTAAAGGCAAAATGAGACTTGATTGTTAAGACAATGCACAATAATTTTGTAAAACAGTCACCTGGGAAATAATAGGTATTGAAAACAATTTCGGAAATAAACAACTTGTTTCACCAATGATTTCAAGGAAAAGAAGTATTGATGAGAATGAAAACTACTGTATGTAACTAGAAGTTACTTTCTTTTAAAGGACCACGGACGATTTCGCGAAAGATTTCACACAGTCATATGTTGAATTTTTCAATGTTGATAAACTCTTTTCAAAACCACATTCCTAGATGTTCTTTTACATGTAGATTCCACATATAATTTTGACTGAATTTGTAATGATGTAAATCAAGATTATTTCTACTCACATCTAGTCTAAGACAGACGGATTTCTTTTCCTTGTTTTAACACAGTTACAGTCAGAGAGTCAGCACAATGGGGACTATACAACTCTCCCCCCTTTTGAGAACGAAACCCCAAATCAATTTGCACTCAATGGTTAAAGATTTTTAGATTATCTGATTTGATACTCAATGTTCTTTCGAATTCAACTGGGTATACTAGGCCTATGATTTCGTTTACATGATGCAACAGCCTTTTCGGACATTTTTCAAAGATACGTACCGTGGGCCCCGATACTCTCGGAAGGTTACCCTTTAGAAAGTCGTTGTGTTAGTTTTGACCTCTAAGGTATTGGTAACGCTAACGTACGTAGGCTTAATGATTCCGTACTTGTCTTACGTTATTCGGCATCATTACTGACACCTTCCCTCTCCAAGAAAATAAAATTATCTTGATCAAATTTGAAATGTTTGATCATATTCGAGAATGTAAGTTCAAATTCAAAAAATTTTCGTATTAAAAAGGCATGCATTGATGTTCCAATCTGGATGACGATCACATCTCGTTGTCATGTAGAATGAAAAACAATGGGTGTCCGGAAGCTCTGGGTGTCCCGGGAATGGGTGAAACTATTTACACCTCCCGGTCGTCATTGGACAATTTTATAAGGTCTAATTCTAAGTACAACCCTGTAGCCTAGATATCGAGGGTACAATAGGTATTACAGTACTAATTGTTTGGTAGACACGGTTATGGAAACGAATAACATCATAAATCTTGATTTGTCTTGCACCTGTCCAGGTGCGGAAAAATCATTACTTTTGTAGGCCTATGTAGTGCCCTGCCGTAAAAAGCACATTGCTATCTACATTACAAACTCAGACAATTATAATGATGAACATGTGTTTTATGTTGTATTTGTAAACTTCATTTGCTAATAACGATCTTTGTGGATAGTCAATATTCCCGGGGATTATATTCGATTTTATATTTCCCGCGGATTTTCAACCAATCAAAAGGCAGAACGAAACGTAACTTGTAAATTAGGTTTTGTGTAAATATTTTGGAAAGTTCAATCTTTTTTCCATTTTGTGGGTATTTCATAACATCGATCCCAATAATGTGATGTCCTACACTTGCATGAAGTAACAGAGACGAGTTTAAGGTAAGGTTTTATAAGTTTTTACTCTTTGTTGACCTGTAAATTTACGCTGAAATCCTCCCTCATGTCAAAAATTTGCATATTTTCTTTATTTTTAAAGAATAGAATGTTTTAATTTCTTGACTATTTCTATCATAGTTATACTATCATCTGGTTGAAAGCCCATTTCTCTATATAGGACTACTGAAACGTTTTGCACATACAGTATCTACATCAATGAGGTAAGGCATATACACAGTGCCCCCTTACCTTCTCCCAATGCCGTCTCGATATTCTGGCCTTTCGCCAGCAATAACACCTTACGAGCATTTATTTTCTGATTAATTTACATTTGATTTATTGCTAATAATAACAAAATTATGATGAATATATCTTCATCGATGTTTTTGTTGAGTGTTGGTTCGTATCTCCATCTACATTGGTTCTTATGGCCTCTTATTTATGCTTTTTTGAGAACATAATCTTATCAGTATTTTTTATGAGTATTCTCTACAAGTTTGGATCGAGTAACTTCAATAGTATTAGCGAGTTTCGAAATGATGATGTTGAAATGATGTTAAACTGAAATAAACGCCATTTCCACGATTTCAAATTTACTTTACGCATACGCAGCACTGAATGGGCACGTGCTCATGATTGTTCAAGTGATCACATCCTGCAATTTGATTAGACGTCATATAATGGGAGCTACTCACTTCTTCTGTAGTTTCATGGAAGATTTCCTCCATTTAACCACTGCCAATCAAGCTGCCATCTTTACAGCTGCCACTGAGCTACCACCGCTATCGCAAGACAAAGTTCAACAACAACAGATGTTTCTAAAAATGGAACCGTTAATTTTAAAGGGGCAACAAGGACTGTAGAGAGAAAATTAGAAAATTTTTATTTTTTCTGAGCTATCAGGTCAATATTTGACTTAACATCTTCTTTGACATACCTATTTTCTTAAAATGTGTGGATAAACTATCAATTTCAGCATTAAGAAGTGTAAATTCAGTTCAAAGCTTCTATAAAGGGAGTCCCACTTACAGATTTTTAAGATTCACCATGTATCAAGAGGAATATCAGCTTAAATAATGTTCATCCAGGTTTTTTTGTAGATAATACAAATACATGTATATGACTATATGTTAGTCTTGATGAAATATCCAAACTTAAATATATTTTGACACTGGTCGATGGCCGTTGAATGGCCCCATGCACTAATTGTTGCACCTTTAAATTAATTCAAAATCATGCAGGGACAGTTTTTTTTCAATTTCAATCAATGGAATATTCTAACAACAGTTTTAAAAATAGTCAATGTTTTTGCGTTGGAACTTGAAATTGTTGGTAAACATCAGTAAACATCTATTGTTATGATACTTCAAAAAATAGTTTTTGATTATCTCTCTTTGTTTTATGAAAAATTGACTTTGACATGACAACATTTAGTGTTATTAAGATGGAATATGGAAAATAACATCTGCAGAGAGAAGGAATGAGACACGATTGAACAAACTGCAAAAAGATTACCATGCATCCTGATTTCTGCATTTTTTCAAACCAATGCATTTTTGATAATTTTCAAGTTTCAGATTTTTACTGGAATATAGTACTGTAGATACAGGGGTTTCATTAGCAGCAGGCAACAGGTGACTTTCACCGGTTGTTTTCACAAAATCGCCTATTGTTTTTAGGGACTTTTCAACTTTTCCATGTTAAATTTATGATTTCCAATAAGTTTGCCTGTTGTTTTCATTTATTTAGCCTGTTGTGAGAAATTCTAGTGAAACCCCTGTGATATAAAGAATTTTGCATTTTATAGAATGCAAATTCAGGATAAAATAGGATTTTGAAAATATGTTTTCAAATTGTTTTGTTTTTCAGATGGATGAGGCCAGTCCCCAGGTAAAGAGCAAGATAACTCTTGCGATACTCAAATTTTTATGTGCGGATATGGGCCTAAGTTTTCAAGGCATGACAAATGTCGTTGGCACCATATGTATCCGATCCCAACGTGGAAATGTCTTTGTTGTGCAACTCCAGGAGGTAGTACCCTATGACGCGGTAATTTCCAATAATCTAGTTCTTCCTACCCCACACGCTAATACTGGACCGGATAAAAATGTCACAAGTTATGCTGGAAAAAGAGACACTGTTGTTCTGCCATCTCCTGGTGGGCAGAAAGATCAGTTTATTAGTATTGATCGATCTGGGAAGTCTGTTGAACAAGCAGGACGGAGGCAGATAGATGTTATGGGTCCACACGGCCTCGAACCAGCAAGACAGGTTGACGTTTTAGGCCCTAGAGGGCTGGAGCCTGCAAGGCAAGTAGATATTATGGGCCCAAGGGGGTTAGAGCCTGCTAGGACAGTGGATATAATGGGTCCAAGGGGGTTAGAGCCTGCTAGGACAGTGGATATAATGGGCCCAAGGGGGTTAGAACCTGCAAGGCAAATTGACATGATGGGCCCAAGAGGTATTGAACAGGGGAGACCTATGGATATTATGGGACCACGGAATATGGGACCCAGGGGGATGCCTCCACAAATGAGACCAAGAATGCCGGATCAGATGAACATGCGAGGCCCACCTCCCTTGAACCATAAAGGACAACAACAAGGTCCAATGAGACAGTCCAGTCATAACCAGGGACCAGGTATGATGCAGAATCGGGGACCTGGGCCAAGAGGACCTCCGCTTCAACAACAGAGACCCCAGGGAGGAGCGAGACCACCCCCACCGCAGCAGCAGTCTATGACTCTGCCTGTGAGGCCACCTGTACCTGTGCCACAAAGAAGACCTTCGCAAGAGGTTTGTAATTTATATATTTTCATTTTTAAACTTTTTGGTTTAATTATCAATCATCCTTGGACCTCTTCATTATTTGAAGGAAACCTCCATCTTTAATATCATCACAAAAAGTCTACACTCAAAAGTGGCTCACTTAGGAATTAAACATGTTTAAATCTGTAAATAAATACATCTGTAGAATGGTGGCAGTAGAAGACCTTGAAATGTGACCACATACTAATCCGAACATTTTGGGCCAGTCCAAGTGGCATTTACATCATACAGGTTTCAATGATTTTGTATAAATTAAGCTGAAATGTAATAATATTTTGTATATGTTTGCAGAGGAGACCTCAACCATGTCCACCATTACAGAGAACTCCTTCAAATTCTTCCTTGACCAGCAATACTAGTTCTGCTTCAGGTAATTATACAGGGTGTCCATAAGTCTCTTTACAATTACAATGCAGTCAGTGTAACTTAATGGCCCTAAACATGTAAACACTGATAACAATGAGATTATGTTAACCCAAAAGGAGGAAGTGAATAACAAAAAGCAAGAAAAAAACATTGAAAAGTACGACTGGTGATGAACAAATTCCCGAAATCCCAAACCTAAGAAAGGCCTTACTTTAGGCATGTAGTAGTTTTTGCCTCCTGATTTTTTTTTCATTAAAGATCGTGCCCTTACAGTATGGTTTATGGTTATTTAAATGTTAATCAGTTCGTGCAAAATCGTGAAACTTTGTAGATTAGCTAAAATTTCAAAATATATATTTAGCTTTAAAAACAGTTTTAAAGTACAAAATTGAACAAATCTGCGTGATAGCACAGTGCTTAAATAATATTTTATTTTTATAAGTTCACGAAGTGACATTTTTCATCCAGGTGCTGTTAAAAGAAAAGCAGAGGAGTCCATTGTGCCAGACCTTGCAAGAGTGAAGAAAGAGAGAATCGAAACAAGTGACAGAAACTCATGTATGAGTGCTACCCCACCAGTACAAACCCCACCAACTCCACAAACCCCCACAGCAACATCTACCCCGATTTCTATCAACCCAAAACTAGAAAAGCAGGATGCACAGAGCTCTTGTATGCTAAGCTCAATGAAGATCCCGCTTCAAATGCCACCTTTGTCGCAATCACCAGAGCCACCAACATCTGGTCCTTTAGTTAATCCAAAACTTGAAAAAGGTAACATTATGTCTTATGTTATTCAATACATTAATTTGGTTCATAGGCTCTCAGAGGCATTGAAGTAACATACTAGTAGTGCAACAGTCGTTAAGAATTTGAAAAAATCAGTTCATTGTCACCAGCTTTGAAGGGCAGTGGTGGTTCCTAACATTTTTCTCTATGTTAAACCTTTAAAATCATTAGATACCAATATATAGTAAAAAGAATAGACTCTACTTGTAAGTTACATGTCACTCATATTTGTCAGATTTTCTGAATATGTCCATGATTTTTATTATCGTACCTAACAAAAGGTACGATATTGTAGTCAGCTGGACGGGCGGCGGGAGGCGACCTAACAAAAGGTACGATATTGTAGTCAGCTTGACAGGTGGCAGGCGGCGGACGGGCGGCGTCTCACTTTTCAGCTTGTCTACAGGTTTCCAGCCAAACCATTTGAGGGATTCATCTGAAATTTTCAGGGATGTTTCTACATATCAACGTCAAGAACTGATTAGTTTTTGGGCATTCTGGGTAAATCTTAAGGTGGCCATTTTGGATTTTCCGTCCTAAAATCTTCACTTTCAAGACTTGTCTACAGGTTTTCAGCCAAACCATTTGAGGGATTCATCTGAAATTTTCAGGGATGTTTCTACATATCAACGTCAAGAACTGATTAGTTTTTGGGCATTCTGGGTAAATCTTAAGGTGGCCATTTTGGATTTTCCATCCTAAAATCTTCACTTTCAAGACTTGTCTACAGGTTTCCAGCCAAACCATTTGAGGGATTCATCTGAAATTTTCAGGGATATTTTTACATATCAACATCAAGAACTGATTAGTTTTTGGGCATTCTGGGTAAATCTTAAGGTGGCCATTTTGGATTTTCCGTCCTAAAATCTTCACTTTCAAGACTTGTCTACAGGTTTCCAGCCAAACCATTTGAGGGATTCATCTGAAATTTTCAGGGATGTTTCTACATATCAACGTCAAGAACTGATTAGTTTTTCGGCATTCTGGGTAAATTTTAAGGTGGCCATTTTGGATTTTCCGTCCTAAAATCTTCACTTTCAAGACTTGTCTACAGGTTTTCAGCCAAACCATTTGAGGGATTCATCTGAAATTTTCAGGGATGTTTCTACATATCAACGTCAAGAACTGATTAGTTTTTGGGCATTCTGGTTCAATTTTAAGGTGGCCATTTTGGATTTTCTGTCCTAAAATCTTCACTTTCAAGACTTGTCTACAGATTTTCAGCCAAACCATTTGAGGGTTTCATCTGAAATTTTCAGGGATGTTTCTACATATCAACGTCAAGAACTGATTGGTTTTTGGGCATTCTGGGTAAATTTTAAGGTGGCCATTTTGGATTTTCCGTCCTAAAATCTTCACTTTCAAGACTTGTCTACAGGTTTCCAGCTAAACCGTTCAAATTTTGACATATGTTACACAGTGATAAGTTCTAGAGCCGATTAACTTTTCTGCGGCCATCTTGCTTTCTTGGTCAACAAGACCACAATGCTGTGTTTTAAGTACGATATTGTTCACGTCTGTGCCTTGTTAATCAAATAAGCCAAAGCAAGCCTTTTATTTTTGTGGAGAGACCAGAGGCCTTATTCACAATAGCTAGCAAGTTGAGGGATTGGGATTGCTCGGCAAAGATGTTTCAAAGGCATCACAAATATTGCTATAGTCTCTAATTTTTTTTTGGACAATGTTCGGTTTCGGTAGTTGGCATTCAGAGTTCAGTATCTGTAAGAATTTGTATTAACATTTTGTCATGTTAATGGCTTGTTATTCGGAAACCCTCGGAAAGATTTAACCTTTGGTTAAACTTCAGTGACCTTCCAAAGGTAAAAAATTGATTTTTTGGATTCAAATTTGAGTAAAGCTAAAGTACATGTTGAGGACCAAAAAGGCCATTGGTCTACATCATCAAACTAGATCACAAATGGTACTTTCTATGTTTCTCAAAGTCTCACAAAAATCAATATTTTCGGCTGAAAATCAGGCTATACACCCCTCTTAAGATTCTACACATATTAGCAACTAACTATTTATCAAGATTCTGCACCAGTTTTGAAATGTTAAAGCTCAAAAACTGATAAAAGGTCAAATTTCTAAATTTTTTCAAAATTCAATTTTGTAACTCGTCATTAATATAAAAATCAAGGTATTAGACATATAACCATGTTCATAAATATGTCTATAAAGCAGCCCTGGCTCCTATACTTTCAGACATAATAGTTCTAACTTTATCTTCTAAATATTTGAAATAATGTACTAAAGCATTATGCAGTCAAGAACATCAGTAATAATGTCACCTACAGAATAAATCTATACATGACAATAGAACTATTGTAAAAATCTTTTTAAACACCACTTATATATTATTCTGTATTTTTATTCTCAAAGAATATTTTTTTGCCTAAAATTAATTAAAATTAAAGGTTTTAAAGTATATTTGTGACAATTATTGACATACGAAACCCATACACAAAGGTTGAAAGGCTATGAATCAGCATGACATTGTATGGAATGTTCTGTGTTTGAAAGGTGTTTGGCCAAATATTGAACAAATTCAAATTCTTTTTCACTGTTCAACTTACTTGAATGGTTATTTTATTGCATGTGTATTCACCAAATGATCTACACAAAGGGGACATATTAAAAGGACCAAAACATAATGTCATACAGGGGGGTAGCCATGGTCTAAAATCAGATTAATTAATTTTTTCTCATTGGGAAATCATAATAGAGAGTGCACTATGTCCTTTAGACTAACACACTAAAGGATGTATATTTACTACATTTGGACTTCTTTTCCAAAGTTATAATTAAAAAATATTTTTCATTAAAATTTTGGTGAGGGTTGCCCCGCCTACCTCATGCCTGATTGGCTACGGCAGTGAATACAACAATAACATTGACAACTCTCAGCTCCACATTTCCTTTATTGCAATACAGTTCCATTTTGGTATAACTTACACCCTACCTGTAGAAAATAACTGTGATCTAGTTAAAAACACAAAATCCATAGATGAAGAGTTCTCCCAAAGGACTCTTCAGATTTTTTTTGTTGCGAAAAACAAGAATGATGATCAACTATATTTTTTAAAAATTGCAAAGGGTACTCTTGTCTCTGTTAGTGATTTGATAGTGATTGCTATAGTAAAAGAATAATGATAGCTCTCGCTAAATTTCATATCTCATTGTGAATAGAAAAAATGGCTTAAAATTGCTTTGTGATTGCTATCTGTGATCTCCACAGAATTGTCTCCACAGAATCAAGTGGGTGCAAAATTCTCATTTTGAAAATTCAGACCGAAATTGGTCAAAATATGCCCATTTTTTTCATTTTTCATTTTTAAGTGGGTGCAAATGGATTTTTAGGTGGGTAATTTCATGAAAAAATATTCCATTCATTTTAAATGGCTAGGCTTTTTCTTGCATGTATTTCTCATTGGTTCTCCAAAGTCTTATATTAAAAAAATAATATGTACATGGATTTTACTATTGTGTTTTCCAGGTGAATTTTCTTCTTGTTCTCAAGCCTCTTCATCGCAGATAGATGGTGCTGTTTCCAACCTCCAGGCTATAGGTAACGTCAGTCGACCACCTGGCCCCCCGCAACCTCCAGACCACAGAGGACCTCACATTGGGACCCTCTCAGGTCAGATGCCTCCAGGGTTACCCCCAGGCATGATGCAGTGCCCTGGTGCCCCAATGATGCCTATGGATCACCCTGGCAATGTTCAAATCCCAAACTCAGGAGGTAATATGCGACCACCACAGATGTCTCCTCATGGTTCAATGGCATCTATGTCACCCATTGGACTACCCCCTCAGTTTAGCCCCCGACAGCACCCTGGTATGATGCCCCAGTTCATGCCTATGATGGGACCTATGCCCCCTGAGGGTTTGTCCCCTCGTGGACCTCGTGATCCAATGGGGAGAATGATGATGGCATTTGGGCCACCACAGGGACATCCAATGATGATGAATGCTGACTCCCTACCTAGATTGATGAGCCAGGCTCCCCCAGGAATGCCTCCTAGGTTGACGCAGGCACCCTCAGGAATGTCCCAGAGAAACATGATAACATCTCAAGGAATGACACCTCAACGAATGCCCCAGAAATCTCAAGAAATGGCCCAAAGAATGCCCCTACGACCCCCTGGAATGTCACAGCCATCCCAAAGTATGCATCCAGCACCTCCGTCAATGAATCAGGCACCCCATCAAATGCATCAAATGTCGCTTGCACCCAGAACTAGCAGCCCTGCTATGGTAATACCCACAGCAAACCAATTAGCAGACACCCTGTCCAAAGTCTCAAAAGGACAGACAGATGATGATATCCTGAAGGCAGCCATGGAACTGACAGGAGTTAAACCTCACTCTCCTGCTCCCAGTGTAAACCAGAATAATAATGTTCAATCTCGGACTGTCAAGGAACTCCTTATTGCAAGAAGCAATGCTAATACACAACAGAATGGACCTCAACTAGATGAGAATTCAAGGCCAGATACAAGGGCAGAAAAAGAATTTAGGCCACAACATGAGTTGAAGCTTAACATGAGCCCGGAAGAAGAATTAGGACCAAATATGAGACACCAACAAGAACTAGGGCCAGACTTGAGACAACAACAAGAATTAGGGCCAGATTTGAGACAACAGGAAAAATTAGGGCCAAATATGAGACCAGAGGAATTAAGGCCAAATATGCGACCAGAAGAAGAATTAGGACAATATATAAGGCGTGAGGAGGCTTTAAGGTCACATCCTATTAATGAAAATGTGAGTGTACCCAATTCTTTAGTCTCAGCAATTGATGAGTTGAATAATGAAAAGCCTATAGGTACACACGGCAAGATTAAAACTACCCCCATAATATCTGGGGACAATCAACTTCAATCTGAGATCTCAGAGAATCACCAAAGAAGAAAGTCCACTGAGGGATGTACTAATTCTGAGTTGCCAGGGGGAGCCACTAATTCATCCACTATAGATGTCAGCACATTACAGCAGATTCAACAGGGAACTTTTGGTAACCAGAGAACCAAAGAAAGAACTCTCAGTAAGGACTCAAATAATAGCCAAAAACAAATAATCGATTGCCCGAAATGTAACAAGAAATGCTCCAGTCAGAGCGGTTTGAAACGTCACATGAATACACATATCGAGAATGTTCAATGCGTCTTCTGTCAACTGGTCTATCCTAATCTCTCCACACTACATGTCCATATAAGGAAAATGCATCCCGAGAACCAACCAAAGACCCCTTCTAAACTGACAAGTAAAATGGGAATTGGGCCAGTGTCTAAATATTGGATGAAACTCCCCGATGGAACTAAACGCTGTAAGCTATGTTCTAGAGTGTTCGCTCCGGGAAGTCGTGGAGGTGTGACTAAACATATTATTGCCTGCAGGAATCGTAACCAATCACAAGTCAACTATGAAGTCCAGCATTCTGGACTAGTCATGAAATTTCATAAAATCAACCAGTATAAGAAACTGTATAATCTTAGAGAGTTAGACATTAAAGTGTTGCGATTAAATCTTAAACCAAATATGATGCCAATAAGCACAATTGACTTTGACGAGAAAAACTACAGCAAGTTTGAACCTACATACTATAACTCTGATTCCGATACAGAGAGTTACCATAGTCACCAGGAAGTGGGCGGAGCATCCAGGCCAAAATTAACGTCACCAATGTGGGGTGCAGGTAAGACTCATATCGTATTAATCAAAATACATGTATTCGGTATTAAGATAAAAAATATATTTTTACGATCCATTTAGTGATCCATTTATCTTACAAGCAGCCTGATGCAATGATAGAATAATAGATATTCTTTCACACTCTGACTACATCAACAAATAGGTCCAAAAGTTCTTCTATGAGACCTGCCATAATGTTTTACTGAGGTCTCATTAGTTTATCAGTTATCATTGTTATATGTATATGAAACAATTTCATTGCAGAATCAGAGACCTTTAAGGGACTTCCAAATGGTATGCACAAAGACTAGATATTGTTGTTTAAGAATGATTTACACTAAATATTTTTCATTGCACAGGTCAGGGGTTCATTTCTAGAAACATTCAGAGGAAGTCATAAATTTTTAGTCTTTTATGATTTGTTGATTCCATTTTTACAATAGATTTATAAAGAACATTTGATGAAAACTTTGAGATGCTGTTTCTATAAGTTTTAGACTATATTGATCAAAAATCATAGATCACAAAAAATGTTTCCAGAAATAGACCCCTCTCTATCAATAATTCACTCTTTTATATAGGCCTATTCATTAATTTATATTATTCTTTCATTTTGAATGCTTGTTATATTGTATCATTTTCTTGCACATATTTCAGTAACTAAGGCATATTGCTTGATTTGAGCAAACACAGCACATTACTGATCAACTCATTCCCCAAGCGATGCATTCATTCATAAAGCAGTTTCATCAAAATAGAAACTGGATAGTAATAAAGTATAATATGCAGTGTGAAATCAATATCATTCAGTCTGCATTCATCAAAGTGTCATTGTTAATGATAATGTAATCAGTTAAAGTTAATGATCCAATTAGTACACCAATTAAGATTAATTAATTATTGTTTGTGCAATAGTAAGATCACATTTTGCTTTTCATATTTGAAAATATATACTAATTAAGATTGCTTATTAAAGTGCTCTGTCTATTAGATATGCAACATTTTGAAAATCTGTAACTGCCTGCAATTTGCATCTTCAGCAAACTTTGATACAAAGCCTCTATCTTGAAAAAAATAAAGATTTACAAAAATTTGCTCACCTATACTAGTAAGCTGCATGAAAAGGGAAAACTTCATGGGTCTCAGGGCTAAGCCAGGAGGGGGGAGGGGGGGGGGTTTCGGCCAAGTATTCTTTCAAAATGATGCAGTTTTTACCATTCGGATCGAGTGATTTTAGGTCATTATTGTCAAATATGAACTCCCTCTCTTGAATGTTTTGAAAAGTGAACCTCAGACCTGAGTCTACACATTTTTTAATTACTAAATGGCAGTTAATTCAATGATTACATGTTTGTGAATACATTGTTTTCAAACTTGACAGAAAAGACGATTTATAACAAAGTGTATTGTTGGTGTAAATTGCAGATTATTGTAGATTTTTTATATTTAGTTTTTTTATGATATGAAATATGCTCTGAGTCTATTTAAATCAAAGCTCTAAAGCTGGTTTGTTACTATTGTTGTTATTCGTTGTGATACGATTTGATTTGTTTTAACTATATGCTTTAAATGACATAATGACATTTAGTCTAGACTTGATTTCATGCTTATTCTGTTTTCTGATTTACTGCTTTATTTATACATGCATACACAATTTTATAATTTGATTTGATTTTTCATTATTCAAAAACGTAAAATTAGATACAAAGCAATGCAGAAATTAAACTGATAGTGTTTCAGTCACATATATGTTTCTTTGTTGTTGCATGCAGTGTTGCATAATATTGCATAATGTGTGTAATTATGTCTTGCATCAAGCCCTTGCACCATGTCACACCATTCATGATCTAATACAGTTTCTTGTAAGGACAGACACAATTAGTGCAACTCCTGGTGTCAGTAGAAGTCTATGTCAGTAGAAGTCTTTTGAGGATAATATGGGGGGGGGGGGGGGCTGACTGGATCCTTGATGCTGAACATCATAATTTGTATTTTATCTATGAGTTAAACAATAGTAAAAGTTAAGAAGTACAGATCAGTTTTAAAAAACTTTTTCTCCAAAATTGAATTTTTTGCCGTTTATTTCCAGTAGCTAATCAGATGGATGGTGACATGGCACCCACAATTGATACAAGCCACCACCATGACATGCCACCCTTAGGCATGAATAACCCATTAACACCAATTCTCGGGATGGATGATCCCCCTGGTCTTGATTTGGACACCACTGTCAAGGCACAGCATACTGAAGATTGGGTGCTACAGTCTCTCAACTTTGACTCTGTGAAAGCCAATGAGGTTCCCATACATGATGGCCCTGATAATGCCATTTTAGACAATACCTCTGGTAACATAGATGCAACAGCATGTGATGACGTAACAAAACCTAGCAAGAGCCCACATGTGGATGGTGCTGATGAGGATAATGACAATCCTGGTAATGATGAAAACGATGACTCTGATAATCAAAATAAAGCTCATAACAATGAGAGGATAACTAACTCAAAGCCAGATGACATGGATACAAGCAATATGAAACGAGATTTTGACGATGCTACGGCATCTTTGGATAACGCCAACACTACCAGACCATCTATGGACGATCAATCACATGGTGCAATAGCAAAAGATGAGGCCCCAGCACTGGAACTACAGGTGCCAGATGGCCAGTTAAACTTTGCACATAATCAAGAAATTATGAATAACTTTGTTGTGATGGACAATACACCCGCTGTGACTACTCTACAGGAGCATAATGATATTAGTAGACCCTGGGAAACAGGTAAGTTTTACCTTTTGATACTGTTAGAAAGAAATTTTGACCAGGAACTTCAATTTTTCCTCATATTGTGAAAATACTTGAAGCAATACAAGAAATGAAAACATAACAAAATAAAGTTGAAATGGAATTATGAAAAAATGAGATAATGCAATGCAAACGGATGCAATGCAAAGAAATGCAATGCAAGTGAAAACAATTATGTTTTTCCATCAATAGTGTTCAAAGAGATGCCAGATTATGTGAGTGCTATATATAGAAGCAGTTGTGATAAAATTTTGTTATTATTGTCAATAATTGCTGCATTTGTTTTGTTAATGTTATAATGTGTATCACCAAATTTTTTATTGCTGTTTTTACAGGAAAGTTGAAAACACTGAAATCAAATCAGAATCAGCCCATAGTAACTCACAATGGACCCACCCAGCAAGACAGTACAATGACCCATAAAGAGAATGGGTCCACCTCTATGGATAATGGACTGATTTCCATGGAAAATGGACCAAACAGCATTGGAAACAAAACAAGTGAAACTTCAAAATCTTGTGAGTAAAGGTTCTGATTTGTAGTTCCTTGGTTCTAAAAAAATAGTCTTGCACCAAGCCCCTGTGTTTAATTTCTCCATTCACTTCCTTACACCAGAGGCTTAGTGCAAAGCTTCAAGCAAATAGTATTCATATTATGCCAGTCACTTAGACAGTAATTTTAAATGTTATTTTTATGATGAACAAAAATGTCCTGAAAATAGAGAAATGTAACACGTATACCATATTTGCATTTCAAAAGATTGTTATTATTTATATAATTGTGCACCCTGTAGTTAATTGTGCTGTTTTCTGTCAAACCTCACTTTTGCACTTGTGGTAGTATACTAATTTAGGGAAAATGATGCTGAAATCTCTAAACTTGGCCTTTCTGTTCTATACCTAATCCATTCTGCACTCTGGCTACATAAAGCCACTCAGTGATCTCCACGGGTTTTTATGTGACCTCAAGAAGTGGTGACATTCTGTTAAAGTCTCCGCCTTTTTTGTGGATGGTGTTTGGTGATTGGTGTTTGGCATTTGTTGGTTGGCATCTACAAATGGAATGTGGTGACATTTTGCATGTTAATGCCTTGTTCTTACATGTATTTCATTCTTTTGAACTGTGGTGCAAACCTGATTTTATTGGATGGTATCTACCTTCCAAATTCTCAAATCACCCAGTTGCTCTAATGCTGGGGAGATCACTGGGATGGACTGGGATGCACAGATTTAATTGTAGTCAGTTCAGCCATTCATCTCTAAAGTAGCTGTCATGTAAGCCATGTGTTCTCACCGTTCCCTATACCCTGTGGCTAATTTCAGGCATTAATATTTTTGTATTTGGTAAAATGGGGGATATTTTGCTGTAAAACTGTTCATTTTGCCTACTGTGTATCCATTCTATTCCCCGCCGTCTGCCTCAAAGTATTCACACAGTGTCGAACAGTGAGCCCACATGGCCTTAGTGTGACAGCTCCATAAGTTGTGTATTTTCAACCTTGCTTTACCCTCATGCACCGATCTTTTAATTGCCATCATACCCATGTGGATTAAGCTTTGAAAACTGTTTCGAAAATCACGGGTGTAAAATGTGTTATAATAGCATGATGAAAATGATGAGAATTTGGCCAGATAAGAGTTATTATGTGTGTAGATAATTTGAGGAGAGGTGGTAGCATAAAGGGATTTTAGGTTGGGAATACACCATACATTTTGCTTCTTTAGAAATCATCTCAAAGTTGGCACTAAATTCTACACTGAATCCATATTGGTAACTGCTGTATAATTGCTGTTGATAGAATGACTTTACCACCATTAATTCTCGAAACCAACTCCCTAAATGAAAAAAGCCTTTAAATGAAAGTTATTATATGAGGGTGGTTCTGTGGTGTAGTTGTACAGGCTCACACCTCAGAGGCAAGGGGTCCTGGATTTAATCCAAGTTCCCAGTACTTCTGTGGATGATTGAACCTATATAAAGGCACAGTGTAGACAATTACTAGAATGATATAAGGCCATTGCTGACTTGACCTGTCTTTGGCTTTCTCTAGGTTAAAGATACCAGTTCTTCAACTTGAAAATGGGCAAAACTGCTATACCTTGATAAAATCTTAAATATGACAGCAACAATAAGGAATAGATACAAGTATATACCTAATACACCCAAAATACAATACAATAAAATATCATGTAGAATTTAGTGTACAATGAATGAGATGGTGCCTTGTGGTGGTTGGTGTTTAGATTAGTCATCTTATTTTCCAGACTCTGACATAGCTGATGTTGAGTTAGAAGCTACAATGTCTTGTGTCACCCACATAGACTCTAGCATGACCTCTACCCTACCTATGAATATGAACTCTGCCATGCCTCTTAGCATGACTTCTAGCATGCCTTATGCTGAACACAGCTATAGTGCTCTTAAAGACTCGCCTGTAAATGTCTCGAGTGATATTAACAACAATAGTGTGGCTGTAGATGTTGTAGAAACTAGTATGCCTTTATTGATAGCATCAACCCATGGCTTGCCCAAATCATCCAGCCCTGGCTTGCCAAAATCATCAACCCCTGGCTTGCCCAAATCATCAACCTCCAGCTGGCCCAAATCATCAACCCCTGCCTTGCCCAAATCATCAACCCCTGGCTTGCCCAAATCATCAACCTCCAGCTGGCCCAAATCATCAACCCCTGCCTTGCCCAAATCATCAACCTCTAGCTTGCCCAAATCATCAACCCCTGGCTTGCCCAAATCATCAACCCCTGGCTTGCCAAAATCATCAACCTCTAGCTTGCCCAAATCATCAACCTCTAGCTTGCCCAAATCATCAACCCCTGCCTTGCCCAAATCATCAACCTCTAGCTTGCCCAAATCATCAACCCCTGGCTTGCCTAACTCATCGACTCATGGCTTGCCTAAATCAGCAACCCCTGAGTTGCCCAAATCATCAACCCCTGGTTTGCCCAAATCATCAACCCCTGACTTGCCTAGATCTTCGTCACCAATAATCTCTAAATCTCACCACTCTACGCTTAAACCTTTTCTTTCACACTCCTCTACTCCTTTACAGTGTGTTGTCCACCTTGAGAGGTTAGATATGGCTCACCTTAATACTCCTTTAAAAAAGGATGACTATTTGCAGAGAAATGCTGTCAACATAGAGATGAATAAAAATGCTAAGATTCCTGAAACAGGAAAAGACAACACTGAAGATAACATCATAACAATTGAGGATGACACAAAGAGAGATATCGATAAAGATGTTATCGTCTTGGATGTTGATGAAAACGTTCACAATGATGATCAACCAATCAATGCTGATGATGATAATGACAGTGTGTCGACTCTTAGCTATCCCACAGATGCCGCAGTTGAGCATTACTACGCAGTAACAAGCAAACCATGTAAACCGAAACAACCTCATGGTATCCCATTCAACCCAACAGCAGGTAGGGCACGCACAATAATCAGATGTGCCAATTGTCGCAAACCACGTTTAATCTACACGCAACGCCAACTCTCAAGTCACGAAAACACAATCCTCATAAAGGTTCTTAATAATTACCAATATATTTGTGGAGACGATATCCATGAATTAAAAACACCTGAAAACAAAACCCCTCAGATAAACAATCTGTTAGATAAAGTGCATATGCGGCTAAATCTGACGTGTAAATCGGTGGTAGAAAGTATATATTACCAGAGAGGTTCACCCGGAGAGTTCAGCAAAGTCTGTGTTAGATGCGGCTCTAGTGAGGACGTTGATGCTACAGACTTGATATATGGAGTACAGTACCCTCTGTGCAATATATGCCACTTTAAAATCGTTGCCAAAATAACAAAATAGGGCTCTCATTTTGTAAATGGATATTTTAAGTGATTTTATATTATATGTTTTATTTTATATCTTTAAAGTCATAAAAATGTACCAAAGGATGTATAACTTACATATTTAACTGAGGTGAAGTGATCTGATATTTTTTGAATATATAGCCCTGCCTTTCCTTAAAACGCAATATTTGGACATATTTTTCTCACATTTTCGTACAACTGACAAAATCCATGCTTTAAATATTTAGTTGATGTGGTTATAAATTGTTTTGTCAGCTTAATATCAAGCGTTCCAATAAAAATAAATCCTCGTAATGGCACCTTTATCGTGAGTATTTCTACACAATATTTGTCCTGTTTGTCCCACATAGTATACTCATTATCGTTCAAAATATTATTTGATACCTTGGGATAACCTGAAAGGTGCAGGTTTAATTTAGAAAAGAGAACATTCTACTTAATTTCATGAATAGTGTAATAAAACTATGTTATCATTCATGTTTGCGTTATCATTCATGTTTGCGTTATCATTCATGTTTGCGTTATCATTCATGTTTGCATGATAACATAAACAGTGTTTACATAAGTGTTACATTTGTGAGTGGGTCACATAGGTGTTCACATTTATAAGGTGTTTATATAAGTGTTCACATTTGTAAAGTGTTTACATTTGTAAGGTGTTAATATTTGTAAGATGTCAAAAAAGTGTTTAAAAAGGTTACCCCATAATGAACAGATAAAATGTAATTGCGTTCAAGTTACAGAAACAAAATGCCTGTGCAACCTGAAAAGTGTCATTCACTAGCGTCGCAATTTTTGTGAAATGGTACATAGTTAGTGTACATAATGTAAATATGATTCAATGTATAAATTAATCCCAACGATTCTTTGAATGCTTTCACTGTTTTGTAAGCGAGTGGCACACATGTTTTTATATCAAAAGCATTTTGCAGCTCGGATATGAGGAATCATGCACGCAATAAAGTGATAGAGGACTTCTGATGAATATATGTGTTATACTTGTATATTACATATGTGTATATACGTACTTGTACAAGTACATATACTTGTATGTTGTATCTGCCAAGGGACGACACTAGGATTTTTATGCCACCGTCACAAGTGGTGACATATTGTAAGTCTCCAACTTTTTGTGGATGGTGTTCGGCAGTTGGTGTTTTGAGTAAGGCATCTGTAACAAATGGCAGGTGGTGACATTTTGCATGTTAATGCCTTTTATGTTATGTTGTTATTATAATTAGTCATATTATGACTGGTGCTGTAAATTGGAAAGGGACATTAGTATGTTTTGCATTTAGTTTTATTTTAATATGCATTTAAAGTGACATGTGTGTAAATATGTAACTAATGATAAAACAGTTCAAACAAATAGAGGTACATTTTGTATTGGTACAGTACAAATAGATCCGTTTTAGAACACTATTTAGAAAGAACACGATTTATTTTAGATAAAATATGTGTAGGATTTGCAGTGTTCACACTTTGATAGTGTAAATTGAAAGTTCAGTTAATATAGTGCTTAAAAAAGTTCATGGAACAGCTTCCCTTTATAAGATGTATGACAGAGGGAAAGTGTTCAGTGGCAAGAACCTCCATTGTTTTAGGTCACAAGTGAATCAGTTTATTGTTATATTAACTTTGTATATTGTAATAATTATATTTAGTTCTAGAAACATGTACAGTATAGTGAATGTATATATAGATATTTAACCACATGTAAATATTTCCTACAAGTTGAACATAAATGTGAATAGGGAAATATTTATTGATATCTCCATTTAGTTCACTACACGTACTGTAGTTGTAAAAATATCATAGACATGTAAAAATACAGGTGTGTTCAAAAAATCCTAGTAATGTTATATCATTTATTGAACACCCTGTACATGACATGTTAAGGCCAGTTAACATATGAGCAGGGTGGATATTGCAATTCACTATGATTAGATTCAATCATGCAATATTTGATCTTTGTTCTGGGGAAAAACCCATATTTTGACTGAAACCCAAATAACAGGCCACATTTTTCATTCATTCATTCATTGAGGTTACCCAGTTTTGAGAATGTGGTTGTTGGGAGTAAAACAATTTATTCACTCTTATTGTTGATGCTTTTCTATGTACCCATTGATTCCAATATCATGCAACACTGACCTCTATATTAAATATTTGTACTTAACGTATTATATGGATTATACATCATGATAAAGATAATTATGTTCCCATTGCTTTTGATGTATAACATTCCTGTCTTGTGATTGAAAGTTGTTACATACTTTCTGAGGTAGAGATCGAGGTAACACTACTTTTTCGTTTGCCATTTTTTAGATTCTTTATGCATTATAAGACCTAGAGCTTACTGCTTGCAATCTTATACTCTAGTATTATTCAGAGTGAATTCCTTGGAAGTGATTTATAATTTCAAATGTCATGTACAATGTACATAAAGCCAAATATTAATTAAGATCTGTTCATCAAGTAACACAGCTTAGTTTTCATAAATCAATACATTTTTGGTCACCCTGTATATTAATATGGGAATTTTTATTTGTCATGAAAATGTACATAATTGTACATTATTTAGCTGTTAATATACAACAATAATTGTTTGTAGTATTAATATTGTAGTAATTAACTAATAAGTATATATTTATTTAAGTCAACGCATTATAGAAATTCGTCATTTTATGCTTCCATGTGGAAAAATTTATGTTTGTTTCATGTTTTCTACGTAACATAATTGTTTGTATGCAGTCAATGTAATGAAGAAAATGTTATTTTCTTGTCTTGCTTTTATAATGGTAAAAGATATACAATGTTTGAAATGTACATGTATTTCAAACAGCTTTCAGTAACTTTGCCAATAACTTCCATGTTACTTTCTGGTGGTGAATTAGATAAGGGGGGGTCCAGAAACTTGGAGCCAGACTACTCTTCCCAACCCACAACCATTCACTGCTTAGCAAATTACATATACAGAAGATTTATGTACCGTTTTGTATCAAATAGGACATGTTTGATGTGTTTACTTTTGGAGTTAAGAAAAGAATTTGTCATAAATGATAATTTCAAATCATTAACACTGTAAAAGTGCACGGAACCATTTGAGAATGGTAGTACATATGGCATTGCATATATACCATTCAATGAGATGGGCTTGCAATGTTGTATTAATCTTATTTCAATGTCAAAAACATGAACATATGGTGGAGGGGAAGTCAGTTTATTATTTTGAAAAAAAGCTTCTTTATTCTGCCTATTCTTTCAGACAGATGTACTCAATAAAATCCTGTACTTTTTTCCACAGTTCACTACAGTATTTGACAAGAAAATTATGATTATTACTGTAGCAAGTGACAATGATAAACAATGTTTTGTAATCACAATGTTTTCCGAAAACGTCCTTCAATAACTGAGTCACAGTATTATATTAATTTTGTACCCACCCACGTATATATGTATGTACTGTAATATAAATGTAACTATATTTATCTGTATTTTTCTAGGTTAAATACACATGTATACCCATTTAATTTTCTGTTAAGTGTTATTGATTTGGTGTTTATACCTTTCAAAGAGGACATACCACCTGAAAAATTTTGCACTATATCCATTTAGTTTAACCAGAACAACGGCAACGCCAAAGCGTAGCGAATCCCATCGAACAGCCATGGAAGGCATTTTTACAAATAACAAAGTATATAGCAAAAATGGCAGGCATTTTTCAAAATGGCCGCCTTCTACCAAAAGTGTCATTAGACCATTTGCCATACTTATAGTATTCACAAACCAAATATGAACAAAATCGCTCCACTACTTTTCGAGTTATAGTAAAATATGTTAAAATGGCGGCCATTTTGAAAAATGGCTGCCTTCTACCAAAAGTGTCATTAGACAGTGTGCCATGCTTACAGTATTCACATGCCAAATATGAACAAAATCGCTTCACTACTTTTTGAATTATTATAAAATACATTAAAATGGCGGCCATTTTTCAAATTTTTTTTCAAAATGGCCACTTTCTACTAAAAGTGTCATAAGATAGTGTGTCATGCTTTTAGTATTCACATACCAAATATGAACAAAATCGCTCCACTACTTTTCGAGTTATAGTAAAATACGTTAAAATGGCGACCATTTTTCAAAATAGCTGCTTCTACCAAAAGTGTCATTAGACAGTGTGCCATCCTTATAGTATTCACATACCAAATATGAACAAAATCGCTTCTCTACTTTTCGAGTTATAGTAAAATAGGTTAAAATGGCGGCCATTTTTCAAAATGGCGGCCATTTTTTAAAATGGCCACTTTCTACCAAAAGTGTCTTTAGACAGTGTGCAATGTTTATAGTATTCACATACCAAATATGAACAAAATCGCTCCACTACTTTTCGAGTTACAGCAAAAATCGTAAAATAACGAGTAAAGGCCGCCATTTTTCAAGATGGCTGCCATGTGCTTCTTTAATATCTACATTTCTAGCTTTATTAATGTCCTATATAATTTTTCTACATCTAAAACATATTGCTATTACAGTTTTACATATTGCACCTAAATTACTGTAAATTCGGCACTAAAATGGCCGCCATTTTGAAATGAGCGGCCATTTTGAAAATCAGCTTTCGAGCAGAACTTCTACCCCCATAGGGTATATGTGTACAAAATATGAACAAAATCGGGCCAACGGTATTTGAGTTATTGCCCGGACGGACGGACGGACGTACGGACGGACGGACGGAGGCATTCCCTATATCCCTCCGAACTTCGTTCGATGGGATAATTAATAGACCACTCAACTACCCCCAACACACCCTCCCAACAAGTGTTTAAAGGGGCAACATAATTATTCCATATCATGTCATAGTCAAATATTACTAATCTATGTTATACAGAGTAGGCTACTCCTTCAGGTCTTAGATCCATGAATAGCCATCTTTGATGAGTTACATACATGTACTTTCAAGTAACTTTTGTTTGCATTCATATGTTGATAATTCAAACATATTCTGTTCTAAAACTTAACTTATTGAATCCTTGCAGAGAGGGAATTAGTCACTCATCCAATGAATGAAATGCTTGGAGTCTGCAAACCAATATTTCCAGTGCACAAAAAGATAACAAAACAAAGTTTAAATATTTTACATGTTTGCTTTATTTTCCATTTAAATAAAGACTACTAACTCAGTTTATAACAATGATGTTTCTCAAGAATCAGTTGGATGAACATATAAAGCTTCAGTTAAACTGAAATGACACTTCAACCTGTCTAATGTGAACACTTTAGAGTGAATTCGGGGCAAAATTCTATTAACACTGGAATCCTGTGAAAATCAATACAACTGACAGACTTTCATATCTCACCTCTCAGTCCAGTTCAAATACTGTATTTGTCTTTAATTTGGCGCTACTTAATTTGGCGATTTTGGGATATCAGACATTGGTGTCTATTCAATTTGTTTTTTTTCAAGGGGATAAATCTCATATCTTTAATTTCAAGTAACTCATTGTCAGTGTTGTTGATCAAAAATATATTCAAATTTTTCTTTTAGCTGGAAATGTACCAAACGAAAAACATGACAAATGCCTGGGAATTTTGGCGAATATTAATTTGGCAATTTTTTTGATTCGTCAAATTAAAATGCTCGCTAAATTAAAGACAAATACAGTATACATATTTGAAACGGTACACCTGATTGGCTGCAATGGTTGATTTAGAATCAAAGAATCTATTTCCTCTAACATTTAATATTTGAAATTAAAAAATCTCAACCATGACAGGTATTTTTACAAAAAATCATGAGACTTGATTACTTAAATAAATGAACTGATAACTTCTGAACAAGGACGAGGCTTACGTTTTGTTTGCTATTATAATAAAATGCCATGCACCATTTTGTGAGTGTTTTGAAATTGATCCAATTTTGAAAAAAACGAATGGTAAGCTTTTAACTTACGCTTATCGACATTTAATTAAATTTTGATATTTTTTACATCATTCTGAGATCTAAGTTTGACTTTTTGAGCTATTCTCTAAACATAACATAATATACAGATATTTTCAAGAAATTGAAGTCCCCTTTTATAAAACATCTCAAATCCAGAACCACTCAATGAAAAAATATGACAAAAAAATCCATGGAATACAGACTTTTTTAATTATAACACATGTACACCTGATATTGTCTTATTTGATTTCTGGATTTGAGACGATTTAAGAAGATACTTTTGTCTTTCACCTTCATATGGACCTCGACACAAAGTGGTTGTAATGACATTTTTAATATATGGAAGTATAAAAACTTGGAGCATGCAGCTGGTGAGTACTGTATTTCTATTTGACGTACAGGGTGTCCATAACGTCTATTTACAATTACAATACAAATTCTGTATGTAAAGAGAGTTCAGGGACACCCTGTATTTTTACTTGATGATTGATACGATTTCAACTTTATGAAGGTTTTTACATGTGATGAGAACAGGTTTTACATATGTGTTAACATGTACAGGTATTACATATGTGTTAACATGTACAGGTATTACATATGTGTTAACATGTACAGGATTTACATATATATTTCAGTTTACATGTACAGAATTTTACATATGTGTAAACATGTACAGGTTTTACATATGTGTTATCATGTACAGGTATTACATATGTGTTAACATGTACAGGATTTACATATGTATTTCAGTTTACATGTACAGAATTTTACATATGTGTAAACATGTACAGGTTTTACATATGTGTTAACATGTACAGGTATTACATATGTGTTAACATGTACAGGATTTACATATGTATTTCAGTTTACATGTACAGAATTTTACATATGTGTAAACATGTACAGGTTTTACATATGTGTTAACATGTACAGGTATTACATATGTGTTAACATGTACAGGATTTACATATGTATTTCAGTTTACATGTACATAATTTTACATATGTGTAAACATGTACAGGTTTTACATATGTGTTATCATGTACAGGTTTTACATATGTATTTCAGTTTACATGTACAGAACTTTACATATGTGTAAACATGTACAGGTTTTACATATGTGTTAACATGTACAAGTTTTACATATGTGTTTTAGTTTACATGTACAGAATTTTACAAAGTGGTAACATGTACAAGTTTTACGACAACTTAACATTCACACGTTTAACTGTACTTCGGGAAGATTTCATATGTTCTAAGTGAGAAACCATTTAAAGGTACATGAGGTTTTTGGTCCACAGCAGTTATAATTGACTGCAATTAACAACATAAAACAGAGTACATATTTAACATTTAGAAAACAAATACATAAATCATTTAATGGGTAATTGCAAGCTAATGATTTTCATTTTTCAATGTTCATGCCACATGAGTTTCAACATCCTCTTACACGTTAAACTCAACTGAATTTTTTCAAAGTATTTCTCAGCATTCTACAGTTGCAATTGTTGGACTCACCCTGTTATTGACAACCATTTAAAGCAGATCTCATTCTCAATGTATGAATCAATGCTTGGCATATTTTGAAAAGTTGACATGAATATATGACATCTGCTTAAATGTCTTGACGTACAGGTACAAATTGTTCAAAAAATTGCTAAAATAACAGTAAGAACTAATGCTGCTTTCCTAAGTTACTTTTCTCGGAGCAAGTAACATGTAACAAATGTGCTCAGAAATTTCTCATACAATAAATGTGTCATGAAATAAATGTGCTCAAATATTTCTGTTTACATTTTTTACATGAATGACTTTTGTAGGCTAAAAAAAACTTTTGCAGGCTCAATATGAATGTTTATCATGTCTATAACAACAAAGTGACTTGAAAATAACAAGATAAATGACGCATTATTTTTAAATATTTAAAAACAAAAAATACAATGCAAGAGAATAGCTTGACAAAATGGCTATATACAAATGACTGCATGCAATAATAGTAGGCTTACATTCAATGCCCACTCAGCTAATTAAATTGATGATGCTCTATTAAAATTTAACCAATATTTTCATCTGGTCCTAATTCCTAAAAAGAACAGAATTGATCCTTTAATGAAATTGAAATGTTTTCACTACACACCAAACAATCTTAAGTTCAGACCTCAAAGTAAAAATTCAAGGAGGTCATGCTTGGAAATATAGATAGAAATGGAATCACCAAGAAATGGATTTTAAGGATAATTCTCTACACAATATATCATTTAGAAATGAAAAAACTATTCACATTTTAAAAAGGAATAAAAAACATGCATGACAGTTTGACAATTTTATTTGATATTTTTTGATAATTTAATGTCATATTGGACAATTCAATGTAATGTTTAACCATTTAATGTTATATTTAACCCTCTAATTGAATAATACAGATAAACCCTCTCTAAAAATTCAACTACACCTCTATCTTTCAACACATGAAATCATATACCTGCTGAATTTAGATTTAAGATAACCCCTATTCAGAATATAGATAATCTTCAAGATTTTTCCACATTTTTGCTTACACTGAAAAACGTTGTTTGAAAACAACACCTGTTTTTGTGGAACAGTTTTCAAAAGAACCATACAATGTACCATCGACTAAACATGTTAATGGACCTTAGGTTCTTTCTGTAAGCAACACATGTCAACAATTTTGACCAGTATGAAGGGTATTCCATATCCATATGCACAGGTTTACCGTATTTTGTGATCGACAATCTCTAACAATGATGCATTAACTTATTTTGACTATTTCTGAAAACCAATTCGAATGTACAATGCACATATAGCAAACATTTGATACGCACAATGGCCAAGTGATAAATATATAAACCATGTCATGAAATGTACAGCAATGTATCAAGAAAGCTTTACCAAAAGAAATGCACATATTTTCCATTCAACCACAACAGAAGTGACTTCAAATCACTAATTCACATTTTCTGTATGTATGACATCTACATCTAATGGCGCTGAATGAGTTGAACGGCATTACTCAATGACCATCAGAATTCCTGGTTTCCATTCCGACAGAAACGAATACAATTGGCAGGAGATGATAATGAAGATGACATCATCAATATGGCAGTTATTTGGAGACGTATGTATATGTCCGGGAAGGTGACCTTTCATCGTTCTCCTGTTGAGGAACATTTAAGAAGTCCCATATTAATATTGTGTCATCGTGAGAACTGCTGACGATTTGAAATTCATCAAATTGTAGTCTAAATACTCTACCAGAGTGCTCCTGAAAAATTAATTATATTCAATTAATTGATTAAAAATGTCCCTCAAATTAAAGAAATTTATGTTCCGATATTTAAAGGACAATCTAAATACTAGTGCAGCTCAATTCATGGCACTTAACACATTGACGACAGTCATACTAGTATATTATAGGCCTCACACAATGGAGTCATATAATATAGCCCTCATACAATGTACAGTTATAATAATATAGCCCTCAGACAATGTACAGTCATAAAATATAGCCCTCATACAATATTGCATCATACAGTGTAGTCATATAATATAGCACTCATATAATGTACAGCCATAAAATATAGCCCTCATACAATATAGCATCATACAATGTAGTCATATAATATAGCTCTCATATAATGTACAGCCATAAAATATAGCCCTCATACAATATAGCATCATACAGTGTAGTCATATAATATAGCCCTCATAAAATGTACAGTCTATAATACAGCCCTTATACAATTTACAACTGCGACATATAGCCCCCTTAAAGAAGAAGTTCAACTAACCACCAATGTGCGTATACACAATGTCCCTGCTGGTGCTCTGGGGTCAAGGGCAGCATTCAGATCCCAAACTTTCACCTTACTGTAAACAAACAGATTATTAATTGGAAAATAACAATTCAAACTACAATTCATTATTATGGTGACAGGTCATCTCAACCCCAAGTCATCTCAACCCAGTCCAACTCAACCCCAAGTCAACTCAACCCCAAGTCAAGTCAACCCCAGTAAAACTCAACCCCAAGTCAACTCAACCCTGTAAAACTCAACCCCAGTATAACTCAACCCTATTCATTTGTGCAATATCCAATTTAATTTCTTATGAAGAATAATTTAAGTCATTAATTTCTGAAAATCTAGCATTTTGCATGATACTTTGAATAGAAAGTTGTAAAAGTATTCAAAAAAATGGTTAAGCTCAAGGATAATTCATCAAGTTGTCACTATTATTGAATTTAAGACATATTTTGAAATCAAATTTTAGATAATTTAGAAATAATTAACAATGTAATATAACTTTTTATTTATATGAACATGCTTTAACAAAATCATTAATATTTAGTAATTAATAGACTGAAAGCATAGACGTAGCCAGGAGGAGTTCGCACACACCCTCCCCCCACTTTTGAAAGGAAGTTGCATCATTTTTTTGTCAAAACATATCTTTCTTTGGCTCGCTTATGCCACGATCGGCACCCCCTGACTGAAAACCTAATTTTTTGGGCGATCACATCCCTCCTGACTGAAAGCTGGCTCTGCCCCTGGAAAGCAATGGTCATGTTCCAGTTTTCCAAATAATCAAGAGTGTCAACCTCATAGTGATTACAACAAAACAAACGTATTAGCAAGATTTATAAAATGACCCATATTTTAATCCTATTAGTACCATGTTGACATTTTGGAGATAAACTCATTATTAACTATCATCCAAAAAGGCAGTGGTCTAAGAATGAAAATCACAAACTGAATCATTCGAATTATTTTATGAAATAAACTTTCTTATAAGTTTATCAATATATAGAAATATAGGGGTTGAGTTTTACTGGGGTTGAGTTTTACAGGGTTGAGTTGACTTGGGGTTGAGTTTTACTGGGGTTGACTTGACTTGGGGTTGAGTTGACTTGGGGTTGAGTTTTACTGGGTTGAGTTGACTTGGGGTTGAGATGACCAGGAAGCATTATTATGGATGAGATAAGTGTCTCATGCTTTTGACCTACACTATTAAAAGTTCTTAACAACCTTCTTGGTTATGTTGACATAAGAACATACTAAAATACTGTGTCAATGAGTGTATAAAACAAACAAAGTTAATCTGAATCTGTCAAAATAAGATCGAAGTGCACGTTACTTAATAAAATAACCCCATACAACGTACAGGTTAAAAACTTTCAGTTTTATTTCTGAGATTAGCTTCCTCACAATTGACTAGATGTGAGTGGAAAAAATCTTGATTTCCGTCATTAAATATTCAAAATTCAGTCAAACTGATGTCACATTTGAAAACCACATGTAAAAGCAAATCTAGAATTTAATTCTAGTTAGGGGAGATTCCTCAGAGATAACATGTTATTAAATCAGAAAAAGTGAAACATCTTTTCCTGTTTTGGAAGGATATTTTCTATTACTGGACATATTTAAATTTGCATTTAACTACCTACTCGATTCTGGGTTATTGAAAAACATCAAAAGACTTGATATGTTGATATAAATCGACAAAACTACATACCCATCGTAAGCTCCACTGACTATTCTTTTCCTATCTACGCGGATACATCGCACCAATTCCTCATGGCCCTCTAAGACTCTCAAGCAGGCACCGCATTCTATGTCCCACAATCTAGAAGTAACCATAATATAAATAGTTCATCCATTTCTCTATTGCCTGACTGCATTTAAAATTTAATGAGTTACATCAGAGAGGTTGTTACAAAAATAAATGATATCTTTGAGTGATGGCATCAAAAAAAAGTTCAATCCTGATTGTTGCATGACATTCTTTTATCATGGAGTCTACTGAAATAAATGACTTTTGTGTGAAATTTATCAAAGACACAAGTGGATGTGGATGGTACGATAACAATAACAACATAAACATAACATTATAGACATCTCAAGGACATATTGGAAAAGCGAAAGTACATGCTTAAGGGAATTACATCAATATATCCGACTTAATTACATATACTTGATCCATTATCACATCTCTATTTTTCAAGAAACTGACAGTCCTTAAGACATTCTATTACCATGGTTACCTACCTTATTGTGTTGTCTGACGACCCACTGACTACAATGCCCTCGCAATACTGGAGGCAAGCTATTCCACGTTTGTGACCATTTAATGTACGTACAAATTCGCATGTTGATGTGCTCCACACCTGAATAATACATTTCACTTTGTAATCACTATACTTATAATTTATAGGCATATCTATGAATATATAAATGCAATATTATAGAAAATGAAGAACACTATCTCCTTCACTGTACGAAATATAATAAACAAAAAAGTATAATGTTGTCTAAAATAAAAATGCCAGTACAAGAAAATCTAGTTATGTATTTGATGTCTGGTAAAGATCAAAACTGTCTAAATGTAGCAAATATATATATTTACATCCAGTACCAATAGCTATATCTCTAGTGCACCAATGCATCATCATCATTAACAGTAATATTAATAGTTATGTAGTTTTTTACATGTAAATGTATTCTTTTTCCTTCCTTTATAATTGTTATAATTTTTGTTTGTACATGTACTTGACCCCAAGGGGTGTGAATGTACTTGAAGAATAAATAAAATATGTGGTATGTTTATTTATGCACCTTACTAGTCCTTTTATACATTCTCATACTCTGTCAAAAACATTTAGGCCTAATAAGTTCAAACCCACGTTTTTAACTCACATTTTAAACCATAAAAAATATTATATTTATTTGGGAACACACCTTGATGGTTCTGTCTCCAGATGCAGATACTATGTATTTATCATCAAAGTCGACGACATTCACTGCGGCCCTGTGTCCAACGAGGACTCGACGGAGATTTATATCTAATGGGGATTGCATGTCCCAAACTGCAATGGAACGGTCCTGAAAAACATCAATTTCAATTTACAGGGTGGGCCAAAAAGTCACCCACTCCGATCTGGCAAGAATATAATAAGGGTAACATTTTTTGGCCCACCCTGTATTAATTAAGCTGTCACCAACACCTTGACTTGATTGGTTGGTTTAGGTGAGACTATGTAAGTAGCTCCATCTATCCCTTTGTCTCCTAAAGGAGAAGGCTCTAAGCTCATGTAACTGTTAGAACAACAACCATGTATTTCAAGCCTCACATAAACATTTGTACATCTGATTTAATTACTACACCATTATCAGCTTAATCAATTTTTATATTTCCAAGTGATAATATTTCTTCAAAATCACAGCTACAAAGCGGTTTATTTCATCAAGAACAAATATTACAAGTAAGTTAATAATATCCTTTCCCGAACTAATAATGTAGAGTGATATTATAACCTGAAGCTTCCAGGATATTAAAGATTTATTTGCGTAAATTCTGACTTCTGAGCATGGTAATATTACACCACTAGGCTCATTGACTTATTGTATTGTATTGTGTAACAGGAGTATGTTCCAGTGATCATTATACAATATAGGTTTCAAATGAGTTCATTAGTATGTCCTTACACTTATGAGGCAATAATAATATATACTACTAATACATGAACCAATTTCTGAATTTCTTTTCCCACCTTATCACTCAGATTGTATAGTCTGAAGGTGAATATGGCGTGTCTTATGGTTGTCATACAGTGTGTCATATGGTGTGTCTTATGGTTGTCATACAGTGTGTTGTATGGTGTGTCTTATGTTTGATATACAGTGTGTCATATGGTGTGTCTTATGGTTGTCATACAGTGTGTCATATGGTGTCTTATGTTTGATATACAGTGTGTCATATGGTGTGTCTTATGGTTGTCATACAGTGTGTCATATTGTGTGTCTTATGGTTGTCATACAGTGTGTCATATGGTGTGTCTCATGGTTGTCATACAGTGTGTCTTATGGTTGTCATACAGTGTGTCATATGGTGTCTTATGTTTGATATGCAGTGTGTCATATGGTGTGTCTTATGGTTGTCATACAGTGTGTCATATAGTGTGTCTTATGGTTGTCATACAATGTATCATATGATATGTCTTATGGTTGTCATACAGTGTGTCTTATGGTTGTCATACAGTGTGTCATATGGTGTGTCTTATGTTTGATATACAGTGTGTCTTATGGTTGTCATATGGTGGTCATATAGTGTGTCTTATGGTTGTCATATGATGTGTCTTATGGTAGGCATATGGTGTGTCCTTATGGTGCGTCCTTATGGTGTCATATTGTGTCTTATGGTGTGTCATATGATTTGTCTTATGGTGTCCCTTATGGTGTGTCATGATCTAATGGTTGTCATATGGTGAGTCTTATTGTGTGTCTCATGGTGTGTCTATGAATAAGTGCACGATGAGCTGTATACAAAAAGTACATTTGAAAAATGAATAATAAAATAATGAAACAGGAGTAATATTGATACATGGCCCTAATATAAAAGACAAGCATTAAAAACTTGGGATTAGAATAACCTGATTGGCTTACTTTTGAGCATGTGACCATTATGCCGTCACTGAAGCGTAAATGTAGCACTGCCTCACAATGATGGATCAATGTGTTCAACATCTCTCCCGTTTTAACACTCCACACTCTGGAAATACACGGCAATCATATCATTAAAGAGAAATGGTATGGTATTTGGATTAGACACATTCTACTGTATCTAAAAAGAAACTTCTGTAAATCTTTACATTTCTTTAATCTATTTTTTAAGAATGGTGTTCAATTATCAATTATTTAAGGGCCAGAAACGTACCTGATTGTGGAGTCGCTAGATCCAGAAATGATGATATTGTCATCATACTGTAGACATAGGACAGAGCCAGTGTGGCCAGTTAACACTTGCGTACACTCCAGCGTCTGAGAATCCCATATCTGAAACACATTTAACACAAGGCATTAACATGCAAAATATCATCACCTACTATTTGTTACAGACACTGACCACAAAACAATAACAAACATCAATTTTGAAAAGTGGATTCTTAAACTGATATAAGTAGGGGGCTTTTTGCCAAAAATGCTTCACGGGACTAGGACCTCTTCAAAAAAGGTTCATTGTAAAATAGTTATCAAAAATAAAACAACAGCCTATAAAATGTGAAGTTTCCTTGTCCCATATATCCCTGATCTAGTAGTAACATTTTTTCATGAAATAAGGAAAACCTGTAAGCAAAATAACCTACTTTAATTGTGTTATCTCTGAGGCCACTGACTATTTTGTTATCATCATATTGCAAGCAGTAGACACCCTTTGACGTCTCACTCCGGCAGTGAATACGGTGTAAGGTGTGACGCCCAGTGCGCCAATTATTTTCTATTCGCTGTAAAAAACAATAAATCTTTGAAATGACAGTGTTATTCTTGATCTGTCTATTATTCTTTAATGAAATGCCCGATTTCAGGGATTTAATGGCATTAAACTTATTTTACTTTTTTCTTACATACATGTAATTTCGTTTTCTACATGCATAAGATAAAATAACATAAATATGTTTTCTATAACAGAAATTTATACCTCTATATCTGAAATTATCTGTGGGTAAAGTGCCCTATAATATTTGTGATCTGGTATTTTTTCGCCAGGTTGTGGCCGGAATAAAGATTTTGCCCATCCTCTTCGTTCAGATAATCCTTTCCATAAACTGTCCGTTAACACTTTTCGTTCAATTAATTTTTTCCATAACATTCCATCTGAAATGACTCGATACCACTCTTTACAAACTAACTCAGCTGCACAGAGAGATGTGGAATCCAAAAAGGACAATATATTTTCAGCTACATGGTCTAAGCCTTTGCCTGGAAAAACAGAACATCGTTAAAATAACTATCTGATCTTCATGCAAAATGATTGCAAAAGCTCACCATGTGAGCTAAAAAGGTTATCTCCACTAAAAAGTAGTTATAATTGCAAAATGAGTCTCATTATTTTTAATGAACAAGACAAGTGATTTTTCATGATTTATCAGCTCCCTACCTGGTAAAGCAGAGATGAAATCCCTTTGTAACATGGGCTTGAGGAAACTGTTAATTTGCCCATGTTGGTAGTGGCACATATGTGAGATCAGGTTTTCTACAAAGTCGACTTGCTCTTGTTCTGTCCATGAATCAAAGTGTTTCATACAGACATTCTGTTGTTGTTCATAGTCAGGAGTTGACGTGAGCTTCTTATTCTTGCTCTCTATGGCTGCAGCACTCTGCACCTGAAGGTACAAACAAATACAGTAAAACCTATATATACAAACACCTCTCTAATCAATGGGAATCACTTTTTTAGGTCACAATGTTATTATCTCCTATTGACTCACATATGAAGAAACAGGATTTTTTCTCAAGTGGGTGCACATTTCTCATTTTCACAATTCAGACCAAAACTGGTCAAAATATGCCAATATTTCATGATTTTTCTCATTTTCAAGTGGGTACAAATGGATTTTCAGGTGGGTACAAGCCTATTTTCAAATCTCAGGTGGGTGCTGCGCCCACTTGCTTTAATGCTGGGGCTGTGTGAACACTTGCAAACAAATACAGTCAAACTACTCAAATCTGGACACCTCTAGACCACAACATTATTATCTCCTCGACTCACAAATTAAGAAACCTTGAAATTTTAACTCCTTCTAATCTGGTCATAAATGTGTGTGTTCAGTGTGGCTAATAAATAAAAGCTCTTGTTTCGTTGAAGTAAGATTATATACAATGTGTACAGCTATGCTCATGGCTCTCATTTCCTTATTAATAAACTTACAGTCACTGACTCTTTAAACCATGTTAACCAATTGATAACATAATAACTACAAATCAAAGTTTTTCCTATGATATGTGTGTCAATATCATATATGCAGCTGAAACGCTTTATTGTCTACTAAGTTAGACTCCAGCCTGTGATTTATAAAGGGACCTGATCTATTTACAACATTTTTCTTAATAGTAGCCATACAATGATTAGAAATAATTTTATCAATTAGGATTCCTATACATTTTTATACTGCAACTGTATAACAGTTTAGTATATAGTGAGAATCTTGCAGATGGATCTTACATGAGATGAATTGCTCATAAAATATTACACAGTGATAAATAACACATTATTAAGCTTCTAATAGCTGGATATGACTACTTATTCCCATTTTATTGACCTCTTCATTAACACATATTATCAAATCAAAATCCCACAAATACAATAAGTATTTCAAATTGATATCTTCAGCATATTTCTTGTATACCAGAAAAATCAAAAATAAGCATCAGAAATCTCATTTCATGATGTGGTTTATGACATAATACGATGAAAGTCTGTACTTATTTTACCTTTTAGTCTATAAAATCACGTTAATTATTGATCAGGTCTGTGATGTATATTGATTGTACATTGTATAACATTGTATTAGCTACCAATGGCAATCAACTGGATACTTGCTGTACTCTATATATGTTTCTATTATTAGTAAACACTATAATTATATATCGGTGTTATGTAAAACAATTTTGAGAATGAACAATTTTGATTTCACCCAATGTCATTTGTCTCTACAAAGTCTTAAACACATTCCCAAGATATTATGCCTAAAATTGAGGAATCGTAGCATTCATCCACATGAGCCACTATGCCACATATTTGATGACGACTGCTCTAGAGAAAAACAGCTCATTTATCGATTCTGTCTGTGATTGTTATTGGAAGGATCCTGATACTAAGATCTCCTCCTGACTTTAATTTTTTAATTTTTATATAGATATAGGACAACTATGTTTCCCCCTCTCCCTAATGCCTTAAAAATCTGAAATACTCTTAATTTTCAATTTTCATATAGATAAGCACAAACATATTTTACACTCTCCCTTATGCCTTAAAAAGCTGAAATACTCTTAATTTTCAATTTTCATATAGATAAGCACAAACATATTTTACTCTCTCCTTCACACATTAAACATCTGAAATATCCATGTATATTAAAGCAACTGATAAAGAGGGACTCACTCAAAAATTGGATGATGCCCATCCACTTTTTCTACTCATCTAATAGATTATTGATACACAAAAAAAGGCTTGCATTAAGGTCTTAGGCTATACCCCTTTCTTTTTACTCACTCATACTAAGTAAGTAATTAAGAGAAAGGAGGGGGGGGGGGGGGGGGCGGGGGGAAAGAGAAGGAGGGGGGGGGGGCACTGGGGCAGTCATGATCTTAATTCAAGAGCAGACCTTCTAACAGTAGGATTGTTTGATGTGTAACTGTGTAACCATATCCTCCCTTTGGCAAATACCCCTTATAGTAACCACTTTACCCAGTGAAAGCATTCAATATACAGATTACATACATAATTTATAAGTTAATACACTATAGATACACATAGCGTGTGGTAATAATCTATTTTAATTGTACAATATCTCACTTATTTAATAAGTAACTATGGAAACCATGGCTTAAGATAGAGGATATGATCCTTGCAGTATTTGCAATTTTTTTGCTTTCTGGTTCTATTCAAGGCTAGAACCTCATATTATAAACATAAAGAGGGTACAATGAGATATAACTAGTTAATTAAAGTGAAAACAGAGGAAAGAGAGTATAACAGGTTGAAATGGATAGTACATGATAATGCCATATGATTTAAGACCATATGCCATATGATTTAAGACCATATGGCACATGATTTAAGACCACTGTGATATGCTTATGTAATCTCCACCCATGGCAAAACAATTGTATTATTTTGTTAAAAGAAATTCAAACAGTCAATTTTACAGACATTTCAGTTCTACTTAACACTTATATATTATAGGTAGCTATTTACCTATGCTATTAATTACTGATTATCATTACCTTATAACATGTCTTCTGATTGGTCAGGAAATTATATTATGCCCAGCTGAGTGTGAAAGTGAATTCTTAGAAATCAGGGGATTTTCGTATTAAAGTCAGAACCTAATAAGAACATAATAATTCTATTTAAAAAGAAGAATACTGGAAGTAAAAAAAAAGATTTTGTAAACAGAGGATATGATTCTTGCAGTTGCAAGATCTTTTTTGCCGTCTAGTTCTATGCAAGGCTAGAACCTCATATTATAAACATAAGGAGGGTACAATGAGATATAACTAGTTAATTAAGTGAAGACAGAGGAAAGAGAGTATAACATGTGGAAATGGATAGTATATAATTATTTAAGACCATATGCCATATGATTTAAGAACTCTGTGATATGCTTATGTTATCTTCACCCATGGCAAAACATTTGTATTATTTTGTTAAAAGAAATTCAAACAGTCATTTTAACAGACATTTCAGTTCTACCGAACAAGTGAATTCTTAGAAATCAGAGGATTTTCGTATTAGTCAGAACCTAATAAGAACATAATTCTATTTAAAAAGAAGAATACTGGAAGTAAAAAAGATTTTGTAAAAGTTTGATAGTTCATGATAAGGTTACCACCTATCTCTATCCTTTGTGCCCAAAGATGCTCTTCTCAGTAATTCCTTAATGACAAGTTGTGTCGAATGGGAATATGATACTTAAATGTGATAAAAAATGATCACCATAATATATTTAAGATTCTATACAATTCAAAGATTCAATAAAATTTCCAACAGTCGCTTGCAAGCTGCAAGTATTACTGTGGGTAATGATACTACTCTATCCATTCATTTGACTTTGATTCTTAAAAGAGAGATTCATTTACTCTTAGCTCAGGCTAACTAACCTCCAACAGATTATATTTAAGGCTGTATTAAAAGAAATGATAGACAATGAATGAAATCATCAAATAAAAAAAATAAAAATATAGAAAATGCAAGAGAGGAATTTCATTCATCAGACTTGTAGTAATCGTTGTCTCCAAAGAGTGTTTTCTTTGATGAATTATTGAAACTGAAAATATCGGCAAGAATTCAAGTAAACATACAGATTGATGAAAACCTTTTAGATGAGGTTGTCGTGATATATACATTCAATATCAGTTCTGTGGTTAGATGTGTCGACGTATGTATTGTTCTCTTATTTTGATTAAAACAATTTTTAGTAGAACTGTATTATACAAATTGATAAAATGAGTCAGTATAACCTAATAAAACAAACATCCTAGTGCAGGACGTTATTTTGTTGAATAGAGTACGATAAAGGAAATAAAACGAATATTCTACAAAACACAACACAGATAAATCCTGTATAAATGATCATATATATTGAATTCTTAAAACCAGTGAATCTATAAATGAATGTCTCTGAATAAGGGAATGAATCAATTATGATGCAAATTTATAAATCTTTTATTTATGTGTCACATGGCTGGTAGCTCTACTTATGGCACCTCTGCTTTCAACTAACATATAGCAAAGCACAATATGGTCACAGTGATCATGACATACCATATATCTCATATCATATCAAATTGTCAATTACATGTATTAAATATTGAGATACATAGATGATTTCATATGTATATATATAGCAGGACCCTTAGAAACAAAGGGGCAAATCTGGCTCACACTGGAGCAAAACCACATACATTTTCATTTAGGTTTTCAAAACGAAACAGGAAATTTTTGCAGGATGTTTTAGCTATGTATTCTCTTTAGACAGATTTCAAACATTGGATTGAAATAATGAAACCTATTATCATATGATTCAACATCCTTCTCTTGCAACACAGGGATTCATTAATGAATTGAGCATGTTGCCATTTGAAAAGCCCCACAAGTATACTAACATTTGCTTAAAACACTAGTTTAAAAAATATTACGTTGACAAAATGTCAATTATATTGTGCATTCTAAATTTTTATGTCACTTATAAAATCCCAATCATTCCTCCTGATTCAATATTTTCTCATACTTTTTTCACTTTTTGATTCTTAAGTGATATTGCAAAACATTTCAAAATCAACTCACCTTATCATACAATGAAAATGAAAACAAAATTCATTAATTCTAATCTAAAACTAGAATAAGAAAGGTGAGACCTTCACAAAAAATCATCCTCTAAACGTAATAAGGCCATACTGTACTTTTTTCTAATACTTATAAAATACCTGGTTTCATTTTGGGGTTTAACGTCACTAACGGATATGTAAATAAACGCAATAATTAAATAACAGATCTCGAACAAGTTTAAATCAACCCTTTTCAAATATGTAATAGCTCTGCCTTTGGCTGATCTGTAATAAATGTCAACTTAAGATTTTCTATCACAGTTATTAATAAAGATAAGTGATAACCTAAAAAAATAACTGAATAAGATGGCATTGAAACACTTCATATGTTCAGACTAGAAAACGGCAACTCCTCCCAACTTTGAAGATATATCAAAAATCAATTTAAAATAATAATTTTGACAGCAAACCTCCAGAAAGGTCCATAATTGTATCCTTAGTAGAATTTAGTCTGAAAGCATTAGTTGCTTCTGGCTAATCTGTTTGGGTGTTTGTTTTTGATTTTTTGTTTTGGCGACTATATTTACGCCAACAACTTCACCATTGTTGTGAATCATTGTAAACTATATACAAGTAAACAATAGCTTTGTGGTTAATTTAAAAAGCAATCAATGTATCGGTTTGAATGTCTGTTTATTATATGTTTTGAATACATTGGGTGTCCAAAAAGTGAGGCATTTTTTGATAAGTTCTTTCTCAGCAAACAGATTGGCCAAATTCTTTGAAAATTGTTAATGAGGACCTATAAGGTATCATTAGCATGTGCTGTAAATATAAAAGAGATCAATTACCTTTTATATGAGTATTGTCAAATTAAAAACAGCATGCCAAAATACTTGTATCTGATATCAATGGGAAATTCACTTAATTCAGTCTGAAAGAAGCTGTTTTTCAAGCAGAGATGCTTTTTTGTATTTCTTCTAACGATATCACCTCCCATGACATAATAATAATCCCATATTTTTAATGCAAGCTGAATGTTGCATTTTTGTCCATAAGTCTATTTACAGTTACATGACTCTCAACTATTGCCCTTAATCCCCTACAATTTATCTTCCGTCTTATTCATTACGTAAAATGCACCTGTTCACTTAAAAAATCTTAGATATATAAATAAAGACCTACAGGTGAATTAATGTATGTAAAGTATTTCACCACTAATCTATTCAAGGTCATTGCCTTGATTAACCTTCTTCCAAGGCTGTTTATGTATTCTGCCTTCTGGTATTCCAAAATAAAACTGGTAATGTATTTACTTCATTTTCGGTGTTCTTCCAGTCACTTGCCATTTATGAATAGAATTATATGAAACAGAATGGGAGATCAATTATCTCTGTCTACTAGTGCTGCAAGAATACAAGTATCAGATAGAGCTGATTTCATCCCGATCGGTAGTGCCATAAAAGTAAAAAAATCAAAAAATGTGATTCTTCATGTTGAAATTTGAAATCCCATTGAAACCCTTATTCTTTACGTTTTATTCTACTTCTGACACTCTTTTGACCTTTATGTGCCTCAAGTTCCGCCTATCATACGAAAAGAGAGTCTGAATGAGAGAAATTTAAGTTTAAGCTGTTAGAAAAATAATCTAGCGGTCCTTACATTTCGGCCCTCCATTTTGAAGAACATTTGAAGAGCAATGAACCCAACACTTCCAGGTAGAAAATTTAACAAAACTTCTTGCCAATTGATCTTGTTTTACAAAAGAACAATGCAAAATCAGAGCGCAGCTATAGTTCATTGAGGGACAGGTAAGATATTAGCATCTTCTTAACATGCTATTGTCTTCACACAACATCCAGCATCTGATTTCAATACTGGCACTGAAGGCCAGGGCTACCTTCGCTCTACTTCCGTTAATACCATGATGCACTACTGTCTACATCAGTGCAAGTACACTTTCACCACCACTAAAAAAAGAGACCATTTCCCCGATACAGCAAAATTATGTTCAACATTTAACATAAATGGCAAAACCATAATATTTATCCCTGACAAAATGCAATTTCTCACTTGTGACATATCCAATGCCATTACTATTCCCACAAATATTTCTAAAATGAATTCTCATCATGAATAATCCCTTTTGTAAAGTACACAGCAAACGTGATCTTTTGCCATGTTTGTTAACTAGAGTCCATTTCACTGCTTCATTTTGTCAGTAGAACGGCAAAAATAAGAAATTGGGAGACTATTGTGCAATAATATATGGAAAAGTATATTCATAATGTACATGAATGACATTTGCATATTTCAGATTTTTTAGTTTTTTGTGCAATAAGCCTGTGCCGTCTTGTAATTTGAAGAATTTCAGCCATGTTAATCTTATTGAAAATAAAATGGCAGAGAAACATCCAAATATAAGAGGCCACACACTTTATAAGTCAAACTAGAAGCAATCCAAGATATACAAATGTCATTCATGTACATTATGAATATACTTTTCCATATATTATTGCACAATGGTCTCCCAATTTCTTATTTTTGCCGTTCTACTGACGAACTGAAGCAGTGAAATGGACTCTAAGAGACTCTAGTAAACCTGGTCTAATTATGATTTTATGTTTTGAACATCAGGCACATTATAGATATTGGTAAGGGCAATCCATTGAACTTTACATATGGGATTTCTTTGTTATGAGGCTATTTTGAATATGGGGCTATTTCAACATTGGCTTACATTTTAGGCGTACATTTTAACTCATGCAGTCTGCCATGTTTGTTTTTCTGAAAATTTAAAAAAATAAATTAAAATCTTCAATGGGTGAGACCTAATCCAAGACTGCAGACCCAAGAAATGTTAATTATCAGCCATGGTCAAAGTAATTTGATGGTCGAAGAAGCCCCATGACAAGTCACAAAGTAGCCCCATACGTTGAAGTTTGACAAGAGTAGAAACTGAAACAGAAGAACACTTCTTTTTTACTAAAATTTATAGAAATGTATATGAGCTTCATAGGTATTTGTTAGATTGAAAAAGAACCTGGATAAGTTGATGTAGAACTGACATTTAGCCCAGACATTTAGCTTGATTTTTCAATTGGAAATTCCCAAAACAAAAAATGGCGAAAATTTCAAGAGGAAATACTTCAAAATATGTATTTCTGTCAAAAACCTACAAACTTACCCTTTTAATTTCCGATTTATCATCAGTTGGAGAATTGGTCTCCATTATACATTCGGGAGAAGTCATCTTTCATCCCCAAAACTGGTCGATTTTGTGTTGAAACGGACAGAAAAATATTTTTTGGGCGAAAGCAAAAAGAGTCGTGACGTCATATGCGAACTCTCGCACTTGAGATAATGTCTCAGAAAACAAATACAATCTATGTTATGGTAATCAAACTCTTACTTGTTGTAATTTATCTGAAATAAATATACATTGGAATACTTTTAGAAAGTAATTGATATAATTATTTCAAAAAATTAACTATACATCCGGGTATTTTCAAGATGTCAGCCCACATGGACTTGGATATTTTGCACACAAATATACACAAAACTTTGGAAAGTAAAGTCAAGCTAGCCTCAGAATGTGAGTTTTTTGTTGTAAATTTAAAATATATATAGATCTATTTTCTCTAAATCAGGCTGAATTACATTATTAGAGGTTCGTTTTGATATTTTTCTGATAGCATTTCACTTTTTTCTCTGTCAATTCATTGATTGAAAAGACAAGCAGCCAGTATGCCTAATTAAAATTTTTGAAAATTTGCAAGCAATTCTGGCAATGGTTTTAGTATTGGGGTGGCCTCATTGGAATTCCAATGGTCCCAATCCTTACTCACTTCGAGAGCCATGTTAGATTTTGAAACTTATGGCTCTCAAACGGAGAAGTGAACAGCTGATCAATAGTGACCTTTGAAATTGAATTAAGTCGATCCGCGGCTTACTTTTGGTCTCTAACTGTGTCTTACATCAGTATCATCAATCCGTGTAAGTATTGGAGCGCTGGAGTACTTCTTTTTCGATCAAGACTTGTAAATTGTTCATCGAGTTAAAGTTTTACAGACCTATTTCCAATATGGCGGTTTGCTAGGTGCGAGATACGCAACGAACGAAATGAATTTTGAGAATTAGTTAGGGGCGGACAACCTCCGGAGATTTACGAAAATGTCCGAGCAGGACCCGCCATATTGGAATTTGGCAGTAAAACGATTCACTCGACTAACAATTACAAGTCTTGATCGAAAAAGAAGTACTCTAGCGCTCCAATACTTACACGGATTGATGATACTGATGTAAGACACAGTTAGAGACCAAAAGTAAGCCGCGGATCGACTTAATTCGATTTCAAAGGTCACGATCATTGAGCTGTCCAAATGCTCCGTGGGAAAGCTATTATATCAAAATCCAAATAGCTTTCGCAGGAAGTAACCCAATCCCATTTATCCGAATCACTATCGTCCGAATACCACTCTTTCGATTCCAATTTGTTTGAATCCCAATAGCCCAAATCTCATTCGCCAAATTCCGTCAAATTCCGCCTAATTTTAATATAACGTTAAAGATGCAAGAAATGTGGAAACGTGGAATAAAACATCACGTTGATGTGTGATTATTGAATAACATCGATTCCCCATCGAAAAATGGCTTGTTGGAAGATCCCAACGGGTAGTACTGAACAGGAAATCAAGTACAAGGATACCACTTAAATCAGCAGTCCCTCAAGGAACTCTGCTCGGACCACTCTGCTTCCTAGCCTATTTCAATGATATAGGTAGACATTATCACCAACAAACAGCCTTTAAGATTTGCAGATGGCAGCCTCCTTTTCATGGCTTTCGAAAATGTCTGTTATCTGACTGATTGCCCATGCTCAGCATTTGGCCATTCCTTTGTACTTTACAATCGGTCTATTGAGTACTTTAAATTTAAAAAATAAGCAATTGAATGACCATGTTGCAACAGTATATGAAAAAATAGAAACATACATGTCTGTACGAGGCCTAACTTTTGTATAATTTGGTTTGTTTTGTAGTTTGGTTATCATATGTGTGGCCTCTTATATTTTGATGCTTTTCTGCCATGTTATTTTTGGAAAAATTAACATGGCTGAAACTCCCTCAATTACAAAAGGCCATAGCTTTGCTGCACATTATACATAGTGTTGTCACGATTAATCGATACATCGCGATATACATTCTGGCGATGCATCGATGTCTGAAACAAAACATCGATGTTTTTCAAAAAAATTTAATTTGATAAAAATCACCCTTATCTTATTTTGACGCAAATGGCTTACCTTTCTAATGTCTTATTTCATTTTCCAATGTTTTCTTATATTCTTTCGCTTTAAAACGGTTTTAGTTCGTCGAAATTAACCATTAATCTAAAAAAATTGACCTTACTTTCATTTCACGGTTACTAGAAGTTCCCGGATGTACCAGCGTACTCTTATTAATTTGTTCTGTTCGGTATTTTAGTACATTAGTGTTCGGTATTTTAGTGCACTTATCTCGGACTTTTTCTCGATGTACATCGCGATGTGCATCGATGTTTACTACCGAAAATTGCCGATGCATCGATGTACGATTATGGCACATCGCGACAACACTAATTATACATGTACCTAACAATCTGAAATATACAATATATATTTTTTCATATACTGTTGCAATATGGTCATTCAATTACTCAGATGCGAGTAGGTAGTTACCAGGTTTGCCACCAGGTGGCTGATTCGGGGGAAATAATATGGCAGGGTATTACGAAATTCCCTTAAACTTGAATATTCATCAGTTTTAGTGGTTCACTTTTCATATTACCCTTTTGTATCTGATAGTTATACAAATTGAAATATGTCCAGTAAAAGAAAATATCTGCCCAACACAAGAAAAGATATTTCACTTTTTGTGATTTTACAACATTGGCTCTTTGGGGAATCTCCCCGACCTAGAAGTCACATTTTCAAAGAAAATTAAATTTTCAAAGTTGATAGACTCTTTTCAAAACCACATTTTTAGATGTAATTCTACAAGTACATGTAGATTCCAAATATGACATTAATGACGTAAATCAAGACAAGATATAATATCTACTCGCATCTAGTCTATTGCTTATGTTTTAAATTCAAAGCTAGTACTCAACAGATTTTTGACTCAGACTTAAGTTGTGGTATCCAGGTATATCTACCTTAACTATTAATATTTTCTTTTCACTTGAAGTGGGATATGAAGTCATTGCAATCAACAACTTTGTGCCAGAAATCAAATCTGTCAAGAAACAAAAGAAAGGTGGGGAAGGACAGGTATGTCAACAAAAAATATCACATATAAGGTGAAAATTAGAGTTCCAATAAAAAAAGTGGAATCAGTAATGAATTTATTTTTTATTTATTATTTATTATTTATTTATTTGCACACACTTTTACAGCAGTGGCACATGGTTCCTTAGGTCACAGTGTGGCATATTACATATTAAAATTACATAGTATAACAATACAATAAACAATAACAATAAATTTTAAAACCATCAATCATACAACTTATTTTTGATTTCATTATATATCTTTACTAAAAAATGCTTTGCGTATTGATCTAATAAAATCCCTTGTTCTTTGCCCTATGAGTCAGAGACGTGACGTAACATGAGCATCTTCTGAAAACTAAATTATATAAATCTTAAAGCAAGAAAGTGCAATCAAAAATTTGTATTGGATCATATGTATTTATAATTGATATGTATAAGGTCATCTTAAAAGTCATTTTGCCCTATTGAACCCCATGCTCCAGAGCTGTAGGGGTTTAGTTGAAAAACTCAGTACCAATTCATGTTTTGTGTTTTATGTTTTAGATCATTAAAATTCAATCTGCTGAAACATTCAGATTGTCAGATGAGAAACTGAAAACTCTAAAGGTAAGATCATATGAAAATGTATAATTGAGAAAAATATTGTTTTTATTGACACATGAGAAAAGCAATTTTAGTTGTTACTTTGAATAATGGGTCTAATTTCACCAAATAGCATACAGGGTGACCTAGAAAAGTTTTAAACACTATTTAAGAATGACTCGTATCATGATGGAATTTTCTTGCATAGATGCAGGAAATGATGTTCTTGCATCTTGCATTGGGTCAATAGCATCAAAAAAATTATGTGTGTATTGTGTATCTATTTGTAACACATCGTACATGTGTAATTCAGTGTTGTATGAACTGTAAATGATTTGAGTATTACAAGATGTTACATATTTTACTACAAGAATATTTCATAAATTATGATTTCTAGATAAATTGCTGTCGCTATAGATTGTTTATTTTTGTGTTAGTGTCCTGGACGACCACTGAAACAACTGACTAGATTTACTACCATCATCAAAGACCATCCACACATTCATCAAATTGTAAGTAGCATAATACATTCATATTTCATCTTTCAAAAAGAGGTATGAGAAAAGCTTAGATCAATTTTTATAGTCCTACGTAAAAGTTTATCTTTTTTTATGTTGGACATAAAGATGGGTCCCTCATGTATGATCTATTCTTCTATGAATTGATTGCAATAAAAACTGTTGGTCAGTTCTTATATTAAGGCATTCCACTGTATATTTTTGAATTCCAATGTTCAGCATAAGGGCAGATTAATTCCTAAGCTCAGTTAGCATTTCCCAAACTTCTTGAACCCTGTAGTCATTCAGAGTGTTTATGGGTATCAGGTATTCTGGTTAGAGTAAATAGTTCACTCTGCACCTTCGAGATTCAAGAACAATTAATCAGGTGAAGGCTACAATGACTGTTCAGATCAGAGAAGGCTTTTTACCAACCTCATTTATCCTGAAATTAACATTTTTGACTTCATATGTGTTCCATTGCAGGGTGGGAATGATATACAATCATATGACATTGTAGCTGCACAACCATCAAATGAGAAATTTTGGCAGGTAAAAAGCTAATATACTGATTTGTTACTTGATTTCGAAATGTGATACTTTGAAATAAATATGTGAATTTAGTATTGAAAAAGAACAGATCAATCCCATAGTTTTCATTTTAACCAAGTTTGACTTCACATTTATTGTAGTTCAAGTTTACATCATAGCTATCATTTTATTCTGTACAAATTTGACACCGCAGTTTTTATATTGTCAACAAGTTATTGTTGCATATAAGTATTCTTGTATCAAAGCTAGTTGTGTTTAGTGGGGGAATAGGGCTTAATCCAATACTTAACAATTTTGACATGCTCTCATGTATCTTTACTTTTCAGGCTGTCTGCAAGTCTGATGTCATAGATATCATCTCCCTTGATTTTACTGAAAGACTTCCTTTTCACATAAAGCGACAACAAATTAATGAGGCAAGTCTAATTGAACATTATCTATTTGATCTTAGTCCAAGATGTAACATAAACACCATGTTTAGCAAATCTCTATTTTATGTCAGTTCAGCTCAGCTGTCCATTGATGTCAACAAAATCCAATTCAAGAACAGTCCATTCAATTACATTATACAATATTTTTGTAAGCAATTTTTGTATAATATGTCTTTGTACTGGCTTTCTTGTAGGCAATAGGCAAGGGTATCCACTTTGAGATCAACTATAGCCCAGCCCTGAGTTCTATAGATCCCCAGAGATACACCATCAGTGGGGCCCAGGAATTGGTTAAAATATGCAAGGGGAAGAATATCATCCTCTCAAGCAGAGCTGTAAATGTAAGCCAGCCAAATACAGTAAAACCTGTCTAATCTAATAACTCCTAATGATCTGCCAAAAGTGTTCAGATTGGCATCTGTTCAGATTTTGAGTTTTTTAAATGTGATCTATGGCAGATTAAAAAAATGGGACCAAAAAAGAGATTCAAAAAAGATGATCAATTTTACAATTTAACTGTACATGCATTCAATATTTTAAAATTTAAAATTATATATAAGATCTCGCCTTCCACTATAAAGCAGTATTCAATATTCAAAAGTATTGTTTGAGTCATACAGTATATAGAGAATTTATTTTTGTAAATCTCTGTACTGGCAATGACATGTTATGTTATGTGATTTGGCATTTGTATTTGGTTTTAAATATACAAAAGACAAGAAGAGAATTGATTTGTATTACTTTCCTCAAATCACTAACCAAAATAACTTACGTTTTCGAGCTTTCGGTAGCAGCTACTACCTTTGTCAAGATGATATATTGGCGGGAAATGGGCTGACCCTTGACCTGGTTTGGGTTTTACTCCTGTGTAGTTCCAACAGTCCCGGGAAGACCTTAAATCCAGAGTCCCTGTTAAGTTGTGGCTTGCTTGTATGAATATGAAGTGCTTCCTTTACTTTCCGTTTAAAGTAATGGGGTTCTCTATCTAGAATTTTGTACTCCCAGTTAATCCTATGCGCTTTGGAAACTATATGTTCAGCGATGGCGGATTTATTGGGATTGTTCAGTCTAAAAGCGTCCTTGTGTTCCTTAATTCTTGTAGCATTCGCTCTACCGGTTTCACCTATGTAGCCAAATTGAATGTAAGGACTGTAGTGAACGCTACATAGGTGAAACTGGTAGAGCGATTGATACAAGAATTAAGGAACACAAGGACGCTTTTAGACTGAACAATCCCAATAAATCCGCCATCGCTGAACATATAGTTTCCAAAGCGCATAGGATTAACTGGGAGTACAAAATTCTAGATAGAGAACCCCATTACTTTAAACGGAAAGTAAAGGAAGCACTTCATATTCATACAAGCAAGCCACAACTTAACAGGGACTCTGGATTTAAGGTCTTCCCGGGACTGTTGGAACTACACAGGAGTAAAACCCAAACCAGGTCAAGGGTCAGCCCATTTCCTGCCAATATATCATCTTGACAAAGGTAGTAGCTGCTACCGAAAGCTCGAAAATGTAAGTTATTTTGGTTAGTGATTTGAGGAAAGTAATACAAATTAATCATCTTTACCTAACCGATGAATACATTTGGACAAGAAGAGAATTAATAGATAGGATATCAAAGTACAGTATATCTAGGATATAATCATTGCAATATTGCTTTTACATTAATAGATAGGATATCAAAGTACAGTATATCTAGGATATAATCATTGCAATATTGCTTTTACATTATTTTTCAGGCAATGGACCTCAGAGGACCTTATGATGTTGCTAACTTGTATCCTTTAATTAACAGAAGAAATAACTTGAAGTAGAGAGAACAAAAGTCTGTTTTCATTTTCCAAGATGTATGAATCTTAAATAATTGTGTGGAGTGGCGAAAAAAGGCAATATTACTAGCTTAAATGTTCATGGAATACTTAAAAATATGTTGAAAATTTGTTTTATTCTGCATGTTTTCATTTACGTGTACTCAGATTTCTTTCTAAATTGATATTGATTCCTGCCCTCGTTCAAAGTCTGATTCAAAGGCCACAATTCAAAGTACTAGTACCGGTTCAAGGCAAACATATTTTACTTATTTCCTTGTTTAATTTGAGTTTCCTTGACAACTCACAGTTCATTACTATTTGGTTTGAATGAGGAACAGGCAAAGGCAGCAGTATCAACCAATTGCAGGGCAGTGCTCAAACACGCAGGTTGGTGTTCATTGTTTAACGGAAATTACATTTCTCACCAAAAAGTGCCTTTGATTTATAGTCTTGTATATACTGTAGTGTTGTAAATTCTCTGGTTTGATGCAAGATGATAACAGAATAAAAACAGAAAAGTATCATGTCAAGTTTGTGAATAAGGTTGCAACTTTTCAACCCATTTGAAGCTGGACTCAGAATACTAGAATAGGTAGAATAGGTGATTGCTACTAGAATGATTTTGTAATCTCGCTTAATCAAAAAAGATACTGTATTAGACTAACAAATACTTCAACTCAAGCCATGCAAATTAATATTGTACGATATCAAAGTTGCGTAGCTCTCAGTTACAGTCTTACAGCCATAAGGGTGTTACAGTCTTTGAGAATAGTGACATCTATATTGAACATTTATTTTTTATATTTGATATCTTATATTTCTCTATGAATTAACATGAGGCATCAATGTTATTCCAGAGAGCAGGAAGAGCATCAGAGGGGTGTTGACATTCCAGAGTGTGCCAAGGACCATTGAGATAACCCCTAAAGAATTACAAGAAAGACTTGCAGCTACAGCTGCTGAGAAAACCCCCAATGACAATAACATTAACCGATCTGCAATAAACAATAACTCAAAGGACAACATTTCAAGGGGTTTAGAGAAAACTGATTCACAAGCCCCTAATGGAAAATTAGTAAATACCTCAATTGATAGTAGCAAAAGTACAAAGAAAAGACACTGCAATGAAGAAGATGACCAGCCTCATGCAAAACTGTTAAAAACTAATGAAAATGGATCTTAATAGTTTATTATGTTTTATAGGGTATTCAATAAACAGGAAAAATTTCATTTTTAATCTTCCTTCCTTCATATAATATTTTTAGTACTTGTACATAGAAGCTTATCATCGGCCAGGAAAAAATATTCTTGTGTCAGGAAAAATATTCTTGTTCCTCGTTATTGTGCTTTCTCTAAATGGTCAACACTTTTTTATTTAACATTTGAGGTACAAATGGGTTCATATTTGTCTATATGGAAAAGGTACATTGTTTTGTTTCTTCATCACTGTTCCACAGCTGGATGACTCTAACAGCAGTTAGTATCATTCAAGATGGTGGCCAAAATTCTTTTGTTCGATAAACTTCCGATTTCAGCTAAACTAAGTTGAATCTGGATTCCAAATATTTCGCCATGTGCAAACTAAGGAAGCTATGATTATAAACAGCCACTAGAAAACCTTCAAATTCCCGCGATATTGGAGAAATTTAAATAAACGGCCTCACTTACAATGACTCTAACTGAACTTGATGATGACGTAGGAATGACACTTTCTGAAACCGTGGATGACACGAACTCTATGGGAGGAATACATGCATGGCCATCTGAGTTAGTGCAATATAGTGGTGAATATCATGTTTGAGTCAGTGTATCATCGACTTCAGTAAGAGTCATTCTAAGTGAAGCTGTTTTCTTTAAAATACTCTGTTTATGCGGGTGTCTGAGAATTGTTTCCTGGCTGTTTACAATTGTTACTTTTTTATTTAATTTGCATGGCAAAACATTTGGAATCCAGATTCAACTTAAAATGACTTAGTTTAGCTGAGTCGTTGGTTTATCAAAAACGAATGATACTAACTGCAGTAAGAGTCATCCAGCTGTGGAACAGTGTTCATGTAACTTAATGAATAATTTTCAAAATTTCCCTGCAATAAATATCCCAATTGGCAGTAATCATGCCAGGTCAACACTTTTATTTGAAATTTCTGTCATCCATCTAGCAGAGAGAATCAGAACTATTTTTCCTGTCTTTGAATACTTAAACCCAGCCAATGTAATGGATTAATTAGCAAGATACAACTACTGTAATACATTTTTAATCTGTCACAAAACACCTGCCAATCTGAACATTCTTGGCTGGTTCTATTGGCATTTGTTATTCTGTTTTGGCATTTGTTTTACTGTATCTCACATTAGGAACATAAATCAATGAAATAATCAAATGAAGTTAACTTTTGATCATAATTTAACCAATCCCAAATTCGATCATTTTGTCCATCATTCAAATATGGTGACTTAAAATCTTTTGGAATAGGAAGTTTTTCTGGACCAGCAATATTCTTTACTTCATCATAATTTTTGAAATTCTTTGTTTTGCGTATCGGATTATAAGAGACTTCTTCTTCATCCCCAAAGTGCACCATTTTATATTCTGATTTCCGCCTGATGAGGGGAGCCTTTTTAGGAGTTTTTGTAATAGAATTTGAAATACTCGATCTTCGCAATGACGGAACTGAGTGTTCAGATGTTGATTCATCAGTTATTAGTATGGTTTTATGAGCTTTCAATTTCTCGATAATATGATTATTATCCTTCACATTTTCTGAGTGTCTTCTTGAAGTTTTCTTAGGATGTTTTTCATGAGTGTTTTCAGAGGGAATACTCTCATCAGTGTCAGGGTTAAAATCATCAGCATCTTCAACTTCTAATAACATTTCTTCAACCTCTGCCTTAAGTTTCTGTGCCTCTTCAGGAACCTTGACTGGTATTGGAAGAAATAGGTTTGACCTAAGTTTCGTTTGAAGTGTTTTTTGTAACTTTGGCGGTGCGCTTTTACAGTAACTTTGTCGTATTTTCTCAGAACTATCATTCAGTGCAATGTCCTTTTTACGAGCTGATTTCTGTCTGACCTTGAACCTTGGCGGAGGCGTATTTGGAGTGAAGTTAAACTTCAACTGCTGTTTTACATGTGAGTCATTGTTGCGGTACAAGTTTTCTGTGAAGGGGGACTGGAACATTGTTCGTAGATCAGTTCTGTATGTATTTTCAATTGAGATTTTCGGTTTATCTGGTGGAAGCAAATAACTTATTCCGGAACTTATTTTACGTCTTGACATCGCATCCTTGATTTGAAACATCGGTGGTAAATCTGGCCACTCATATTCCAAGAGTTCAAAATTCTCATCGCCATACGTCGAGGCTGAATTTGATGCAGTTTTTTGAGATTTTGCCGAATTTGTAGCTGTATGTTTCCTCCTATCTGCACTTGGATGACTAGATTTTGGGCGGGCTGACATGACTGTCTGCTGAAGTCCTTGGTATTTTCCATCAATTCTACACTTTCTTTTCGAGGAGCCTGCCTGTGTCACAGATTCCACATGTTTTGTTGAAATCTACTTCACCAATCTGTAAAAGAATTCATACAATTCAAATATTGAATATTATCGCTCTCAGTTGCTGAAGTGTTTACTTGATGAATTCAATTCAAAAAATGAATAAAATTTTCACCATTGAAATTATACGTACATTTTCAGCTTTTAAATTGAACAATGAGAAGTGGATCATAACAACTGTGAAATGCTAAAAATAACTATTTGATACCAAAATAAAGTTATTTATTTTAATCCAGTAACTGGCATAGTACATGTAGACAAGGCATTAACATTCAAAATTGCACCACCTGCCATTTGTTACAGATGCCGAACACCAACCGATTCTGTTGGTGACATAAAAACTTAGTTCTGTTTTGAATAGATCTCCAGGGTAATTGTTAATTTATGAAATTACCCCTATATTTGAAAACATCTCAATGTTTGCATTCATTCAGTAAACTTGTAAATGGTCAGTTTAAGTTGTTGAAAATCAACTAGAAATAATTTACATACAAATAAACTACTGTACATTCTCTTTAAACTACTATGAGTAAAATAGGAACCAAAATTGTATTGTTTTAAGACATTGACTACTTACCTTATATTTTTAAACTACTTTAAGCTTTATCTCTTAACTTTTTTCAAGTGTTTATATCTTCAGATCTTTTGAATTTATGTACTTTTGTATCCAGCAATTTGAGATGTGATTTAGTGTTAGATGTTTTCTCAACCTATAGTTAACAACAAAATGTCACCACGACTCCCGTTACTGTTAAATGTCATTTAATATTCAGGTTTATAAAGAAGTATAACATCCTCAATTGAATGTGTTTTTAAAATCACCAGAAAACCTAGTAATGTATTTATCAAAAACAACGTTTACACTTCAGTTGCTATATACTATATGAACTAGGTCGGCATAATATTTTGTATAAATATGTATCATAGGTCTCATATTCTATTGAAAGATTAAGATTTTCTATAGAGTTGTTTAAAGTTGTTTTGAATAGAATGTATTGTCAATATATTTTGAAAGGTCTAAGCTGATTTAAGCCATAAGAATATTTACTTAATTTTCACTGTTGAAATGGTACAAAAATAGCAATGAGGCGTTCATAACTGTACCAAATTGTACTGAAAAATCATCAACTCCAAATAAATGTTTGCACCTTTTCATTCGTGCTAAATATCTAAGTCTACTTCTCTATTGGAATATACTCAAAAGGAAAGATATATTACAAGAGTTTGACGATATCAATATGTAAAACAAATTACCACCAAAGAGGTACATTGAGTGAAAGTTGAAAGGTTTCTTTTGTTGGTGTAAACTGATACTTTTCCAATAATTGAATACTTTTACAGTACAAGTAACTCATTCTACAGGGTGTCAAAAATGGAAAGATGGGAATGGTACTAAAAACTTATTTTCTAAAAAAATGAAATAGAGTTCCTTTAGTACTTGATGAAGCTTTCAGATGTTTGTGATGATTACATTGTCTGTCAGGTGACTTTTCAAGAATATTCCTTCATCATTCAGTTATTTTATGTTTGTCTAGGGAGCAATTTATTGTGAGACACCCTGTATTTCTACCCTTTAATAGAGTTTCTTATACACTCAAGTACTCAAGTACTACATATTCTACCTTCTGAATAGCTAACATTTTAACTCATAATAAGCCATCAAGACTTTAGATTCTTTCTTTAAAGTCAGAGGAAACTGTATATAATTAACTGGGACAAATTTTGTTGGGAAAAGGACTGAAATATATGTATGATACCAATGTTTCTTTTCTCAATTTTTGGATTGCCGAACGCTAAACAAAAGTTAAAAATTCTCCAAGACCATTCTTTAAATGGATAGAGTGTCAAAATGTTGAACCCATTTACTAGAAAGAGGATCTCCTTTTTCTGATTTTTATTGCCTGAAAAGAGTATTCAAAAAGGGGTCTAAAACTTCTTCAAAAGTAGAATGGTATAGAAAGTCTAGAAGATATCAATTTTCGATGACCAAAATTATGCTGAAAACAATGGATAGCACAAGTTTTCCCTATGGGAAAATAACATGGGATATGTGGTTTTTAACTTTAACGCATTTCAATACCAATCCCCTTTTCTGAAGTTGTAAATATAGTGTAGAACAAACTTTGGATATGGTTAAATCGAGAAAAACAAGATCCTCTTTTTAGAAAATAAGCCTAACATTTTTTAAAAAGTGCCCAGATGGGGTCCTAAACCATAATTTTTCAGAAAGTTGGATTGATATTTTACTATCAAGAGAACTTCACTTGAAAGAAAACATATTGTTTTTGTAAAAAACAATGTATTTATGGCCAGAAAGTACTCATGGTGAAAGATATGACCGTCTAAAATCACTTGCCATACTGCACATGGACCTTTGTCAGAATTATTTGTTAGTTTTATTTTTAGAAAAAGGCATGACAAGGAATGCTGTAATAATTATGACAACATTTTTGAAACATTCTCTCCCTTTTTGGCTCACTTTAAAGCCCATTCTTGTAAATCGCAATGCTCTACCTTTTCATCATATTAATTCTTTTAATTTTGATTTCCATAAATCATAAAATACAATAACTCATAATTTGACAATATTTTTTATTTCATAATCTTTTTATTTCAAAGGGTCCCATCATAATAGAGCCTTATACTAGTATATTCTTACAACTGGGATGAAGTACAACTTCCACCTTTTATTATATATTCTGTACATACATAAATTGAAGAAAGCACACATGATAATGATAAGGCAAGACAAGATTTACTTTCTTGTAACACATACAGCATGCACCAAATCATAACCTTAGACACATAAGCTTTATGTTCATGTGCATATATTGCTAGTACCATTTTTCTATGTACTGATTGAAAATTGTGTATTAATTAACACTTGTCATTTGTTTTCTATAGTGGTGTTTCTCAGTCAAGAAATGTAATTCTTACTATAGTCACACCGGAGCATCCTGACAATGGTAAAGTCAGATACCAATTGTAGCTTTAACCTTTTCTGACAATTCTGTTTTTAAATTCTTTGACAAAACTGTCTGATAAAACAGTGCTAAAACCTGTTTTTGATGAACATAATTTAAATTTAAAAGTTCACAAATCAACTGATATTGGATGATTAACAATGGTTTGAAAGGTCACTTTTGCCAGAAATGTATTTTAGCTGAGAAATTAAGGCTAGGATTTGATAGTTTCGAGCAATAAATCAATTTTAGATTGTCTTAGAGAGTAACCAGATCAGCTTGACCTTGTAGTTTTAACACAGGCCATCAATTTCACTTTCCAAATATGGTAACTGTCAATCAAATGTTGCAGTGTTTCAGAGAAAGTGAATTTCAGATTGATATGCTGATTTCATTGTGTCAGACTTCAGAGGTTTGGAATATTTGAGATTGTGGAAATGATTTCAAATAAATTGGAACTTAGATATACAATGAAAAAACAACAACAACAAAAACACACTCATAACTTCTGCATGTATAAGAAAATAACATGGCAACTGCTCCATGATATTGAAAAGAAGTTATGATTATGAAATGTGGTTTGAGTGCCCCCCTGGGCAAATATTCTTTCAAAATTGTGCAGTTTGTCACCATTCTGAGCACTTTTAAAGATATAATATATATTTATATAATTGTAGGGCCAAAGTTGTCAAAACTGAACCCTCTGAAATTTTTGGAAAAGTTAACCCCTTGGCAAAAGCTGGCTACGGGCCTGCTAAACATGCTTGTGTTGCATGACAGGCTGAGGGATTTAGACTTTATATACACACAAAACTATTGCATTGTAATTGCCATATGAACAACATTCACAAGTATTTACCTCTGCAGATTTCTTATACATTTCAGAACATTTACAAAATGCTAAACTTGTCTGTGTCTTGGCAACATCTGTACTATGTGATTACAATATTAAAACACCCCAAAATATTTATACTTGCATGATAAATATAATTTGGTTTTAGAATTTTCTAAATACAGTATGGGTGAAAAGTATTCACCTCGTAATGGTTATACATTAATGTAACCATTGCAATATTTAAAAAAAAATAGTTTGGGGTAATTTAATATCTGATGCACTAACAAAGATATTATACAGTCTTTAAAAATTACACAACATAGAATAAGCTCCACCTGTATACTTGAATGATGAAATTCACATTCATTATACAAGGCATTAACATGACAAAATGTCACCACCTAGTTGCTCACAATATTATGAGTTCAAAATTAAGTCAGATTTGAATTTCTGAGAACTTGTAAAGTCAAATTTGAACTTCTGAAAAGATGTAGATGATTTTGAAAAAAAAATTTGGTCAATTTGAAGCAAGTTGAAAACAGACCTTTTTGACCTTTTTTGACCTTTTTTGACCTTGAGAAGGTCATTAAAGGTCAAATGTCAAATCTAAAGTCAGATTTGAATTTCTGAGAACATGTAGATGATTTTGAAAAAAAAAATTAGTCAATTTGAAGCAAGTTGAAAAAAGACCTTTTTGACCTTGAGAAGGTCATTGAAGGTCAAATGTCGAATCTAAAGTCAAATCTAAAGTCATATTTGAATTTCTGAGAACATGTAGATGATTTTGAAAAAAAAAATTAGTCAATTTGAAGCAAGTTGAAAAAAGACCTTTTTGACCTTTTTTGACTTTGAGAAGGTCATTGAAGGTCAAATGTCAAATCTACAGTCAGATTTGAATTTCTGAGAACATGTAGATGATTTTGAAAAAAAAATTTAGTCAATTTGAAGCAAGTTGAAAAAAGACCTTTTTGACCTTTTTTGACTTTGAGAAGGTCATTGAAGGTCAAATGTCAAATCTTAAGTCAAATCTAAAGTCAGATTTGAATTTCTGAGAACACGTAGATGATTTTGAAAAAAAATTTTAGTCAATTTGAAGCAAGTTGAAAACAGACCTTTTTGACCTTTTTTGACCATGAGAAGGTCATTGAAGGTCAAATGTCAAATCTTAAGTCAGATTTGAATTTCTGAGAACATGTAGATGATTTTGAAAAAAAAATTTAGTCAATTTGAAGCAAGTTGAAAACAGACCTTTTTGACCTTTTTTGACCTTGAGAAGGTCATTGAAGGTCAAATGTCAAATCTGAAGTCAGATTTGAAGGTCAAATGTCAAATCTAAAGTCAGATTTGAATTTCTGAGAACATGTAGATGATTTTGAAAAAAAATTTAGTCAATGTGAAGCAAGTTGAAAAAAGACCTTTTTGACCTTGAGAAGGTCATTGAAGGTCAAATGTCAAATCTAAAGTCAGATTTGAACTTCTGAGAACATGTAGATGATTTAGAAAAAAATTGAAGTCAGTCTAAACAGTATGTGTTAAGTTATAGGAAGTTGTAAGAAATTGTTACAGACGCCAACCGCCAGACGCCGGACGCCAACCACCAACCGCCGGACGCCGTCGCAAAAAAACGGAGACCATAACAATATGTCACCACTTTTGGTGGTGACATAATAACACCACAGAATCATATAAAATAGTCAATTGGATACTCTAATATGGTAATTCATGTTCGTGTAACAATAAATAGAACAATTTATTTGGAGAATTAGAATATATTGTTGGAGTATGTTTGACTCCTGACTTAGTATGGTTTCCCGATTTCAGTTTTTATTTGACTAGTTATGAAAATATACAGCTCAAGTTCAGGAATATTCATAATGATAAGTTAACAACAATTATTTATTGCAATTTGAAATATTTACTCATTATCATACATTCATATATGCAGTGCTGGGTGCCAAATACGACCGTTAATTTGAATTTTAGACCTACCAGGTGTTTGAAAATCAAAAATTGTGAGTCTCATACTGCATCATTTTTCTCCTAACTTGCTCCATTAAAAGCAAAAACAAAAATGCCTTCCTGTTGATATATTATACTATTATATAGAGTCCCTCCTTTTAGTGGCGTTTGGATCCCCAGCTGTGAGAAGCTGTTCTCACAGCTGGGGATCTAAATGTCGCTAAAACGAGTAACTCTCACTCTGTACAATAAAGCAATGCACCGACAGAAAGGCAATTTTGTTTTGCTTTGAATGGAACAAGTTTGAAGAAAAACAGCGCAGTATGAGACTCACAATCCTTGATTATCAAACATCTGGTAGGTCTAAAATTCAAATTAACGGTTGATTTTACGATAAGTTGGACCCCGATATAAAGTACCTGGCTCAGCAGTACAGCTATACTGTACAATGACTGTGAAACTGTTATGCCCAACTTTTCACCGACTAAAATTTTTAGAATTCCCCCAGTGGATTTGTACATGGTAATATATGAGTGTAGGTAAAATACATGCCATGATTATACTGTGAGCAAGGGAAAAATCAATACCCGGTAATTTCAGCGGGAAGTTTCTTTTCGTTCAGTGGATGAGCTGCGCGCGCACACATAAATGTTATAATCCAATTTTTATTATACTGGTAAGCAAAGCACTCACTGCCTAAAGAGGGCGTACTATAATAGAAATGAACTGATCGAAAAATTCCCGGGTATTGTACCGCTCCTTGCTGTGAGCTGTTAGCTCATAGTATAATCTAGATGTGTACCTGTTGTAATTGGAAATGTCTCTTGGCTTTAAGGAAACAAGCATTTTTGAAATTAATGCGCCTAAGGGGCTATGGTGATGCACTGACTGTATCAAAATCAAAAGTTGGCATCTCTAATGGTGGTAACTCAGGGAGGGAGGGTAAATCGTCCAAATTGAGCGGCATGGAATAAAAATTTTCTTTTTCAGAGTCAGAATCTTTATCCTCTTTGTCATTGGTCCTTTTCCTCAGTGCAGAATTCTCATTTTGTAAACGTGTCACTTCTTTGTCCTTCTCTTCAAGCTCTTTTAAAAGTTCCAAGACCTGACCCCTTAAGGATTGATTATTTATATGCAGCTCCTCGATTATTTCACTTTCAGTTTTTGGTGATTTAACAGCCGACTGAATGATTTCATCTTTTGTTCTTTTGGTATGTGTTTCAATTGATGGTAAGCGATCTCCCTGAGCTTGCGCCAAGGCACGTGTTTGCAAAAATTGCAATAAGGAATCTGTCTCCTCGAGATCCTTATAAATATATTGATTATATGTTACACCATCTGTTTCATCATTTGACTCATCTACACTGTCTTTTGGGTGTATTGTATTATCGCTTGCATTTCTCTTCATTTGGTTCAATCTTTCAGCCATTTTGAGTCTATTTGATTTATCGCGAAGTAATTGTTGTTGGCGACAATGATGATCACACTGGAGTTCTATTGACTCTCTGGCTTTATTATCTGATGTTGTCTTCAACGCTAGCTCTAAAAACTCTGAAAATACATAAAAATGACCTGTTCTAGTCAATTGAGGAATAAAATATTGGTTAGATTATTTACTAAATGAAACCTAGTAATTATAGGATATCCTATGATTTTGAGGAGTATCATTTTTATCTACGAGGTGATATTGATATCTGCACGAGAGAGCAAAGCGAACGAGTGCATATATCAATATCACTGAGTAGATTAAAATGATATTCTGAAAAAATCATAGGATGTTCTTATTATCCTACACTTACAAGGAGTGTACTAAATGTATAATATCATTGCAAAATGAATTTCATGCCAAATAGAGTCAATTTGACGGGAAGTCAACAAGCGGAGTACATCGTCACAATATCCTCCGCATATTGGGTTTTCCGGAGTATATCGTCACGATATCCTCCACCCGGAGTATATCGTTACGATATCCTCCGGTTATCAGGTTATTCATTTTGCCAATAAATATCAAAAATATTTTTTTTGATGTTATTATACATTTAGTACACTAAGTGTAGGATAAACAATTTTATAATTCGGTTTCGTGGATATTCAATGAAGATCCAATTTCCTTAAGAATGTCAAACAGCATTTCCAAATTTATATGCTTGCATTGGTTCTAATAACAATAACAATTATAACAATTGCTATGGCAACAAGTTCTTAAATACATTGCTGTCCTTTCAAAAAATATCAACAAATTTCGAAGTATTTGTTCATTTATTGGCAAATAATATAGGTGTTCCAAAGTATTCATTCAGAAAAAATTCCCCTACAAAAAACAGTAAATGTAGTACCTGTTTTTTTTACATTGATGGTTACAGATAGTTATCAATCAGAGATGTTTTGGGGTTATTTAGCATGGGAATTAGAATGGCTTTTTGATCACCCACCTGCTGCCTTCTTGTGACAGGCTATTGCAAGATCATATCTTCCCTTGTTGATGTTGGATTCAGCTTTACGTCTTTCTAAATGAGCCTGGAATACATATAGATATACAGTATCAGTACTACATAATGTACTCGGTACATGTACAGCATGGTCATGTGGTTTCAAGGTATGTTGTACTTAGATATCAAGTTTTGCCTCAAGAATAGCGGAGGGGTTATTCCACAGACTTGTAGACTTTTTGTTAATCTGCAGTTATACCACAGATTTAAACCTTGGCTAGAGTAATAGAAAGAACGTTTTGCCCTATTTGTAACATCATAATTTTTTTCTTTCTTTCATGAATTACTGGTTTGATGAAACACAGCTGGGATCACTATGGAAAAGTTAGACACACTAAATCTTGAACTTTTGAAGGTAAATGACTGTAATAGTTTCATTGACTCACAAATCTGGGTTACATCAGTCACTACTCATTGGAAAGCTACAATTTACTTGATATTATAATTATAAGGAATGTGAATACAAAATAAAAAAATGAAACACAAAATACAAGCAAGGAAAATATTAGTTGCATGATACACCTGTAGGGTCTTTATTAATAAATCTGATATAGAAGTACGAACTACGATAATCTAACACATGGCGGTGATTTACTCGAGTCTCTAGCCAATTCTTGGCAAGAGGTAATTTCATCTGGAATACTATGAACTCCATTTGAAAAAAGCTGGCTGGTGTTTCATAAATTTATTGAATATTTTAAAAATCGCCAGATAAATAAATCATTAATAATAATTAAAATGGGACCGGCTCGGCTCCTTGATGAGATACTGCATGATTTCGTCAGGATTGCGTCTAAAATTAAAACAAATGGCTCCAAGAAAAATGGCGATATTCGAAAACTGGACGAAATGTCGTTCATATCTGACATTAGTAACTGGCTGTAAATTCTAAGTTAGCGATTCAGAAGATGTAAACTAATACATTGATAACTTCATGTGTGTTTTGGAATTTTTGATGAGGTAATAAGACCAAAACTCGCAATTCAAATTGTGATGTGGAAAAATGGCGGAGATTTGATTTCAAATTTTATGATTACGACATGACCCGTTAAGGTGCCATGGAAGTTAACAGGAAATGACAAAACAGGAAGTGACAAAGCCATGCTGGATTTTGAAAATTTTTTGAAGCAAGATATCAGAGTTCTGTTTGGACCTCTAGTCAGTTTTACTAGTTCCACATATTATTTACATGACTGGGAACGCAATGGAAATGGTCAGAATGACCATAAACATGATGAAATAACCTTTTCAGCCCTCTGAAAATGTGCCTGAAAAACAGCTAAGAGTAGGTGCTCAGGAAAGGTCACTGAACAGAATCTTTTGATTTTTTCAGAAAATGTGTCCAACATATTGCTCTTAATGATACAATCTTTGAAATTTTAAAAAATTGTCTGAAACAATAATGGCTGTAGTAAAAAGGTAAATTGATCGATTTTCAATTCATTTTTTTCTTTTTCTAAGAATGATATCAAATTTTTTTAAATTGTATCATTTTAAGCAATATATTGGGCAGATTTTCTGAAAAAGTCAAAAGATTCTGTTCAGTGACCTTTCCTGAGCACCTACTCTTAGCTGTTTTTCAGGCACATTTTCAGAGGGCTGAAAAGGTTATTTCATCATGTTTATGGTCATTCTGACCATTTCCGTTGTGTTCCCGGTCATGTAAATGATATGTAGAACTAGTTAAACTGACTGGAGGTCCAAACAGAACTCTGTTATCTTGGTTCAAAAATTTTTCAAAATCCAGCATGGCTTTGTCACTTCCTGTTTTGTCATTTCCTGTTAACTTCCATAGCACCTTAAACATGCAGGAATTTATCTATGGACGAAGGCCACGACACAGTGGCCTTAGAAGAAGGTAAGCGGTGATCACTGTCTACAGTTCGGGACATAAATAAATGACAGGTGGATTTGCTGAAGTGAGAATTTCCCATGTTAAAAATAAGAGAATTTTCAAGAGGCCATACATCAGTGGATGAGATTATACAAAATGTGAAATATACAAATTTTAAGGGATATGTGTCTAGACAATATTGGAAATTATGGGCTTTCAGACGACCATAATTAGGAAATGGTGATCGAAAATCAACCTGTCATTTATTTTTGTCCCCAACTGTAGGTAAATATATAGGTCCAATGGTATCACATATCTTGTATTTGTAATCAAAACTCAAAAAGTGAATAATGCATTAGACTAGTGAATGATTTCAAAAAAACTATTGCGCCAATGAATTTCATTTTTTGAGTGAGCAAAGCAGAGTGTCATTGCCAAAGAATCTTTGAAACAAAATGAAGTGAAATACAGACAAGTACAGTTCGGGACATAAATAAATGACAGGTGGATTTGCTGAAGTGAGAATTTCCCATGTTAAAAATAAGAGAATTTTCAAGAGGCCATACATCAGTGGATGAGATTATACAAAATGTGAAATATACAAATTTTAAGGGATATGTATCTAGACAATATTGGAAATTATGGGCTTTCAGACGACCATAATTAGGAAATGGTGATCGAAAATCGACCTGTCATTTATTTTTGTCCCCAACTGTACAGTTGGGGACATAAATAAATGACAGGTGGATTTGCTGAAGTGAGGATTTCCCCTGTTAAAAATAAGAGAATTTACAAGAGGCCATAAATCAGTGGATGAGATTATACAAAATGTAAAATATACAAATTTTAAGGTCTCATGGAAGTTAACAGGAAATGACAAAACAAAAAATGACAAAGCCATGCTGGATTTTGAAAATTTTTTGAACCAAGATAACAGAGTTCTGTTTGGACCTCCAGTCAGTTTAACTAGTTCCAAATATCATTTACATGACCAGGATCACAATTGAAAGGGTGAGAATGACCATAAACATGATAAAATAACCTTTTTAGCCCTCTGAAAATGTGACTGAAAAATAGCTAAAAGTAGGTGCTCAGGAAAGGTCAATGAACAGAATCTTTTGATTTTTTCAGAATATGTGTCCAATATATTGCTCTAAATGACACAATCTTTGAAATTTTAAAAAATCGTCTGAAACAATAATGGCTGTAGTAAAAAGGAAAATAGATCGATTTTCAATTCAGTTTTTTTCAATTTTTTCTTTTTCTAAGAATGATATCAAATTTTTTTGAATTGTATCATTTAGAGCAATATATTGGGCACATTTTCTGAAAAAGTCAAAAGATTCTGTTCAGTGACCTTTCCTGAGCACCTACTCTTAGCTATTTTTAGTCACATTTTCAGAGGGCTGAAAAGGTTATTCTATCATGTTTATGGTCATTCTGACCATTTCAACTGTGTTCCTGGTCATGTAAATGATATGTGGAACTAGTTAAACTGACTGGAGGTCCAAACAGAACTCTGTTATCTTGGTTCAAAAATTTTTTAAAATCCAGCATGGCTTTGTCATTTTTTGTTTTGTCACTTCCTGTTAACTTCCATGAGACCTTAAGGGATTTGTATCTAGACAATATTGGAAATTATGGGCTTTCAGACCACCATAATTAGGAAATGGTGATCGAAAATCGACCTGTCATTTATTTTTGTCCCCAACTGTAAAGCCATTTTTCTAGATTTATGTGACAGGTAAACTCATCAAAATGCTCATAAATACGATCTTTGTATTATGTTAAAGATGATTTTGGTGCCAGTTTCAATATATAACACTTTTAATACAGCTAAATACTAGTATAGTAAATAGAGGGAAATAATCTAATATTTACCAAATTCAAGGGACTTTCCATTTTTCCGGAAGTGTCCAATTAAATTGGGTCATGAACGACCACAAATAAATTTGAGCGGGAAGAAAGAAAATAATGAAATGGAAACTTTTGTGTTTTTGTACCTTATTGTCGCCATAACATAGCATATACCATGGTAAGTACGTTAATGTGATTCTAGAGAATAGTTTGCTAGGTACCGAGACCATTTGATTTCTCGAAGTGTATAAGCATATTCCTTGATTCGAAGTTTTTCTAAAACTGAAAAAGTGACTGTCAGACACAGTCAGCACTATCAATGGTATATTCTAAAAGTGAATAGATCTCTAATAAATAGAGGAAAGTCCACAAGGCATTTGTGACAATATTTTCCGGAAGTGTTATATTTCCATTTATCGTTCAAACTGTGACATTTATGCTAATAATTCGACATGTATATGATTCTTACATACCCAATACGATAAAAAACGTTACTAACATACCAAATGAAAGGTGATTTCCTGGTAAAACTTGCAAAAGTTGGTCCAAATTCACACTCGAACCGTCCACTTCCTCCAATGGTGCATGCACAGCCCGATGTAAAAAATTAAACCTATCTGATTGGTTCGCCATTTTCGAACGAACTGGCCCATACAATGACTATATCCATAACCTTTATCTTTACACTATATTTAACATAGGGTTTGCGTCTCGATTTTTAAATATCACTACGCCAACATAGGGACTCATTTTTAGGTAAAATCCCTGCTTCACCGATGAAAATTAACGAATAAAGTAGTTCCAGTTTACGGGACTATATTCTTGCGATTTTATTCTATAAATGGCACATTTAGAAAGTACTTGGCCTCACAGCTTTACATACATACCTCAAATGGCCACAATGCATATACTTAAACCTACTATACACAGTGACACCATTGAAGTTGGCATGGCTTCGTTTTTAAAGTATTAAAAACACGTCCTACCCGGAAGTGGTATTTACCGTAATAACACCTTAATATCCAAAAATGGGAAAATTTTACTATCATAATTTTTGCTCATTCAGCATTTTTTCAAACAATTGAGTTATTTCAGGCTCAAAACAGCTGCATTTCAAACTTTTAACACGTTTTCTACAAAATCTAGCCATATTTGGGGAAATAGGTGAAGGCTGAGTCTCTAAAAACGTGCCAAAATGACCTAAAATTGGGTCATCAACTTCAGGGATCTCATTCAAAAATTTTGGAAGCAAATTCCCCGAGATTATTTCATTTTGTAAATCATTATAGCAATGCATTTCAAGTATTACACAGAATATACTGAAATGTAGGTTACTAAATGCAAATATTTTGAGTCAAATGTGGTCCCCATGTGCAAAATTGGCCCTTTTCTCCCCCTTTACGCCAGTTAGGCCCCAGTGTATTGTGACATCATACTCATGCCATTGCTACAATGTAGCAATTTACAAATTAATCATGATTACTCCTCCTGTGGTAGTTGAACACTGTTTTTGCATCACGATATTCCCCAGTGTGTTGACTGATTACACGTCAGCTTACTTAGTTACTTACTAAGTACGCAATAACCACCGTCAAAGACCTGCCGGCACCTATTTTTTGGGCTGGTGATGGAATATTACAAGGGCAATACGCGAATTCAGAATTTCATAATAATTATAGGAGATCTTACGGTAGTTTGAACAAGAATACTGTTATTTCCAGCAGAAATATGGTAGATTTTCAAATATTTACGGTATATTTTACGGCCGTTCTTATAGAAAAAATCGAATGATAATAAAATATTTTACGGTAGATTTTGGTAAAGTTACAGCAGATTTTTTACGGTCGTTTTTACAGGAAAAAACGGTAATTTTTTTATGGTATTTAGATTTTTTAACGGAAAAACGAATATTTTTTGGTTGATTCCCGTAAAAATACGGTAGGTTGGCTGGTATGAGTTACCATGGCAACCGTGGAAATGGGTAAAAAATGAAAGCAAAAAACACCCAGACCCGCCATAATGGCACTAATTTTCAAAATATTTCGAGACATACAAATTTTTTTCCACTTTGATATCGTCTAGAACACTTCGAGACAACAAAAATATCAAAAATTGTTGGAAGGTTTATCACTTAAATTTTTTGCAAGCCTTGGTCAAAGTAAAACTACGAAAAAAGCACTCATTTTCACTTTAGAATCACCTATTATCGCCCAAATGGCTATATGTTGTCAAGGTCGCCATGTTAAAAGTTTAATTACGGAACTAGATCTGCTCTTCAGACAATGTTTGATAGCTTTCCTTTACCATGGAACAAAGATCTTTGCACTGGCAACACTGGTATGCCCATTTCCATGAGATAATGCACGTGAAAGAGGAACAGTGTCTTTAAATGTCATCAAAACTTTTTCGCACTTCTTTTGGTGTAATAATACCATCTGATTGATTGTTGGTGTAAACAGTGAGTCGGGATTCCCGGGATTTGGGCTTTAGGATACTATTTTACACTGAACGGAATGTATCGACGCAGTTGTGAAACCAAAATGGCGAACAGTTTTTGAACTTCTGTATTTATCTAGTATAAGGTAGAGTATACCATTGATAGTGCTGACTTTGCTGTCAGACCACAATGAGCACCATCAATCTTCATTTATATTCAGAAAGACTTTTCTAAGTGACCGGACTTCATTATGTTATGTTAGATATTAGATAGATGGTGCTGACTATGTGTCAGACTCTCCTCCAGTTGTCCGTTTTAGTAAGTTTTGAGAGCCGTTATCTTTTACCCAGCCCCGGGTACCCAAGGTGGTAAACATAGATAATGACTAACACTATGAAAAAGACATTCTGTCACATATGTCATAAATTCTTACCTCAGTGAATTGAGTGCTCTATTTAGAACGTACAAATCACAGTCTTAGAGAATGTTCTGACGAAAGGAGATTGGGATTCCAAATTCTTCGTTATTTATATCTTATCTCATTCGAAGAACGTACTAGACGTCTGTGGTACAAATATAGTGGAATTTGTGTCCATAATGACAAATAGGAACTTAAAAATGAAGTGATATTCACATCTTTGCCGAAGCCATAGGCATAGCGCCCGGTCTGCTGGGTACGCACAGGCGAACCAGATGTTGCATTCTTGGAGTCAATCCTCTTTGGATCACAAACATGGCGATTTATGAAAACATTCGTTCGATTTAGTAGGAATTTATCTATCATTTGCAGGTGTGAAGCTTTGGATTAATTTGTTGTGCTACTTAGATTGAATGGGAATTATTTTTCTCCCGCTTGGGAGAGTTTGAGACATGAAACTTAGAATTTAGCTCATCGTGACAACTTTTGATGGTTGAGGTTTATTAATGTCTCTGACTATACCTTTCATTCAACCCTCACATATTCATGTTTGTCATACATATTTTTGAAGAAATTGAAGCCACTCATGAACATTTGCATGTATAATGAGATTACATGGCATATATGCATGTCACACAAAATCAAATTGACCAGAAGTACATTTTTAAAAAAGTTTCACATTGTTGTGGCTTATGATAATTTCGCATGTCCCCTAACTACTATGTAAAAAATCATAACAATCCCTATTTTACCAGTTGTATTGAGATAAGGCAGAATGCATTAGGTTTAAGAATTTCTAGGAGTTTTGATAGGTTCTGTCAATCATAATATTAAACAGGGGTTTCATGAGCAGCAGGCAATTTTCACTGCTTGGTTTCACAAAATGGCCGGTTGTTCCATGTTAAATTGATGATTTCCATTAATTTTGCCTGTTTTTTCATTTATTAAGCCTGTTGTGAGAAATTCTAGTGAAACCCCTGCTATAACAATGGCATTTTCAAGTTGTGTTGGCATTGTCATCCCATCATTTTCTTAGTACTGTATGTTGTAAAATGATTATTTCAGATTCGTATAAGTGCTTTGAATGAGAGCAACAATAGTTTCTATGACGACAGCAACGATGCTCCAGCTACAGTCACGAAGGAGGCTGAGGAGTCTGAATCATTTGCACTGTACAACAAGGCCCTGAGTCTTCAACGACAAAACCAACATGTTGCTGCTAAAGCTACATTATTGAAGCTTTTGGAGTCTCCCTTTGTGAAGGGGCTTGAGGTTGATTCAGATGATGAAGATGAGCCCCTTGTCCTACCCGGACTCGTGTTGAAATACTCTGCTTATAAGAATCTTGGTAGTCTGGCTTCTCTAGAGGGGGACTATACGACAGCAGTAGAGGCATATTTGCAGGTGGGTAACGATTTTTGTTACGCACCTTCGGTTCTAATGCTTTATACGACATTCTGTCAAACTCATGTCAAACACATCATTATTTATTCCTTAAACCCTAACCTAAAGAAGATCTTGAATTTCACATGGCCAGCTCCAGTTTTGTGACATCAATGCTCTCCCATTTTCATATAAAGGGATCACATTTTTAGGTAACCATTTTTATGGATAAAGAAGAGGAAAAATCTGATTGATTCTAGGCTTTTAATCATTAATTTTTAATTTTTATTACTTGGTAGTTTTTATGATATATGGTCAATAATAATTATTGAATTCAAGAAAAACATGAATTTCAATGTTCAATATATGAAAAAATGAAATTTTATTGAAAATATATAGAAAATATACAAGAAGTATTATTAATGTAAATGTATAATATTTTACATTAAGGCTGTCCAGTTAGATGCTACAGATGTGACTGTGTGGTATAAACTTGGGTCGCTCGCTATTAAGTTACGTCACCTAACTCTTGCTAGGCATTCTCTGATACAGGCAAGTCATTTGTAAACATTGAACTATTCTGGCTTGTTTTATTGATCATTTACATTTTAATAATTTCTTCATTCCAAAAACAAACCAACAATTCACCTTTTAGCCAAAATATTTAAAATTCTATACTCAAAAGGTGGGTAAGTAATTCCTGTTTGTGTCATATCTGATTTAGCTTTTCAAAATATGACTTTGCCAATCTTGATATTTTTCTAAGCAGTTTTGTTTTTGTTTTAGGGGCTGGAGTGTTCTGCTAATCACTGGCCATGTCTGGATCAGTTGATACTTGTGTTGTATGTCCTCAGCAACTATGAAAGTATGTAACCACTGCATTTGATTAATGCAGACTTCTGAATTTTTTTATTAATAAGATTGTATTTTGAAAACTTTAGTGCACAGTGCATAATAAACATCAGATTATCTGTTTCACTTTCTCAGATTGTCTGTTTCACATTTCAGATTATTGTTCCAGATTGTCTGTTTCACATTTTCAGATTATGTGTTTCACATTTTCAGATTGTCTGTTTCACATAAGTATGGCACTGAAGAGGGATCCTGGCTATCTAAGAGGATTGGTTCTCATGAGAAAGATCCTGTGTGAGCACCCCTCATTGAAGGAGTTTACCAAGCACTACTTTACCGCATGGTATGCATCTAACAATTTTATTAGATTAAATGCACTATGCAGAGTTTGAAAATTCTTTTCACTTCAAAAGTTGAAAAAATATATAATCCATTTGTATTTTATAAACATTTGAATTACATGTACTTAATATTTTAAAGACCAAAATTTTCTGATTATGAAGTACTCCTAATTTAAACAATCGACAAAAATTGTCAGAATTAAAAAAAGGCTCTTACTGTTACATACACTTCACATTTTTTAATAATCAGTCTTCGGCAACATATTCTTTTAGCTTACTCAATCAAATATTGAATGTTTAAATTGAAGCATTTGACATTCTAGTGATCCAAGTATATACACCATCGATATTGAGAAAGAAGAAGAGGATGAATTTGTTAATGAAGCATTGGAACTCCGTAATGAAAGGCAAAAACTCTGTCAGCCGAAGCCCCTCCCAGTGCTTAAGTTCCCTAAGCCTTTGACAGCCTTAAGGTTATTCTATAGACATATACAGTGAAACTTCTATATCTGAACACCTCTCTTAATTCTGAACACCTCAAAATGGGAACACTTTTTCTTTTTCCCATATTTGGTATCTTCCATTGTTTATAAAACCTTGAAATATGAACACCTGACCCTAACACTTTTGACCAATCCCAGAGGTGTTCTGATGTGGTAGGTTTTACTGTAGTGAATAGATTGATGGTTGAATTGACTCTCGCCAATATCCTAATGAAATATTTTTGTAATGTTACATGATAGTCCATAGATATGTGGATTAATTGTTGCTTTTACATCTTTACAATATTTCGAGTTACATCCAAAAAATTCGGGGAGATGGTAAACTTCCTCTATGTTTTACATTAGTTTTCTGAAGAAAGCAACTTCTATAATGACAAAATGATTAAATGTAGTTTTGTGGGAGGAAGAGAGTAAACCTGAAATGTATTTAATGACATTTTGGAATATTTTCTTTAAAATATTGACCTTGTCCATTTTTAAATTAAATCAATTTTTGAAATATATCAATTTATATTTAATGTTTCAGCTGGTTATCCCTGGGAGAAGCTTTGATTGCACTGTATGAGGATATAGAGGCAAAACCTCAACCAATCGTAAGTGTGCTCTGTTTTTCTTCATAAATCAGTCTGTAAAATTCATCGATGCATACTATTTTGATAGACTTGATGAGTTGGTAGTGTTGAAATGAAATCTAAATACAAAACATATTTATTGCTTAATTTACTTCATTATTCCACTGAACTAAGTTCAAGTAGGAATAGAGAGAAGCTGTCTGTCTGTTTGTATGTCTAACATAGTTGGACTGATTTAGTTTAAATTCTATAGACACCTTATGATACCATATGGCAATAGGATCTCTGCTTCCGAAAAGATTTTGAAATATGGTTTTAAAATGAATTTTTAAACCAGTTCAGGATTAGTCCAAGTTTTAAAGGCCTTATGGGTATCTACTCTAAAATAAATTTCTTCTTATTGCTAATCTTATGCAGGGAGTGTACACTAGGTCCAACAATTTTTATCTTATTGTCTCTCATTTATTTTAATCAATAGTATTGATTGAATACATTGTATATTGTAATTGTAGAACGTGGCTAATAATGCAAAAAGCACAGCCACTTACACTGTATTTTTGTATTGTATTCTTTGTACAAATGAATAACTTAATAATAAAAAAAAACTAGGTCCAAAAAGGAGACTTCCAGTTGCCAATGGCCCCTTATCGTATGGAGGGGAGTGTATATCAGGTCATTTTACTATGTATAACATATCTTCTCCCCTAGATCACTAAGCACTGTAAGCAGTGAGCTATACTCAAGAATATTGAACAGTCTTCTGGTATTTGTATATTAGACATACAACAGTTAGTCTTTATTTAGTTAGACTTTCAAATGTTTTATTCTAAAATGTATGATTTATAAATGCAGATGAAATAATAAAATTAGTGTTCTACTCTTAGAGGCTGATTTAATATAAGATAGTTGGTCTTGGGATTCTGAAAAGTGTTCTACTAACATAGGTGTTCCACTTTTAGAGGTGTTCCACTTTACAGGTTTAACCATTCTACAGCATGAGTAATCTGTTATACCTTACATGTAACTTTGTAACCAGCTTTAACCTTCTCGGTTAAATTGTGTATTTCCAAACAAATGTCATTAAATATCAACAGACCACAAACCTTCATAAAATGCAAAGCAACGATGATTTGAATTTATATTGCTTCAGTTAATGATGAACACACTTAATGGCAACAATAAAAAATTACCAGCTAGTCACAAACCATGATGATTTCGTGCAGTTTCCTTAAAGGCCTATTGTAGTATTTAATACTTTGGATTTCCATTGTGATCTATCATTTTACTGCCCATGGGATGGGTGATGAAACACTTGTATATGGATGAAAATGAGAAGAAAGTGTTTTATCTTATGATATTCCGCACAAATCTTTGATTATGTCTGTTATTGAATCATTTATCAACACTGATACATTTTACAAGATAATCTGGTATGGAACTTATTTGAAAGATTTGAAGGTTGTCATGGTTATGCCCCATTTCATAAAACCCTCAAACATTACCATTGAGCTGACTTTTATGACCTTATGATCTTGAAAGTATAAAAACACTATTTTTGATTAGATCTGAGAGGGATTTTTGTGACATGCTTGTATTCAGAAAGATACAGTCTTTAATTTTTAATAATGCGTGTGGTAGTTCTGGAAAATGAGTATGTCGTAACTCACTCTCAGTCATCTAGAGCTGTTAGATATCATCTTTCAGTACTTTGTGACATCGTGAGTCGCAAAGATGGATTCAGTAGGTGAGTAATGCTATTTAACTCAAATTATATTTTTTTTTGTAAATATGATAATTCATATTGTCAGTACCTCAGTGTAAATACTCGCATCTGATTGGTCAATTAGCGGTCAACATTTTTGCCTGTACCTCACCTGTGCATCATGGGATATCATATTATTGACCGCTTATGTTACTGTACTACACTTGTGAATTATGGGGAATATGACGTCATAATGTTTACAGAAAAAACATGGTAGACGGACATTTCGTAAACGTTGATGAAAGTGATATTTTGACTTTGGTAGACGACAAGTATAGCAAAAATACAAAAAGAAACGAAAAATTAACATTAATTTACTAGTGAGTACGCTGCTATGTGCCAAAAACAGAGAGTTTAACTACCACTGTCTTCAGATTTTCTTAAAAAATTATTGCTGGCGTGGTTCGCAGAAAAGGTTGTGAAATGAAGCCATGATGACTGTCGTCTATTTGTGTATTATTAGTTTCTTCTGACTAACAAAACAATTGTAGACCTCTCCATTCGGTCAACTGTCAAAATCATATACCTTGACTGTAAACCTTGAAACTACTGTTGACCTCAACCTTCGGTCTCTGTCAACAGTAGTTTCTCGGTTTACAGTCTCGGTATACAATTTTGCCGGTTGACCTCTGGAGAGGTCAACAATTGATGATTTGCGATCACCGAATGGATTCTATCTTTTAGTGACGTCACAATTAGGTCACCCAGCTTTAGATGCTTGATTTTGAGAGATTATCTTCTATATTTCGTGCTTTATTGATTTATTTTTCACGAAAGCGTTCGACTTGACTAGATCAACATTCATTCTAAGCACATACCAAGTCTAAGGTCTTACTGACATGATTTAGATAGCAGTTAAGCGCCCCCCGATTTTGACAAAAACAGGGGGCGCTTAAAGGCATCGATGTTTAGTATGAATTTCACCCAAACTTCGCACATATATAGATATACTCATGATCTAGTCAAATTGGCATACCTGTTAAATATCTGACCCATGGTTTTCATATAAGAAACGACAATATTTTTAGCTCAAAACTGCCACGTGTCCGTCATTTTTTGATTCCATCATGTCTAATATCATTTCTATATGACGTCATACCAATAAGACGAAATACGTGACAACAGTATCCATAAACAAAATTCCTGAATTCTGATCGCAAAAGGTCAATTGTATAATGTATATATTTAACAAGCATAAAGCTTATCACCTGATAGACATCACTTAGTGGCACAGTCTCTATACTTTTATCATAAAAATGATTTGATCCCAAAAAGTTGCTCATCTACCATCTAGAGAGTTAATTAATTACTTTTTGTTGAAGCATTTGTCATGCCACATACTAAGTGAGCAGTTTTTCAAGCTTATTTACAGAATAAAAGAATGCTTGCATTAAAGATTGGTGCAAATTGCACACTTATGAGTATAATTTATAAGATTTCACTTTAATTCAGTGTCAATGATAGATCATGCCCAGTATTCAAAAGTGTTTTCGGTGTTGACCCGCGAAATAGTAATAGATTGGGACAGCTTCTGCTCAATATCCTGTCAATAGAGAATTATTGTGTCATCTATTGATATTATTTACAGGAAATGATACTAAATTAATGAAAATCATACAATTCTTCTTTCAGGTCTGTTTTATGGACTAATGTGTTCCTTGATATTTCTTCCTAAACAAGTTAGGTGTAAAGAGGAAAGAATCACCAAAATGAAGTATTTTAACAAATACAAGCTGACTGACATGTTTCTAAAGGTTGAATATAGAAAGATGCAACCCCTTCTAGATGCTACTGCAAAGATTGCCAAAGAATATGTTAATAAGATTCTCAAAACAGATAATGATAAACTCACAGTTGAAAAAACCATTACATATTTGGACAAAATCGGCAAACGTCTAAAGCAGTTTTTGAAACAGTTGCCAGAATTGGAAACAATGAGGATACATCTTTTAAACATCATGCTGCAGAATATTTCCAAGGTTGTGCTTGAAGTGGCAGATGAGAGTTTCAAAACCATACATAAAGCTTTCACAATGAATATCAACCGGAATCTTCAATTCCTTTCATTTGGGATAGGACGAGTGGGACTCACGTACATGAATGATGATTTTGTTAAAAGTCTTAAAATAATGAAAGACTATAGAAAGAAATTCAACAAATTGTTCAAGACAATACCAGGGTTGAAAGAAATGAAAGAGGTGAAAAGATTACAACAAAAACTGAAGCAATTTTACATGGGGACTAAGAAGCTTCAAAAATCTTCAAACTGGATTGTCAAGACCATCCTACAGTTAAAGATTCCTGATGGTATAGCAAGCATTGGTATGTTAAAATATTCTGTTATTAAATTTTGTCACTACATGTTTTGTGTAATAAATAATTTTGAGGAATTAGCTTTATAATGCACCACATATTTTATTCATTACAAATATTGTTTTTATTGTGTAATTATAGGGTCTAAAAATTGCAATGCCGAGTCCAAAGGGGTTAATCTTATAAGAACAGATGACGGTGCAAGTTTTCTAGCAGTATGTGACTCAGAATGGCTTGTTGTCGCCCAGAGGTTTGATGGAAGTGTTAACTTCACAAGGCACTATGAAGATTATAGTATTGGCTTCGGCGATCCCCCTTCAGAGTACTTCATTGGACTGGATAATTTTGTCTCTGCAGCCTCACAGGATATGTATATGTTGCGTTTTGAGTTGACAACATGGGAAAATGAAACCAGAACAGCTGATTACTTGAGATTTGATGTAACACCTTTAGATTATGCTGATCCAGAAATGTATAAACCCTCCTGGTATAGTTTAAGAGTACTGAATTTTCATGGCACAGCTGGGAATTCCCTTTATTTTCAAGACCAATATGATGAATATGCCCATTTTAATCCATTTTCGAAGACAGGGGAATGTTTTGAAGAACAAGAGAAAGGATGGTGGTGGGGCTACTGTGGTAAAGCTAATTTATTCGGACGATATAACCATGGCCCTGAATGTGATAAAGCAATGGCCTGTATGAGTTGGCAAGCATGGCCAGACAAACTTTTAAAGAAAAAGGATAATGAGTTTTATTCATTTAAAGCAATGAGAATAATGATTTGTCCAAGGCCAATTGAAGCCCCTCCAAGATGCATAAAAGAGGTTAATGATGAATTGAATCCTGTTCTTAGAACTGATGATAATGACCTTCTTGCCAAATGTGAAGGACAGTGGTTGGTTGTTGCCCACAGGTTTGATGGAAGCATTGATTTCAATCGCACATGGAATGAATATAAAGTCGGATTTGGTGACATCTCCGGAGAGTTCTTCATAGGTCTTCAGACTCTGTTTAGGCTAACTTTGAGAAATACATTTCAAGTTCGGTTTGAAATGATAGATAACAGTGGTATAATGACTTATTTGGAGATCGATGGCTTCACTATTTTAGATGAATACAAGCATTTTCAGTTTATGTATTCTGATTATGAGTTAAAAAGGGGAAATAGAAGCGAGTGTCAAATACCTCATGGAAAATTCTCAACTTGGGATAGAGATAATGATGCCAACCCAGGCATATCATGTGTACAGCAAACAGGTGTGCCATATTGGCATTCTGCAAAATACTTAGGCAAATGTGACACAACATGGCCATCAAATATCTTTGGACAATTAAAATTCAAGGACATGAAAATGATGATCAAACTTATTGAGACACCATGTGAAGAACGAAGAAGTGGCATCAATGATATACATCTTCTGGATGGATCATCATTTAAAGCTCAATGTGAGGAAAACTGGTTGCTGGTAGCTCACAGATTTGACGGGAGTGTAGATTTTTTTCGTACATGGGCTGAATATAAAGCTGGTTTTGGTGATCCATCTAGAGAGTATTTTATTGGCCTCAATAATCTGTTATCTTTATTTACTCTTGATAGAAATTATGTACTAAGATTAGAGTTTACAACATGGGATGGGCAAACAGAGACTGCAGAGTACTACATCTTTCAAATAACAGAGAGAAGTTATGAAGATTCCATTGTCATCAGACTTGAAGATTTTCGAGGTTCTGGTAGAGATGTAATGTCCACTGAGCACTATTACCATTATACTTATAATGGCCCTTTATTCTATCCTTTCTCTACTTGGGATCATGAGGATCAGATGAACACTCAGGATACAAATTGTTCTGCATTAAGACGGGGTGCATGGTGGTGGTATCCACTGGAAGGATATGCAACTGAAGATATCTATTATGAAAGAAATGTTGATTACGAGGACCGAGATGGATGTGGACTTACAAACCCATTTGGACAATATATGAATGGACCAGAATGTGACATAGAGTATGGATGTATGAGCTGGATGGGTTGGCCAGGAGAGCTTTTCAGTGATTCTGAGCGAAAAGAAAATGAGAAACTTCACAATGGCTGGTATTCCTTTAAAGAGATGAAGTTTCTTATACGCCCAAGAGAACCCAATTGGTTCAGTGACTTAGGGTGGGCTTATTACTGACAAATATCTGATGTTTTCTGTATGTACAAATATATCTGGCAGTGGAACATTTTACATTTCTTGAGAGCTCTAGTAATACATTGCCAGAATAGTATGTGTACCCTATGCAGACTAACTGTGCAGAAAACAATTGGGCGGATAAATGAGCGGGAACCTACAGTCATTTTTGAATTTATGTGCAATAAAGTAAAACCACTGTATAATATGTGTTCAGATTGTTTGGCATCGTAGTGTCCAGTGATATATATATATGCAAGAAACAAGCTTTAAAGATAGAATACTGATTAAAAATTTAGATATGCATGTTTAGATATGAGGTTCTGGGAGATTTGCTTACTAACAGACTGAAACTTTGATGAAAAATTTGAATTATGTGTACAACCTTCTCCTAGAAGAATTTTCATAGTTATTTTCTTCAAGAAGAGTCCCCCATGAATGTGAGTTAAACATAGCAGATCATTGCAGACATCCAAGACGTTCCTCAAAACTTGGATAATAAATAGATTTAGAGTATCAATTATCAATGAGTTTGAATTATGTTCTGAAAATAAATTACTAAATGTTTAATATAATTTATAACCTGGGCTCTATGGGGAATCTACCCCACCTAGAAATCACATTTTCACAAAATTTAAAGTTTCTAACTTGATAAATGATTTTTAAAATCACATGTAGAATTCAAATATGCTATCAAGTATAATACATTTTGAATATGTAACTTTTTATCACTTATTTATCTGCCATGATATTCAGATAATATCCAAATGTCACTTGAATTAAAACCTTTAAGCCAATTAATCTGTATCCCCCTAAAATATGTTGTGGGAGGGATAGTCTCTGTGTCCATAAATTTTTTCAGATTTAATAGACTGATGCTTGATGTTCATACAACCTCTGCTCAAGAAGGAATTTGTAATATGGCCACTCAATTCAAAATGGTCACAATATTTAATGATAATAATATGATAATCTTTGTTATCTTAATATTAGGTGATGGATTTTGTTAATGAGACCTCTGCCGAAGAAGAAAGGATGTGTCCGGGTATATGCCCTTTTGGTCCCTCAGTCAAATGTATGTTAAATATGTTTTTTATTACTGTCCTAGTTATATTTGATAAGTATATTTACTTTTTCACAGGTTTTGATGCATAATTAACCCCCTGCTGAGAGTCAGAATAAGTATCTTAACAAAAACAAATAGTCATTATCATAGAAAAAAAACATCAATGGCAACATGTATGACTTACAAAGAAGAAATAACTTAAGACCCATGAAGAATTTAAAAGAAAATCATATTTTTGAAATATATTTAAGGTTTAAAATTTTTTTCAAATTTTTGAATTTCCCGCCAGTTTAATTTGAAGGGGGAAAAACAAGATGGCTGCCATTTGATGTAAAAAATATCAGAAAAAAAGTTGCTTCACTTTTAGTTTTCACAATGAGCACAGTTTTCCGGTTTAGGTTTTTTGACTGATTCTGACTCTTCATCACCAGGGTCATGTATAGAGATTATAAAATTGAAACCGGAATGTTGTGCTCAGCATGAATTTGACTGAAATATGTGTAACTTCACCAACACAATTGAAGTCTCAAAACTGGATGCTCAGTAACTTTGAGTGACTATAATCCCTTGATTACCTAGATAAACACCAATTCACTTATCCAGAAATGCCATTCAATGTCTATACAAAGAAAGTAAGCAATGTTTTGGAGGATATGTTTCAAACCTTTTGCATAAATAATTCATTTAATATTTGCCATTGATTTTTTTTCAATTCTGACAAAGTGATATGCACTGTCTTTGATGCCAATATTCTTCATTAATTGTGATACAAATTGATATTTTTGTACTCTCAGAAGAAGGATAAGATATTGAAGTTTAATACTATGTGCAATTGAGTTGGTTTTTCAGACATTACAATTTTCAATATTTTCTAAGTCGATACCCAGACTCATTCCCAGACTCATCCTTTTCAAGATGGCTGCTTAATTAAAAAAGTTGACATGAAAAAACTGTAATTTTTGATAATTTAGATACCACTTCATAGGCTAATACTAATGGGAATAGGACCTCTTCTATAAAGAATTCCCAATATGGCTGCTCAATTCAAATGGGCACCATTTTTTGTAAAAAATATATTTTAAAATACTGTATGTCAGATTTGCCAATGCCTTATGGACTTTGTTCAAGAAGTAAATTTTAAGATGTCTACCATTTCTCAGAAGAAATAATATTTTTCTGATAATGCAAATGCCAAAGTATGGCACCATTCCTTTACACTGTCATGGATGCAGATATTTGACAAAAAGAGATACTATGTAATACTACTGGTTATTTACCATGTAATGAACAAAAGTGATTGATTTGAAAGATATATTTTGTTTGGTGGAATCTGCTACTCCGTGGAGTTGTTGTTTTTCTAGTTTTAGTTGGTTTAATGTTGTAACAATGTGTACTGCATATTTTATTATAGAGCATAGGCTGTCGTATTGACCTCTCAATGTACAACACAGAAAACCCAATCCTAGCTGCCCCAATTCCTAGCACAGAAAATGTTCCGAAACCTCCTCCGGCTATCAGTGTTACTGACTCGCCACCAAGGATTCAGAGGTTTTTTGACCCCGGCATTAATCCTGCAGAGCCTTCAGGTGAAAAATTCAGTCATAATTGTCAATTGTTTGGTTGGCATCTTGTGAAATACAAAATTTCATGGACTTCAGTCACTAGCACTATATTTTCTGTAATAAAATTCAAATCTTGAGACATAGTATTGAAATAGATTTTACATATTTGCAAACTTTATTTTTATGAGGCATTTTTTTCATTTAGGAAACTTTTCTACATTGTTTTTAGTTATAAAAATGGTTCTTTGAAGATTACATAAAACTTTTATTTTAGAGAGTGAGAACTCTGCGAAAGAAAATTCAACAAGAGATGACGACTCCTCACTTTTGGCTGGGCACAAACAGGGCAAGAAACGAAAACGCCTGATGAACCTTTTTGACGACCCTGCTGGGAAACGTAGATCTGCAAGGGTATGTGACATCACGTTTTCTGATGCCTTAATGTCTCATTGTAATAGGTCAAATTATAGATTTTTTTTCTAGAATTTGAACGAAGGCCTAGCCAAGGTACAAATATAGGCAAGACAAAACTTAAGCCTAAACTACTAAATGGCATAATTTTCTCTGTTTCAGTCTCGAAAACATCTTAGACATTTAGTGAGCAAAATGCTTTTGTATACTGCACAGTAGTTTATTTATAAAAATGTGAACAAAAAATTTACATTCACTTGTAAAAATGATATTGAAAAACATCGAAAATTAGAAATACATGTATTGCTAAATCTAAAATCTAATTAGGAAATTAAATTTACATTTCCAATCACATGCATACATTTATTACATTCTAATGTTTATTCTTATTGTTCAAGGTGCGAAATACAAACAGAAAGCAACAAGAGGAACGTGTTAATTTCCAAGAATTGTTGCAGAAATTCCTTCCATCTTCCCTTATGTGAGTAAATGCTATGTTTTTTTTTATTTTTTCATAACCTAGCAATTAATGATAGTGTAACCATATTAGAATTAGTGTGTTCAATACCATTTCAATTTCTCAAATTCACATGTATGTTGAAACTCCTTTTTAAAGTTTTTGTTGGTGTTAAATATTTAAAAAAAATATTGTTTAGGGATGTCAAAGAGACTGATGCTGATGATGTTGTTAAAGAGGCTTCTGTTAAACAATCACAGAAAGCAGAGATTGACAAAGAAATACTTGAATCTGGTATGTTTTATTTAGATTTCAGTCAGTGATCAAAAATATGAGTGTCTTGCATCTTCTTCACTCAACCTAATAATAGACTAGTATAGATGCGAGTAGAAATAATCTTGATTTACGTTATTAAATGTACAAAATTACAATTAAACCATTTGTTTTTGTTGGATTTTTAACTTGTAGGAATTTCACTAAATGCAATTAATTGTCTTCCAGCAAATAATTGCTTCATGGATGATTTCAAAGATTTTCGGATTACATATAAATTGAGATACATCAAACATATTGTTTCAAGTTTAGTTATGTTACATTATATTAAATGCAGAGGACCATTCTTTGAACTTTCTTATTATTTCAATTGCAGATGACATTTCAGTGTTTTGTGAAAACGAAGCATCAGAAGTGCACGGCTTCCTGAAATCCAAACAGACCAATGGTGGCATAATTGATCTCATGGATCGCTTCCTGATCAGCCTCGTTGACAAATCAAATACAAAATGGCCACCAGGTTTAGCTGATGTCTTCGTGAGAGTGTTTCATAAATTGCGAAATCATTTTGAGTTTCCTAGTTTTTTCAGGTAATTAACCAGCTGTCCTACTAGAAATAATCCACAAGTTGGTACTTCTAGATACTCTATAATGTTCCTGGAAATGTGATTTTCAGAATTATGTCACTGGATGAAAAAAACCATGAAACTATCCAGGACCTCTTTGAAAGTCCTCGATTATACACACATAAACTCAATTTGAACATGCATTGAAAATGCTCATTGAGTATTTTTCAAAAAGTAATCAATAAAAAATTTGTTTCACATAATGCCACTTCGGTAAATGCATCAGATTGTTGGCTTATGCTTCTTAATGGGACATGATGAGTAGATTTGATGCCAGCAAAAAGGTACGATCTTTGCGTAAAATTAAATTATTTTATTAATTTTAGCGTTGATGTGAGTAGAACAAGGAGAGAAAAGCTTGGAATGGTTTGTCTGGTATATCTGGAATTACGTTTAGACCACTGGTTTACTAAGAAGGCAACACTTGGCATATCACCTAAAAAGTAAGATATTTGTGAATTGTAATATATTTCATTGTATTTATTAATTCACAATTTTTCTTAACCAACTTTAAGTGGGCTAATTTAAATCAACAATATAATTTTATGATGACTTGAAAAGTCAAGTGCCACAAAAGGTGTAGCTTCACTGGCACTCACTCTAATAACATGATTTAATAGTTGCAGTAGAAATGGTCAACGAGCCATTACATATGAATAACTTGTATCAGTATTTTACACATTTGATCACAAACTAATTCGGCAAACAAAGGTTAAAGAACATCATAAATATTGTATCTAAAAAGAAATTGGCATTATGAACCAATAGGAGTGCTGGGATGAGTATCCAATCACAGTTAGGCCAAGATTTCCCGGGAAAATACTTTGAAAAAGACGTCTGCTACATACTGGCATTGTGCCAAGTCAGTGACCTATATGAAGAGAATTGGAGACACATTTACACAAGAGGTAAAAATCTGCTTATAACTAACAAAATTACGTACGATAAAAAAAGGATGCTGTCCAGTTTGTTTGAGTAGTGAGGTCAAGGCTATAATAGATAAACAGTCTGCTTGAGTAGTGATGTCAAGGCTATAATAGATAAACAGTCTGCTTGAGTAGTGATGTCAAGGCTATAATAAATAGTCTGCTTGAGTAGTGAGGTCAAGGCTATAATAAACAGTCTGCTTGAGTAGTGAGGTCAAGGCTATAATAGATAAACAGTCTGCTTGAGTAGTGATGTCAAGGCTATAATAAATAGTCTGCTTGAGTAGTGAGGTCAAGGCTATAATAAACAGTCTGCTTGAGTAGTGAGGTCAAGGCTATAATGAATAGTCTGCTTGAGTAGTGAGGTCAAGGCTATAATAAACAGTCTGCTTGAGTAGTGAGGTCAAGGCTATAATAAATAGTCATCTTGAGTAGTGAGATCAAGGCTATAATAAACAGTCTGCTTGAGTAGTGATGTCAAGGCTATAATAAATAGTCTGCTTGAGTAGTGAGGTCAAGGCTATAATAAAAATGCTAGGCCTAGACTCTAATAAATATGCAAGACCAAAGCTATAATAGAAATGCAAGGCTATACTAAATAATTGATAAAGATAAAATATGCATATTGCACTTTGTGTTTTAAAAAAGTAACTTTGCTGTTGTGTATTATAGCAAGTTGGCTGAAGGCCCGGTATTGTTGTCTTCTACAAGATACCAAGGAGGCAGTGAAATATTTTAATCAGGTATGTTAGGATGAAAGGGACAATTTTAATTGCATTGGTAGCTTTCAGATCATGTGACCTATTGCCACAAAAATTAATTCTTAACAAAAAATCAGTGGAACATAAGTGCACAATAATTCTTGTTTTTCAAGTTATAATTGATGCATCTTTGTAAAGTTATTGTCCAGGCCTAATAATAAAATATGTACAACATATTTTTCATGGATAATAAAGCTATTAAAACATTGCAGTGGAATCATGAATGATTCATATGTATATGTGTATTCTTTAGACCAACAGTCTACTGGAGGAACTCTCTGATTTACAAAATGTGAACCCCACAGAAGATAAGTCAGGTGTGGGTGAAACAGCATGTTCAAATGAAGCCAAGCCTGACATGACTCCAGAATCTATGGAGACTGATCAGCCTACAGAAGATATGAAACCTGTTGCCAAACAACTTCCTACTGACCAAACCATGGATGTTGAATCTGATGATGATAAAGCTGATGTGAATGACACTAATGCAAAGATCACTGAACCAGTTGTTACTATAGTAGGTGATATACTAGAGAGCATTATTACAAAAACCATTACAAACTCTGAAGGTTTATCAGGATCTGTTGAAGTCCCAATGAATATTTCACCTGAAGTTGCAGAACATATTACACCCCAAAATGACATTATTGAGTCAGGAGGCAATGTGGATCTAGAAATGTCTGAGCCATCATCCCACACTGATGTTCTATCAAATATATCACCAACAACTGTACCTTCAACAACATTGTCACATTTGGTTCCATCAACAACTCAAATTTCAAATGAGGCTCAAACAGAGAAAGAAGTCTCATCTATGGTACCATTAACATCAGCACCCTCATCTATGGTACTGTCAACAACAGTACCCTCGTCTGCAGTACCAGTATCTACAGCAATCTCAATCTCAAATGTGGAAACATTATCTATGTTGTCATCACCAACTGTACAATGGTCTGTAATAGTGTCCGCAAAGGATGCTTCATTAACAACAGAGCCATCAAACATGCTACCTTCATCAACAATGTCCTCATCTGTCACACCATCAACATCAGTTCACTCATCTGTGGTACCATCAACAAAATTGCCCTCAACTGGTGTACTGTCAACAACAATGCCCTCAACAGCAACAATGCCTTCAACTTGTGTACCATCAATTTCAATGACATCATCTGTTCCACCACCAGCAATCCCCTCAACTGATGTGCCATCACAAACAATAACATCTTCTGTGGTACCATTAACAATGATTTCCTCAAGTGAGGTACCACCTACAACAATGCCATCAAGTGGTGTATCATTAACAACATTGTCCTCAATTGTTGTGCCATCAACAACAATACCCTCTACTATTATACCATCAACTACAGCTCCATCAACTGTTGAAGCATTATCAACTGTACCCTCAACTGAACCATCAACAGAAATACCTTCAACTGTAGTATCATCCAGAGTGTCTAAAACCTCACTCCCAACGACCATATCTTTGTTTCCACTATTGAATCAATCATTGAATGCTAAAGCAAACCAAGAGAAATCTTTGAAAAATGGCAAAAGTGAAGTTACAACTCGTGAAGATAATGCTAAAAATGGCACAGATGAAGCAAGAAATGCAGAGAATAAACCAGAATGTGACAAAAATAAAATTGATAGTGATACAAATGAAGTTGCTAAATCGGATGGGAAAATTAGGATCCATTTGGTAAATTGCCAGCTTGAGAACATCATTTCAACTGGTGAGTAATAATTACTGTGAGCAAACTACAATTTCAATTACATTAAATTGAATTACATTAAATACAATTACACTGCTGAGACAGAACTATTAAAGAGTTATACGTAAGTCATGTATGAGACGAAAACTACAATATTTGCATTTTTATTGAACTTTTTCGAAGTACTATATTGTCGTCTTGTTCATATTGTAATGAAGTGTTAATGGTATGTATATCTAAAAATTTACGTTCTTTATTCCAGATGAAGTAAACAAGCAATTAGAGGCACTATTACGATGCCAATCACTTGAGGAGATGACGCGGTTATCAGAGTCTAACAAACATGAAATGGTCGTTGAGTTACTGCTTCAGACCTTTAAACAACCTCAGAGTGCCAAAAATAAAGTAAGTAAAGTCATACTTTTACAAAACTTTCCTGCTAAACTTGAAATTTTTACAGATGGAAGGGCAAACTAGTGCTAAGATCTGATTAGGTTTTGGGCATGCTTTGGAAATTACTTACTGGTCATTTTGAATTTTTTGATAAAAATGTGCGATATTTATCACTCTGTATCTTGTTGTTTTCTAGGCAACAGAAGTAGCAGGTGTTCCCGAAAGACACGCCCAATTGCTCCTACTTCAAGACTCCTTATCTCAACTGGGCGATGCTGGGGTAAGATTTGAGATTTTAATGCTGTTTTAAATCTGTTTTCTCAAAGTATGAGTTAGAAAAATCAGCAAACTAGAACGGAATATAGATCAGTGATGAAGTCATGCTAAGTCGCTAACCCTGCAAAGTAGTGTTGGATCAACTCCACTTTTATATGAGTTATTCTATAGTATATGCTGTGAAATAAAATGAAGAAGTAGTGGAGTGTTAGTAGTTGTGTGGTCATTGTTGTCTGATACTTATTAGATGTTTGAAGGGATTTGCCATGCCTTGACATTTTTTTTATTTGGTTTGATAAAATATGAAAATAGATGCACATGCTTTAGATTGATATAATCAGAACATAACAGTGCTAAGTCTATTTCCAGAGGTGTCTTCTGTGGAGTGAGGTGGCTTTAAATGAGGCTCTCCAACATTACCAGAGTAGCAACACAAGTGCAGGAAAAGATGAATGGGCAACTACAATGTGTGATCTCCTTAAAGGCATAGACAAGTAAGTCGAATGTAATCTCTATGATATAGCATAGCATGTTGGTGAGTAAAACACAAGGTGCAGTATTAGCACAGACTTGTTGGACAATGCCCAGTGAATTAAACTGGATCAGCTGATCATTTCAACTGTATCGGAAAATAACTGGACAGCTAATCTGTTATCCAGTTTTGAGCAGTAAACCTGACATTATTGTTTCATTTGAAAATTTGATATAATGAAAGCATCATGTAAGGATATAACCAGGATTTTGAAATGAGGCAAATTGAAGTCAGATGCCTTGAAGATATCCCATCAGTTATTTAAAAAATCCTAGGATTACCGAACCATTTTAATTTTAATTTGTTTTTGGCGAGGAACTTTCCTTCCCTGGTGCATGCCTTCCTCCAGTCGTGTTATGAACATTGTATTATATATTGTATTATTGTATCATGTACAATCTATTGTATTATGGATATCATACAATTACAGGTGTATGCAAAAGGATCCAGGTGCCATACAGCGATTGACTGTCAACAAAGCAGCCAAACTGGCACACAACCTGATTCGCATCATAGAGATTTGCATGGAGCTGCCAGATGCCATAGAAGAAATGCCAATTGATAGTGTTATGCCATGGATCATTCTCTATAGGCTTATTAAACAGTATGTTATCATTCAGTGAAATATAAGATTCAGGCCCGTAGCCAGGATTCACCAAGGGGTGTTCACTTTTTAGAAATTCCAGGGGGGTTCACATTTGACAATTTTGGCCCAAAAATGGCCAGAATCACTTCAAAAGTGCTCAGATTGGTGAAAACTGCATGATTATAAAAGAATTTTTGGCCAGGGGGGAGGTTCACTCAAACCCTCTGAACCTCCCCCTGGCTATGGGCCTGAAATTATACATATAGTTTCCATGTATATTTGGAATCCATAAACAATATCTTGTTGTCTTGCTTTACAGTAAACAGTAAATGACCTGGTAGAACATGTATTATGAATAACCTTTAAAGAAAACATTGCACTCCTTTCCTAAAATTCAGTGCCTTATTTTACAGTTTACCATTGGATCACAATTGCAACGTTGGCTTTTATCTGTGTTTTTAGCGAAGAAGCGAAGTTGCTAGGGTCAGGAGGTGATGCTGCCATGGTGATGGATGAAAACAATAGCAATGACAGTATTGGAGAGTGTATGTCATCATCTCTATTGCTGCTCAATGTGGCACATGATTATCTTGGAAGGTAGGAGTTATTTTTAGTAGGGATTAGTCATGTTGATACTCAATATAATTCAGGTCAGGTGACTTTGTTACAGCAAACTTCATCAGTGGGTTATCGTCTCGCAAATGTTCATTTGTAAATGCTGAATGTGAATCCAATACCTGATCTGAACAGTACAATCTTTCCTTTCTGAGATATGTGTTCATTCCAGAGATTGTCACCAAGTATGTTAATCAAGTGACTCAATTTTGAACTCATTCATAGGATAACTCATATTTTTAAAAATCAATGATTTGTAAATTACAAAGCCAATAGACTTTGATACAAACCTTTTTGTAGATATCAAATTTTGTAATAAAGCATTCACCCTGTTAGTGGTACATGTATATCTGCCAAAATCTCTGAGATGCATGCATCTCACATTTTTTTAAGAGGAGGTCACATCGATTCCAAGCTGAGCAACCACATCTGGTATCTCATTCAGTCTTGACCCTTTTATGATGGTTAGAGCATACTCAAGTCTGCCATCTTAAATATCAGTTTTCACAATCATGATATAAGCATTCATTACATCAACAAAAAATCTGATATCTCCAGGCGATCATGGTGTACAAACTCCCAGGGTGCACTGCTGGAGTTCTACCTGGATGTTGTATGGGAAGAGTTCAGCAAATACAACAGTGATACAAGCCATCCCCATCATGAAGATCTGGAGTCAGCCTTTGAGCAATGTGTCTATTGTTTGTATGGCCATCCTAATAGGAAATCAAGGGCCAGGCATTTGTATGATCATAATGCCCAGCAGGTTTGTATTATCATATTTTAAACATTGCTTCTATTTCTGTTAATATCCAAATGGTCGTTTATTTTATTTTTGTAAAATTTTACGTTGTAAAAAGAACTAGAATATTGATTGTTGGCCTGTATGTATAATGAATGTATTTTTTATCAAACATGCTTGGTTTGTGGCAATTTTGATTTTTTAAAACAAAAAGTGTGATTTCACTGGGTGTCTTTTTATACCCAGCTTCAATAAAATCCAGACTCTAAAAAAGCTTCATAATGTGGTAAAGCAATTACATGCAATCTCAAAATTATATTCAATAAATATTTGCTGTTGCCTACAACATGCAGTAGAATGATAAAGCCCTAGTATTGATAAACCAAATTATTTCACATACATTAATGATATAATATTTTTCATGTATTTTTGCTCCTTGTAGATTGACCTGACGTTAGAGAGATCTAAGATGTTATTTGAATACTTCAAGCCCAAATCCCTGCCAGAATTTGACAGTTTAAAAGTCAGCACAGTCTCTTCTGAGGTATGAAAATGTATATTTCTGAATTTCTGATTTTTTTCCCTGGATCTTTATCATAATTCTTACAGTCCATATATTTCTTAGTCTATTTCCCCATGCTTTTTAAGTTCCGAACTGAATATTGGCTTTTTACAAATCTTTACATGATCATAGGCATATTAGGCATTTTTAATTGATATTGTGAAAATTATGTTCAGTGGTAGTATTTAATATCCCTATTTTATAGTTGGAACATCTGCTGCAGCGTATCTGCATTCTCCTGCCCCCTCAGTCTCAGTATACCAGCATTTCTATAGAAATGATGACATCATATATAGATGGCTCTGTTTCAACATTTCCCATAATGCAACACCCACCTGCAGACGACTTGGCCATAGTACAGGAGATGTTCTACTTCCTGGCTGATTATTACTTCAAGAACAAAGAGACAGCAAAGGCAATAAAGTACTATTTACGTGATCTGTGCGTCTGCCCTGATAGGATTGATTCATGGGCTGGAATGGCGCTTTCAAGAACATCAAAAATAGAGGAAAAATTAAATGCTGTAAGTTTTTGAACATCGATTCAGCAATTTATTGTTACCTAGCGTACAACATGAAAGATCCAGATTGCATGAGTAAACAAATGAAAATTGAATTCAAAATGGTAGAAGGCCTCAAATTACAAAACCATGTCATAAAGTGCAGCAAATAACCCAAAAAATCGTCTAAAGTGGTTGTCTAACTACATTGTATTTATAGCGGAGATTTATATTGTCTTGTTTTATGATATGAAGTGTAAATTAAATACTGAATGCTACAAAACATCTGACTTGATTTTGCTTGTTCTGTTCCAGACTGACATGAAGAAGAATGAAGGTAGTGTTGCTAAGCTCTCCCAGGCGGCTCTTACATGTTTCCTTAGAGCCACTGAATTAGATGAGAACAATAGCAAACTGTGGATTGAGTATGGGTCTCTGGCATTCCAGCTACATTCACATGCATCCAGGCAACTCAAACAGGTGTGATTGTCAAACAAATTATCACTAGAAACATTCTACCATAAGAATTGAATATAAATGGATTTATAAGTTGTAAAATGTATTGATTTATTGTTTGAAAATGTTTATATATATATATATATATATATATATATATATATATAATAAAATTTAAATAAAAACACAAGATGACTTCATTTCGTTGCAACTAGTTTCTTCAAATCTTCAGGCAACTGACAGATAATCGCAGGATGACGTAATTATAATTAATGTCGTCATAAAATATATACCTGTGCAGGTATAATTATTATTTATGTATGACGTCATTAATTTTACATAAGAAACCAATGTTTCATTTTGTTGACTGATAACGAGAGAGGGATTTTTTATTTAATTTAGGTTTAAATATATTAATAAAATGTTCCTCGTATTTCAGTCTAAGTGTTAAATCGTCCTTGTGTATTTGAAAAAATGGTAAGATTTTAAATTTTATATCCATTTTTTGAGCACAGTTAGCGATATGATCGCTCACAGGCAGCATTCTGACAGTTTCATCATTAATGTGCTGTCTGTGGACTCTGACACGGTTTCTAAGTGTATCTCCCGTTTGTCCAATATATATTTCATCACATCCTAGACATATCAACGCATACAGTACATTGCTAGAATCGCATGTCATGTGGTTTTTAGGAGCTATTATTTTCTCTTTATAAGAGAAATGTCCTTCTTGAAGTAGATGAATACAGCAGCCGCATCTCTTGTTTTTACAATTTTCAACCATGTTCTTATCATTGGTGGAAAATTGCGAGGATGTAACCAATGATTTTATGTTTTGTGGTTGTCGTCTGCTGTTTATCATATTTTTATTTTTGAAGATGCGATTGATATAGGTATCCTTTTTCACCATTGTGTTTATATGTTGTTTAATCCTAGGAAATATGTTAGAGTTTTTGGGGTTATGTGTCGATACAAATGTTATAGTATTATCCTCTGTTTTCTTTTGTCTAGTTACGTGGAGGATTTCGTCTCTGTCTAACATATAAGCCTTATTGATTGCATCATCTATTATCCGTTCAGGATAATCCAATCGAAGGAGATTCCTCTTTAGTTCCTCCAGTCGAAATTGTCGTGTGCGAGTATCAGATACGATGCATATGATCCTTCTTGCTAAACTGTAAGGTATGTTTACCTTTGTATGACGTGGGTGACATGATCTAAAATTGAGGTATTGCCTCGTGTCCGTTTCTTTATGGTATATATCCGTTATCAGTTTCGTGTTTTCCTTTATAACTAATACGTCCAGAAAAGGAATTCGTGTTAAACTTTCTTCCTTTGTGAATTTTAAGTTAGAATCAATTCCGTTCAATACGTCAAGGAAAGTTTGTAACTCCTCGTTGGAAAACGGCCAATTTATGAAACAATCGTCGAGGAAACGTTTGAAATGCATTTTGATATGTTCAGTTATATTTGTGTTTAAATTTGAACACGCTAACTTCTCAATGAGTAAATGTTCGATATATGCCATTGTTAAATTTGCGTAGGTGGGGGCGAATTTTGTACCCATCGCAGTGCCTTTTAGTTGTCTGTATAAGGTATTGTCGAACTCCATCACGTTATTTTCTAGTATAAATTGTATACTTTTCAAGATGAATTCGTTAGATATTCTTGCAATGTCGTCTGTTTGGAATTTATTCAACCAGAATTGTATGGCTTCTAGTCCCAATGTATGAGGTATGTTTGAATAGAGGCTCACAACATCCAACGTTACAAGTTTAGTGTCTAAAGTCACATCAGAGGGAATCTTCTTAAGAAAGTCCATATCGTCCCTTATATAAGTGAACATAGATTTCTCAACGAGGGGCTTAAGAAGAACATCAATGAAGTGACTAAGTCGATGTGTTTCGCAACTAGGACCACCAACGATAGGTCTAAATTTTAAGTCTTTTGGACATTTTAATTGTATATATTCGCCAGTTGCGTTATTACAAGTTGTACATATTGTGTCACTTTTGTGTATTTTCGGCAGTCCGTAAAACTGGCTTGTATTAACTTTAAAGCGAGTTATATATTTACGTTCGTCTTCTGTTAAACCTCCGCCATACGTATCCATCATTTGATGTAAGTTCTTCATTATTTTTGCAGATGAGTGTTTTTTAGGATTATTCTCATATTGATCCTTGTCGTTTAATATCGCTGTCATTGCATTCACATAGAATTCGCAGTCCATTACGACAACAGCGCTGCCTTTATCAGCTTCTTTAATTATTATTTTCTCATTCTGTTTTAAGTTGATTAAAGCTGTCCATTCGTCGTCTGAAATATTTGATTTGGTTCTTTTATTATCACAAATCGGTTCATTTAAAATGTTATCAATACATTCATCCAATGACTCATTTCTATTTTTATTTGGATTGAATGTCCCCTTATTTTTCACTAAAGATATATTTTCTTCATTTTGTGAACTTTCATAGAAATATTCCTCTAACCGTAGTTTCCTACAAAAATTGGCCATATCACCTTTCAATTCTATATTAGTATTTGTCCTTGGTGTGGGAGTGAATTTTAATCCTCTCGTAAGTATTTTTATTTCACTATCAGTAAGTTCATGAGAGGATAAATTAATAACTTTGACTGTACCCTCTAAAGATGATGGGGTACCCATTTGTTTTGAGGACGTCTCGTCCACTGGTTCTGTTGGCGTTTTCTGGGGTTGTGATATTGGCGCTTGTCCAAAAAACGATTTTCCTGATTTTCGCTACATGTAGGTTGCAATCGTGGGTTCTGATACATTGTTGGTACATTATTAACCTCACGATTCAGATCATCTACATTCTGTGAAGATGTGTCGTTGTGGTTTCTAAATATTCTATGCCTTTGTGTGTCTAACGGGAATCCCGGCTGTTTGTTTCTTTTGTTGCTACTGACGTGTTTCCAAGCTTTAGTTTCATCATTCATTTTGATTGGCTTTAAAAACGGACGTACACTGGGATCCGAGTAAAAAGATCCTTCATATCTTTGTAACCATTCTTCCGTTTTGAGCCATCTATGGTTATTAGCCTGTTCATCCGCTTTGGTTTTATCCATCCATCTACGCTGTAGTATATCTATAGTAGGCCCATCATTTTGACAATGTTTTACAATGTCAGCTTTAATTTCATTGTCTATGTCGTGCAATCTATCATTTTGGTACGCTGATCTCAACTGAAGTAGATCGATCTCCGTAGAAAATCAGGTTATATGGTTATAGAAAGTAAAAACATTTGATTTAGCCCTTATTTAAGATATTTATTATCTGATATTCATTATACTCGTCTGAGTAAAAACTAAAACCTCCGAGGCAAAATTGAGAAGGGGTGACAGGACTTCATATATCTTGGTAAAATTTTATTGCAATTCATTTAACAGGGGAACAAGGATGATGAAACCTTGCTAAAGATGAAGAATGACATGTTACAATTGGCTGAAAAATGTTACCTAGCAACCAGTAAGTGTGACAGCGAGGATGCTGAGGAGGAATGGCTTCATAGCTATATGCTCGGGAAAATCTCAGAAAAAATGAACCGGCCACCAGAAATATACTTGGAGTATTACAAAAAGGTAAAAATTATTTTCAAAAGCTGCATTGTTTCTTGAAGAATTTTTGTTTCTACGAAATTGAGACTTTTGAATATGTCTTTACTGGGGCCATGCCACCTTCGGGTAATTTCAAATGTAATGGAGTTTTATCTTATTTGTTTAAAGAGCAAAAGTTCTGCTGACGTTTTATTTTCATTGCACCTTTTGGCAAAAGAATCATTCCCATGTTTTTAAAATAAGAGTTTTCATATTGTTATATTTTGTACATTTGTCTTTACTTGTTGTATAATGTAGACATGAACATTTCAGGCTGCAGAAGATTTGTATGAAGACAATGCCCAATACCCTAAGAAGATCACATATCTATATAGTCCACCCAGGTTGGCTGTTGAAGCTCTTGAGGTATGATATCAATTTAGAATCATGTAGATGTCAGACAGGTGCAAAATAAGTACTGATACAGCATACCTTTTCAGCATGTTTATGGAAAATTTCATTGCAACTGGTCTTTAGTTCAATTTGACCACCATGTCTAAAATCCTTATGACGCACACTGGTGCCAGAATTATAAATTATTTGTATATTATATTTATTAATCATTATCGAGACCCAGGGTCCAACCATGTACGTATTGAAATGACTCGGGACCCCTTTTTGAAATAAAGTAAAGAGATTTTCAATGACATAAATAGTTCTGTGAGTAGCAGTATTTTAAATTTGGATGGGTAAATCATTGAGAAGAGAAAAGATTGACATGTCCAACCGTTAACTTGAATCTGAGTCATTGAGCATTTAAATTAAATATCAGTTATGAGAATCAATTATGAATTTATTTCCAACTACTGTATAAAGCTATAAAAGAATCAGAAAACGGGGTATATTAAACGCGACTGCAACGCTATATGGGCAATGTAAATGTGGGAAAACCAATTAGTCCTGGAGCTCAGTGGTAGACGACTTGCTATATGCAATTGTGAAACTTGTGCATGTAAAACAATGGCTGCAATATTTATGTGGGAAAGTAAGGGATCCTGTAGCTCAGTGGTAGAGGACTTGCTATATGCATTTGTGAAACTTGTGCATGTAAAACAATGGCTGCAATGTTTATGTGGGAAAGTAAGGGATCCTGTAGCTCAGTGGTAGAGCACTTCGCCAGATGCTGACGGGTCATGGAATTCCTCTGCGATTTCATTAACTCAAATGTTATGTTTCCAGATGTTCTTCAGATTGCACATATCTGTGTTAAAGTATGCCCTTAAGCTGAGACAGGGAGTGGACTTTGATAAACAAGGTATCAACTATGAGATGCTGGTGAAGTATTTAACTGAGGCAAGGGACTCACCATTTGCTTTGGCAAGAGAGAAAAAGAAGGAAAAACGAGACAGGTAGGCCTATGCACGTATACATTTGGAGAATAAAGTCATGATTTCTGAATTCCTAATGAATAATTTGTGGCTATTGGTGGCTAAGAAATTAGAATATAGTTTACAGTAAAAACATACAGACCTATAGAAATCATAAACAAGTTGGAATAATTATGTGCATTTGTATTAAATTCATAGAATTAAAAAGATCTGGTGTTGACATATTGTTATAGCCTCTAACTTTCTGTGGATGGTGTTTGGCAATTGGTGTTTGAAGTTTGGTGTTCAGCGGTGGGCCTCAGTAACGAAGGACAGGTGTTGACATTTTGCATGTTAATCCTTATGAGTTAATGCCTTGTATATCTTGGTAAGGATAGAATCTACTCTGCAAAATTACATTTTCTTCCCATTTCAGCCAACGTGATACCTCTTCTGCAGATGAGAACTCCCAAACCAGTCAGGGATCAAACCAAGAGTTGATTCCCCGCTCCAAGTCTCGGCCTACATACCACCAAACACCACAGGATCACGATTACTCAAAATCCAAGACTCCCGGGTCATCCAGCGATGCCTCTGGTGAGAACAGACACGCTAAAAGCGACAGTGATGATGTTTTCTCACCAATGAGACCAACACCCAATTTGGTTAACATGGAAATTGAGATTTCAGCATTTTCTAATAGTAAGGAGACTGTCATAGAAGAACCTCAAGTTGATTCTGATACTGTACATCAAACGGACAATGATTCAAGCACAGCAGATGATAGAGCTAAAGATGCAAAGAAAGTTTCACAAGATGTAAAGGATATTCTTGAAGATGTCATCACTAAAGTTGAAACAAGCGACAAGGCCAGTTGTGAACTGAAATACAAACAGCCAGCTGATTTTGATGATATAAAAGTCATTGAAAAGAAGCTAAATGAAATGGTGGAGGATGTAGAAAATAAACAATTGGAAGACACTCAAGATGATAAGGAGAAGGATAAACCTTCTAAAGTTCAAGTTGAGACTAGCAAACAAAGTGTTGAACATGAGCTTAATACAATTGACACCACTGAACCTGTCAGATGTGATGAAGAACCGCAACATGATGATTCAAAACTTGATGCAAATGTCTTATCTGATAGCATCTTAGAAACAACCTCTAAGACTGTTGCATTAAAAGCAGATTCGCCTATGGAAGGAATTGATGTCAAAGTGGAACAAATGGAAACTCCAATGGAAGTTGATACAGCTGAAACAAAGGGTGAAATTAAAATGGTTGATGATATTAAGGACTCTCCTAAAGTGAAAGACATCATTGATGATCTCCCAGGTAGCATTGGTATCCCAAGTCCTGATACTCCATTCTTTGATGCATTGGATGTTCCACCAACATTGGAGAGAGAAATAAGTAGAGAAGGTAAATCAGGTGATAACATCCTCCCACCATCATTAGAAAAGAAACCAGAGGATATTGTTGATTTGGTTGTCAAAGAAGAAAAGGACAATGTAAAGAATGAATTGGGAGATTCAATGATGAGCAAAAGTGCTTTTCCCCCATCAACTGAAAATAAGGTCAAAGATGAGGTAGATGAAAATGTCAAGGGTCAAGACATTGTTGAGCCTGACATAGCTCAAATGATCTGCAGAAACGAGATAGGAGAGGAGGGCAATAAAGATATCAGTGAACAACAAATATTGAATACACCTAACCCTATTTCTCTGATACAATCTGAATCAGATCAACCCCCAACCAAAATCAGAAAATTAGATGATGAAAGTGAAATTGAATCTCAAAATATTGAAAGGTTAGTTCAAGAGACAGATGTATCAAACAAAGTACACACCAAAAAGGACAATACTGAAGAAATCAAAGACATTTCAAAGTTGGCTGTGGAATTTAATGAGAAAGCTGTGAGTGATAAACCAGCTGTTCATTGTCCAGAGCTGGATGTGTCTGATCCTTTGAAGGCTCTTGAGAATCTCGAAGCAGTTGCTGCTCAGGTAGCCGCTGAAATAGAGACCTCAAAATTTGATGATAAAAGCTATGATGTCAAACAACTTGAAGCAGATGATCATATTGACAAGAAAGCTGATGAAAATAGTGACATTGGTGAAAAATCCCAAAATAAAGCTGATGATGTACCTTTTGGTGTTAAGGAAAGTTTGACATCACCTAATGACAGAGTTGAAGTTGAAAAGCCAAAGTCTGATGAAAATAAACCTACATACAGCTGTGACAAGTCTACAATTGTTGATAATACTCAAAACACTGATGACAATCCTATATCTGGTGATGAAAAAGGTAGTAAACCAGTAGCAAGTGATGAAACCCAATCTTACAAAGGAATATCAGAAGAAATGGTGCTTGATCCAAGAACTGGTAGGAATTGAGTTTTATTTGTAATTGATCCTCCTTTAAAGTAAATAAATATAGCTATGTAAAAGTTTTTTGAGAAACCTTTTCATGGCCATGTCAAGAAAACCACTGGTTGGTTTCTTTACCTTTCTGCCTCCTTGGAGATGTGATTATATTTATTAATTCATGCTATGTGCCTTACTATATGCGAAAAAGTGCAATCTGTCCAACTGGCCGAATGTTTATTTAAACCACATTTACTTCAGGAGAGATGGTCCCAGTCAGTCAGCTGAATGAACCAGTTGATATCAAAGTTCCTGATGATCCCAAGACAAGCCAATCACAGCCTCTTAAATCTCAAACTGACCAATCACAGCCTCCTCAGACTGTCGAATCAAATTCAAACGAACCTATGGATCTCTCAACAACTTCATCAACAACAAACCAATCTAAACCAACCACCCAATCAAATCCTCCGAAAATTGACCAATCAAAACCACTAGTGAAACAACTGGGCTCTGATTGGCTAAAGGCTGTGGAGGAAGTCAAGAAAAAGCCTAGATGTGTGCCACTAATGGATGATTGGTTGCCTGAGAAGGTGTTACCATTGGCTAAGATGACAATGAGGGCATTGGAGTTGTGTCTTACAAGATTCCCGCAACATTACAAGTCCCTTTACTGGTTGGCCTACATGTATTATGCAACTAAAGATTTCAAGGTAGGATTTATCTTCATATTCACACATGAAAAATGTTTTTAACTTTGTCAGTGCTTTATTATACAGTTTTTACATATTAGGCTATAACTTTAATATTACATGCTAAATTGTAGGTCTGTCACATCACGGACACATACACTACTTTTGCCTGTTTTTTTTTCTGAGTGTTTAGTTTTGATAAAAAAATTACATAAGTAACCTTGAGTTACAATGCTAGAACTCTATAATATTAAATATATGATGAATATTCAATAGAAAGCGAATACAACTACATACATGTACGGAAGAAAAAAGAGGCGAGTAATCCAATATGACAATTGGGATAATTGGTCAATTTATACATGCTTTTTACAAATTTTGCTATATCTACAAAAGAAGTGGAAGTGAATTCCTTCTCCATAACCAGTGAAAACTAAAAAAGCTGAAAACAAGTTTGTAGTTGAAAATTTCAGGCAAACGACTAATTAACTATTAACATCGAGCTGTTAGTCATTGTTGTCATAGCTAATGTTGTCATGATTAATTGATATGTCGCAATGATCTAAAAAATCACCTCTTCCAATATACTTTTCACTCAAAAATTTTACCTTCATGGTTTTCTTCATATTCAAATGTTTTTACATAATGCTTCAGTATAAAAGTGTTTTGGCTGATCAGTATGATTGGATCATTTTTAACCTTTTACATTTAGTTTTGTGTACTGATAAGTCAAAATTGGTAAATACTATTGCTTTTTCTGTCTTTTGTATTTTTATTAGTTCCATTGTTTGGGGCTGTGTATTGATGTAATATTGGTAAAAGCTTTTGGTTGTTCATTTTCTGAGTCCCTTTGATTTATATTTGAAATCTCAGTTAAAGGTTTTGGATCTTCATTTTCTGAGTTTCTCTGGTTTCTTTGTGAAACAACGGTTGAAGATCTGGGATCTTCTTTCCGCTGGTTGAAGGTTTGGAATCTTCATTTTTTTGAGTCACTTTTGTTTCTTTGTGAAACACCGGTTGAATGTTTGGTGTTCATTTTTTGATTCAATTTGGTTCCTCTGTGAAACTCTGGTTGAAGATATGGGATCTTCATCCTCTGAATCACTTTGTTTCTTTGTGAAGCGCTGGTCGAGTGTTTTGGGATCTTCGTTTTCTGAGTCACTTTGGTCTCTTTGAGAAACTCTGGCTGAAGATTTGGGGTGTTCATTTTCCAATTCATTTTGCTTTCTTTGTGGAATGCTGATTGAATATTCAGGTCCATCATATTCTGAGTCACTTCTAGGGCTTAGTGAATAACTGTCAGAAGATTGAATGTCTTCCTCTTCTGAGTCATTCATGACCCTGTTTATTCTCTCTTTCAAATTCAATCTCTTGCTATAAGACTCACCATTCTCAAATTTTAAAATGTTTTTAGTGCAAGAAAATTTAAATATTTTCTCCAAAAGCTCACAGTCTTGATTTGCTATATTGTTTAGCCTTTCTAATGCACCACTCAAAGAAAATGCTAGTGATACATGTCGTCCATAGAAGTTGCATTCATTTCTTTTGTCCCATCCTGCAAATATCATCCAACAGTTTGGGTGGTGGTTGTCACCATCTTCTGGTATTTGAAAAACTACGGTTCCACTCTCTCCTGGCTTGCTGTATTCAATATCAGAATCAGTTGGATTTTCATCACAAATAACTACCATGTTTTTTACCTTTGCTGCACTGGATCTTCCGATCGCAACTTCACCTGCTACATCGAAGTCTAGTATTATCCCTCTCCTTTTGTCTGATCCTAATTTCATAACTTGGATATCTTCTTCATCCTCAGTTTCACAATTGTCAACCATATATGTTATTTCCTCATTTATGATACTGTTTTCTTCTTGGTACTTATCTTCATATCCATGATCATCATCACTGCTTACACTTTCAACATTTCCATTGTCTGCTTCACTCTCATCTTCCTTGATGTTTTTATCTTTCTTCTCAATATCTACGTTTGTACATTTTTCAGCACTATTTACACTCTCCTCATTCTCATCGTCATCGTCATCGCTTGTGATCCTATTCACTTTGATGCAGCACTTAGAACATGCTTCATATTGAGAATGTAAGCCACTTGATTGGTCGACCTTAATGCAGGCAATGTCATACTCTTTATACATGTTTCCCAATGCATTTAGATCAATCTCTTCATTATTATCATCATGGAACATGTCAGTGTCAGCCTCTTCTTCTTCACATCCACTGCCAAGAGAAATTCGATATAAAACCTCAGAACCTATTCTATATATGTCTTCTTGTAACTCATTTGTCCAAGATATGTATTCTACTTGATTTTCGCTATTAACACCGCATATTGCAAGACATTGTTCAACCACATGGTTGGCAGTTAAAACAAATATTTCTTGACTCTTGTCATTTTGGTCATCCAATGCAGCTAAACCTCCAATTGTCCCACACGAGTGTTTCAAAGATATGTCAACCTTAACTTCATCATTTGGGTCACCATCACTGATGCGTTCCCTGCTATGTAGAGGTCCTCCTGCACATCCAAGCAACTGAGGGCCATATGATTCATTGCTTTTCCAAGGAACAAATTTGAAGCGGTACCCTGGTATTTGTTGCTTTATGAAGGCAGATGTTTTGTTCACACATCCTTCAACTATCTGTATAATGTAGCTTCCATCATCCCCCATACCATAGAACTGCACAACAGGAATCCTTGAAGAGAAAATTAACATTTTCAACAATGTATATATCAATACACCAGATGCGAGTAGAAATAGTTTGCGGTTTTGAAAAGAGTTTTTCAACTTTGAAAATTAAATTTTCTTTGAAAATGTGACTTCTAGGTCGGGGATATTCCCAACAGATCCCTTGTTGTTAAATCACAAAAAGTGAAATATCTATTCTGCTGTTGGGCATGTAATATATCCTTTTACTGGACAAATTTTAATTTGTTTAACTATCAGATTTAATTTTGTAATATCCTGCCATGTTATTTCCCCCGAATCAGCCACCTGATGGCGAAAGAAGGAACTACCTACTCGCATCTGAGTAATTGAGCAAGTCTTCTACTTCTCAAGGTACAATTTTATGGATTTTTTTCTGGAAAGCATAATTTTTGTTTCTAATGTTTTGTGAATTAGTAATGAATTGTGAGCAATCCTGTGTTGTTGAGTAAAGATGGGTATCGATATGGAACTTTTTGAACACATGTTTCTCTTAAACCAGTCATCAAAAAATTCTGAAAATTTTACACATTGTCAATTTCATGGTCATCTTTTAAATAGTACCAATATAATTGGAAAAATATATATATAATTTCATCTATATTGTTTTAGAAAACACATCAAACACTTGTTTTGTTCTTGATATCATGTTTCCAGAGTGAAATGAAACATCTTTCCGAACCTCATTGGATCAAAACGACATAAATACAACATGTTTAGGTCTCTCAATATTGTAATTGTACAAAGGAGATGTTGGTTGATTTTAAAAAAGTATCTTGTTAATGAAAGAAAAGGTTTATCTTGATTTTTATCTATGTTGGGGGGATTTTGTTTTAATTTTTTGAATACTTTTTTAAAATCAACCAAAAATTCCTTTGTATAACTATAATATTGAGAGGTCTAAAAACATGTTGTATATGCTATTTTGTTCCAACAAGGTTCGGAAAGACATTTTATTTCATTCTCAAGAATTGGTAGAAAGGAGCAAAAGCAATTGCACTAGAAAAACAAAAAAATGTTAACAAAACAGTTATTTAAAATATTTCTAAATAATTTTCGCATTAAATTGTTGTCAACCAGTCAGCATTACATAAAATACCGTGTTTTTTTACAGAATGTTTTTCTTATATATATCACAACAGTCATAGAGTTGGCATTGATCTCTTACTATGTTTACTAAAAGAAGATGAAGCAATATAAATTCTTGAAAAAAGTATACAGACATGTCTCGATACTTTTTATTGTACCAAAAAATAACCTGGGCAGGTAAAGCAATTTTTTCAATTATGTCATACTCTAGATTCATCTTAAAGGAAGCAACATCAACTTCTGTTCCTTTCAAAAGTATCTATTCAATGAAAATGCTTGTTCAAATCCTTGCTTACCACCATGTAGGGTTTTGCCATGGGTTTTCAATTATATAGGTTGTTTTCTATTAATTTGTCTTGTTTACCTTTGCAGCAGGTTGTGATGGCATGGTTTTAATCGTTTACTTGTCTTTCTCGTAGCAGATTTCAAAGGTTGTTGGGTCAATTCACTGCTGTTTCTTTCTGTATCGTTGTTTAAAGATCTACAAGCATATATCAATGCAGTACTTGGTGTGAAAAGAATAGTCAAATGCTTGGAGAAAATAGATTTGAGGTAATATAAGATTGGCAAAATATGATATATGGGTTATTTGAATATAGCTATTGACTATATGCATTTGTTTAAGTTAATTTATTGTTACATATACCTTAATTCTGTCACAATCATGTATAATGAATATCTGAAAGTTGCATCAGCTAACTCTATTTTGTTTTAGGGTAAAGCTTGTTTTCATTAAGAACAATGTTTCTTTCTTTTGAAATATTTGTTCAAATGAATTTCCTATTGCCAAATCAGGTTGGTGACATGTCATCTCAACCCCAAGTCTATTCAATTCTGTAAAACTCAGTCCAATATATATTTATTTATATTGAAGCCATCTCTATCATAAACGAGGAATAATACCAATTAATCTTACCTCTGTAATTGATCTTCATTTTGCATTTCCAATTTTTCTGATGTTTTTTTCAGTTCAACTTGCATTTGTTGCAGTCCACCTTGGTCTTCTTGTAGTTTGTTTAGTTTGCTATGTACTGTCTTCTTTTCTTGTACTTCATTTCTTTCTTTTTGTTCTTCATTTACCTCTTTCTCTTTTGCTCTTACTACCTCATTTAAATGTTCATTATAACTTTTTTGTTCTTTTCTTTTGGTCTCTACTTTATGACAATTATGTAGTTGTTCAATGATAGCTGAAATCTCACTGATGTCATCCGGATCCTTAAACAGGATGAAGTTAGTTTGCTCTGAAGGCAGGATTCCATCGTTAATTAGACATTTCATTGTATATGTGTATTGTCGGCTGTTTGACACACAAGTTTGATAAAGAGACTGCCTTGCCTGATATGATATATTTAATTTCCATTTCGCTTTCATTGCATCGATTTGTGTGGTAGATTCACGTTGCTGATCATCTGTTGCATTTCTATTTAGTGACTTGAGTTTTTTGTAATTATCATCTTTGGCCCCCAGTATGGTTAAGAGAGAATATATTTCACTATGTTTAGGGTTGGACTTAGATATGTATGTCAATGCTGTGTTGCCATAATCATCAATAACATTAACATCTGCACAGGCATCTGTAAATATTCTGACCCATTTAATGGATCTTTCCTGAATACTTATCATGAGTTCAGTTTTGTTACTGCTATTCCTGGAATTAACATCAGTACCATGGTCTATTAACCACTTTGCACATTCCAGAGACCTAGACTTACAAGCATACATCAATGCAGTCAAGCCAGCATTGTCCCTAGTATTGACATCCACACCATGCTCTATTAACCATTGCATACATTCCAGAGACCTTGACTTACAAGCATGCATTAATGCAGTCCAACAAGCATTGTCCATAGCATTGGCATCCGCACCATGGTCTGTTAACCACTGCATACATGCAAGAGACCTAGACTTACAAGCATGCATAAATGCAGTCAGACCAGTATTGTCCTCATCATTGACATCTGCACCTTGCTCTGTTAACCACTGTGTACATTCCAGAGAGCTAGAGTCGCAAGCATGCATTAATGCAGTCCAACCGCTTTTGTCCCTAGCATTGACATCTGCTTTATGCTTTGTCAACCACCTTGTACATTCCAGAGAACCAGACTTACAAGCCAGCATCAGTGCTGTCGAATCATTATTGCCAATATTGTCCACAACATTAACATCAGCACCATGCTCTGTTAACCATTGAGTACATTCCAGAGAGCCAGAGTCACAAGCGTACATCAATGCAGTCCAGCCATTTTTTCCACTAGCTCTGACATCTGCACCATGCTCTGTCAACCACTTTGTACATTCTAGAGAGCCAGACTTACAAGCCAACATCAAAGCAGTCCAACCATCACTGACCTTAGCATTGACATCAACACCCTGCTCTGTTAACCACTGAGTACATTCCAGAGCGCCTGAGTCACAAGCATACATCAATGCGGTCAGACCATTATTGTCCCTAGCATTGACATTTGCACCATGCTCTGTCAACCACTTTGTACATTCCAGAGAGCCAGAATAACAAGCCCACATCAATGAAGTCTCATCGTCATTGTCCCTAGCATTGACATCTGCACCTTGCTCTTTTAACCACTGAGTACACTCAAGAGAGCCAGATTTACAAGATAACATCAATGCAGTCACATCATCATCGTCCCTAGAATTAACATCAGCACCATGCTCTGTTAACCACTGTGTACATTCTAGAGACCCAGAGTCACAAGCATGCATCAATGCAGTCCTACAACTATAGTCCCTAGCGTTGACATCTGCACCATGCTCTGTTAACCACTGTGTACATTTAAAAGAGCCAGAGTAACAAGCCAGCATCAATGCAGTCTCATCATTCTTGTTCCTCGCATTGACCTCTGCACCATGCTCTGTTAACCACTTTGTACATTCCAGAGAGCCAGACTTACAAGCCAACATCAATGCTGTCGAATCAATATTGCCAATATTGTCCACAACGTTAACATCAACACCATGCTCTGTTAACCACTGAGTACATTCAAGAGAGCCAGATTCGCAAGCATGCATCATTGCAGTCCAACCATTTTTTTCCCTCGCTCTGACATCTGCACCATGCTCTGTCAACCACTTTGTACATTCCAGAGAACCAGACTTACAAGCCAACATCAATGCACTCCAACCATCATTATTCATGGCATTGACCTCTGCACCATGCTCTGTTAACCACTTTGTACATTCCAGAGAGCCAGACTTACAAGCCAACATCAATGCACTCCAACCATCAATATCCATGGCATTGACATTTCCGTCATGCTCTGTTAACCACTGAGAACATTCCAGGGAGCCAGAGTCGCAAGCATGCATCAATGCAGTCCAACCATCAGTGTCATTATTATTGACATCTGCACCATTCTCTGTTAACCACTGTGTACATCCCAGAGAGTCAGAGTAACAAGCCAACATCAATACTGTCTCATCATCATTGTTCCTAGCATTGACCTCTGCACCATGCTCTGTTAACCACTGTGTACATCCCAGAGAGCCAGAGTAACAAGCCAGCATCAATGCAGTCCAACCATCATTGTCCATGGCATTAACATCTGCACCATGCTCTGTTAACCACTGTGTACATTCCAGAGAGCCAGAGATGCAAGCATGCATCAATGCAGTCCTACCATACTTGTTCCTAGCATTGACATCTGCACCATGCTCTATTAACCACTCTGTACATCCCAGAGAGCCAGAGTAACAAGCCAACATCAATGCAGTCCAACCAGTAATGCTACTAATATGAACATCTGCACCATGCTCTGTTAACCACTGTGTACATTCCAGAGAGCCAGAGTCACAAGCTAGCATCAATGCAGTTCTACCAGTAATGTCCCTAGCATTGATATTTGCACCATGCTCTGTCAACCATTTTGTACATTCCAGAGAGCCAGAACTACAAGCATGCATCAATGCAGTCCAACCATCATTGTTCCCAGCATTGACATCTGCTCCATGCTCTGTTAACCACTGTGTAAATTCCAGAGAACCAGACTTACAAGCATGCATCAATGCAGTCCAACCAGTTTTGTTCCTAGCATTGACATCAGCACCATGCTCTGTTAACCACTGAGTACATTCCAGAGAGCCAGACTTACAAGCCCACATCAATGCAGTCCAACCACCATTACTCTTAGCATTGACATCAGCACCATGCTTTGTTAACCACTTTGTACATTCCAGAGAGCCAGACTCACAAGCCCACATCAATGCAGTCTCACCATACTCGTCCCTAGCATTGACATCTGAACCATGCTCTGTTAACCACTGTGTACATTCCAGAGAGCCAGACTCACAAGCCAGCATCAATGCAGCCCAGCCATCATTGTCCACAGCATTGACATCAGTACCCCTCTTTTCCAATAAATCCATTGTTTCTCCACTAAGTTTCATAGTTTTCTGTAATGCCCATAGAAGTGTCTCTTTAGGGCATGTGGATATTCCATGGAGGATCAACTGCAGCTGATGTTCATCTTTATTGTCAATTGCATCTTTAAGATCTGTATCAACAGCCATTTTCGCAATATGTTCTATTTATTATCTCCAAATGTTCATTATTTCACATTTGTTTATTATAACATGATCATCCTGTCCAACCAGAGTAACCAGTGACATGACAATATGCAGCTCAAACTCATTGAAGAATTCATGTCTGTATTTACAAATACTGATATATGTTTTTAACAACCGTGTTTTTATTACACTTATCAAACTTATCGAGTGAAAAGCAAATATGAAACTCAAAACCTCAACCTCATTTTATAAAAAGCGTTTTGAATCAATCAGATCTTTTCAAGTGCTAAACAAATATACTTTTTGTCATGCAACCTATGTGTTCTGTATTCAGTCCCAAATTGACGTAAAATCCCTATTAAGCTGATACAAAAGTTCATTTATTCCATTTTACAGTGGGCGGGAATACACTTATAAATGCATGCTGGGAAGCATAGTCTTAGTACACTGAACAAACCTACATATTATTTGTAGTACCCAGGTAGTTTGAATCAATAACTGAATCAATACATACCCTGTATATTACATGCCTTCTTATTTAAGCTAAACAGGAAATCTGAATTTAATATTGATAAATTGGTTTTCAAAACTACCACCATCCTGGTTATAAACTGCCCTGTCAACCCCCACGCATAAGACGTGATTGTCACGCATTTGCTGGAAAAATTGAAATCACGCATAAAGGTCCATGTGCAGTATGGCAAGTGGTTTTAGACAGTCATATCTTTCACCATGGGTACTTTCTGGCCATCAATACTTACTTATTAAAACAACTTGTTTTCTTTCAAGTGAAGTCCCCATGGTAGTAAAATATCAATCCAACTCTCTGAAAAATTATGGATTAGGACACTACCTTGGCACTTTTTTAAAACTGTTAGGCTCATTTTCTAAAAAGTTAGAGGATTTTGTTTTTCTCAAATTGAACATATCAAAAGTTTCTTCTACACTATATTAACAATTTCAGAAAGGGGATGTGTATTGAAATGCGTTAAAGTTAAAAACCACATATCCCATGTTATTTTCCCAGAGGGAAAACTCGTGCTATCCATTTTTTATTTTATTTTTTTTTATTTATTAAAATCATATATACATATTTACATAATAATGATAAAGACACCCCAGGGGGTGTATGGCTTATCACAAGCTAGAACATTTTAGAATTGCATATCATTAAGTTGTAATTCTTTATAAATTGTTTTAAATTTAGGTGCATATACTCTTGAATTTACAATGTGTCATCAAAATTTAAATCAGGTAAGCCAAGCTGGTTGACAGTATAAGTAAAATGTTTAACATGATATAGTTGAAAGATATAAAATTGATTTATGGATACCGGTGCATCTGTTTAAAGGTAGTACAGAGTACTAATCATAGAGACTAATAACGTGTCTTTTAAAAGCACACTTTAAAATCTGAAAGGTTTTGGAATTTTTGATGTTATCTGGAGCTGAATTCCAGATTAGTGCCCCTTGAGTCTTAATGCTTCTTTTGCCATGGTTAGTTCTAAATTTGAAAATATGAAGATTGCTAGTCTGCCTTGTGTTGTAGTCATGTATGCGATGATTTGCTTGAAAATAATTACAAAATAAATCATTAGGAAAATTGTCTGGACGGTTGATGCATTTGTAAGTAAAGGTGAGAACATTGAGTTTATAAATATCATTTATCTTAAGTATATTTAATGTACGGAATAGAGGTGAGGATGGTGCTTTATTATATTCACTATTAGTAGCCAAACGGACAAATGTTTTCTGTAATTTTAATAGAGTATCAATATGTGTCTTTCCTGCCCCAACCCAAATCGGGATACAATATTGCAAGTGTGAGTAGATAAGTGAGTAATATATATTCATTAAAGATTTCATGTTGAGTTTGTGTTCAATTCGAAATAGAGTACCAATGGTTTTTGAAACTTTCAGTGCAATTTTGCGAATATGTTCTTTCCAGTTTAAATTCTGATCACCAAGGAAATTAGTTGAAAAGACACGCTTAATGTTTGAGTCTCTAATTTTGATTAAAATATCATTTGGTACCATGTTTTGAGAAGTTGTAAAAACCATAAATTTGGTTTTATCAATATTCAATGAAAGCTTATTAGCCCGGAACCAATCATCTACAGTTTTTAGTTCATTGTTAACATTATCAACTAAAGTGTTAATATTTTTGTCAGAGCATAAAATGTTTGTGTCATCAGCAAAAATTGTATATTTGAATAAATTGCTAGTGGAGATTAGGTCATTCACATAAAGAATAAATAGTACCGGGCCTAAAATAGAGCCCTGCGGGACACCACATTGTATTGTTTTCATTCCCGAGTACTCATTGTCAAAAAAAGTAGTTTGTTTCCTGTTACTGAGATAACTTTCGAACCAGTCCAAGGATTTTCCCTGGAAGCCATAAAACTTTAATTTAGTAAGTAAAATATCATGATCAACCGTATCAAAAGCTTTGCTCAGATCCAAAAAGATTCCTAAACTGTAATGTTTACTCTCCATCGCTTTCCTTAGATTTTCTAGGAATGTTAGACTAGCCAAGCAAGTTGATCGATTCCTTCTGAATCCGAATTGATTGACACAAAATTTTTTAAATCGTTCGATGAATTCATCAGCTCTATTATACATGACTTTCTCAAATATTTTAGAAAAAACTGATAAAAGTGATATTGGCCTGTAATTACTAAAGTACTTTTGGTCATTCTTTTTGAAAATTGGAATAATTTTGGCTATTTTCAATTGATCTGGAAAGACACCGATCGAGAGAGATAAATTAGTCAAATGGAGCAAAGGAGGAATGAATATATCATTTGAATTCTTAACTGTAATTGGTTTAATCTCATCATACCCTGCTGCAGAATCTTTTAACTTATCAATGATTTGTTTAACTTCATTAACGGTCACTCGTCTTAAAAATATACTTTGATTAAAAGACTCTGTCAATTTGTTTAAGTAATATATTGGAGAATGATTAGCATTTGTTATCCCAACGAACAAAGTTCGGTAGGGATATAGTGAATAGTCCGTCCGTCTGTCCGTCCGTCCGTCCGTCTGTCCGTCCGGAAGATAACTCAAATTCTAGTTGACAGATTTTCTTCATATTTGGTGGAAAGATGTATATTGATGAATAGTTTTACGCAAAAAAAAATTTTTTCAAGATGGCCGCCGCTTTAAAAATGACTGGACTTTTTCGCAAAAATCATAAATTTTTCATTCTAAACCAAAGTAATTAATATTATTGTTTGAAATTTTGGTAGTATATTCGCAACATCTATCTATTTCACATATATTCTGTGTTTTTCATCCTGACCCCCAGGGGCCGTGTATGGCAGAAATAGTAAAGCAGTAAAACAGAAATTTTCGCTAATTTTTTGATCTTTCTGAAGTATAGCTTTATTATACTCAAATGAAAGGCAATTAAGAGTAGATTGCAAATATTGTATCTTTTTTCTGATTCGAGCCTCGTAAAATTCAAAATGGCCGTCTAATGTACGATTTCGCACTAATTTTTCGATCCCTTCAAAGTATGGCTATATAATACTCAAATTGGAGGAATTTTGGAGTAGATCACAATTATGGTAATATTTTTCAGATTTGTACCTCAGAAAATTCAAAATGGATCTTTTCAAGATGGCCACTGCTTTAAAAATGACGGGACTTTTTCGCAAAAGTCATAAATTTTCATTCTAAACCAAAGTAATTAATATTATTGTTTGAAATTTTGGTAGTATATTCGCAACATCTATCTATTTCACATATATTCAGTGTTTTTCATCCTGACCCCCAGGGGCCGTGTATGGGGGGTCAGGAAAACAGAAATTTTCGCTAATTTTTAGATCTTTCTGAAGTATAGCTTTATTATACTCAAATGAAAGGCAATTAAGAGTAGATTGCAAATATTGTATCTTTTTTCTGATTCGAGCCTCGTAAAATTCAAAATGGCCCTCTAATGTACGATTTCGCAATAACTTTTCGATCCCTTCAACATATGGCTATATAATACTCAAATTGAAGGAATTTTGGAGTAGATCACAATTATGGTATTATTTTTCAGATTTGTACCTCAGAAAATTCAAAATGGCTGCTTTGCAGGAATTCGCAATTCTAAAATCTAAATTTTTCAATTTTAACCAAAGTAATGAGTATAGGTGATTGGAATTCGGTAATTGATATTTTGTTCGTTGGGATTTGCTACTCCGCGGAGTTGCCATCATCTAGTTTAATTATTTCTGATGGTTGTTATTCTTGAATATTTCCTAATAGACTGTAGCATTTGGAATTAATTGACTTTTCATACCTGCGACACACCTGAGGTATGAATAATAAGTTATGGAATTACGATACATTATTGAGACTAGACATATACATGAAGCAAGTAGGTTCAAAACGTGGCAGATTACAGCAGAATAAACAGGTGGGAAGACTTCAAGAGTTGCGGCTATTCATACTTATAAGTACTGACAGTAAATACTCAGAATGAATGCTACTAACATGGATATAGATTCTATAAACATGAGCATAACTGCCAAAAATACTTCAATAATGAACACCAATGTGGCAAACGTAAATGTAACCACTGACATGAATGCTACAAACATTAACAATACAGAAATATTTCACCCGCATAATATGCCTGCAGGATTAAAGATGTGTCATTTGATTATTGAAGTGATTGTGGCTATAATGACAGTGATACCAAATGGTGTTGTGCTGCTCAGTTACACAAAAAGCAGAGCACTGCAGGCAGAGCGCTATATTCTTCTGATGAGCTTATGCATCTGTGACTTTCTCGTAGGTCTACTCGCCCTTCCTGTCAGCACCGTTTATCATTTCATTCCGATCAACTATGATTATATAAATGAACGCTATCTGTGCACGGCTCGCACATTCATCGTTGTTGTTTTATTAGGCGTCTCCATCTTTCACCTTGCCGTTATATCGCTGCTAAGATTCATAACAATTCAATGGCCAATGCAGCAAGCTCGATTCCTGACATCCTTTACATTGAAGGTGATCGCTGTCATTATGTGGATTCATATGACCTTCATGTGCTTCTTCATGTTTCTCGACAAATTTAACACTTGGACTCCTGATACTGGTAGCTGTCTCATATATAAAATCATTGTTCCTGGCTATTACAAGATCCTTCAGTGGCATATCATTTTGTTTATGTTTGTATGTCTCATCAGTTCCATTATGATTGGATACATTGCATGGAAACAGAGCAAGAAAATCGCTCAAGTTGTTGGTCTCTCTGATGCTAACAAGGAAAAGGCAAAAATGGAGAAGAAATATACAAAGACATTACTGTTGATTGTTGGACTCTTCTTCTTAACATACCTTCCCTTTACTATATTTAGCTCCTTTCGATTTGATATAGACTCTGTATGGCTACAAAGTTTTGGATTGTTTGTTTCCATATTTGGATTGTGCAACAGCGCAATGAATCCATGGGTCTACGCTCTACGGCATCAGACTTTCCGTCATGCCATGTTGCGTGCACTCAAGTGCCCTGGCACCACAACCAATGATTCAAATTTGAACTAGATTCACAAGATAAATGAGGAGGACATTGTGTTTTACTTTCTACCTTATGGAAGGAGGCACTTGAGGAAGGAGATAAACAGTTATTCAACAAAGAGTGAATTTGTCTTAATAATGGTCTGTCTTAATTGATACGGCCACAGTCAGACTCAAAATTAGACCAAAACTAATTTAAGATGATTTTCAAAAGCCTGTTTTCGAATAACAGTGTATTTATTGCCCTTTGAAAAGTTGATATTTTGCCGTTGTCTTGTTTGGACAGTGACTGTTTTATTAAATAGTGTGGTATATTGCATATGAAGTCACTGTCTTTAGGCAGAGTTTTTTCTTTTCTGATACAAATTCCTTCTCAAGACCAAACAAATTATAAATCAAATATCAAAACAATTATTCTAAAAACAGCATGTTGTAATTAATTAAAAAAATCTTGTTGTCATGTTTCAATTAGAGTATGAATATTAGATCACTGCATGCCTGTTGTTCTGTATAATTATGATCTGAACATACCATATTGTCTCAATTATGGAGTACCGTATATGAAGAAAGATACTGAATTGTAAAATTGTCTTATGTTGTCTATCGACACTGTTCCATAACTAGTTACTTTGATGGAACGTCAATGTAACAAAATGGATAAACTTTCTGGATACGAGTTTTTTTTGTTTACGTATAAGTAATGTTGCGGATTATCATTTAGTAAAAAGTTAGACAATATAGTCTAGCCTTTAGAAATGCTCTCAGTTTGATAATTTGATTTTTGAATAAAGCTGTAATTCATGCATTTAGACCATCACTTTTGTTACATTGACGTAAGTCGTCAAAGTAACAGTAACATTGGTAATATAACAGTCTTTCGTCAGTGTAACAAAAGTGAGGGACTAAATATATGAATATATATGCAACTTCATTTACAAAACAAATTCCAAATCGAAGAAACCTATTAAAACTAGACTATATTTGCTAGCTTTGTGCCAAATTATAATCTGCAGCTTGACTTATAAGTAGGTTTAAATCGAGAAAACACAAAACTTGTAAAGAGAAAGATCATCCATTTTGTTCGATGACGTTCCGTTAAAGTAACGAGTTGCAGAACAGTGATCATTGTCAAATCAACGTCTATTTATTGATGTGTTAAGAAAATATTAGAGTGACAGATATAACATAGGAGTTACACCAGAGATCATATATTATGGAATAAAAAGGAGTCAGCAATTTTCTGTAAAACAGAAATATTGCAGTGATGAAAAGAAATTGATGTGCCAGTAAGTGTGTCTGTCTATAGATACAATGTATACTAGATCATAACTGATCTAATAGAATACAATGTAATCCTTCTTTCAATTAATAACTAGTTTCCCAGATCACAGTAGGTAGTTACCAGTTTCACCACCAGGTGGCTGATTCAGGTTAGGTAACATGGTAGATATAGTAGAAAGTTCCCTTAAACTTTAATATTCATCAATTTTAGTAGATCAGTTTTTCATATTACCCTTATGTATCGAACAGTTAAGCAAATGGAAATATGTCCAGTAAAAGAAAATGTTATCTGTCCAATACTTTTTGTACTTTTATAACATGAGGTCTATGGGGAATCTACCCGATCTAGAATGTACATTTTCAGAGAAAATTAAATTTTCAAAGTCGATTAACAATTTTGAGACCACATTTTCAATTATCTGTAATTCTACATGTAGATATCAAATATGATATTACTTTCACTAACTTTTGAATATTTAATGACATAAATCAAGATTATTTCTACTAGCGTATATAGTTGATTAAACCAACAGGGAACTCTGATGTTTGCCTTCACCCGAGGAGAACTGTTAATTAATTTGGATTGCGGGAGCCTAATATGTTTATAAGATTTTATCATTCCTATATATTGTTAAGGCCTTGCTCAAAGAACATGTCCATTAAACAGACTATTGGTCCAGTTAGACTTCTTCCAAAAAACTCATTCTTCCATTTACTTTTAAAACCGATTGCAAGTTGTAGATAAACCTTTTTTCTTGAAATGTGCAATTTCAAAAAGTGGCATTAGTTTTTAGATTCTTTAAAAAATTGGCAGTAAGAACCCCTATCACAAGACTGTCTGAATATGGGTACACACTATGTTCACCATCAAAATAATATCAAAACTTATCATTTTATAGTATTTATTATATTGAACATATAGCATACAAACATTCGGAGTAGAAAAAAATCCAGCTATGTATGAAGTTTACTAATGCAAATCTGAAAAACATTGACATTTTTGTTCATTTTATCATCAAGTTTAAGCATCATGCTCATTCCCTTTCATTGAAAATTTAACCATCAGCCCAAACTCCCACAAAAAAGATATTGAAATTGTATAATGCAGAGACTGTGAAATAGCTTCCCTGCAAATATCATTGTTGTGGGAGCATGGGCTCACCACTAAAACTTAAATTTTGTGATGAAAATAAGGCTGACTGGTTTATGTTTTCAATATGGCTGCTAACCTTGGCATACATGATTGTGCACTACATAACTGCAAGTACAGATTGGGCCATTCAAAATTGATTATATGTTGGCATTCTGATGAAGGGCCTTGCATTAATAACTACAAAACCTTTATTTTTTAAAGGGTTTTATATATTATTTAATAGTGAAAATGCAATATGGGAAGGCACGTAACTTACCTCTTGATTCAGATGACCTTGTTAATGAAGACAATACCGAAGATTATATACACATAGTTTTTAATCAATCTTTACTCATTTCACTACAATATAATCCAAGATCAGAATTCCCTTTGTCATTTATATGCATTACAAGTACAGAGTACATGGGATTATTTTGTTTTTTTCTGAAAACAGAATTTAGTGACATTAACTATAAAAACATCTTTGAATGGCCTAAGTGTTTTTCTAAAAGGGTATAAGTAGAGAATTTTAAGCAATCCTTTGAGTGTCATGCCATTTATACATGATGCTGCCTTATATTTTATATTGAAAGAGGATTTCTCTGAATTATTTGTGTTTCAAATATGGGTACTGCAATTGGCAAATAACTTTGAAATTAAGTGTCCATACAGACATTTAATTATCCCAACGAATGAAGTTCGGTAGGGATATAGTGAAGCCCTCCGTCCGTCCGTCAGTCAGTCCGTCCGTCCGGAAGATAACTCAAATATTAGTTGACGGATTTTCTTCATATTTGGTGGAAAGATGTATATTGATGAATAGTTTTACGCAAAAATTTTTTTTCAAGATGGCCGCCGCTTTAAAAATGACGGGACTTTTTCGTAAAAATCATAAAGTTTTCATTCTAAACCAAAGTAATTAATATTATTGTTTGAAATTTTGGTAGTATATTCGCAACATCTATCTATTTCACATATATTCTGTGTTTTTCATCCTGACCCCCAGGGGCCGCTAATTTTTAGATCTTTCTGAAGTATAGCTTTATTATACTCAAATGAAAGGCAGTTAAGAGCAGATTGCAAATATTGTATCTTTCTGATTCGAGCCTCGTAAAATTCAAAATGGCCGTCTAATGTACGATTTCGCAATAATTTTTTGATCCCTTCAAAGTATGGCAATATAATACTCAAATTGAAGGAATTTTGGAGAAGATCACAATTATGGTATTATTTGTCAGATTTGTACCTCAGAAAATTCAAAATTGATTTTTTCAAGATGGCTGCCGCTTTAAAAATGACGGGACTTTTTCGCAAAAATCATAAATTTTTCATTCTAAACCAAAGTAATTAATATTATTGTTTGAAATGTTGGTAGTGTATTCGCAACATCTATCTATTTCACATATATTCCATGTTGTTCATCCTGACCCAGTTAAGAGTAGATTGCAAATATTGTATCTTTTTTCTGATTCGAGCCTCGTAAAATTCAAAATGGCCCTCTAATGTACGATTTCGCAATAACTTTTTGATCCCTTCAACATATGGCTACATAATACTCAAATTGAAGGAATTTTGGAGTAGATCACAATACACTGTATTATTTTTCAGATTTGTACCTCAGAAAATTCAAAATGGCTGCTTTGCAGGAATTCGCAATTCTAAAATCTAAATTTTTCAATTTTAACCAAAGTAATGAGTATAATTGATTGGAATTCGGTTATTGATATTTTGTTCGTTGGGATTTGCTACTCCGCGGAGTTGCCATTATCTAGTTATATCATTTGCAAGAGTGGGACCTATTTCAGTAAAATAATCATTAAAAAGATTAGCGATTTGTTAATGATCTTTGATTAGCTTATTAATATGGATAAACTGCTTGTCTATCATTTTTGATCGTTTTCCTCTATTAAGAATTTCATTTATATTTTTCCATGTTTCTTTAAGATTACCTGAACAACTGTTGAACTTGTTTTTGTAGTAAAATCGTTCAGAGTTTCGTATTACTTGTCTTAAAATGCGTTTAAAGGTTTTATATTCATTGATTTTCGTTAAAGTTGGATGTTTAATAGATTTCATATAGAATTTGTTTTTTTGCTTAATTGATGTAATTATACCTTTAGTTAGCCATGGTTTTTTATTGTTAAATCTGTATGTCATATTTCTATGCATATATGGGAAACATTCATTATAAATTGTCTTAATCTTCTGAATAAATAGATCATACTCAATGTTCACATCAGTACAATTTAATACATTATCAAAATAAATTTTTGTTATTTTTGTCTTAAAATCATCATGGTTTTGTTTTTCATTAAACGAAAAAGAACTTTTTCTGTGATTTGTAAATCAGCGGGCAGATCTGCTACTGCAAAAATAGGAAAATGATCTGAAATGTCAGTCATTATAATTCCTGATTTGTTGATATTTAATGAATTTGTGAAAATGTTATCTATAAGAGTGGCTGTTCTTGATGTTACTCGAGTAGGTCTATAAATGATAGGGTAAAGATTAAAGAAATACAAAGTGTTCAAAAAATGTTCTGTTCCAGCATGATCTGTGTTCAGTAATTGATATTGAAGTCCCCCATAAGAAAAATATCTTTATTTTCCTTTGAAAGTTTTCCTAAAAATTGGCTTAATTCGTGATTAAATACTTCAAGATCAACATCAGGAGGTTTGTAAACAACTGTAACCAAGATATTTCTATCATATTCCTTATTAATTTCAATAGTTATTGCCTGCATATCAAAATCATTTCTTATAATTAGATCATCTCTAGTTTCATATACAATATTATTCTTGATATAAATGCCAACTCCACCACCTGTTCTTGTGGTTCTAGAAATAAATTCAGAGTTAAATCCGAGTATGTTGTAATCTGATTCATTGCTCTCTTTAAGCCAAGTTTCAGTAACACCAAATATGTCAAAGTGATTATTGGTCAAAACATTTAAATTTATAACTTTTGAAAAATTATGAGGCAAGCTCCTCACATTTGCACACCCAATAACCATATCATTTTGTTTCCTAGAATTCAAATTAGAATTTACAGTTTCAGGGAATTGGTATTTACAAGAATTCATTAACTTTTGGGTATGAATATCCAATAATGTGATTTCATTATCATTTGGATTTGAACCAATCGCATTATCAGTTCTGGGGTCAAAGAGTAGATTCTCAAAATGATGTTCCTCCAAATAGTCATCTAAGTGGAGAAAAAAAGGCAGATGCACCATAAGATTTATATCATTTTCAGCCATTGTCAAAGGTTAAGTTAATTATTATCATGTTGTTGTTGTATCTACCAGTTTTTGGCAAAAATATTGAGTCTATGAATTTTACCAATATGCACAGGTTATCACCTATAATTAAGTCAAGTGTCAAAGTAGGAATTCACCAATAAACACAAAATATTAAACACAAAATATATATACATGTAATATTCAGTTAAACAATATATACAGGTAAAGTTACAGTATCTTGTTGTAGTAATATGTACATTAGCTACTGGAGGGGATGAACAAGATACATATGTTATTCATGTAACCCTCAATGGCCTCATCCCTAAAATTTGGTCCTTGTTAAAAAGAAAATAATGCTAAGATGTTCAAATACCCCCTCCCAAAATTACACTACATACTATAACTACTGTTTTATTTGTGAGAAAAACAAGGGTAGATGTAGGTTAAAATATATATACAGTAGGACCTTAATACATCTATAGATGAAATATAAAACAATCTAAAATTTCCAGTTTCATGGTCAACAAATATAGTTATTCCACTTCTTAGCTGTCCAAGTTATAAGACCAAGTTATCCGATCACCCCCCCCCCCCATCAAACTTCAGAATGTAAATACTATATTTGGGTGAGAAAACATGGACAGTATTAATTGAGGTATATATATTTTAAAGACAGTCAGAATTGAAGGCATTTATGATAGGATATATACAACACCTTTTACTATATAATCTCTATAGTCATATTCAGCAAGTGTAAACAGTTTCAGATATTGACCTTTGAATATTACAAGGTAAGGCAATACCAAAACAGAATAACATGGATTATAACCACCACCCCCCCCCCCCCCCCATCAATCGAACGGTTTGCTATTTTGCCTTGTAAAAGCAATCAGATGTTTTAACCTGAGAAGTAAGCATGGACAATAAAAATTGATACTCACAACAAGAAATAGCATTATGGGCTGTGATACCAAACTTTGCAGTTTTATGAATAAAATTGAAATGACTTACATAATGCCAATACTGTTGTTTAAAAGTGGTGTATTACTGGAAGTTAAGCACATTCACTCATTAAGTTATTTCAACTCACATATAAATAGCAAGGACTCATTAGTAGCCTTCGAATAAAGTAAAGAAAAAGTAAAGAAGTTCAAAGTAAAGAAAAGACTAAAAAGTCCAGAAATTGATCTGGTATAATAGGTAAGTGTATTCAAGAGGCTTGGAGATTTGCTAGCATCTCAATGTGATTGCTGAAAAAAACCAAAACATACTATTTACAGTTAGGGACCAGTCATTTTGCACACTATTGATCTAAGTTATATTAAAAGCTCCAAGTCTAGCTGTATCCTTCACAAGTTTCCTAAAAGGACCAATTAATTGTTTGTTTAGTGGACCTCTTTTCCATTTGGTGATGACAATGATACCCTTCTCTATTTCAAGTTTACCCATCATTTCAAGAAGTTCCTTTCCAGTCCATACTCCGTTATCATCATATCCCTCAACTGTACCTCCTGATTTACCAGGTACACAATAAGCATAGTTTTGGTCATTGAAAATGGATATCAAAACTAGACTTTCAATACCATTCTACTTTTTCAAGAAGTTTTAGACCCCTTGTTGAATAATCTTTTCATGCAATAAAAACCAGAAAAAGAAGATCCTCTTTTGAGTAAATAGGTTTTGACATGGGGTCCCTATTAATAATTTTTTGAATTGTTTGATTGATATTTTAATTTTATCATTATGGGTACTTCACTTGAAAGAAGACATATTGTTTTAATAAAAACCACCGTATTTATGCCGAGAAAGTACTCATGGTTAAAGATACGACATATTGCCATATTGCACATGGACCTTAAGCGTGATTGATAAAATGTCACACAAATCATGCATTATTTTGATATTTAAAAAAAATCTGCTTTCTTTAAAAAGCCTATACGTTAAAAAAACGAATGTCGAAAAAAGCGAACGGATTCTGTTCTGACTTTCATGCTAATTATGTATATGTCACGCATTTGGTTCAAAATAGGTTGATAAAGTTTTGTACCTACCCCCTCCCCCCCACCGGGAAAATCCCCCTATTATCTGACTGGTTGTTGAATTTGTTTATCATGATCCTGATTGGCTGCCTGGTTCAAGGCGTGTGTGGGTGCTTGCATGACTCAAGGGGGATTCCCCTCGCTAGCCGAGGAATCAATTGTGTTTAATTCTGAAGGTTGGTTGTTCTGTTGATTATTTCAATATTCAGGCAATAATATACCCATAAGTTATTCTCAAAATATATCCATGGTATGTGAAATATTATGCGAGCAATAATAATGGGACGTCTGAACTGTCTGTAGCATACTGCACCTTTAATTTTGCGGTGTACCGGATAACATGAAAATTTTGATATTTGCTTAATCCATCTGTAAAGTGCTACATGATTTGTACTCTACATGGATGTTATGTATGTGAAACATATTGAAATTCGAGATGCTGTCTGTCCATTTGTCTTTCCATCTAGTTAATTATTTAGTCTGTCCATCCATCCGTCTGTTATCCATCCATCCATCCGTCAGGGCTATAACTCAAATACTATTGGCCCAATGGTACTTTGGGCCAAGAGTATTAAGTTAATACTTTAATGCCTTATGTTAGTGCAGGTTCTTTAGTAGTCGTTTTTAATATAAATTGTTTTAGCAGCATTGTCTGATACCCATTAGACATCCAATGGAATTTGCTATGCTTTGGCATTGCCATTATCTAGTTACATGTACAGGGCTGTCAACTTGGGACCACCTAATATGAGTGACTTCAAAATGTTGGACACCTAAGTCCAAATCTGAACACTTTTGTCCAAATTTTGAACTCCTTTGGCCAACTTTTAAACACCTTTGGCCAAAGTTTGAGCACCTTTGCCAAACTTTGATCACCTCAAATTTTTCGCGCTAGCTACGCTCGCGATATTGTCAACGGGGGGGAGGGGGGGGGGGGGGGGGGAGGTACGAAAATTTCCAATGAACATGCGTGACATATACGGGATTCGCGTGACAAATCCGAACAAATTGCGTTCGGTTTTTTTCAGACGTTCGTATTTTTACCGTATCGTAAACATATTTCGAAAAAATTTCTACAGAAATATTTTTGCGTGACAATTACCAGGTAAAATGCGTATTTGCGTGACATTTTCTGTCACGCAAAAAAAACTGGCGTGACTTCAAATTCTTCAGCAAATGCGTGACAAATACGCAAATTGCGGGACAGTTGACAGGCCTGCATGTATATCATATGTTTGTGTGTTTTAGAACTTGGGGTATGCTAGAGACTTGTTAATGGGAACTAAAGTACCATGGCAGACTTTGGATCACATGCCCTGTGCAAGCCTTCTGCAATTTTACATTATATGTTTGTGTGTTTTAGAACTTGGGGTATGCTAGAGACTTGTTAATGGGAACTAAAGTACCATGGCAGACTTTGGATCACATGCCCTGTGCAAGCCTTCTGCAACTTTACATTATATGTTTGTGTGTTTTAGAACTTGGGGTATGCTAGAGACTTGTTAATGGGAACTAAAGTACCGTGGCAGACATTGGATCACATGCCCTGTGCAAGCCTTCTACATGATCGGAAACAGAACAACTTTTTCAATGTGAGTATTTCTTTTACAGTACATGTCACAATGTAAAATCAACCTATTTTGCTGTGTTCTGGAACCATTTTTGGTACTTTCCCATTGCCTCTTGTGGATACATATTTGCAAAGAGTATGCATCAGCAATATGATAAATATATCACAAGTCATGTATTCATGATATTGAAAATAAAAAATAGACCAATTTAATATCTACCACTTACAAAACAGCATAGACTTTGATATAATTATCATCTAGTGCTATACAAATATGACTGAAAAGATATTTGATTTTTTGTCACCATTTCTCATATATAACCATATCCATACAGAAATGGTCTTATCCCTTAGCTTCGTTTAGGGTGTGCCACCTTTTGGTAGATCAAAGAAGCTAAGATATATTGGCTAGATCAATGATGTCATTGTTGTACTTTTCCCCAAAAATTAGCAATAAGTTTATCCTGTATTTGCTTGGACAGATTGCTACCTACAACCAATGACATCACCAATCTAGCCAATCAATAAACCATAACTTGATGATGTGCCAAAAGGTGGCAGGGAAAGGTCTATTGATTGCAGATATTGAAAATTATATAGAAAGAGGAACATAATGCTTGTATATTATAGCACTCGCTATCTTAATGCTTAATTTTAGGGTATTTGGCGGATACCTATTGAGGAGGTTGACAGGCCAGGGAGTTTCCCGAGTCACCTGAATCGGTGTATTGTGCTCCTTCTTGATGTGTTGCGTGATATCCATGACTCAAGGGGCCTCTATAGTGTCCATTGTGGCTTGAATAGAGTGCCCGATTCACAAAGGTGAGCAAATCGCAGCTCAAGGCTTGGGGGTAACTTCTTGTCTACAAAGTGATGGATATATCAGTCACAGTTTCTCTCAAAAATGGCTGTAACTTTACAAATTTTATTCAACACATAAAATAGTATGTATTAAAATGTATATGGAATTGTTCTTTGTTCAGTCATATAACCAATATGAACATTGAATATTGTATATTAAGATAGTGAAAAATGAAAAATGCTTTGGTATTCTAGAGGTTGACATACTGACACATTAACTGTGTAATACAAATCTTCATTAACGGTATTCAATGTTATAACTCCAAAGTCTATTGAATTATTAATAGCCCATGATAATTTTGTAGGAAATATTTACGAGATGCAGATCGACTTCATTTAGCAAAGATGGCATTCTCATGTACAAAAGACGCAATCCTTTTACAACTTCCAAATATGGCCAAAGAAAAGGATAATGAGAGAATACAGAAATTTATTCTTGGTGAGTCAATATTAAACTACTATCTCACAAATACAATGTATATCATTTAGGATGTGAAAATATTGGAATCAATAGAATAATTGGTAACATGAGAAAAAATATTTGAAATCTTCGGAATTCATTAATAACTTTGGCTAAGTTGAAAAACTCAAGAGCAGATAGAAAACACTGTAAGGTAGTGACATCCTTTAATTGAAGAAAAAATATTTTTATATTACAAGGCAACCAGTGGTAACTGAATCAAGGGAAAGATCAATACCCGGTGATTTCAGCGGGAAGTGGCGTTTCGTTCAGTGGATGAGCTGTGCGCGCATGCATAAATGTGATTATCAATATTATTTAGGGGAGGGATATTCAAGCTGATTTTCATCATAGGCGCGACCCAGGGCTGTTGTCTTAAGGACATTTCATTGAAAATTAGCCATTCGGCTAATAATTTGCAAGAGTGTGTGATCTTATAATGTATAACTGTTATTCAGACACATATTTTGACACGATTCTGTTGGAATTAAGCTTTGAACCGAGAGATATTCACGATTGATATGCACATTTTTGATTGTGCCATTGCTTTTCCATTGCACAATCCATGTATTGATAGAAGTAACAATAATGCAGATTGTTTTACCTTCAATACATGGCGGATTCACTACATATCGGTCTATTAAATACCATTTTGTGCCCTAAATAGTTTTATATTTCCATCACGGCCTCTGGAGCCTGGGTGTGTTTGTCTCATTATGTGTATGCGTGTGAATTGGTGGGGCTGGTAGGGCCACCAATCCCCTGGCTCCGCCCATCCTTTATTCTACTTCCCACTTATTATAATTTATGCTGAATTATTAGGAATTATTTTTCTTGCCAATCAATCGTGAACGCAATCAAAATTTCAGAAAGGATCAATCAGGCAATCGTCCAAAATCCAAATCAAGTTATAACATTGTATGATATTCAGCAAGAAGTCCGGTAGAAATATAGAATATTTAAACATCAAAGCTGAAAGTTAAAAGCTAATCTGTCAATTTTCTGTCTGCAAAAGAACGTTTACATTTGACACAATAAAAGACTGAGGCTTTGAAATCTAGGATTCCCCAGGAAAATATGACGTCATACTAATTAGCATAAGGATTTCCCTAGTGGTCTGGGTCGAGCATCGTCCGAAAACACAATCCGATAAAAACATGCTAATTTCTAAGGAGATGGGAAGTGTATGATGTGTGTATCGATTTTGTTTAACGATTTAATCAATTATCAAATTGTTTAAGTGGATAAAGTGGTCACACTTGCTTCAATTCATAGCGTAATCGACGGATAGAAACTGCACCGAATTCCCGATATCCTACCCCGTATTATGTAGGCTATAACCACAGTGACCTGCAGATGGCGCTATCACAAACAAGTACTGCACGAACCGATAAATTCCTGGGTATTGTAACGCCCTTGACTGAATCAGATGTGATACAGTTGAGAAATGCTATAAGGGAGTGACATCTTTTAATGGAAGAACAAACTATTTTACCACAAGGCAACCAGCAATGAAAATGCCGAAGGGGTGACATCTTTTAATTGGAAGAAAAATTAACTAACATTGCTAGGTGATCTATAGTTGCCTTATTGTGCCAAAATGGGTGATCTATGATTGCCTCCCCATGTCAATATAAGTAAAAGATCAGTTTGTTTGCCCTGTATTAAGATACCTGATATTTTGATTGTGTATATAGAATGTTGACATACTGTTGTAGCCACCATTTTTTTGGCTGTCATTCAGTGTTTGACATACAGTCTTGCTGTTGGCATCTGTAAAAACACTTGTAAATCAAATTAGGTAGTGAATTGTCGTCATGTTAATGTCTTGTTTTCACGTATTTTACCTCAGGGTTTAATCTTTGCTTATTGGGTTATCTAAAAAGATCATTTACAAAGCTATCATGTCAGATCCTTTTCTCTGGCATAATGATAAATTTCAATCTGAAACAAAACCAAATTCAAATCAGGTAATCCATGAAGGATAATAGTATGCAAGGAAAGCTTATAGTTACTGTATACATGAATTGAAATTTTTTCTTAAAATAACTAAAGGATTATAAATCCCAGCATCGTGTCTGCCTGAGATGCCTCAAGCAAATATTAGCTTATTTGAAAGACTAACTAAGAAATGCCTAAATTTGTCAAGATAATTTCAATATTTTTGAAATTTTTATTTGAATGAAATTGATTCTAACTTGTACAACAATGAACATGTAGCCAATAACCAGAACCTTTTTGTTGGATTTCAATGTTTTATGATACATTTTTGACATGTGTTTTTATGTGGTTTCTGACCATGAAATGAGGAACAAGCAAAATCAACAAGCAAACAATATAAAAAGTAAACTTGTTTGCGGATGCAGCTTTTGTTTACTATTCATTTTATGTTTCATGAATAATAAATACCTTTACACGAATCGAGGATATCCTTCACATGTTGCAGTTTCCATCGTTTAATCAGCTGATATTCCTATCATTTATTCAATGTAAACATTAATAAATTCCCTTTAATTAGAATTAGACTTCAGCTTAATTTGATGCATTATATCGAGGGCGTATTGTCCCTATTGTCTCTATTGAATACCAAGAAATAAGATAATACAGTGTTATACACTTTGTTGAAAGAAACAAGGATTCTGAAGAGTTTTGTAAAAATAACTTTGTTTGTTTAAAAGAAATCTTGGAAATTCATCTTGGAGATAAAATCTAATACTCCTTTATTAATGTTTTATTAATTATTTATAGTAAAGAGCTATTAAAAGAGTGGTTTTTAATCAGAAATTGGATTAATAGTACTATATTATTTGTTTGAATAAGTAGGTTGATTAACTTTTTTCAATATGATTATATTTGCTCTAATTACTGTCATATGCAATAGTAGTTAACACGTGTTTGAATAAGGAAGGATACATATTGTATAGTATCTCACGAAAAAGAATTTGTTTTTGAAATTGAATAAAAATATTGTCTATAAAATATCATCCTAGATTAATTGATTGGTTTATTGACACAGCCTGAATCATGTTTGATGGTTGGCCATAATTTATACATTAATGGTTTATAATAGATCTGGTATTTGATGATTGTTTAATTAGTTCGTAAAATATGTATTCTGGTTTATTGTTAGTATTTTTCTTCTTTAATTGTTACCCTTCACCTAATAACAGTAGATTTGCTTAATTTTGCAGTATTTAATTTTGCCATTTGGCCCATATTTGGGAAAATACAACAAAATATCATATAGGACTTATACCATAATAGGACAGCATAGAAAATTGAGTATATTGAGAAAGATTTAAAATGGTGATCTTGTCTCGAGTTAGTTAATCACCAATTTATATTGGCACCAAACTGAAGCCACTTACAGTGCATGTACAGGGTGTCCCTAAAGTACAGGACCCCCATAGGCAGGCATAATCAATGTCTCCATAATATGTGTTAATATATCATTTAAAGGCTCATCCAAAGTTACCAAGTATCATGGTTAAACTCACAAATGGAAAAAAGTAACAGGCATTTCAAAATTTAGTGTGTGGCCAAAATTGAAGTTCAGTTCAGTATCCTGTAAACATCCCTGACCTGAATGTGACCAAAAATATTGGTGCTATAGTCAAAGATAGGATGGATATTGAGTTGAAAAAAGAGGAAGGTAAGGGCAGATACTCCAAGGAAACTCTTCTAAAATGGCTTAAAAAGGTTTTATTGGGATTATAAAACGCCATGACCACTATTTGAAGCTTGTTTAAGGTCATATCTGAAAAGAATTGCTGCTGTTAAAATGGCCAGGGGAGACACACCGACTAAACTTTTTTTTGCCCAATCACTAAATTTTGTAATACCTGTAACTTTCTCATCGATGTAACTTTTGATGAGCTTTAAAATGATATATGACACACACTATGGAGATATTGGTATATGTCTCTCTGGGGGGTCCCATACTTTTGGGACACCCTGTATATTATACAATTAACATCCATTCCAGTGTTTAAAAACATTTCATACTACCAATTTGCAGCCATATGAATAATTCCTATGTTTATTTTCTCATTGATTCACATGTGAAAATTCTGCCACTGCAGAGGCCTATAAGGTGTGGCCTGTGTGGCGACATAACAGCAAGCAGAGTATATGAATAATGCCCATGTTTATTTTCCCATTGATTCACATATGAAAATCCTGCCATTGCAGAGGCCTATAAGGTGTGGCAACATAGCAGTAAGCAGAGTATATGAATAATTCCCATGTTTATTTTCCCATTGATTCACATATGAAAATCCTGCCACTGCAGAAGCCTATAAGGTCTGGCAACATAGCAGTAAGCAGAGTATATGAATAATGCCCACGCTTATTTTCTCATTGATTCACATATGAAAATCCTACCATTGCAGAGGCCTATAAGGTTTGGCAACATAGCAGTAAGCAGAGTATATGAATAATGCCCATGCTTATTTTCTCATTGATTCACATATAAAAATCCTACCATTGCAGAAGCCTATAAGGTCTGGCAACATAGCAGTAAGCAAAGTATATGAATGATTCCCATGTTTATTTTCTCATTGATTCACATATGAAAATCCTACCATTGCAGAGGCCTATAAGGTGTGGCAACATAGCAGCAAGCTGAGTATATGAATGATTCCCATGTTTATTTTCCCATTGATTCACATGTGAAAATCCTACCATTGCAGAGGCCTATAAGGTCTAGCAACATAGCAGTAAGCAGAGTATATGAATAATGCCCATGCTTATTTTCTCATTGATTCACATATAAAAATCCTACCATTGCAGAGGCCTATAAGGTCTGGCAACATAGCAGTAAGCAGAGTATATGAATAATGCCCATGCTTATTTTCTCATTGATTCACATATGAAAATCCTACCATTGCAGAGGCCTATAAGGTTTGGCAACATAGCAGTAAGCAGAGTATATGAATGATTCCCATGTTTATTTTCCCATTGATTCACATGTGAAAATCCTACCGTTGCAGAGGCCTATAAGGTCTAGCAACATAGCAGTAAGCAAAGTATATGAATAATTCCCATGTTTATTTTCCCATTGATTCACATGTGAAAATCCTGCCATTGCAGAGGCCTATAAGGTTTGGCAACATAGCAGTAAGCAGAGTATATGAATGATTCCCATGTTTATTTTCCCATTGATTCACATGTGAAAATCCTGCCATTGCAGAGGCCTATAAGGTTTGGCAACATAGCAGCAAGCAGAGTATAGTGAGAGAAAGCAAACAAGAGATGAACTCAATGTTGGTGCATGTTTATAGTGCCTGTAGATCAAAACAGGTATTTCCCATTCTGATTTTCCCATCCAAAATAGGTACAGTAAAACCTGTATATCCAAACACCTCTCAAAACTGAACACCTATCAATGTGAACACTTCTTTTTGTTTCCAATTTTGCTTTAAGGTTTAACTTTAATTAACTCTTTCTTCCATTCTGATTCACCAGTCCTCATTATCTAGCACTTGTATGAAGTACATTTCAAGAGAGCCTGTAAAACCATATATATTCAATGATGACATGTCAAGCAGTTTTGGGCATCTAAGGAGGTGTGATACAATACAAATAAAATGATGAAATGTCAAGAAAATAATTTTTTGGGGTATTTTTTATTGACAAAACAACACCATTAATCAGTGTTCCATGCTTGCATACAGGTATTTTATATATTTTTGACAACAGAGTGGCTAGGAAGAGATCCCCTACTAGTCTAGTGATCAGTATTTATTCAAAGAGGTCTTCTTCTGTTTATTTATAAAGGGTACACTCTGATGAAAATGTTTATCATATAAAAGCAGTATTTTGTTTAATAAGTTTGAGTGAACTCCAATTATATTTTACATGTGGTTTTATTTCAGCTTGAGGAACAGCCATCTATACTAGAACAGGCCACACGCTACTGTATTCAACACTCCCACACAAAGACGCCACAGGTATGTATGCCTGAGGGAGTTATGGTCCATCAGTGCTCGAGATCCTTTAGTGATTATGGTCATACACTGATTATGGTTGTACAATGGTTATGGTCCTTCAGTGCTCATGATCCTTTAGTGATTATGGTCATACACTGATTATGGTCATACACTGATTATGGTTGTACAATGGTTATGGTCCTTCAGTGCTCATGATCCTTTAGTGATTGTGGTCCTCCATTGATTATTGTCATACACTACTATGGTTGTACAATGAATATGGTTCTTCAGTTATCATGGTCCCTTCAGTAATTATGGTCTTACTGTAATTATGGTCCGTCTTCACCTCTTTGTCAACACTTCTGAATGTGAACACCTTTTAATGTGAACACTTCTAAATGTAAGCCATTGAGCTGATCCTATCAGTGTTCATTGAAGATAGATTTTACTGTAGTATAAGTTTCATAAAACCGTATATTATTTAAGCTTTAAATGATTTTTCAGACTCCTACACACAGCTCTGGACCTAACTCTACCCCATCCACCCCAGGCTCTGTCACATCTCCAAGACCCCAAGCCACTACCCTGGGACAGCAAAAACTAGTGGCTAGTCCGAAAGCTGGGGTAGGAACAATTTTTTGTTTGTTTGTTGTAGTCGCATGTGTTTATATGCATTGCGTGTGAAATTAACTTGAATTGCTGTGTAGATGCTTTATACATTTGTATTGCACATCAAATGTTTGCATTATAAACAAGTAAAGTATAAGGCTTATAAGCAAACATATTATGTTGATAAGTGTTTTTTATTCATTATACTCTCATATTATTTTACATAAATGTTAAATACTGTTTTTTTTTCATTACACTTTCATATTATTTCACATAAATGTTAAATACTGTTTTTTATTCGTTATACTTTCATATTATTTTACATTAATGTTTAGTGTATGCTAGACTAGTCTGCCAGATGGGTTGATTGAAAATATTTTCTATTTATTCATGGTTCAACATTTGCACTCATTGGATGCAAATTGTGTTTAAGTCCAAACATTAACCATAAAATGTTCACTATTCCTCTTCCAAAGAAAGGTCTGAACACACATTCTTGCTTGAACTCTTGAAACAAACAAACAAACAAACAAACATTAAATTAAAAGTCTGTTTTATTAAGTTCCCCGTATTCAGATCCTCATGATTGTTTCAGAAAGATAACCTTTTTTTCTAGCGAAGGCTCAAAGATCACTAATCCTTCATTTGTATGTTCATCTGCCATTCCTTTGTTTATTATCCCATCGAACGAATTTCAGAGGGATAAAGGGAACGCCTCTGTCTGTCCGTCCGTACGTACGTCTGTAAATGGCGGACATTTTCAAAATGGCGGCCATTTTAACTTATTTTACTATAACTCGAAAAGTAGTGGTGCGATTTTGTTCATATTTGGTATGTGAATACTATAAGCATGGCACATTGTCTTTACAAGTACATGTGTGCGATTTTTCAAAAATTTTATAGGTGGCTACTTAAAAGCATATTATATATTTCTTCTGATGACAACTTGGCTAGTGAGCAACCATTTTGAAAATGGTGGCCTTTCTGGTGTGTTGTTTTATGATATTTGCTATATATTTCGTTTGTAAAAATGCCAGCCATTTCTGTTTGATGGGATTCGCTACGCTTTGGCGTTGCCGTTGTTCTGGTTGCCTTTGCATATCTTCTTTTCTTTTGTTTGATATCTCACATTATGGGATGCTCAGTCTTCTCTCCTACAATCCAAGTTTGTTTATTTGGGAATGCTTTTCAAGATATCAGTACTAACTTTATGAATGAGTGATATATATTTTTGCTGTTCAAAGACATTATCATTTTTAGCTCACATGGTTAGCTTTTGCAATCACTCACTTGGTCCGTCTGTCTGTCCGTCCGTTCGTCCGTCCGTCCGTCTGTCCGTCTGTCAACAATAGTGGCACGTTTTAAAATCTCTGTCGATAGGATTCCTTAAGTTATTTCTGTTCAACATCATACCCCTATGACTCCTGGTTCAAAAGCTCGCCTATTTTCAAAATGGCCACCATTTTTGTCTTGCGAAATTCAATTTTGACCCATTTCCTAGCTTTACAAATAATTTCAGGTGTCCTGCATCGTAAAAGAGTAAAGAGTAGTTGTATCAAATAATTTTGTTACAAAAATCAGCAAAAAATTGTATCCTTTTTATTTTATTTTATGTCATTTTAGCCATCATTCACTTTTGAGCAATACCATGTGAGCCCAGTACCCATGGTACTATTTATTAGAACTGTGAGAAACGTAATTTGGTTTAAACCTGATTATTGGTATTTGTGAAGTTGTTATCCCAACGAACGAAGTTCGGTAGGGATATAGTGAAGCCCTCCGTCCGTCAGTCCGTCAGTCTGTCAGTCCGTCAGTCAGTCAGTCCGTCCGTCCGTCCGGAAGATAACTCAAATATTAGTAGACGGATTTTCTTCATATTTGTTAGAAAGATGTATATTGATGAATAGTTTTACGCAAAAAAAAAATTTTCAAGATGGCCGCCGCTTTAAAAATGACGGGACTTTTTTGCAAAAATCATAAATTTTTCATTCTAAACCAAAGTAATTAATATTATCGTTTGAAATTTTGGTAGTATATTCGCAACATCTATCTATTTCACATATATTCCGTGTTTTTCATCCTGACCCCCAGGGGCCATGTATGGGGGGTCAGGAAAACAGAAATTTTCGCTAATTTTTAGATCTTTCTGAAGTATAGCTTTATTATACTCAAATGAAAGGCAATTAAGAGTAGATTGCAAATATTGTACAGTAAAACCTGCGAACAGGGAATGCTCTTCGGACTGGAGGAAAGTTTCCTTGTTCAGAGGTTTTCTCTATAGAGAGGGGCCGCACTTTCAGCAAACTCAGAATTGTTGAATAAGCATTTTTTGTATATATTTGGGCATTAATTGATTTTACCAATGCCGACTCCATACTTGGTCGCTAGACCTTGTTGTGACATCTTGGAAGATGTATGAAAGTCTCCCACCTCCCTCCTTTAGCTGAGGGTAAGGAGCATTCTCCCGATGTTTATTTTAGCCGCTGCTGCTGGCGTATGATGATGTAATTGTTGTAATTGTTGATAATCAATTGTGTCAATCCCTAGATTATCACAACTGATTTGATGTAATTATGTTTGTTGAAAGGAAGAATTAGTGTCATGATAATTAGTAACTAACAGATTAGTATTAGTTTTAAAATATATCAGGGTAATTAACAGTGAGTGGGATGCTACATCTTGTAAACAATTGGCTTATCTTAATCTCAATCATATTAATCCAAGCTTTTTAGAATCAGATATTGGCTTAAGACTTTCACACCTCTGAAAAATAATGGAATATACAGTGTCACCAATATTCCATATTCCTTGTTCACAGGTGAATTTTCATAATTTGCCCCAAAATAGTGTTCCTTGTTCCCTGTTCACAGGTTTTCCCTACAGAGAGGGTCCGTTAACATGTAAGTCAATGGAAAAATATTTGGTTCTTTTGAAAAGCATTCCTTGTTCATAGGTTTTCCCTACAGAGAGGTATTCCATATCTTTTTTCTGATTCGAGCCTCGTAAAATTCAAAATGGCCGTCTAATGTACGATTTCGCAATCATTTTTCGATCCCTTCAAAGTATGGCTATATTATACTCAAATTGAAGGAATTTTGGAGTAGATCACAATTATGCTATTATTTTTATTAGCTCACATGGTGAGCTTTTGCAATCACTCACTTGTCCGTCTGTCTGTCCGTCCGTCCGTCTGTCTGTCTGTCTGTCCGAAAACAAAAAATCGGCAAAATATTATATCTGTTTTTTTTATTTTCAGCCATTTTAGTTAAGGTCAGGGTGCATGATGGGAAATTTTCTGCAGTCCTCAATTGAGTCACATGTTATTTTTCAAACAAGAATCACTCCTTCCCCACATTGTCTATATCTTCCAGTTTTGCACAAAGAGTACACTTATGTACCTAGAAAAGATTTGTGAGAAGAATGTTTTGATAAATTGTATAAAAAACAAGAAAATTCAATGAAAAAATTTAGAAAATTTTCAGAATTTTTTTTCACTGAATTTTCTCGTTTTTTATACATTTTACATAACAAATCTTCTCACAATGCTTTTCTAGGCACATAAGTGCACTCTTAGTGAAAACCTGCAAGATGTAGACAATTTGAGGAAGGAGTTATTCTTGTTTGAAAAATAACATGTGACTCAATTGGGGAATGCAAAAAATTTCCCAACAATCACCCTGGCCTTAACATTGATTTGTTCATCTGTCTCGCGAAATCCTCTTTTGGACCATTTGCCTTAAAACCCCTGTCGATAGGATTCCAGTTTCACGTTATTTTTGTTCAACATCAATACAAAAAAACTCCCCTTTGACTCCTGGTTCAAAAGCTTGCCTGATTTCAATATGGTCGTCTTTTTTGTCTCGCGAAATTCAATTTTGGCCCATTTCCTAGCTTTACAAATAATTTCAAGTGTCTTGCATCTGTTTTTTTTTCAGCAATTTTACTTAACATCGATTTGTCCATCTGTCTCTCCGTCAGTCTAAAATAGTGGCAAGTGGCTTGAAATAATTTTGTTACAAAAAATCAGCAAAAAATTATATCAGTTTTTTTCTGTCACCATGTGAGCCCAGTACCCACGGTACTAATTTTCAGATTTGTACCTCAGAAAATTCAAAATGGCTGCTTTGCAGGAATTCGCAATTCTAAAATCTAAATTTTTCAATTTTAACCAAAGTAATGAGTATAATTGATTGGAATTCGGTAATTGATATTTTGTTCGTTGGGATTTTAGTTGCCATTATCTAGTTTTTAAAGATAAACAACACTCAATTATGGTCATGAGTTTGACTTATCTATTTTTCATTGTCTTTCTAGATGCTCAAAGACACATCAAGTAGTTTGAAACCATTATTATTATAAAGAGCTATCTAGTTGGCATGTGATATGAATGTAAACATACTTAAAAACTCATTGCAATCACTTTAAATGACAACATGATAAATACATAATATATGCAAAAGTAATCTTGTCAATGTATAAAAAAACAAATTGATCATGAAAGGTACACCTCCGATTTTATCTTAATATGGGCATATAAAATGTTCACACGTGGGTTATATGTTAATTTACTGTGTTTTGCAATATTTATGATCTTTCCATATTTGGCAATTGTGCTTGGTGGATGATTGTAGACCAAATATAGATGTATAGACAGTAAGAGTATACTGTTGACTGTGCAAGTTGTAGATGTTCTACATCTTTTCAATATACCAGAGATAGAACCTAACAATTGCTTTGTGTGTCCAAAGAGTAAGGTCTCGTCATTTACTTCATAATGTCAATTGAAACCACGGGATTAGTCATTCTTTCTCTCTTTGTTTCAATATTTCTTCATCAATACTTAGCACTATACATGTAAGTCTATATTCCCATTGGAAGAAGTTTAGGAAGGATGTAGAGAAGCAATGGGTTCATCCATCTATTTAGGCAATAATTCAAATACCAGTCAACAATGATATAATGAAGCCTTCCATCTGTCTGTCCATCTGTCAGTCAGACAAGATGGCCACCACTTAAAAATGACGGGAATGTTTTCTGACTTCTTTAAGTATGACTACAGTAATATTATACTAAAATTGAAGGAAGTAGATCACATTGTAGATGGCATTGTTTTTCTGATTCATGGCTCAGAAAAATTCAAAATGGCTGCCTAGAGCGTGAATTCACTGTTATTTAGAGATCTCTTCAAAGTATGATAACCTTATGCTAAATTAGTCACTCAGATGATTATATCGATGGAAATTTTGATATATCTCTAATGCATGTCTTTTAATATCTGCCAATTTAATCAAGGGTAGAGTAGATGGTAAATATTACGTTGTGACATATACAGATTCATGAATTCAGCGTTTGTTCGAATTTGCTACTCCGTGAAGTTGCCGATTTCTAGTTTGAGAATGAATTTTCAATATACAGTGTATGCATGTAAATTTGAAATAGCCATCATTCTTTAATCAAATAAAATAATTTTTGATATCTTAAATACCAGTTATGGGTGTGATCCAAATTTTATAGGCTATTTTCTTATGGGAATAGGATCTCAACCCAAGAAGAATTTCCAATGACCTTTGCTCAAGAAGGAATTTCCAATAAGGCTACTCAGTTCAAAATGGCCACCATTTTGGTTTGATCATGAAATCCTTAAAATCATTAGTGATTTGATAAAATATATTGTTTGCTGAGATTTTGTGTTGCTCTTTCTCTCATTTGAGTTATGGTGAAAGAACACATATCCTCTCAACCTGTTATGTCAGGCCCACTGTCAAATCAGGATTTTTCAAAAAATGAGCATCAAAATTCAAAAAGCACCTGTATTTTCTCGGTTTACACAACCACCCCTTTCATTAAGCGTACCCCTGAAAGATCCTGCTAATTGGGCTTGCTAATCCCAGGATTCACTGTATTATCCACTAACCAATAATCCTTAATTCATTCATTGTTTCTAATGTTTTTTATCAAAGCATCAAACAGGACCTAAATGGCATAATTGCCAATGTGTTGTAAATGTAAGCTTTGTAATTATACAGTACTTCATGTGATTGCCATTCTACACTTATTATTTTCCAGAAAACATGATCAATTATGTAGAAACCCAATGATAATTATTATTCCCATATATGGTATAATATATGTAAAATGTGGCATATGGAGTCAGAAATTAATGTTTCTACTGTAAACCTTTTCAATTTTCAAAGAATGTGCTTCACATACAGTGTTTACGTTTCAATCTGGGCCAGCTGCTTTTTCAGCATGTATGCTAGAAAAAACTTAAAAACTGGTCTGTATTTAAATATTGAAATCACACATTGTACATTGTGCAATTTTTCAATTACAATTACAATTACCTGTTTCCCAATCCCATTAATGCACATTAATTATTTGCCACATGCTCCTTGATGAAGGCATTTAATTCACCATTAAATAACATAAATATGACATTGATTATCACAATTAATATGCATTGTCAGGATTAAAAATATCATCGCACACAATGTTTTGTAATTTCTACTCGAAATTCCGATGCAACTAAGCCTTTTCAAAGTATTGTTGTACAATTCTGGAAATAGATAAACACATTATTACGCGTAAACATTCTACTGAAAGCAATAGGAATGAATTGCAAACTGTATAAATAACAAGGAATTTATTCCCATGAATAAAATGACATGCTTTAAATCATAAAACTGTGGAAAAAATGTTGTTTGTAATATAAAAAGGAACAGTCATGAGGATAATGAGATAATATGTTATGCACTATTTATAGATTGTCACATTTTCTCTAGTAGACAGAGAGGAAGTATGTAGAAAATGCGTGACCAAAATGTGCCATTGTGTTTACATTTTGCTGAGTTAATAATATTTGCTTACTGGTTGGTGGTGATGTTTGCTTTTGATGTCTCTTCTATTTATTTACTGTATTTGTTGTTTTTATGTTAGAGTTATTTATTTTTATGAAACAGGTGTTTTAGATGTACAGTAATTACTTTTGTTGAGTATCACCAACTCTAATCCAATTGTAATATCCCTTTGAATTGTAATGCTTTATTTAGCTCCATCTTGGCTTAACTTTCTATTCATCCTTCAATTTGTAATCTCTCTTGAATACCAACTGAAGAAACATGTCGTCGTTAACACGTCATAGTTAATCTGCACTTTTATATTTCAGGGAAGCAAAGGCGTGGGTGTAAACAAACAATACCCAAGCTTAGGGATAAATCCACAAATTCGGGAAACCTATCGCCAGGTTATCAAATCAAGCATATCAAACTTGACGACAAAATCACCACCCAAGGCCAAGGATGGTACATCTGTTAAAGACGCTCCTGAAGTAAAGGACAAAAAGGGTGCTGAACAAACAACTGGTACTCCTGAAATAATTGACTTGACTTATGATTCATCAACCCCATCACCAAAAGCTGGTATTAGCAAGAAGATACCTACCCCCTCGAGATTAATGCAGCTTAAAAAGACATCCCAAATGCATGGAACATTATCGTGGAAACAAGCGATGAAATATCGCGCCTCCTCACATAATAAGATCCAAGGGCCTTCAGTGTTGAAGAATACAACAAGCGCAGGACACAAGTATAAAATAATCAGGGGTTTGAAATCAGTTCACCCGCAGAAAGCTCAATCTGTAAATCCTGGTGTCAGCACTAGCTCAGTTACTGGTAAAACTAAACCAGCATATAATGCTGGTCCTTCAGTGGATGTAAAACAACTATTTGGATCACCAAAAGTTGATCTAGGTGCTCCGATTCCATCTGGAGCAAAATCAGTGAAACTTGACAAGTTTTTTGTTAAAGATGGCACAACAATGTCTCAAAGGTCACTAGATATAATCCCATTTAAGAAAATTGCCAAATCTGCCGAAAGCGCTGTCAAATCCCCTACCTTCTCTAGCCAAACTAATCGACCCCAAATAAAGCCTACAACTGTAACCTCATCTCACAAATCGAACATCAAATCCCCGACCTTCCCTGGTGTGAAACCTCATATAAAATCAGGGCAAGTTTCCAAACCGCCACAAGGTAATGTAAAATCACCAATCTTCCAAAGTCAGTATGTCAGACCAAATTCTGCAACAACTGTAAAATCTCCAATATTTCCTGGTCAACCTAAGCCTCAAATGAAGCCAAAATCAACAGATGGTTCGATCGTTGGAAGGTCATCAACCATTGGTACTCATAAACCTAATGTCTCACCCCAGAGTGGAACTATGAAACCTCAAAGTGGCACCATGAGACCTCAAGGTGGTACTGTGAAACCCCAATGTGGCACTATGAAACCCCAAAGTGGCACCATGAAACCCCAAAGTGGGAATATAAAATCCCAGGGTGGCACTGTGAGACCACAAAGTGGCACCATGAAACCCCAAAGTGGTACCATGAAATCCCATAGTGGTACTTTGAAACCCCAAGGTGGCTCCAGTAACCCTATTACTTCACCACAGCCACTTTACATTGGACCTGTACCATCCAAAAGTAGTGCACCAATCACAAAAGATCTTCCTGAGTTTGCAAGAAATCTCCCGGCTTTCAAACCAAAGATTCACCAAGAGAAACCCAATCTGCCAAGCCCAAATGCTCCTCACAAGAATAGCCACCAAAGTGTCACTCAGACATCAAAACTACAGAAAGCTACAACTACAAAAACTTCTGGCCAATCAGCTACAACTACAAAAATTTCTGGCCAATCAGCTACAACTACAAAAACCTCTGGCCAATCAGCTACAACTACAAAAACCTCTGGCCAATCTAAACCTGAAGGGTTTTCAATTTTAGTACAGGCAAAATCTCCAGACATCATCCTCTTGGATTCTGATTAAAGTTTTATAATATTATTATAATTATACAACAGTACAAGTGACCAAAAACACTCCATCTACAGCAAAAACTAGTTATATACATGTAATGTATATAAATTAGAATTCTAGAGATTTTGATATTCATGAAGTGATCATAACAGCCAGGTAGTAAGTTCAACAAGAAGCACTTTCAAGAACATGTCTGATCTACTGAAGTTTGTATAGTACATCTCGACTTATTTATATTCCTCTTCTCCAAAAGAGAACCAATAAGAATTGAATGGGAACTAAAGGGTTTTAATGGTGTATTTGTCCACCCTGTACCAGTACATGTGTATGGTTTATTTGCCACACTTTGTAGCAGTATATGTGTATGGTTTGTGTCACATCCTGGCGTTTGTATAGTGAAAATACTGTATGTAAAAGTGCAAATTGCAATAAATATATTTCACTGATGCAAAATAACAATACTTTTGTAACTGTCTTTCTGAGAACTGCATTTGTTTTCCATAACCAGTCAATGATGTGGTACCCTTTGACAGGGCTCAGCATCTAGGCTCTGCATTATAGGTAATTATGTATATTCAATAAACCCCATATATATATATATATATCATATTAGAATTTGTAGAAAAAATTTAATTTTTTTTACCTATAGCTAGGATTGATAACCATTTCAAATTTCCTTAAAAGTCCATGGAAACTCCATTAGAAATTTGAACAACAGCAGAACTGCAAAATTATGGGTATTAGTTAGAGGGTAATTTGACTTCCTGATTGGTACACAGGGTAATGATTTGATGTCATTGTCTCGCTCTTGAACTCTTGAATTTCCTGTTTACACCATTCTGATGTTCATAAAATTATGCATCGCAGATCAGCAGAACAGGGAAGGAGGTGCAGTTCACCATGAGGTGTTTACATTGCAAAAGCATAATACCTGGACTGTTTGAAAGAGTTAATAGACCTGAAGATCGTTTTAGATAAATCAACATTAATACAGCTGTATAGACATGATAAAAAATTACCACATTAATTTACTAAATTGGAAATAAACTAAACTGGCATGCAAGTATAAAGCAGCCATTTACCATAAATGAGACTGCATTTCAGAAAGTAAAAGTTTTCTTAATGTTTTGTAAGTTGGTACCATTGTCTGTGAGAGCAAATCTAATGGGCATTTCTAATACCCTTTGCTTGCTTTTTTTCTTTATGTATTTCTACATGTTATTCTTAGATCCTAATTAAACTGGGAGTATTCAAATGAGAATAGACCATGGCATAAGATGAGAAAATATGATTAGGTTTTGCCTCATTCCCTTTCAATTTAAAGGTATTAGTATTGACACTGCTAATCACAGCTTAGCATAGTCACAACATGGATGTTCTAATAAAATAGAAAACAAGTTTTATATTAAACTAAATACACTTCTCTTAAGTGTTGCCTGAGAAAATACAATAAATCTACTTGTCATTATGCGGTATATTATTATTATGATCTTCCCGATGCATTAATGTTTATTACCCTTTTAAAACCATCTTGTTTTCTACTTTATTTATATAACCCTTGGCAGTATAAGTGTAAATGACATTGTAAATACTGCGAAAATGCATAAATAGAGGCATGAAATAGAAGCATATGATCATAAATTGGCTTTAAATAATTTTATATCACATAAATTCTGTGGATCCTGTTAAGATGTGTATAGGGTAATCAATAAGTATTGAGTTCTGGGGTATTTCTCATCATGATAAACCATGACATCTCAAATCAATTTGCTTTGTCTCATATTTAAACGTTCATTTGAAAGTCATTCCTAACCTTACTGACTTGGTCCGAGGAATATTTCATCATTTGAAGTTTTAAAAAGGTTAAAGATTTCGGGAAATACATTGGGAACGAATGTTCCTGTTAATTCATCAAAAGCTTCTGTGTTACTCCCTAGATCTACTTGTTGTGAAGTAAACATACAATTCGTGTTGCGTGTAAGTGGCCACGTAGAGATGTATTTTCTTGCGCATTCTGATACCCATCTCATCTTTCTGTTTTTCTACAAAAAGTATTCCAGAAAGGAACCAATCGAATGCCATAATGTCTCATGATGGTTCTGCCGTAGCCCCTGGGAATGCTGGGAAAAATTAATACGCTCCATTCATCAAAACTTCAGGGTACTTTGAAATCTGTTTTATCAATGACAAATATTCCATGAGCAGCGGTGTAGGGAATATGCCAAAGCTCTCATAGTGGAAGAAAACAATTGTGTTGTTGTATTATATGTGAAAACTAATGAAATGTGCCATTCAAATAATAATCATGGCCAAGTTCATCACAAACAACGCTAATGTCCATATAGATAATTCCAAGACAAATAAATGCCTAGGGGACACGCATATTTACAAAAATGTACACATTTCATATTTATTCTGGATTTTCTCAAAAAACAATATAATGAACATGAAAATGCTCATTTATTTGTCAATGTATTTACTAGCCTGGCCCCATGACTAACATAGACCACCACGTGGCCTTTAATCAAACAATAGCAATTAACAATTTAAATGACAACGTATTTTAGCGATTTATGGTACACCGCAATTGTTATTTCTAATAGACGTAAATATGATAAACGATGCTCAGGTGGATCTAGGGTCGTCATTATGAAAAAGCAGAATCATGTAATTTAAGTACCGTAATCCCAAAACTGTCAAAAAGTACTTAACTAATAGCGCATTATATCATCATAGAGTAACGTTCATTAATTACTATACTGTATGTCTTTTATGTACCTGCAACGATTTGTCTCCTGATTTTCGATTTGGACCAATTTTCAACTCATCATCAACTTGCATTTCACTTTATCTTTCATTTATTTATTTATCTTTATCTATTTATCATATATACATATTATCTTTATCTATTATTTATATGATATATTTTAAGTGTAATTCTTTAGATACGATTGATTGCATTTATTGGTGTAGAATGGAGATATAACCTTTTATCTATTACTCATCAAATGTTAAATTACATACTGATGTTTGTGGTTTAGATTGAACTCATTAGCCTAAAACCTCATGGTTTTCAAAGCTTAGCGAAATATCAGCAATTATATTGCTGAACAATTACAAATAAGACAGTTACGTGCAAGTCTCTTAATTCTGATCAGTAATGCAATCTATGTATCAATTGTATTTTTAATATTTGACGATGGACATTTAAAATCATTGGAAGCATCCTATCGCCATAGACAGCATATGTATAATAACAACAACGTAAGTTTTAATTGTAATTTATTCAATTTATCAAGGCATAAATCTACTACAGTATTTTTCATTGGACCTATGGCATATTTTTTATAACAAATTTAGAGTACACATTACATATATAATTTATGCGCATACTAGATGTACAGTAGCCTCGATGAAAATAGATATATTAGAAAACGTTTTTTATTCGCAAAATTCATCAATATGTATGATATGATTCTGACATATTTTTTCAAAAAAATTAGAGTACACGTTGCATCTATACTACAGGGTGACCCCAAAAAACAGAACCTTCTAAAAGTAAACTAATTTCTTAAATACCTATCAACCCAATTTTTATGTGCATAAACTAGAATCTATGGATGATAATTTGATATCAAGTCTGTTACACATAATTGATTGTTTTTTGATATCATGGATGATCTTAAAATGTGTCCAATTATTTTCGGAAATTAACAATGAGACAAAATTATGTCTTGAGATTCTATGCGAAATTCAGAAAGAATTCCAAAGAAGACATGAAATGAAAGTCTCATTTAATATTTTAATTGAAAAATGAAGAATGTGCAATGGTAAAACAACTAGTAAAAGATAAAATGACTGAAATTCCTGGCATCTGAGTAAAAATACCATAGTCAAATGTTAAATAATGAGTTGGAAGAGGTAGAAAAGGAAACTGTTCAACACCTGAATGGAAAAAATGACCAGCTTACACCTAAAAGGACTGTGTGTGATTGCATTGAGCGCAGTTCGAAAATATCGCTCAGAAGGTGCAACCACACCTAAAGATGACTTAAAGGTTGCTGGAAGACTTCCTCATTAATGATCTTTCCCTCTATACTCACAAAATGCAGAAGATTAAATAATGTGATGGGTTTAAACAAACGATGTGTAACCTTTTGGTTGACATGAAAATCATTTATTTTATTTTATTTCAAAATTGGGCACATTTTTTAAATGGCCATAACAAGAAGAATATTGAATGTTATATAACACATTTGGCCTCACATTGTCATGAAGCTGATTATAGCTGTATTAAATAAATTCTTTCATTTTGGAGGGTTGTGTTATCTGGATCATCCTGTATTTATGCGCTTTCTAGATGTACAGAAACCTCGATGAAAATAAACATAAATGCGCAAAATTCATCAATATGTATGATATGATTCTGAAAAAGTTTCGACCCAACGTTCCCATCTTAATTCCATTAAAAACTTTATTGTTTTTAAGACTTCATTTTCACAATTTCGGTTGAAAAAATTAATATTTTCTATTACATTTTGACTGCCTGACTACGCCTCTGTTCTGTCGAAATACTAAATAAATCTTATATTAACTTGCTTTTCTATATTTCTATATTAACTTCACCCGTATAGCTCAGCGGTAGCGGTAGAGCGTGTACCTCCTACGCAATAGGTCCCGGATTCGAACCCCGGTTCAGGCAAGACTTAATTTGCTTGTTTGCGTAAAGTACTTCAGGGTGTTTGACTGAGTGGTCCACAACTCGTACAAAAGGCTGTGGTGTGTACTTGTATGTCTATGTATAAGTGCACATAAAAGAACACAGAGTTCCTTCAAGGAGGGACTTCTGGGTCTATCTTCCAGGATAATTACGTAAATTACGACCGTATATATACGGGATATACCCAAGAGGTATTGCTCACCTTCATTTGTGGTAAACAAAATACAATACAAACTTGATTTCTGTATAGTTTAGTTTGATTGGAGATCATCATTACATATACGAGGGTTGATCCAAAAGTTTTAGTTTTAGGTAATGGCGTGGTTGTGGCCAAATATAAACAATATTCATAAAATATTAAGATTATTAGAGCAAACGGTTCGGAACTTTTGGATCAACCCTCGTAGGGATTACTTTCGAAACATATCGATTATCAATCTATCGGACATTAGGTTCCAAAATTGGAAATGAAATTTTGTGAATCAAGATATCGGATCTCTTTCTAAAGTGCATTATGTGTTAAATCATTCACCATCCCATATTTTAAATGAGAAAACAAAACCTAAAATATATAGAATTTCATTTTCAGTGGCAGAAACAACCATGGCCGTATTGGGAGAATTATTCCGACTGGCAAGTCTGTTCGCCATCCTATGTATTTTTGAGAATGAATCGTCAACTGAAACTACAAGCACTGATGAGACGTCATCCCCAACGGAGCATGATGGTGATATAACCATATATTCAAGAGATGATGATAATCCTTGGAACGGCACAACGACCAGCCTAAATGGGGATGCTCCAACAACTGAAAATCCAAAAGCTGGTACAATAACCAGTGTAAATAGGGACATTCCAACATCAGATAATCCCAAAGTTGGCACAGTTGCTAACATAACTGATGATCGTACAAATGGCACAGTGGCCGACATAAATGAAGAAACAACCACTAACCCTTTAAACCAAACTGTTGTCTCTTCGGTAAACACAACTGTTACATCTAACATTGACAATGTCTCGAAGGCAGACGAGGATATAAATAACGCCAACTTGACTTATAACGCAAGAGCAGCTGGAAATGAAACATTTACTTCTGAACCAAGAACAGACAATGAATCAGTTAATGAAGCCGAATGTAGACCTTACTATTGTTGCGACCCTTTCCTTTCTGACCGCGATCGTCATACTTTTATGAAAAAACACGAGGCCCAAGTTAACGTGATTATGTATTTCTGGATAAGTCTTTTCCTCTGTTTAGGCGGCCTGGTGGGCAACATTCTCTCTTTCATTGTCCTATACAGGCAAAAGATCAACACAAGTGTTTTCTTTCTGAAGTGTTTGGCAGTTAGTGATGGTCTTTATATGCTATGGTATCTAGTTTTTGATTTGTACTACACAGCCTATAGTGGAACACAATGGATAACGAACAGAAATGAAGATAGTGTCCATGTAATTCCTGCAAAAAAGACATACCTTAGTTTTGTCAATGCTACACTCACTCTTCTATCATCATGGTTAGTGGTATTGCTTACTGTAGATCGCTTCATTATTGTTCGCATGCCCTTAATGGCAAATAGTCTTTGCACTTTGAACAAGGCTCGAGTAGAAGCATTTGTTTTGTTTGTATGTTGCGTTGGCTTTTGTTTGCCTATACTTTGGCAGTATACATCGTCAATTGAACTTCATCCATGTTGGGACTATCTTATTATGTACAAAGATCCTACTCCATCATTTGGAGGTACTTATGGTACTCTTTTTGTGTATGACGTTGTTCTTAGTGGATTGATAAAGAATCTTATTCCAGTTTTGATTGTTTTCATTATGAATGTTCTGCTCATTGTTGGTCTCATGAAAGCCAGTGCAAGACGAAGGAAACTTGTTACTAATGGGAAAGAGGCACAGAAAAGAGATGAGAATATAAGTTTGATGTTGATCACAGTTGCAGTTTTATATCTGATCCTCCTCTTACCAAGTCTTGGCCTGAAGATCCTGAGATGTCTCTGGATGGTGAAGACATATCTCGAGGTCGATTTAAATATAGATGATAAATATTTTGATTCGATAACCTTCTATGCTATGGTTAGTGATTTGCTAATTCGTGTTAACTCTGCCATCAATTTCATTATCTATGTTCTTGTAAGCAAGAAATTTCGCGATGGTTTGATGAAGTTGATATGCTGCAAGAGAGTCAGTAAAACTGAGGTTTATAAAACATCTGTAACAAGAACGACATCATTTGGAAAAGCCAAAAAAGGAGAGACATAGTCTTGCTTCTAGACTCTAGACCACCCTGTATTCTCGACCCACGTGTGTGCCGTGAAAGTCATGTAGTGGTAGGGTGGTTACAAGGGGCTCTAGCCAGACCAGAGACACAAACGACAAAGGGGTATTGTCTGTATTACAACTCGATTTTTTATTATTATCTGACCTTGGTTCTCTGGCTCTTTTGGCTGGTTGGTTGTCTGGCGATAGAGAAAGGAATCTTCCAGCACGATTGGTTTGTTCAATAGTATTGTGCTTTACCATCTAGTTGCTCTGTATTCCCTAATATCAAATTGGTCCCCTATGACTACAGGGTTAACCTAACAGTTGTATAATTTTACATGTTTTAGTGGGCTTTTTGTGCCGTTATGAAACCAAATACTGACCATTGGCGATTAGCTCGTCGACTGGCGGATTTTTCGTAAATTTAACTTCAAAATGACGAGTTTAATTTATTTAAATAACCTGAGTTGGAGGTCACACCGGCAGCCGGTAGTTGTATTCGCGAAAGCAGGCTGAGTTAGTTTGATTAGTAAAAGTTTAGATACATTCGTGTTCAAAACTCACCATATTTGGAAGTTAGATAGAATGATGAACATAGTGTAATATTATATTTTTAGTCTTTGGTTGTTTTATCACTCCCGTTATACTGATAGTTCCAAAAATCGTCGAATCAATACTTCCACGGCAAATGAAATAGATTCGTCTAGAGCTGCAAATCTCAACGTGCTATTCATTGTCATTTTTGACGAATCAGAACGCATTATAGCCAAGCTTGAATTTAATCTGATGTTGCAGTTAGATGTATATGGTTTCATAATTAATAGCCGATGGGCTGTCATCAATAAAAAAAACTCATTTTATTACCAGAGTACGTGATGAACATTCATAGAACAATGTAAAATGTGTTGTGCTTTTGCAAAATATTATAGCCTATTATATAGCAAACCGTCGAACGCCGTCCACAAAAAAGTTGGAGACTAATATGTCACCACTTGTGGTAGTGACATAATGAAACCTCTTGAATTAATTTGCAGTCTATGTAATTTACATTTATATATCGTTGTTGGGCCCGAAGAATATTTGAGTTATTGATGTAAGCAAACGTTTTTACCATGTGTAAAAAAGATTCAGGCATGACAAGCCATCATGCATGCATATACCATGTACATGATGTATTTGTACACGTTTAATGAGCTATTATATGAAAATGTTCAATTCGAGTACGTTCAGTGTGTAACATCATATATTCAGAAAGTGCTAGTAAATATACTAGAAATTATAAATATTATTATTATTAAAAAGGTGGCGCATTTTAATAAGGGTATCGCGTGAATGTAACTTTGATTCCCCGAATTATAAGATAATATTCTAATTAAAGTTATATATCATTTTAAAGCTGTTTCGATGAAGTTTTTAGATCAACTACACTCCGTTCACAATTCTTGCGCGTTCTTTTTTAAAAAGAGTTACCAAAACATCTGGCAAATATCCCCTGTTGACACGTCTATACTGAAAATCTTAGATCCAAACATAGTAGAATACGCCGTCAGTCCGCATTTGATTTTTTGAAGTGAGTTTCGTAGATCGTCCGATTTCTCCGACTGATATCGGGTTATCTCAAACTGGTTCGTTTATAAATACGAATTTCTTTACCGTTGTAAGGCGCATGCGCAAAATTGATTTATAAACGTTATTGGTTGATGGTTTTTCTCCTGCGCATGCGTGAAGTCTGATGAACACTTATGACGAAGACCGGAGCAAACATTACTAGCTCTCGAACGAAATTCCAAGATTCAGGTCATTTCGCCGTGTTTGCTAAGCGTGTATACGCGAATGACAAGCTGTTTTGAGTAGATCAGGTACCTGTTTTAGACACAACATTGATTTAGCTTGACATTGATGTGCACATTGGCACTTTTGAGCATGTTAATACAAGTTTTTACACTCTTAGCACGAGACAGGTTTTCGAAAAATCTGTTATCTGATTCACTCGATTATCGTATGGATATGTATTTCTGCTGACATTTCAACACCACATCACATAGGATTACGATGCAAAATGATAATAAAACACAAAACAACTACTAAATTCCACTTGTTATTTCACAGGAGGTAAAAATGCAAACTGCCCTAGATTCTTTGTAAGGGCCGTCAGACATCGGATTGGCCGCCATATTTGAAATGAAAATATCACTAAATAGAGGTCTGCGCATGTCTCAACATTTAGACTGTGTTGACAGCGACCTTTTTTGCTCATTTTTTGTTACATTCAACTTTTCAGGTATACATTTTAACAAAAAATACGAGATCAATTTTTAATAAATCATACATGATTATTTTGCTCTTAAACTCTAGTTTATTAATAAATAGTCGATTTTGTTTTCTGTTGTATGTGGAAAAGTGGAGGACGAAAGGTACATATACGATATCAGAGTAATTCGCCTTAAATATTTTGAGATATAGAGGTAAATGTGGAGGACGAAAGGATTTCCATAGGTAACTGGTCAACTCGTACCCAAGACAACTCGTACCCAAGACAACTCGTACCCAAGTATATATTTTGGACTGGGCATGTGAATAGATATAGAGGTTCTTATATGAGTACCTGTGCAAGATCGTTCATTCTTGATGAGCTTTGATAATTCTTCTTTATCGAGTCGTAGACGAGATAAAGAAACATTATCAAAGCGAGTCAAGAATGGACGATATTGCACAGGTACGAGTACAAGAAAGTTTTTCTCATATGACTCTGTATTATGCCATATTTTCACCTTTTTATGATAAAAATGAGTGAAAATTAGCTAGAAATAAATGGAACTTCATTTTTCAATTGCTATGACGTCATAACAATATTGAAGAAAATTCATGGATACGTGTGGCAACAAAGCTACATTGTTATGACGTCACAGCTAAGTTTTGTAGACGCATAACAACGCTGTACCCGTTGCCATGTTGTTGATGTTTATAAACCAGTGATGTCACAAGTAAATCTCATCTTGCACGTGTTACTTTTTAGGATGAAAGATGGCAATATCTTGCATGGGGTAAAGATGGCTGTATCTTTGTTAGTCATATGAGAAATACATATTATAATTGTAACATACTGTTCAGAATAATTTAAAGTTTGAAGAAGAATTTTCGGAAGAAATTGATTTAATTTTGTGACATTTTGAGCTGAGTGTCAATTTATATTGACTATTATTTTATATTGGTCACAGATTCAGGATGTTCGAGTGAAGAGACAAATGTTTATTCCACATATTCATAATCATTTTTCAAAATATTGTATGTTTATGAGTGTTTGGAACAAGTGTCAGATCAAATGTTGTAATTATATTTATTTGTATATATGTTTGACAAAAAAATGTTGTGAACAAGCGCTTCAAGCACTTCTTTTATTTAATAAAAAAATGCTTTACTGATCCATTGAGAAAAAATGTCGTCTAAATTCAAAATAATATTAAGGCTTATTTGATTCACATTACAACCTGAAAGCATTACAATTTACAAACTCAATGTTTTCCCCAATGTGCACCCATTATACTGAAAATAATCTTGGGTACGAGTTGTCTTGGGTACCAGTTGTCTTGGGTACGAGTTGTCTTGGGTACGAGTTGACTAGGAAGCTTTCCATATGTGTATAATTTTCTCAAAAAACATTCTGTGGAGTTAAAAAGCGAAAATGTGTAACAATACGCGCGCGAACTTTTTGCGACGTGTCACTGTGAAAATAGAGAGATTTCGCAACTCACTTATAGCATGTAGCGTATAACTTTAAAAGCGATTGATTGCGTCATCATTTATTGCGCGGCCCTATAGGTCAATAAGTGTGATATTCTTATGTATAGACGACGATTTAACTGGTATAAGAATATCACACTTATGGAAAAATAGAGCTGTGCAATAAATGATGACGTAATCAAACACTTCATAAGTCATACCTTATACGGGAAAAATAAACATGTTATAAGTGAGTTGCGAAATATCTCTAATAACGCAATATTTCTTATCTATGGTCGAGAAGGATTGTGTTTGCATACCTACAATAAATCAAAAAGAAATGTTAATTACAATTATGAACAAGGCATAACATGCAAAGTGTCATCACCAGCCATTTGTTACAGACACCGATCGCCAAACGCCGAATCACCAACCGCCGAACACCACCCACAAAAAGTTGGAGACTTCAACAATATGTCAACTCTTCTCGTTGTAAAATTCTGGTTGTGTTTTCGACCCAACTGAACGAAATAGTAAGCTTTGTTTATCAAAAATTCCCGGGAGGTGAATAACATTTTCACGAGCGGGATACATATGTATTTATATATACATTTGTATTTATGTACTTTTCTACTTGTTTCTCTTCTACTTCTACTTCTTTCTCTTCTTTTGTACATTTGCCCTTAAAGGGATTATTGGTACAATAAATAAATGTAATCTATATTCTTGTATATGACGCATCTTGGAAACGTGAACCCCCTTAGTTTTGATCGACAATCGATTGTTTTTCATCTTACTGACTGGTACGTAACTATTGTTAAAAAACGATATACTCTTATAAGAGTACGAAGTTTTGGTCCCAGTTGGATTACGTTTTAAAACTGCTTGAAGAAGCCGGGGACTTTTGTTAGCTTAACACAAAAAAACATTGATAAAATGAACCTAAATAATAGAGAGCTATAATGGATTGATTTGATGATAAAGATTGGTATGTGATGTGATTTTACCTATTGTGTAACATGTTTTTGTCATTATTGCTAAGGAATACAATATACCATTCCCATAAACATACTTGTGGAACTAATGAATCTACATCCTAAATATATGTTGTTGGCTATAGTCTACTCATAAATAGTCACTTAGTGATCTCATGATGACCGATGCCTAATGCGAACAGGTAGTGAGGTCATTGCTTAATAGCAAATCTGGATGCAAGCCTCCAATAACTTTCCAATTGAGATTGCACTTATTTCGTATCCTGGACAGTGGACAATATAAAATCATTGTGTAGCAATCTTCACGAACAGAAGACAAAACATTTCGAGCATCTTCAACTTAGTAACATTGAAACGTAAGTGTATTTACTTTGCATATTCAAGATATAAGGAATTAATTGGGAAAGATCAACAAACTAATTCAAGTATAACAGCGCATGTAACCTATTAATAATTGTGAGTAAAACAGTTTATATTTCATATAGCTTTCTTGAATTTTTTCCAGTACCAACAGTCATGTCAATCTTGAGGGTGTCCATGCGACTGGTAGTTATATTTGTCATTCTATGCATTCTTGGGAATCAATCGTCTACTGAAACTTCAAGCGCTGATGAAAAAACTCCTCCTGTTGACCAAACTAGTGATGCAAACAAAAATATTAGAGATGAGAATAATTCTACTGATGGCACAACGGTCAACACAAACGGTAAAGTTACTCAAACTGGTGAACCAATGGGCCATAGTGATACTTCTTTAACTGAGGCATCTGTTACATCTCATATTGACAATGTGTCTAAGACTTTTACCGGTGCCGATAGAAATATTAACAACAACAACAACAGAACCAAAAACACAGCTTCAACTGGAAGTGGAAATGACAAAGCCAAATTTAAACGTGATGCTCAAAATGATCAGGGTTCACAGGAAGAATGTCAGCCTTATTACTGTTGTGAGCCATACCTTTCCAACCACGACCGTCACACGTTGATGAAAAAAGACGAAACTCTAGTGAACATGATCACATATTTTTGGATTAGCATTTTCCTCTGTTTAGGTGGCCTGGTGGGCAACATTCTCTCTTTCATTGTCTTGTACAGGCAAAAGGTCAACACAAGCGTTTTCTTTCTGAAGTGTCTGGCAGTTAGTGATGGTCTCTATATGCTATGGTATCTGGTATTTGATCTATACTACACGGCTTATGATTCTTCGCCATGGGTAACGAACAGGGAAGATCCCAGTGCGCATGTTATCCCAGCGAATTACATTTACACAAACTTAGGAAATACAACATTGACTTTATACTCGTCATGGTTAGTAGTATTGCTTACTGTAGATCGTTTCATTATCGTTCGCATGCCCTTAATGGCAAATAGTCTTTGCACTTTGAACAAGGCTCGAGTAGAGGCATTTGTTTTGTTTGTATGTTGCGTTGGCTTTTGTTTGCCTATACTTTGGCAGTATACATCGTCAATTGAACTTCATCCATGTTGGGACTATCTTATAATGTACAAAGATCCTACTCCATTTGGACGTACATTTGGCACTGTTTTTATGTATAACGTGGTTCTCACTGGCTTACTAAGGAGTCTCATCCCAGTGGTCATGGTCTTTATTATGAACATTCTCCTTGTCATTGGTCTTGTGAAAGCTGGTAAAAGGAGACGGCAACTTGTTAGCAATGTCGGCAAAGAGGATCAAAAGAGAGATGAAACTATAAGTCTGATGTTGATTACGGTTGCAACTTTATATGTAGTCCTCCTTTTACCAAGGCTTGGTCTTTATGTCCTAAGAAGTCTTTGGATGGCGCAGAAATATCTCGACGTCAATTTGAATATAAGCAGTGCGGCGTTAACGTCCATTGCCTACTATGCTCCAATTAGCGATTTGTCAGTGCGGGTCAACTGCGCTATTAATTTCATTATTTACGTTCTCGTGAGTAAGAAATTCCGTGATGGTTTGAAAGAGTTGGTTTGTTGCCGGAATTCCGGCACATCTGAGTCTTCTAAAATGACTTCTACAAAAACTTTATCATCAATTAAAAGTTCGAGTGCTCGGGCCAGTGATAAGATTGCAGAAAATGTAGTTGATAAATAAGGCACAGTTGATGTTTTCTGCTTAGGAGAATCCAAACAATTGTGTATATAGAGAATTTTATCTCATGGTGTCTAATACGAGTATATCCATTGTTCTTGATGTCTTGTTCATTGTCATATGTAGGATCTAGGGAGAAGAGATAGAGAGAAGTAAGGGTAGTAACAATTCTACAATTTTTTGCTGTCGTCATCTCATGTCTGTTCTCTAAAGAATAATATGTATTATTCTATTGTATGTGCCTTGATTTCAGGAAAATTGTTCGATTTTCAAGGCTATCTGGTGAAAATTGAAAACGAGGGCGTCTTCTTTAAATCTTAATCAATTTTGGACATTTTGGAAATGTTTTGTAGTAAAGATTGCTCTCATCATTCTACTCTTTCTCTATCCTTTGTTTCCTCTTTAACTGATTAATAAAGAGTGTACATTTTATATTCATATCATGTGATGTTATATCACCATATGCAGACAGAGCCTGTGGGAAATATTGGGTGCGGAGCAAATGAGCGGAGGGTGCGGAGCTAACGGTCATTTTTGAATTTAAATTTGGGATATTTCTGAAACTAAGCCGTTTTGGGACTTCAAATATACCAAGATATGTGTATTTGACACCAAATATCAATACAATTGTGAAAATAGTAGCGCAATTCATTCTATAGCGACGCAGTGTGCCTTAAACCTTTCCCAGACCTATATATTTTGAAATTATCCTTTTAATACTGCGTCCCCAGCATTCATAAAAAATGGTGTTCAAGATACACTACCCAAGATGCACAAATAATTTGTATAGATAGTGTACCTTGAACACCATTTTTTATGAATGCTGGGGACTCAGTATTAAAAGGATAATTTCAAAATATATAGGTCTGGGAAAGGTTTAAGGCACACTGCGTCGCTATAGAATGAATTGCGCTACTATTTTCACAATTGTATTGATATTTGGTGTCAAATACACATATCTTGGTATATTTGAAGTCCCAAAACGGCTTAGTTTCAGAAATATCCCAAATTTAAATTCAAAAATGACCGTTAGCTCCGCACCCTCCGCTCATTTGCTCCGCACCCAATATTTCCCACAGGCTCTGTCTGCATAGGGTGTATATTGTGTATTCAGAAAGTTTGAGAAAATAAATGAATAGGTTAGTGAAATCTAATTGTATCCTTAGTACACTGTTTTCCCGCTTTATACAGGGCGTTCAATAAGTATTGCTAACTTTTGTTCTCTTGCTCGTTTCTTCATGAAACTTGCACAACATATGGAACATATATCTGACATGATTCTATTCCTTCAATGGTTACCATAGTAACCATAACTTTGCCAAAACTAAATTGATTGTCAAAAAACGTAGACAGAATAAGGTCAAATATATATTCCTTATGTTGTGAAAGTTTCATGAAGAGAAAAGCAAGAGAACAAAAGCAATACTTATTGAACGCCCTGTCTGGACCTACATTGTGCGATCTCTCAAAGACACGATTAATTTCATTTAAAAAGCAAGAATAAGAAACTTTGTTTTCAGGTTTTGGAAGGTAACAAAATTAAGATTCAAACCCAGGACTCAATAAATTGTGGACGGTTTTAAATACGAGGGCTTTGTGTGAGACTGAACGAGGGAGTGAGCTTAGCATACAGAACGTAACACGAGTGCATTCAAACACTCACAAAACAAAGTGTCACATGCATGTTTTCTTCATATAGCAAAATATTCTTTGTATATTAACAGTAAAAAGAATAAAATTCATATCACATCACACCACACCACATTACATTACAACACATCACACCAGACACCACCATATCACATCAACTTACATTACATTTGATACATCACATCATCACCACATTACACAACACCACACCACATCTCACCACATCACATCACATCAAATTGCATTACATCACATCACACGAAACCACATCATATTACATCAAATTACATTACATCACATCACATCAAATTACATTACATCACATCACACCACATCACATCAAATTACATTACATTACATCACACCAAATCATATCAAATCAAATTACATTACATCACACCACATCACATCAAATTACATTACATTACATCACACCACATCACATCAAATTACATTACATTACATTACATCACTCCACATCACATCACATCAAATTATATTACATTACATCACATCACACCATATCACGTCATATCACATCACATCACATCAAATTACATTACATCACATCACATCAAATTACATTACATCACATCACACCACATCACATCAAATTACATTACATTACATCACACCAAATCATATCAAATCAAATTACATTACATCACACCACATCACATCAAATTACATTACATTACATTACATCACTCCACATCACATCACATCAAATTATATTACATTACATCACATCACACCATATCACGTCATATCACATCACATCACATAACATATTTCCCTCTGTCATTATTTATAGGATATTCTATGAGGAGGACAAGTTAGACTTTGAAGACGTACAGTCCCCTCCATAAGTTCGGCAACCCTAACTCTCCCATTACATTCTGAAGTCGATTTATGTTTGAAATTTTGTTTACATAGTCTTTAAAGAAAAGAGTACTTTTAGGGCTGGAGATATAAATTGAATTCATTTTGAATACCTCCAATTTTTCTCAATTTTTCCAACAATAACAATAGGTCGGATATTGATGACAAATCTGATGAAGTTTTAAAAATCGACATTCCCATGTTAAACCAATGGAAACTGATAGGTTTGTCGCAAGGCATATGACAGAATATCCATCTATCCGAAATCTCGCAAAAAGTACAAATAAGGAAGGAAAAAACGTAACAGGTTTCTTCACGTTCAACAAAGTTATAGGTTTCCAAAGTCAAAATTATTGTTCAAGCAACTTCTCCCATTGAAATAACACAAGAGGCGAAAAATTATTTTAAAAATGCTCCGTAACTCCGTAAATGTTTACAACAAAAACGTAGACAGTTCAATTTTCTACATAGAAATAATTTTTGGTGAAGCATTTACTGAATTGATATCCAGAATCTGATTTGCCCCGAACCGACCCTTTCCCATTGGTTTACATGGGAAGGGCAATCCTAAAAAATAATCAAATTTGTTATCAATTTTCGACCTATTGTAATTGAGAAAAATTAGAAAAATTTAGAGGCATTGAAAATGAAGTAAAGTTACATTTTTACCTTCATGATAAGTATTTTCGTTGCTGGTTATGTAAATAAAAATTCAAACATAAAGAGGCTTTAATACGTAGTCCAATGAGGGAGTTAGGGTTGCCAAACTTATGGGGAGTGTACCTATGACTCATTCTCTTTCATACGATAGCGACAGGATATCGATCCCGCGATGGATTATATAACGTGTCTTCAATATTGTGATATCAATCGTAGTTATATTTTTTGAGTGGCATATGTAATCAGTCTAATGTAATTATCTGATAGGTGCTTGGCGGTAATCTTTCCGGATCAAAGTATACCGTGTAGTTCATTACGGATGTTGCCCCTTAGAACTGTCCATGGACTTCGAGACATGATTTATCTATCCCACATCATTTGAGACTAAATACTCTATCTTTTATGAGTATTAGTATCTACAACTATTTTTGATCGGTGACCAAGAGTTAACAGTGCAAATCGGTCCGGTCGTGTTTTTTTAAACTCTTTAGTCGTGTTTTTTTGAAAATTTGAGAGGTAGGTTGATAAATTTGGTCATGAAATTGCTGTCACTTGACTTTATGTAAAAGTAAGTAATTTATATTGCTTTCCATACTATATCTTAAATTCAGGTATTCGTAAACGTGTTATTTGCACGAATCGTATGCTATAGTCTTGTTATATCGGGAAATGAGCAATTCTGTCAGTGTTATACATATTTTTGCCTGAAAATCACTTGCCTGACTTATATTCAATGAATACATCGATTCATAAGGAAAGCATTCACAATATGTGCGAAAATCAAAAGTTAGAAGAGCTTAAATAAGTAGCAATTGATCGAATAATATTTTTTAGATTAAACTCTTTAGACGTGTTGAAAAGATTGCGGTTAATGACGTTGACCTGTTAGTGAAACGTTCTAGACGTGTAGAGACATTGAGGTTTAACGATTTGGAAGTGGGAAACAGCACAATTAACATTATGTATTTCCCAAAAAATGATCACAATGTGGAAGAAGTTGTTGTCTGAGTGACACTATCTTAATTATAAATGATTAACAATAATCAAATGTACGACATAATATGTCAAGATTGATTTATGGGATCACTACCGAATTTGATACTTAAATCAAAATGGTTAGAATCAGACACGCATGGTTAATGCAAGCGAGCTTTGCCTCGTCGCTCGTCATTTTGAAAATTTTACCAGTCATATTATTTTTTAATTGCCCTGTCGCTCATTAAATGACTCGTTGCTATTTTTGAATTTGTCTCAAATACGTTTTAAAACGTCCCTAATGGCCTTAAACTCACTTTTCCCTGTCATGAACGTAAATAAATTTATTTAAAATGAGAGGAAATGTTTAGTTTGTGATGCACTACATGTAAATGCATATATATGATCACCTAATGTAAGGAATAACTCCACCGTTATTAAAATCGTATGCTCAATATCTATTAGGTTTGCCTCAGGATTTTTAACAATTTGATTCGATGTTATTCCCTAATTCGCCTCACACAATGCAATACAATTTTAATTTTCAAATTGCAATAGGTAAAAAACGCTACATATGCTGCTATCGTTCTATGAGTGATCTATGAACTGTACTGTAACATAGTTTTCTAGCGAATTAAATTACAACATCTGTTGATCTTGTTAAATCATATTTCTGTCTTTTTTTATTTATTCTTATTTATTCATATCTTGACTACAAATTACAATAAACGGGTGACACATAATGTATATTCCCGTGTTTTATACTAATACATGAACAGATGGTGAACTGCTTGTGTAATAAAATAATGCATACTATTTGTTTCTGGTTAATAGTGTGTGTCGCACTAGGCCCGCAAATTATTATAAAACCAACATAAACTAAATATTATATCATTGATTAAGAAGATACTTTTTGAGTTTTAACTTCTAGCAGAAATACGAGATAGTAAGAATTTAGTTTTTCAATTTATTTTAGTACTAGATCGTGGATAGGGATGTCAATTCTAAACAGATCAGTCGGATGAACCTTCTCATAATGTTCAAGGAAAGTGTTCTTATGAGCGCTTTTGAAAGAGCACGCGTGGCACTTATTCCGAGGAACTGAAATTACAAAATATGTGAATAGTCATGTAGTACAAACACTTATCTTCAAAGTACTAATACGATTATTTTCAGAAGCACAGACAAATTATTAAGCAACAAAACATGGTCAATGTGAACAATATTACAAGACAATTCAAAGTCGTTAATTTTGTCACGTCTAAAACGTTATCTTTACAATTCCAAAACGTTAACATGCTTATTATAAGACACGTCCATGACGTTATATTGTCCCTTCTCCATAGTTAACTCCACTTTTTACATTTACGGTCATTTATGGCAATTTTAAGATAAATACAGTTAAAATATTTACACGATCTTTAGAGTAGTGAATATTATTCCACGTTGTTGAATGGATTGTCTGTTTAAACTTGATTAAATAACACTAAATGCAAATTAAGTACATATTTCTGGCACTTTTGGTATATAATTGCGATTGATATGAAGTATGATGGATTTATCCCCAAAATAGATTCGTGGGTATGAAGAAGAACATCTTAGGTAGAAGTCAAGATATGTAAGTTTGTAAAATATAGAATATTCTTACCATTTTGCTCCATTCTATCGAATGTCGCATCCCATGTTCTTACAAAACACGACTAAAGAGTTTAAAAAAACACGACCGGGCCGATTTGCAGTGTTAACTCTTGGTCACCGTGAGTATTGGCTATCAATTTTTCAATTTTTCTTCAACATGTATTGTAATGACTTCAGTATGAATGAAATGTCCCTTGGTATTCTTGTTCTGGATTGTGATATTGGTTCTCGATTGGAGGGGGAGGGGGATGTTAGACATTTTTTCTTTTCACGTTAGATAATGGTTTTGGGATAGATAGGGTCTACTTTTCTTATGACAGATTTACACTTACAGTTTGCTTTTCTTGTTGGGTTTCTTTAAAGTTTTTAGTCACCCTTCCCTTTTGGCATTTGTGCTTATATATTCATACTTACAATCATTGCTTAAAGCCCTGTCTACATTGTCAATTGCGTTTCAACCCTTTCGATAATTAACTTAATTGAATCCCTCAAATCATTTCGATCAGTTCAATGTATTCTATGTTGCTAGGCACATGACCAAATTCGGAAGAAACGAATGAAAGGAAAAACGAACACGAACCTTTCCCGTTTCAAACATTACGCCAACGAATTTCAATCGTTCCAACCATTTTAATCGATCTCTTGGAAATTCGCCGTATCTATTGTCAAGTTCAGTTTTTTTATATGGTATTGAGGCCAAAAATATTGTATTTAGGCCAACTTTTTTAAACGGACTAAATTATTGTCTATTGTCTATTTAGCTTGTATATGAGCCAAGCCTTTAAAAAACTTTTAATTAGATATGACTAATATGCATGCATGACGTGACACACGAAGAAATCTCAATTGTTGTGTGTTTCATAATAATGCCCTTAGTTGTGGTTTCTTATTACTAATTGAATAACACTTATGTACTATTATCTTCATATCTTCTGAAGAGCATATTGAAAAATATTAATGCTAGAGATGTGTCCGTTGACTTAAAATAGATATCATGATAAAACAAATGAGTCTGTATTAAAAACGTAACTCTGGAATCGTTCTCGATAAAACTACTGTTTTTTCTCTGCTAGGATATATCAACAATGAAAATTACATCTTATAAATATTCAAATAATTTCATGTGGTTAAGGAATACAACCTTTGGTTTTGCTTGTAGTTGCGTTGTATATGTATACTTTACTGCAATATGTAGTATGCCACAGAAACATCATTTAAAATTTGACATACGTGCAGAAACAATTTACTGATGATATTAGGATAATGGAAAAGCAAAACTAGGGGTAAGTTACCGATATTTTTTAAAAACTAATTAAATGATTGTTTTCTTGATCTCAACAAACTTGTTCTTATGTCATGTATGCTTTTGAACTGTTGGACATTATGAGCTACCCAAAAGACAGTTTCGTTGATTTTTTCGTGTTCTGTGGTTAATTAAAAGTGTGCTTTTTTCTTCACTTGATCAATTTCCCCATCTGCTATAGCTAATTGATCAATTTTTCTTGATTAAAATAGCTATTATTCCTTTAATGGTTCACAGGCAAAAGATACGTTATTTATGTTCATTTTATCCGTCCCGACCGTACAGTTTGATAAGTTCATCTTACTTCATCAGAGCTATAGCTCTATATTGATTAATATATTCGCGGTGATAAAAAGATATTCTATTTATCGAAGATCTCTCAGAATGAATATTTTCTAATTTTGAAGTAAGCTCAAATGAAAGCTCAACTGAATTAAAGCAACTTTTATTTGTGCCAATCCACAATTGTCTTCCTTGTATGAAACTGAATTAAGTCTCTCATAGGTCAACACCGGCAGGCAAGATGTTTTTATCTATCATTGACTTATAATTGTATACCCTCTGTAAAGAAAAAAGGTCATGGTCCGTTATGAGTCATACCATTATCAAAATTTGGTAAAATATAACTTAGCTCTAGTAGGCATATGGTGCACATATTGTAAATAACTGGTAGAAAGTTTAAGAAATTCGATGGAAAAAAGGTTAGCAATGGTTAAAAACATTGTCTCACAAAGTCACTAATGTGACTATATTTCCTTTAAAGTCCCCATAAACCACTTTGGCTTGTAGTCTTACTCAACTTAAATAAGCACTTATCAGTGCATGACAACGGTTCAGAGAAAAAGGTATTTCAAAATTTTAGTTCTCAAAGAAAACCAATGATACAATGATATCTAAAACATATTCTTCCTTTTAACCTGGTAAGACAATCAACATTGGTTTATTATTGAAGTTTAGCATATTTAGACAAGATTGACACAGGAAAAAAATTCTATTTTTCAAAAAGATACATCACTTATGTTACAAAATATTTTTGTTATGCTAAAACATTGAAGTGGCCCATTAAATGTGGCATTTTATTATTAAAATAGTGTGTCCTTTGTTCAATTTTTGCATTGATGTTAAAAAGATAATCTTTTTGAAATGTATGAAGAAATATTTGATGAATGAAAAATTTCAACCTTTTTTGAAAAATGGCGAGAGAAATAAAATGCTCACAACTTTTTTTTTCAAAAATCTCTAAAATAACTTTTAAAGTCATGACAAATAGTAAATAAATAAGTCCACCCGCTATGGCTCAGTGGCAGAGTCAAGGTATCTTTTAGGAAGCCATGATTCTTTATTGACTTTCATTCCTTAAAACTAATCATTTAAAGCATGAGAGGCAGTTTGGCAGTTTTGAAACCTTAACTTTTAGAGACCCTCAAGGCTCTGTCTTTGGGACCAGTATTATTTACACTATACGAGTACATAAACGATCTTTTTAAAGTATCAGATATTTTCAAACTAGTTATTTTTACTGATGATACCAATATATGCCTCGAAGAAGAAAACTTAGAAATAAGAATAAACTTTTACTCAACATTGATAAAACTAACTACAGGGTGGTCCAAAAAGTGAACCCTTGCAACGGGCCATATTTCCCTTATTACTCGCAGGAATTCTGTTTTATTTTCACATGTTGTGGAGGAAGTTCTAAAATATATGTTGGTACCATTGAATTTTCTTAAATTTGCAGAAATTATAAACTTGTTAATAAAAGTTGAAAATGTTATATGATAAATCAAATTGTAACATTTTATGTCAACATCACTGGTGATGACAAATCAAAGAAAATGAATAAGTTCCAGAAAAAATATTATCGAATATATATAGCTTACTGATGGTCGTGATGAAATACGATTTTTTCCTTGAGAAAATATCATATTGTCACTCGGAATGAAATTAATATTTCATATATAGCCTCTATATATTCCACATTATAACAAATGTTTCTAAACCCATAATGTCCAATATTAGAATCGTTTCGATTCTGATATGGAATATATTTTATTATTTGAATAGACAACAATTCACCAGAGATGAATATTCATTTATTCAATATTGGTTGTGTTTGATAGTTATGGTTAATCGTGATGATCCCTTTCAAGTACAATGCTTTATGTTTAGTTATGAATCAGATTCTATACAATTTATATGAAAAGCAATGTACATGTATATTGTATTTTAATGGGACTTGATGAAATAATCTTCTATTTTACTGGGAGGCATCACGTTTTTTATATCATGAATGTATGGATAATTGACTATCATGTTTGGTAAATGCAGGTTCAAGAAGAAATCTCCTCTACAATGAAGGCACGTGTAGAAATGGTTCTGGTTATACTCGCTGTGACGATGGGTATAAACTACAGCGCCACTAAGGGATCGTTTACTAAGGAGGAAAGTGATACCACGACATATGGATACACGGGCGAACAATTTCATAATGGTACAAGTGATGCCACGACAAGTCGATACACGGGTATTAAAACTTCAGCGGGAGAACAATTTGAAAATGGTAAAAATGATACCACGACAAATGGATACACGGGTAATGAAACTTCAGCGAGGGAACAATTTGAAAATGGTAAAAGTTATGCCACGACAAGTGGATACACGGGTAACAAAACTTCAACTAGAGAACAGGTTGAAAATGGTGAAAGTGATGCCACGACATTTTCACAGACTAGTGAAATAATGTCTAAGACTACGAATAAAAGTAACATCACAAATGATAATAATAGTAGTGTAACTATTGCCACTGCTTCACGTGTCACAAGGGAAACAAATGTCAATGTCAATGATACGACAACTGATAAAGTGGGAAGAAATTTTACAATGGGAAATGGCGGACATGATAATAATTATTTTACAACCGTATTGCCGACCAGTGAAAAAGGAACTACGACTTTAGAAAGTAATCCCAATACTGAATCTGATACACCAACGGAAGAGGACGTCTTGCTTGATTGCATTTACAACAACGATGGAGTATACATAGATTTAATTACAAGTGAATATATGCTGAATGAGACTGTAGTGTTTTGTTGCCAATTACAAATTAAAAATTATGACGTTCATAGTTTAATGACGAAGGAAATGACAAAGGTTTATGAGATAATAGAATTTTGGATCAGTATATGTTTAGTGTTCATTGGGTTAGTTGGTAATGGTGTATCCTTTGTAATATTGTACAGGGAGAAGACGAGTACTAGCATGTTTCTTCTAAAGGCACTTTCAAGCTGTGACGCGCTCTATTGTCTCTGGTACCTCATGTTTGCACCCTACTCCATCGCTTATGAAATAACACCATGGATTAAAAACAGAGAATCTAATATTGTTAATTGGATCCCATTTCATTTTTTGAAATTAGGTTTGGTTAACTATGTTCTTCAGACCATTTCTATTTGGCTTGTTGTGCTCCTTACCATTGATCGTTACATTGCTATCTGTTATCCATTCAGAGCAAAAGTTTTGTGCACATTGAATAAAGTCAGAATCGAAGTTGGTGTCTTAATCATACTATCCATTTGCTTCGCTATCCCTAAGGGGTTTCAGAACGCTTCGGAAATGTCAGTAAATGCATGTTTACGTACACCTTATGTCGAAACCGTTCTAACAAAGTTTGGGGAGTCATTTGGATGTGCTGTAGTGTATAACATCATTCTTGATGGATTCTTAAGATATATCATCCCTGTTATTATGGTTCTTGTAATGAACATCCTTTTAATTAGAGTCCTGACAAAGGCTGCAGCTAACCGAGTACAGATGAGTTCAATTAGTGAGACAAGCCAACAAGACAATGGCATCACTAAAATGCTAGTAACAGTTGCAACTGTGTTCTTAATCTTAATCCTCCCACAGGTGGGTGCCAAGATTTTGAAATCTCTTGTTTATTTGAGTATGAAAAACAAGATCAGTTTGTCCGTCAATGTGTCACCAACTGCAGTCGAAAGTGTTGTGTTGGCGTCCAATTTGGCTCTCCGGTTGAACTCATCGATTAACTTTATTCTTTACATTATTGTGAGCCAACGATTCAGGAAAGGCTTTGCCCAACTGTTTCGGTGTAGCAGAGTTCTCAAGTCAGATACAACTTCCAGTGGCTCACGCACATCAAGCACTGGTGCTTCAAAGTCGGAACTTTGAGATATTTGATTTCCTTTACATGTATAACCGGTGCCTTTTTAGAAGTTGCATTTGGTAATCTAACATGTCTGAAAATATAAGCAGTTTGCTTTTAAACCTGTGGCCAACTTTGTTGATCAAATAATAATCGAAACTATTTGTGGTTATGGCATAATTACGCAAATGCGAGTAGGTAGTTACCAGTTTCACCACCAGGTGGCTGATTCGGGTCAATTAACACGGCAGGTATATAAGAAAGTTCCCTTAAACTTGAATAGTATCAATTTAAGTGGCTCAATTTTCATATAACCCTTATGTATCTGATACTTATACTAATGAAAATATGTCCAGTAAAGCAAAATATTATCTGTCCACTAAAAGAAAAGATATTTCATTTTTTTGTGATTTTATAGCATGGTCTATGGGGAATCTCCCCGAGCAAGAAGTCACTGAATTTTGAATTTTTAATGACGTAAATCAAGATTATTTCTACTCGCATCTGGGTTATTGGTTTAGAAATAGAGATCGAAACCAGCTATATTTTTCTCTCGTTGACCATTGTGAATTATTGTGTTTCATGGACTGTGGCGCGCATTTTTGATGTCAGGAGTATTGGTCATCATATCAATTTATTCCTCAACATGTTTTGTATTTGATCTTCTGCATGAATTTATGTAACATGGTCTTTAAGCTAGTAGTATTTGATTCTAAGAACGGGTCCCTAGTGGCGGCGTCAAAACAAGTAAAATTACCTGCTGGTATAGGGAATGGAAAGTGAAAAGTTGATAATGCAGTGACAATGCCAACAATGGGTGATTTCGATGTTTCTCAATATCATTACAGAGTAAAATGGACATTCAGGGGATCCTTTGAAGCAGGGGCATCTTTCATCACAAAATGGTTGATAGCACCTTAAATTAAACGTTCTGAATGATTTATACAGGATCATATCCTCGTAGAATTGAGATCCTCCAGGCTGCTGGGGGAGACATACAGACTATTAAAAAAGTGAAATATGGACATCACTAAAAAATTTGGAATTTAACCAATCACTCTGAAATTTGGTGTGTGATCAGCAAATTAAATTCCCTTTAAGATGATGTAGACCAACCCTATGTTATCTCTGAATTAAACAAGTTAAGGGGGGAGAACAGACTTATTTGACGCCCTGTAGACATATTATCCCCCCCCTCCATCCCATTCTACCCCCTTGCATATATATTTTACTAATTATAGTTATCATCTAAACACTTTTAAATATTTTGTTTTTTCATTTCCTTGTGTTATATCATGTGTCTTAAAAATATATGAAATATATTAAATGTTTAAAGTAATATGATTGAATGGTCACAAATGAGTTTGATAAATGATAAATGTTGTCATGTCTAAATGGTGTCATCACGATAAAAGTGAATTCGGGTATCGGGTGTCTCAAAAAAGTAAGCCCCTCTAAGATAAGTATTTTCTCAGCAATAGATGACTTAATTTTATTGAAAATTTCTATAAATAAAATATTACAGAGATCGGCTAAATATCATTTGTGCATTAATAAATTCAAAAATGCATGCCAAAAACCCAGTAGCAGAGCTGCGCAATTAAACCTTCATAGCGTTGGTGCCAGCAACAGGTGATAGCAACTGTGTAAGTCTCAAAATTGCTGGTCTTTGTTTCAGTTCTATTGATTTGTATCATTATTCTCTGTATCCAAAATTCAAAATTTCAGCTTGGAAAGATAATTAACGATGCCTTTCAACGAAAGCGATAAGGCTACTACTGAAAACAGTTTCAAGGTGAAAGGATGCGGCTTGAGATGAATCATGCCAATTGAAGGCGAGAGTTGGAGGCATGTTACTGTAGATAGACAATAAATGAACAATAATTATTACATCTACCATGCAAAGAAAGTATCAATTTTGTCATTGGAGGCCGTATCGTGTAAAAAATAGACAAAAGCATTTCTGCTTGAAAAACCGGCTTTTTCAGACTTTAATAAATGCCGTTTCCATTGATATTGAACATTTTAGCATGCTGTTTTTAATTTGATAATACATAGTAGCCCTGACAGAATTGTTCAATGGTCACTTTTTCCTTAATAACTTTTTTTTAATTTTCAGTATTATCAAAATCTGATTTCATATTTGAAAACTAGAGGAAAATTCTGACATAAAAAAAATATTTAAGGAACATCTCTTTTTTTAATGATATTATAGGCGTTCGTAGTATGAGTGACGCAAATACATTATTCACCATTTTGTCTCATATTTGTTCAAAAATGGCATGTTTTGTGGTTTTAATGTTCAGTTGAAAGATAATATTGAAGAAATGTCATTGGCCTCAGTATATTGGTAAGGTAGCAAGACTAAAAGTTTTTTTGGCCATTCCATTGTTACTCGTAGTGGATTAGCAACCCTATTTTAGCCCAGTCAAACTAATGACAAAAATAGCTTAACCCAAAACAAATTGCAATAGAAATCAAATTAGGTTAGTTATTTACATTTATTAACCTTGAAATACATACTAAAAATCTACCAAAATCGAATAAGTGGAACAATGTTAAAATTTGAATCGAAGATACCCCTACCCCACCCCCTTCAATTTATGAGTACATGACAAAAAAACATATTTCTTAAAGTTGAGGTTTTATTTTTACATCATTTAGTTTGAACACGATTGGATATTGTTTTTCCTAGATAATAGTATCAATTTAACAAAGAAAAAGTTCAGTTGTCTTCTTTTTAACCCTTACAAACCCAGAAAAAATAGAAAAAAATCTCTCAAATTACGCATATACTAATTTGAATGTGTGTTTTTATATTAATGGGACCTTCTAGAAAATGTCCTATAATTTATAAAGATGGACCAACATTCACTTATTATTCCTATGTAATATTGAAATGATAAGTTTCTTGAATTTTGAGAAATAAACTTTTTGATACCGTATGGTTAGGCTACTAGAATGAAGGTCGGAAAATGAAATTCATACAAACGAGAGGAAAAGGCACAAATTAGATACCGTTGTAAAACTTATGACCCAACCTTTTCAAATCCACTTGCATCCAAGTCTCAAATTTGTTACCAATAATGTCAAATGCCAGTTTCCATAGCAACCATTTGGATATTGTTAATAGATGTAATACATTATTAGCATATTCCACTCATTATTCGTCGATTCAAATTGTATCATAATGAAGCAATAAATATGCGATTAGCTCGTATGCAAATTACCTCATTTGCTAATTTTTTATGAAATCATATGATGTGTATTTTATCGTACCTAAAAAGGTACGATACTGTTGTCTGCTTGGCGGGTGGGTGGCGTTTCATTTTTCTTGAAATCACGATTCCTGGAAAACCACTTAATGGATTCACTTCAAATTTTCACAAATGGTACATGGAAAGAAGTTCTAGAGCTGATTAACTTTTCGGTAGCCATCTTGCATTCTGGCGGCCATCTTGGAAGTTTTTAGATAAATCTTGTCATCACAATTCCCAAAGATCCCTCAACATATTTATTTCAAATTTTTCACATGTTACTTGGTAAGAAGTTCTAGAGCTAATAAACTTTTCAGAAGCCATCTTGCATTCTGGTCCCATTTCAGCGACTATCTTGCAATGTGGCAGCCATTTTGGAAGTTTTTGGATTAATTTTGTCATTGGCATTCCATGAAAACCACTAATGGCATTACTTCAAAACTTTACACATGTTACATGGAAAGATGTTCTACAGCTGATAAACATTTTGGTGGTCATCTAGCTTTTTGGGTAAAACAAGCCCTTACTGCCATTTATTAGGTACAATATTGTTAACCCTGTGCCTTGTTCTACATTGCACTCATATATTTAGACACAATGTTGATTGGTATTGTAAACGTTACTGATTGTTACGCGGTAAACACGATACAAATATATGTCATACTCCTCAACGAATATGGCATATTCACTTGCGGTGTATGACAGATTCACCTGCGGTATATGGCATACACACTAACCAATGAGAATGCGATACAGAACTGTTCACAACTGTCAAATACATTGATTACTTAATCAACATCTTAGCGCATTAAAAATATCAACTAATACAATTGAATAACATACACCAGTACGGTACGTATTTTGTTTTATCCCATACTTGGACGTGTTACAGGTACATAAAGCCGGTTTGTAAAAACTTATATTTTCATCAGCGGGCAGATATAGCTATACGTCCCGCTCCGAGCGGGCAGATATACTATATCTGCCCGCTACGTCATAATCGCCGCTCGCATATTTTTTCATAATTTGTAACGTTCGCGTAATGACTGTACACGACAATGGAGAAAACACAGACAATCGGGATCTGTTTGATGGTTTAAAAAATTGAAGGAGCATCCACCTAATCAATCAAAAATTCGAGAAAATAAATGTGGGAATATTTGAGGGAACAGGAGAACCCACCCACGGCCAAGAAAACAAAACTGGGCATGAATATTCTAAAATATTTCCACGATTGAACAATGTGAACCAAATGACCAAGATTGGTATGGGATAAACATATTATCCTATAGTCGGTTCAGGATATTGGGATTATCCCTTGGCCAATATAATGTATTTTCCCTCGGGACCTGCGGCCCTCGGGCAAATATATTATATTGGCCTCGGGATAATCCCAATATCCTGAACCTCATATAGGATAATCTCTATTTATGTTGTTTGATGTATGTGTTACACACAAATACACACTTCAAGGGAAACATTATGATGCATAAATAAACGAACCTACATTCGTGACGCTTATAAATGACTTTTATAACTAAATCAACAGTTGGCAAAAGCCAGATAAAAACTTTAAAAGACCATGAGTATTTATATATTATATTGGCAATCACGATTTACACATTTCTGATCCTTTCAGGAGTATCATTCAACAATTTCATGTAATAAACATACTAAATCAATACAGGATTCATTTATATTAGTACTGGCTAACTATATTGGCAATCCGGCGTAATTTTACATTTAGAATAGATTCATTCGACCAATCAAATCGAGGCTTTCTGTATCACATATATTCCACAGGAAAGTATGACATATTCCGCCGTGAGTATCTGATATTCACTGAAATCAAAGCATCACATATTCACTGCGGAATATGCCATACTCACCTGCAGAATATGCCATACTCATCTGCAGAATATGCCATATACTGCAGGCGAGTATGGCATATTAACCCGTATCACAAACATTGCACAACCATGAACATATGCAATAATCCGCGTAACAACTATAAGACTATGACTGGAATATATAAGCACTAGTGCTAAAGGGTAAGGACCAAAAATTGTTCAGAACGAAGTAAGAAAAAGAAAACATTTAAGTATACATCAGTCACAAGAAAAGCAAACATAAACTTCCCAAAACCATAAAAATTGTACAATTGAGGTTCTGACATTTTGTTAACAAACAAACTGTTTTGGTAACCAGCTTAATCGAATGGATTACCAATGAGATACAGACTGAATACAATTGAATTTACTGAAAGCACATTATTACAGAAGAGGGCCTCAAAAACTACTTGAATTCACAATTTTGACACTGAAAAGCTAAGGTCATATTTTTGCGATTCTGACTCTACGCTTCCATAATATTCTTCGAGGCTCTTGCCGTCAGAGGGTATTTTAACCTACTTTTGAGATTTTTATGGAAAGTAGGTCAAAACAAAAAGTTCTAAATAAATGCAATGTTTGAGGTGTCAAAATACTGGAAAATTTCTGAAATCAGAATTGAAATCTGACTTCGAGTTTAGATTCTTTGATGTTTTGAAATCTTGAAAAGTCTACTTGATGATATCCTCATGTTAAGTCAATGGTGCGAACTTGATCAGCAACCCACTAAGCTACGTATTCAGATACATACCCAGCTACCTATACCGTATTTATAGTGTATATAACATTAATAAGATTTCATTTTCAAGTCCTTAAGGGTTAGTGGTCTCAATTCTCCCAGTAATTTAAAAATAAGTGAAACAAATGAAGGCCTATACCTATTTTTCAATTTGTTTTAAAAAAAATTATGACTTTATATATATTTATATTAGAAACAAGTCAAATTCTTTACTTCAGAGAATATTTTTAATTTATTGAGACTTTCGACTAAAATTTTGAAAAAGACTAAGGGATATTAGTCGAAAGTCTCAATAAATTAAAAATATTCTCTGAAGTAAAGAATTTGACTTGTTTCTGATATATTAACCAGAGAGATGAACTTACATAGAACTATATTTATATTATATTTAAGGCATATATAATATATTTATGATTTCATTATAAAGTCCTTAGGGGTTAATAATCTAAATTCTCCCAGTGATTTAAAAATAAGTGAAGCGAATGAAGGCCTTAACCCCTAATTTTTTTAATTTTTTTTCGAAAGCTATGATTTTTTTCTCAACAGCTAATGAATGCAAAACTCCCTTGCTTTGCATATGTATAGAGTACGTAACAAGGTAAAACTAGGATTTTTTTATACATGATTAAGTCGCTTTTTAGGAATATAATGGCGTTAACGTTAAATTACTGTGCGCATTTAATGCAAAATTTCAGATGAATAAGGGTTAAAAATATTTTTATTCACTCTGAATACCAAAGTTAAAGAGATACACAGATTGGGATACCTTATTACAAGCAGGAAATTGTACAATTACTTTCAAAAATTTGCAGGCATTTGAAAAATAATTTTTTCCTTAGGGGGGTCTATTTTTCAAGGGGAGGGGGTACCAAAAATGATTTTTTTACATGTTCCACTAAATAGATTTTGGTAGATGTTTAGTATGTCATTTCGTCTGTTTATATGAATTGAAAAAAGAACATTTTATTACTATTGCAATTAGTTTTGGGTCAAATGTTACTCTGACTGGACTATTGATGAATGGTCAGTTGCTGCTGCATTACATCAGGATTGTAACGATGGCAGCATGGCCCTATAGTCCTATGACAATCTTTAAATATTAACTTTCAACTGGGCATTCAAATTCACAAAATATGCCGCCATTGTGAACAAATATGAGGCAAAATAATGAATTATGTATTTGCGTCAGTCATACTATGAACGCCTTATACTATATATGACCGCCTATAATATCAATAAATTAAGAGATGTTCCTTAAATAGTTTTTTGTATGTCAGAATATTACTCTAGTTTTCAAATATGTGATCAGACTATGATAATACTGAAAATTTAAAAAGATATTAAAGAAAAAGTGACCATTGAACAATTCTGTCCGGGCTACTGTCATGTCACTGATCTCATCCATATTTATAGCATATTATAGCACTTTCTACGGATACCTTATAAAAGTTTAGTTATAAAATACCGAAGACGAAGCTCTCTTTTAAGAAGTGAAGTCGAACGAATACAAAGGGTACTACCCTATAAAGGGCGTCAAATAAGTCTGCGGCTGTTCCCCCTTTACTGTTTTTAATTTAGTAAGAACATAGGGTTTTTATATATCATCTTAAAGGGAATTTAATTTGCTGATCACACACTACATTTTAGAGAAGTTGGTGAAATTCCAAATTCTTGAAAGCATTTTTAGTGATGTTTATATTTCACATTTTTTAATAGTTCGTATGTTTCCCCCAAGTAGCTCAGACAGGCTCAATTCTATGTTCACAATCAAGGGTGTTGCACTTTCACGACTTCTAAGAGCTTTCTTGATACCTTTGAACAATGTTTCACGGCTATGATGTGTCTCCTCTGGTTGATCGGTCTTCAATTAATTTTTCGATACTGTCCTTAATAATCACAGTATCAATTTTTCACCATTCATTCATTATCCTCGTAATCAATGGTCATTGGTCAACTACATTCTTCAAGAAACATTGTAGCAATTTTATTAGAAAGAGTTCATTAATGATTTTTTAAAGGTGATCAGCATTTTCCATAAACTATAGAATAATATATTGGATAAAGTATGATAACTTTTTAAGGGGGAGAACAGACTTATTTGACACCCTATATAGATCCTCAATAAAAATTTTCAAATTATTCGGCTCATTGTTTGCTGAGAAAATCGTTGCCAAAAAGCGGCTTAAATTTTTTTGGGACACCCGATATATCAAATGATAGATGGAGTCTCTTGATCACCAGATCGCAAATTGAGCAAAGAAAAATTCTAGTATGCCTATACAATTATGAGGGTCGTTCAATAAGTACTATCTAGTGCAAATGGAGCAGATTTTACTTTTCATTCATTACTTTATTTTAGTCCAAATCTTTCTTGCAGATGGTTATAAGACTGATACTTTTTATTCTTTTTTAACTAAAATACTTTATTTTTAGCAAGTAATGATAAGGAAAAATTGCTCCGGGTACTTATTCTAATCCCTACTCTCATCCATATATATTTAATTTGCTGTATCTTTAACAGAATAAATTCATAATAATTCGTCAGTATAAAGACATACATTTTGCCTTCAATTCCTGAAAATTCCATCTTGATTCCCTCACAAACAAGACAATAACTATAAGTTTCTTACTTTCGTATTTTTGAACCAACCCTCGTATGATGACGCTGTTTCTATTGCAAAACAATGATGATTAGTCAGTCATTCCATATATAAGGAGACATTTAAGGTTCCAAACTTTTGAAAAATGAACTTCGTTTCATTGCATTCATTTTCAGATTTTGATTTTGTTTTATGTATCCTCTATAAAATCCCCAAGTTTTGGCATTTTAACTTTTATATATCAAAAGTTACACTATTTTGAAAATAAGAGGTGTGAAATTATAAAAAGCGTATAGTTTAAGATTCGTTCTCCATACCTGTACATGTTTTATTCTATGGGGATTTTAGCTAACTTGATATGCGATGTCTTCCTCTGGTAATCTCTATTCTATAGATCATTGATAAATAATAGCTTTTTTCATTTTATTTACATCAGGACAATTTATAAATGTTATTCAAAGTGCTAGGATGTAATATCAAACGAAAAGTGATCGTAAAACATTGACAAATAATGATTCAATCTTGTTGAGCCACTTGATTTCTACGGGGACCTCAGAAATGAACAAATATTATAACTCCGAGTTAAAATTTCTACGGCGACCCTGCGGCCTCTAAAAAACTGGATACGCCACACGGAGGCCGCAAGGCGAGCGTAGTTTTCCTACGCTCGCCGCAGAAATAAACTGATTTAATTGATCTGCGGTCGACGCACGCCCTCCGTACGGCAAATGTGACTGGGGTGTAAGAAACAAAACTATTAATTGCATTTGGGAAATCACTTATCATTTTAATCAAAAAATAACATAAATTTACGTTGTAATGCATAAATGCAGTCCCTTCTTAAAAAAATTATTTTACAAAACGCAACACTGTCATGTATTCTCATGATGTTTAACACAACATGTGAAAAGTTATTTTGGGCATACAATGAAACTATTGGATTTCGCTTTCAAATCATTATATATTTGTATGTGGCAAAAACATCTAGTAATAATCAGAAATAAGTTAAACTTGTCAGAGCAAAACAACGTCGCTTAAAGTAAAAAATTGACGCAATTGTTAATCCACCGAATCTTTCTCGTATATATCCAAAGTCTTAAAACACAAGCTCCTGTCCATTGTATTGTCACCATAAACCATTTTATATCTTTTAATAGAGATACAAAATTACTTTGAAAATAATAACGTATCTTAATATCATTATCAAAACATTTTAACTCGATCAATATCATTTACTTATTTGTTTAGAAGTATATTATAAACTCGTGATATGACCAACTACAAACAATAACAACTTCTTAAACAACAAAACAACAAAACATAAAATGCTTCATAGCAGAGGCAAATGAAAGAGAACGTCGCTTAAATCTAAGACATTTCGTTCCTTTACAAATGTCAAATGTTTACTTCACTGGAATAAGGCTTTAGCCAACGTTTTGATGTGCTCCACTTTTGCAAGATCAATTGCATGTCACTGGCGGCGATTTTCATCATTCGTGCGTGCTTCCCAGTTGCAAGTGGGTCTGAAATTTTACACAAAATATCATTTTCCTTGACCCAAATTAGATCTGTTTTCTTGGGCCATTGGAATAACTGCCTTTTTTCTCCATGAAATTAATTTCATATTCTCCGTCCTCCTCATCTCTGTCCACAATCTTTCCAATATACCAATTTCATCATACAACGCAGCACAAAACTCATCTTTGTTGTATCTCATTGCTGATATTTCGTTGTGTACTTGTGCATTATTGTTTACATCACTTTTCTCTGAGCTGGATTGATTTTTAGACTTTGTATTAGTGAGTTTCGCTACAGTCCACTTGTCACAAAAGTCTCCGTTTAAACAGTGTTTGCAATAACAGCTGACATCGCTCATCATGACAATGTTGTTCCCGATCCCAGAAATTGCATGTAGCTTGAATGTCCCTTTCAAAGATTTGACTTTGTCACGAAGTTCAAGCTCATTCTTTTTGACTGCGCATCTTTCGGAACTTAAACAAATGAACTTGACAGCCTTCTTCTGATACGTTCCTTTTCAAGGTATTTTTGTCCCTCGATTCTTTTCTTTCTTTCTCTTTAATTCTTTTGAATTTCTGCTTTAGTCTTGGCCATTTTCTGCAACAAATTGTGAATTCCCGGGTAAGTTACCACTATTAAGACTATTAAAACAAGTATTAAGCGACGTTATCAAAAGAAACGTTCCTTAATTGATATAAAACTCAAGTCGTAGCGATTTGGGAAAAAGTTGACATCATGTTTTAACAATGACCAATTAAGTTGTTTATTTAGAATATCTTTCAACCGAATCGGGATATCCTAGATCTTTGATTAACCAGCTTTGCTTAGGCAAAAGATACAGGTGTTGTACTTACGCGATTGCTGTATTATTTAGGGATTTTTAGGAAGAAATCCCATTTCATTTGACTGCAAATAAAGTATTGCGTATCATGAGATCACGTGATGATCTCCTCCACTGGGTTAGCAGCATTTATTGCTGAGTTAAAGAGAGAATCAGATATAGCGAGCAGGCTAAACAAAAATTGTCTCAATTTTAGAATATTTTTGGCTCATGTCATTCCTTGTCATGTCTATTTTCTAAAAATCACAAAACTGCATACTTTATTCATGGAAAACTAAAGATTTTTACAATAATGTATTATTTTTCTGAAAGAATGGTTACCATTCTTATTATTTGGGAGAATTTTAGCCATTTTTGCACTTTGAATCATGAATAACTTCACCAATTTATAAGATATTGTGAATATTTTGGGAGATATTATATTTGAGATTGTAAGGAATATATTGGTAGGTCAATTATACAAGTTGCTTGTAATTTTATCACCCCCTATAGATCTGATTCTGCCTTTAATCAACTTATTTCGCACTTTCCGTAACGTACCTTAATGCAACGTACAAGAGGAAAACTCATTACATGTTCCAATAAAGCAATATAACAGAGCGAACAAAGGTAATGAGCACATTGTATTGAATGTCCGCCTTGTCATATTCAAGAATTTATTTACTAATTCCATCAAGCTATTACAAAATGTTGGGAAATGTTGTAATGTACCTTAAAAGCCTTATCTTTTGGATTGAAAAATGATACCTTAAAGTGTGCGCCTGACCCGGCTACGTATAGCACAGAGTTTATACTGGCGGATTAGACTAGTTCATTTTTTATATGTGTGTGAAAGCTTTCTCTTATTTGCGTTTTTTCGTTTAGTACGGTTTTGCTATAATTGCCGAGGTCATATAACCGGGATAAAACAATGATTATCGTTGACTGCCCACACACAAAACATACGTTGAGTGAACAGTGTTATTACAAACAACAGGCTTTAGAATACAAAGCGTAGTGTGATAATAAGCTGCACACTACCACTGCTGCATGTACATATTACTAATTTACTAGGGCTCCCAAAGAGTGGATAGGGAGGTTGTGTTTGTCACTTTTAAATTTTACATTTCAAAATTGTCATTTCACATGTCATAATTTGTTGGTTTCATTCGTTTAGCCAATCAAAACATTGTAAAACAATAAATTGTCTGTTACGTACAATCAATTTTGTTCAGTTTTGATTAGTTGTCAGAATAAAGTTACGTTCATCTGAATCCATGTATCAAAACAAAAATCCTATTTTCACTTCAAAATACTTCAGTGAGATGAAGGCTCGGAATTGTCACATGCAATAACTTATTGTCGTATTCGTTATTTTATCTTCTCGATAGTAGCATTTAGTCGCACATTTGATGCCAGGTCACCTTGTCGCGTACCTCTTGGGGAACCCCACATTTATGTGTGTACTCATGGAAGTAAATTCCCCGGTGAAGCCGAGAGCCACAAACTTTTCAACAGGTTCGAAATGACCAATTTCTCTCATATATACTCTAAATATTTTATTATTTAGCACCTACAAAGTATTGCTAATAACCATATGTAATAACAATAAGGAAACTTATCTGGCTACATATAAATTCAATATCAACACTAGCTGTTCTCTCAACACGTCCTGGCTTACCTTGTGGTGACAAACCCTGGATTTTCGCTATTTATAGTTTATCAACACCTGGACGCATGCGCATTTTATACTTTATCGGGCACTTTAATGACCTATAACTTTTGTTCTGGATAGAATACAGTTTTGAAACTTTGCATGCATTTTGATAAATCATTTTCTAATAAAATATCACTTTGGGTTAAACATTTAAGTGATTCGTGCATTCTCTAGAAATTGAAATATCTAAAGTGGTATTTTAGAAAAAAAACTGGCGACATGGGTTCCGGGCATCTGATTATTAGGTTAGAAAGGATTAAATTACTCGAAACGTTGGTAAAATACAGTATATACCCACAGGTATCTTTTCAGGAAGTTTGGATGTGTTCTGAAATCTATAACTACTTCAGTTATGCTTATAAAACATCACTATGCACTCTGGCGACATAACGTACCTGAGGAATTTGTCATCAAATTCTCACTTACTACCAAACAATTAAAATTTGCTGTTTGGTGGTTGTACAAGTGGGTGTTGGTCCTAAGTAGATGTTCTTAAAAAGTTTCTATAAATATCTATTAACGCTTGAGAAAAAACCCTTGGCGACACGAATGTCTGCTTATATGTGGAATGATTGAGTACTAAGGCAATAAAACATCTGTGTATGCTTTATGTGAAATCATGCATTATATTCCATTACCCATTACTCTACAGGGTGGTTTACTCGTGATTTTAAATGAATAAACACGTTGGAAAAAATTGTCCATTTTGTGGAATTAGGAATACCATTGTCTTAAAATCTTGGGATACAGTACAATGAACTATTAGCGCATCTCGATAATTACTGGGGGAGGAGTATCTTTGTTCATTCTCAAAAACATAAAGAACAAGCGAAGAGAGGACCTTATGTTACAATCAAGTTTATTTGAGTCCTTATCTTTTGAAATGATTAATGATTCTAAGAAAAAAATATTATACTTACGGCCATTTACAAGCCGCCTAATACCAATCTAAATGACTTCAATTCCGATCTAAATCAACGTTTAGGCAGTCTCTAAAGAGAATACTGAAACTGTCTACACATTAGGGGATTTCAACTCTTAAAATCAGACTTGAAAAATGCTACTCAGGATTTTATTAATCTACTTTATTTATTCAGCCTTACTCCCCTTATATGTAGACCAACTTGTTTAACTTATCAGTTATACCATGGCCAGTCTCATTGAAAACATATTTACGAATGCTCCAAACATACCTAAAGCTGGAATCATTCTTGAAGACATTTCTGATCACTTACCAATTTACTCAATTGCCTCAACCCACGTGCCAAAAATGCAAACTAATACTATACACAGTGCTATATGCTTCAGACAATTTTGCGAGACAAAAATGGCGATCATTTTGAAAATAGGCGAGCTTTTGAACCAGGAGTCATAGGGGAGTTTTTTGTATTGATGTTGAACAAAAAAACTTAAAACGGGAATCCTATCAACTTCACAAGACAGGTGGACAAATCAATGTTAACTAAAATGGCTGAAAATAAAAAAAAAACGGATATAACTTTTTGCTGATTTTTTGTAACAAAATTATTTCATACAACTAATCTTCACGTTGACATGGCTTTTTACAATGCAGGACACCTGAATTTATTTGTAAAGCTAGGAAATGGGTCAAAAATGAATTTCGCGAGACAAAAATGGCGGCCATCTTGAAAATAGGCGAGCTTTTGAACCAGGAGTCATAGGGGAGTTTTCCGTATTGATGTTGAACAAAGATTACTTAAAACGGGAATTAAAACGTGCCACTATTGTTGGTCCAAAAGTGGATTTCGCAAGACAGATGGACAAATCAATGTTAACTAAAATGGCTGAAAAAACGGATATAATTTTTTGTAACAACATTATTTCATACAACTACTCTTCACATTGACATGGATTTTAACAATGCAGGATACCTGTCATTATTTGTAAATCTAGGAAATGGGTCAAAAATGAATTTCACGAGACAAAAATGGCGGCGATCTTGAAAATAGGAATCAAGTTGTTCCATTTGAGAAACTCAGATCAAAGAAAGCGTCTATATCATATGGGATGCCTCAAGGATCTGCACTTGGACCTGTCTTATTTATACTTTATGTGAATGACATGTACAAATCTACTAATTTCTTTGATTTTATTATGTTTGCTGATGATACAAATCTGTTTACCTCTCATAAAACCATTGAAAGTCTATTTACTGTCTTCAATAATGAATTAAACAATATTGACGACTGGATTAAAACGAATAAACTTTCCTTAAATATTGATAAAACTTAATCAATCCTCTTTGGACCAAACAAAGAAACTAACATAATAACATTAAAAATTTGGCAAAACCCCATTCAACTTGTTAAAAATGTATCTTTCAAGTCTCACATTAAAATTATTGAAACTAAGATTTCTCAATGTATTGCTATTTTACACAGGGTCCACAACTTACTTACTTTAGAAATCACTTATGACAATTTAATACGCTCTTATTCATTCACATATGAACTAGGCCTACTATAATATTATTTGGGGAAATAACTATAAAAGCAATCTCTCTAAATTTCATACCTTACAAAAACGCTTTGTCCGCCTTGTGTTTGGCAAGGAACATGTTGAGCATTCTTTTATGTAAATACTTTTTATGATAATAAATAAAATACCACAACCTCTTTAAACGGAGCTTAATGGAACGCATCCCAAATCGATGAGAAAGTAACTTACATTAAATTTTCTATTAATTTTTCCCCTAATCTCAAATTCGGTTCATTTGCATCGTCACTTTCCACTGGGTCTAGAGAGGTGGGGACAATCTAAACCTTGTGAATCAAGATGGTTCATTTTAGCAAAATCTCACTTTATAAAACAAAAATCAAAGCGACAGTGACAAAAAAGACAGTGCCCGTGTTATGATTTTGATTTGGCGTTCAGCTGAAAAAGATGATTCCGAAAGCAAATATGTTGATGTAAGAAATGTATGCGTGGCCCCTTCACACATTGGACACTCTTCATGCACGCCGAAATCATGATGAAGAAAGTTATCATAAAATTTGCAGTTGCTGCACTTTGTGTCACCCTGTATCGTGTATCCGAATCACGTTTACTTATGTATATGACGTTTCCCCTTTGTAGCTTTGTATAAAACACATAACACATGCATATATTCGAGCAGAGGTAGGCGGAAGCACGCGGTATCCTGAAAACTAATTACAAAATAATAAGAAAATATCATTACTATTGGATTCTAAGCATTGCTGACTTAACACTTAGGGCAGGTAAATGTAAGTAAATTTGTTTATCACAATATGTCAAATTAATATAAAAATAGCCCACTGTATTAAATATAAAACGTGTAAATCATTAATTCAATAGTCGTTTATCATTCAAAAATGATCAATTATATTCATGATCATACTTGTACAATGTTCATATTACAATTTTACCAAGAACATTTTTAGTACGTATACAATATACATGTAATTAGAATGACCACTACACTTATTTGGCTCATGTTATCCGTTTGTCTTAAGAGTAAAATGTCATCGTTTTAAAGAATTTTGAATTCATTTTAAATAATGTTCTCGGCAACTATGGCCCTATTATGGACAAAGGGGAGGGGATATCTGATACCAGAATTCATAGGTGAGCCTATCTCCATATTCAAATAAACCCTTTACATTAGGAAAGGTTCGTGTATGAATTCTGGGTATTTCCTCGAGTGGCGGTGATTTCGTAACACAAGCTCACACAATTTTGTCATCAAGTATCAATCATGGTAATATTGGTCCATTAGTGCAAAATTGAATGAGATTATACTATAAATTATATGAGGGTATGCGATCTTATAGATGTATGAGATGGATAATAAAAGTATGTCTCTCTTCATGAACATATTTGAACTTTTCATAGCAGAAATGCTACTTCATAGAAAAGCGCTTCCGAAGAATGAGACGAAGAATGAAGAAGTGGTATCGGCAAAGATCAGAAATCGATTGTTTTAACTAAATACGATGTACATGTCGAACTGAACAAAACAGGTCTTTAATCGAGAGAAACACTGTTCATAATTTACTGGGATGGTTTTCCCATTTTGCAGGTTTTAATACGGTAGTTTCAGGCGAGGGAATAAAAGTCCACTGTATGATGACTAATTCCAAGCATTCAACTGCTGCACCAAAATCCTCTGAAGCATAAACTGTAATTTTGGTTTAATATTTTATTCAGGTCCATCAGAAATGGGGTTACATATAACGATACTTGCAATATTCCTAGCCGTAGCGATGCATCGAAATCAAGGAATCACTGAAGACGAAATAGTTACTACCAGAGCCAAACGTGAAATGACGACAATGACTGGTCAATCAGAAAGTACAGATGAAAGAGATAGCACGCCTGATTATGGAGATGTCACGACTAAATCTACAAGTGCAAGTGCAACAACTGTTCGAGGTGTCACGCAAGTACTCAATACGAACAGCTCGTCACTTGTGGATATGCAAGATAGAACTCTTACGACTGTAACAGACTTTGGACAAAACACATCTAACTCAAACATAAGTGGGGGTGATTTTACCACTCAAAGTAGTTCAGCCACGAATGTTTCGAGAACTGATGGAGTTCAATCCAGCACTCGGGTGATGGGAGACGCGTCAAATGTGACGTCGACGATACCACCAACGTTCTTTCCATTAGAAGTTAGATTTCGTCAATGTTATGTGAGGAAAAATAGTTACAGCGTTGATGTTAGAGCGTTATGCTGCACATATGAGGCTCATGGATATGACATGGACAGCTTAAAATTGAGTGAAAACAATTTGGCATATGTGGTTGTTGAATTTTGGTTTAGTTTGTTCTTATGCCTTTTTGGATTGGGTGGCAACATTATTTCTTTTATGGTATTGTCAAAAGAAAGAACAAACACAAGCATGTTTTTCCTTAGAGCTCTTGCAGCAAACGATGGCATATATTGTCTTTGGTATATCTTGTTTACACCTTACATTATAGCCTACGACAAAACCAAATGGATCAATTCGGGTTCCAGAATTTCAGATATTGCCCATTGGATCCCATTAAACCAAGGCTATTTAGGTTTGGTCAACTTCATTCTTCAAACGATTTCCATCTGGTTGGTGGTCTTACTTACCATTGATCGTTTCATTGCCGTGTCGATGCCCTTACAGGCCAGGCTGTTGTGTACAATGAATAAGGCCAGGATTCAAGTTGGTATTTTGATTGTCCTTGTTATTGGTTTTGCCTTGCCAAAGGCTTTTCAGTTCACTTACTTTTTAATAGATAACGTATGCTTTAAAACACCAGGGACGCGTCTGTTAAAAATTAATTTTACCGACTTTGGAAAAACGTATGGCATGACTGTTGGATATGATATTATAGCAAGTGGTCTCTTGAGGTATATCATCCCAGTGTTTAGTGTTCTTATCATGAACATCCTTTTGATCAGAATATTGGGAAATGCTTCGGCAAATCGTTCGGAATTGGTCAAAGGTGCCCATGACGGACAACAGGGCCGGGGAATCACCGTGATGTTGGTCACAGTTGCGACCACATACACCTTATTACTTTTACCACTTGTTGGGATCAAAATTTTGAGGTCACTCTTCTTTTTTCAGCTCAACAAAGAGATATTTATTCACGAAAAACTTCGACTTTATGTATCCTATGCTAATTTGGCCGGTAACCTCTGCCTGCGTCTAAACTCTTCAATCAATTTTCTCCTTTACATTGTTGTAAGCCGGAAGTTTAGGAAGGGAATTGTAGCTTTATTTAGATGCGACAGAGTTACTGTAAAAGACACAAGCTTTTCTAATGCAACTCAAGCATCAAGGGCAAGTATTGTGTATAAATAACAATATACATGGACATGGACCTTTTAAATGTTTGGTATGACTTTTGACAGTTTGAGGTATGGCAATGGTCACTTGGATTTTGGATTTTCCACTTTCTGGCATGAAAAAGGAAGTTATCTCACGCTTGTGGCATTGCATTAGTCTAGTCATATATGTTCTCAATTTGAAATTGTTTCGAATCGTTTCTGCAAAGATCTGCCTTCTTCAAAGTTTGAATATAATGAGCTTTCCCCCAGGAGTTGAACATTTGGTCTTATTTAAATGCCAACAACATTAAACTTTGTTGCTATGGGAACGTATTGGGTGTGTTGTAACTCATACCTTTGACAGAAGATTGTTGTATGAAACTTTGGAAACAAGGTCAACTTAATTTAAATAGACGTACCTACGTTCGGAGCCAGTTGATAAAGGATCTAATGCACTCTCCGTTATGATTTCCCCATGAAGAAAATTTAATTCATATGATTTTTCAAAATGAACATACTGCTTCTATTATTACATTTATATGTGCATTATTTGTTGACCTATATTCAGCACTTGAAAAATTAGGGTCAATATTCAATCAGGAAGTGTTAGGGGCGTAAATGCTAAATCAGCTAAACTTTTTATGTCTGTCAAAATCCATTTACATCCTACGCATCCTTACTTTCCCAAATATGTTATTAATTAATGAAATATTATAGTATTTGGACTTACAAAGTTGTATGGCATTTGATAAGTGTTAAGGTTGTTTTTGGAGCATTTTTCTATAGCCTTTTTGTTGGAAAAAATGATGAAAAATGTGTTATCTTCTAATGATCTCATCGATGAGATATACCATTTGTGTCGTGTAGTGAAATTATTTAATTTGCAATCGATTCAAGTCATATGTATTTTTGGTATATTTGTGATTATAATGGCTTCTATCAATTGGCTATTTGGATATGATGATATCCTCATGGAGCACATCCAATGTCACGTCAATACATCCTTGCTGAACTTTATGACCTCAACCTCAGCCCATGTGAGTCCAGACGCTTACATATTAAGTGTTATGTGACATTGTATTCTACATGTTACACCTAAAGATGATCCATTCTGACCATGGGGGTATTTACCCATAATTGCACCATGTCCTTTGATTTTTTGTAATTATGTTGCCTCTTCAAGTTGTAGCTCGTTGTGCCTATTATTGTACATTATAATGTTTATTTTGTTATATAGTATAACTATCTATGTTTACTCATGGGTTTTCAAGATGAATAAGAAGTATTTGAAACTACTTTCAAGTACCATTATACAGTTATAACCATTGGTTAGTCTATAGACTTACCAGTTCCCCCAAAAGTTTGGCGAAAGTAACTCCCCCTATTAGACGTCGTGTGTATTGAGCCTGTGCGCATGGTTTGATAATATATCGGCCGTCTTCCACGGCCTATTCCAAAGGGGAGTCGCAGTTGCCAAACTTTTATGAGGGGAGTGTATTAATTTTTAAAGCCATATGCTTAATACCTTGTATATTACAATATCTATATGGAGCTTACTGTTTTTCAAGTATCCATTTATTGTGTGATTCGTTTTAGATATGAAAATGTGTAAATGTTTGTTTAATTAATTAAGTATTTTAATACATTTTCTAGCGCCTTTTACTCAATGGGATTTTCTTATTTATTAAAATCATCTTTATATTTACTGTACATAATCATGGTGTGTGACTCATCACAAGGTAAAACATTTAAAATGGCATTTTATTAAATTGTAAATCTTATGAGAAATTGTTTTAATTTTAGGGATGTTTATTATTAATGTTACCAAGTGTCATCAAACTTAAGCCATGAAAGCCAAGTACATTCGGCATATATGCTGTTTTAGATGTGTTTTTTTCAAAATAAAATGACGATAAAAAAGACAAAGACGTTTAATTCGCGTGCTTTAGCCGTCTGTAGGCAAGACCTAACCAAATAATGTATAATGAAATTTTTGCAAGCAAATGAAGGAAAACATCTATAACTTATCAAATTGAAACTTAAACATAGAAGTATCCTATATATATTGTGCATATTATAACTGAGTTAAAGTTATAAATAAATTTACAAATATTCACTAACTTAGTCTGTTAAAGCATAATTTAGACAATAGCCAATTATTTCATTACTTCAGTGATCCAGTCCTGCCATAACACGGTGACTATCCAGGCCCCGTATATCGCGAGCAAGTTCCTGCTGACATCGCGAGCAATGAGCTCATGATAGAAGCGGGGTCTTGAGAGATATGATAAAATATAGTAATAGTTGAAGAACGTCGTTGCCCTGTAATTGAAATAGCCATCGTTCTATGCAAAAAGGCGATGTCAACGGGGCACGGATAGTCCCTACAAAGATTTTGGGCCCACCAAGGGGGGTCCCACTTGGATCCACCAGTGCTACATGACTTTTTGACATTACTCTCCCCCTCCCCAAGACCGCCAAGGCATATCATGTGATATATGTCTGTATCTGTATGTGACTGATCTGAAGCGTTGCTTTGATTCTAAAAAACTCTAAGATTTAAGAATCAAATAAATTGCATCGTCAATAGACAGAAAGAATCCTGTTGTTTCTGCAAATACTACAGCTTAAACAGGTGTTAACGGGTCTGCATTCAAATCTCTGATTGCAGGCAGTTTGGGACTTTTTCAATCATCTTTTTTCACTCTTTTCCTCATAGCAATTTGATGCAGATGCATTGTAGATATTATTCATTTATTCACCTGTCTTAAACAAGGTTATACACAGCATACAACATATACTTATTAATTAATCGTGATGCTCTGATTAAGAGCTTTTATTAGCATATTGTTAAAAGGTGGTGCTTTAAAATAATCTTGATTTACGTCAAATGCAGTTTAGAAAGTTTTTATTAAATTTGAACGTGACAATCACATCCAGAGTGAAATATCCTTTCTTGTGTTGGATGTTAATTTCATTTGTATAATAATCAGACACAAAGGGGCCGGTAATATGAAAATTAATCCACTAGAACTGATGAATATTCAAGTTTAAACTTTCACACTTTATCTGCCATGTTATCTGACCCGAATTAGCCACTGGTGGTGAAACTGGTAACCACCTACTGGTATCTGTATAGCAAATACAACTTATATTGATAATATGAAAGCGTACTCCTAATATCATTTCTGGGCCAGATTTGTTTATTTTGATTCAAAAGTAAAATTCTTAACAATGGCAAAGGAAAATGCGCCTGTAAATATCTGCATTTCTTTTGGAAAAACTACATCGTTCTGCTGCTGTTGAAGCATGATATTGTCTGCCCATAGTCTACAAAGATTGTAATTATAGATTACCTACTTCAAAGGGTAACATTAGAAAATACTTTGGAAATTAACATGTAGTCTCATTGCCTCACTTGCTATCCCATAACATAAATTACCTAAAAGTCAATTTTCACATAATTCTACGACAGCCGCCTAGCTATTTAATTGATATCTGCGGGATAATGTTGTTTAATAGTCATTTTATTGTAATTAATATCGATATCATGTGTATATTTTACTACTTAGGCGATGATAATCTGTAGTGTGACGCAATTTTGTTTACAATTGGTAATATTTTATGGTAGAATTGGAACATTGTGTGGCCTAGTTCTGTAGTTACGTTGTGTGGCCTAGTTACGGAGTTGTTTAATCAACCATTTCATCTCAGGGGGGGGGGTTACTTTAGGGAATTTAAGTCAAAGTTCATATTTTCAGATGTTTTGTCATATTTAATAACATTTAACTCGCTTTTGCTTTCAACATTCCTGAGCTAGGAAGAATAAGCTTGTATTCGCAAATGCAATTAACGCAAATTGTTAACATCAATTGTTAGAAATATCTGTACATGTCAACTGAAACCCCCCAAAACAAGTCAGTCATTCAATAAGTATATATGCCACAATAAGATATAAACAAGACATTAACATGAAAAATATTACCACCTGCCATTTGTTACAGACACCGACACCACCAAACACAAATAGATGAACACAGTCCACAAAGAGTGGGAGACTCTAACAATATGCATCTAAGAACAGAGACAATCCACCAAATAACCAAATTCTGAGTCAAACTATTTTAAGAACTATTTAAAACAGATCCAAATTACAATAATACATACACGATTTTCACAAAATAACTAGAACAGAAATAGCAGAAAGTCATCAAATATAAGTAAAAATAATGTGTGCTCTAGAGCTCACTACACTAGAATACCAAACAACGTAGATTACTTTACTTAGAATTTTATTCCAAAATAGTTACAAAATACATTGAATACCATTGGAATTTTCTATGAGATACTGTACATATTAAAAATGTCAATTATGTGCACTGTAACATTGACCTACAAGTAACTTGTATACTGTATACCCATTCTGAATTCATTTTTATTAAACAAGTACAAGAGGATAATATCACAGTTACAATTACTTAGTTAATATTCAATATAACTTTCCAATAAATCCTGCCACCTTTTAGTACTTCAAGGAAGCTGTACCATTGGCGAGATTGATGATGTCATTTGTTGTACTTTTTTCAAAATTAGCAATATGTTAATCCTATCTTTGCTTGGACAGATTGCTACTTACAACCTATGACATCATTGATCTAGCTTCCTTGATGTGCCAAAAGGTGGCAGTGTTTAGTTCAAATGCACCATCATTACAGAAGTCAATTCATGAAGTTATGGTTGAATGGAGTTGTTTTCAATCAACAATAGGATTTACGTATTGCAAGTTTTGTGAAACTTCTTAGAGTTTCTTCGTAAACATTGCTCCTACAAACAAAGACATGAATTATGCAGAAAATACATCAGGTTCTTCTGTAGTAAAAGGCGGCAGTGTTTGTAGAAAAGGACTTTTTAACAAGGCACCTGTAAGTGTTACATATCAATGATGTCGTTCTAGATAATCTTAAATGGTGAACACCATTACATAATAAATTCTTTTAGTCTAGATGAAGCTTGAATTATAGAATGGTAAAATGCTAAATTACTGATTAATAATGTATCTCTCAAATACGTCCATAACAAAATCGGAACCTCAATACACAAGGTGTATACATGTGAGATTTGCAGATACAATGTACAAAGTAATATGCAAGTTAAAAGCTTGGAATGGAAGTAAATATCCATATTTCTTGGCAAATGTGTATTTATACTTGGTATGTAACAGTACTTTCATGTAAAATACTGTACAGGGATTTTCAATAACATAAATAAATGTGATTTATCTATGCTAGTATTAATTACTTATAAAGTATAAATAACTAAATGAGCGAACCTGATGTACAACAAATCCAAAAGGAAGAGCTCCATCCCATTTTTCATCATATCACTTATGTTCAACTATTCTTGCTGATATTGGTACATGTTGAACTGGTCTTCCCTGGAGTTAATCTTAGCCAATGTTTATGTTATATAGGCATTTAGAGGTAAGTTCACACATGCCCATATTTGGCTATATTGACATTTTCTACTCAAGAACATCTATGTTGACACTGTAATTAGATATGATGATCTGATATACTTTCTTATTAGTGATATACTTATAATTTTAAGCATTTCATTCTCATTCTAAACATACCCTAAAAGTTCTTCTTTAATAAATTATTTTCCGCTTTAAGGCGTTCGATTTCAGCGACAAGTTCCTCATTCACTGAATGATCTTGTACGATGTGTAACAATTCTTGTTGCTGTATTTGAAACTGCCGCAACATTTCCATCTGGAGTCGACTGATGTCTTTATGAATTTGATCCTTGAAGTCATCGAGAGCATCTTCGATCATATTTCGAATAAACTGAGTCTGAAACTGAGGTAAACTTGTCTCTACACCACCAACAGCACCCTCTGGTGGTACGTCATGCTCAGTGGTTTGCATATGGGACTCAATGTGGGCAGTACTAGATTCTTGGGGATTTCTTGTATATGACACTGAAATAGATGAATGCTTGCATTATTGTCAGGGAGAAAAGTGATGGAAAAAACTAAATATAATTGCATAAAGTTGATAGTTTGCATAGTTGATTAAAGTCTGAAATAAAAAGTCTGAAATACAGTTACATAAAGTCTGAAATATAGTTGCATAAAGTCTGAAATATTGTTGCATAAAGTCTAAAATATAGTTGCATAAAGTCTGAAATATATAGCTATTTAAAGTCTGAAATATAATTCCATGAAGTCTGAAATAATGTATAATTCAATAAAGTCTGAAAATGGGTAAATCTGGTAAATAGTAACTTTATTAAATAGTCCTATAGAAAAATGTGAATAACAGAAAGAACTTTTCACGTAATTAAATTAAATGATTCTTTTAAAATCTGGAAAAAGTTTAAAATGTGGACATTTTTGGTCAATCTAGATTCATCAAGTTGGGTTATTTGTACCTTGTACATTAGATGTACTTCTGGGTATGTTGTCAGCTTGGTCTCTAGGTGACTGCTTAAGTGGTTGCCTAGGTGATGTCTCAAGCTTTTTCTGCCTGGGCGATAGTGTGGCATTTATGGCATTCTGTTGAGTTGTCTATTAGGAAATAAGGGACAAATTTTAATGTTATTTAATAATACATGGAATAAACTATTTAACCTATAAATATGTGATGTACATAGTTTCGGCATAAGAAAAAGCAGCAGTTTTGATTGAAACAAGAATCCTTGAGTTGATTTTTCATACAAAAAAGCTGATGACAACCCTAACTGATGGTTGGCCAATGGCCCGGCCTTTTGCATACCGGGTATGTTAAAAGTTCTATTAATGTTATGAATGAATAGTTCATTGCAATTCGTATAATGAGACAGTAATACTATATTGAAATGTTCAAAAACTTTTTGAAACTACATGTACAGTGAAATTTCTATTAGTGGAACACCTCTGTTAGTGGAACACTTTTCAGAGTCCCAAGACCAACTGAACAATTGTTAAATGAACCTCTGTAAGTGGAACACCTCCCAAGTGGAACACTTTTTAGAGGCACCAAAGGTAATCCGATTGGACAGGTTTTACTGTATATGTATACTCATATGATGAACCCTTGTTACATTAGTTCAATACTGCCATCTATTTTCATCTCAAACACAAATGAATTACTATCCACAAACAACATTATCTTCAACAGTGACATCTTTATTCAATATTAGAATTTATCCTACTGAAATGTCAAATCATGAATCTCTATCAGTAGGGCTGGAGCTTTTTCAATTACTGAATGACTAAACCCCTCAACATATATGTACAAGCCATTCCAATACTGAATAAAACCTTGGTATTTTTCCATTTCATACACTTACATATGGGGAAATGATTTCTTCATGTATTTTAGAAGAACCACTCCTAACTGTCAGCATACTGTCAGCAGCATCACCTGCTGTATCCTTAGCTGTCAACCTACTGTCTGATGCTGTATCTCTACTAGACAGTAAAGGAGACAATCCAATGCTGCCACCTATAGGTAGTTTTCTGTTTGTGCTGTTGCTCGTATTTGAGCTGTTTTCTCCCAGGGGACTGAGTACTCCATCTATAATGCATTCAATACTGGTTCATTTATCAGTGCTTTTCTTCAGAGTTCAGACTTAGAAAATGTATTCTATCATTTGTTAGTCTTTCAAAGTTCTCTTCAAATTATAATTCAAATATGGATGAACTAATAGGTTCAAAGATAATTTTAAATTGTTGTATGGATGTAGCATCAATACTGGGGAGAATCACATCTGCTACAGTTTATAACAGTAAGAAAAATAACTTTATGCATGGAATCGCAAAAGCAATGTGCAGTTTACTTCCAATTGAGGAATATTTCTCTTGCCATGATATTGTATAAATTTTTCAGGAAATTTGTACAATGACCAGTTCAACAACAAGCATAATGAAGTTACCTGTGTACTTGTTTGGTTTACTTTCATATGTGTCTGTGCCTATGACGTCTGGACGGTTTTCAGATCCATTCTCAGCATGTACACCAGCTGTAAAGAGAACCAGAGTTATAAAAGTGTCAATTGTATTTTGAAGCTTAAATTGTTTCATTTGAAATACTTAGCAGTGGTCTCCACAGGATCTTTTCTCAAGTGGATGCAAAATTCTCATCGTCACAAATCAGACCAAAATTTGCAAAAGTATGCTTATTTTTCATGAATTTTCTCATTTTCAAGTGGGTGCAAATGGATTTTCAGGTGGGTGCAATCCTATTATCAAAATCTCAGGTGGGTGCTGCGCCCACTTGCTTTAATGCTGGGGAGATCACTGCTTAGGATTGGTGAGCAAAAGTACATACAATAAAACCTATATATTTAAACACCTTTCAATAATAACACTTTTTTCTTGATCCCAATTTTCTTGAACTCCAATTGGACTCACTAAACTTTTAAATACCTTTAAATGTGAACACCTGCTGATTTGAACACTTTTGGCAAGTCCAGTTGTGTTTACATTAGTCAGGTGTTACTGTACAAGGCTAACATTTCAATATACATTCACATTTTCTAGGATATTCAAGGACATTGGCATTTTATTGTCATAAAATTTATTCTTATGCAAAACATGTCCAAGCATTAAAATGTAAAAGTCTAAGTCTTACAAAAATAAAATGTCACAAGGAGTGGAAGCAAAAGTGCACAAAAAATAACACCCAGAGGCTGAAATCTTATTCCAACTTACTCTACACAACGTAGAACATGTAATGAGAAATATAAAACTAAGAGTATGTAAAGCACCCCTCGTCTCTTCTTGAAGGCAGTAAATATAATATCCAGTTTCAGCAAGTTCAAAGTCAACACTGTTCAGAATAACAGAAGCTAATAACAAATTTATTTTTTCCCTTCTTCCAAGTAAATTGACACAAAGTTGTTTATTTAATCTTTGAATTAAATAGACTATAAACATTTGCTTTAGAAATCAGGAAACAACAAACTCAGTGATTGGTTGGATGCTGATGCTAGCATCCCTATCTAAAAATAGAAAATAGCTTCAAAACAAACCTGAAATTGTACAATATATAAATAACCCAGCAATTTCATTTTCCTCAAATCACCAATTCAATCAGTATTTAACTAACATTGGAACAAGTAATCAAAAAATCACAATGAAGACACTGGTTGTGCTGCTTATCGCTGTGGGACTTTTGAATGTGAATTGCGCACCAACAACGGTTGCACCATCAGAGCAGACTACACTACCTAGCTATCAAGGCCACGTTGAGAGTGCCAGTGGGAGTCACACATCCGTTTTATTCCCATCAGAGGTAGGTGTCATCAGACCTTTCATACAAATTATAATTGCATTTTTCTAATTTTGATGACATTTTGATATAGACTAATAATTGAATTACAGAATTTGACAACATCCTTTATATTATCTGTAATCACAATTGGGTGACAAAGATATATTTAATATTAGAAATAGTCCTTATTAGTAGTTGTAAAATTTAGTTGCCATGGAAACGGGCGTCTAAAACATCATTGTCCCTCACTATGATTTAAAATATATATTTTTTCACTGAAAGTATATATAAACAAAGAGATTAAGGTATGACACGTCCTTATATACTGTGAACTATTAATCTCCTCAAATTCTCATTTTCACTCCTCGTCTATTATCTGTAATCACAAATTGGCAGAAATGAGACAAGGAGTATTTCCATGGACATATACCTCCATGGTATTAGAAACTTTTATAACGCTCAGTTTCATCACTAATGGACCCATTGATATAACCCTAGTTATGCGCCTCATAATTTTAATTAAATCATTATTCAGAATGCCGACTCAGAAGTTATTGAGAAAGTGAAAGATCTCATTGAAACTGCAACAGAATTTGCAACAGGATCACACCAACTTATACACAGGGCAGCCACAAAAGGGTTAACTTACAATGACACAATGTCAGCTATAGAGGATTTGAAATCTCTCCAAGAAGACATAACTAATATCATCATCCAACTCTCCGATCTCACTGAAGGTATAAACCATCTTAAAGAATGGGATTCTTCTGCAGATTATATGTATATTGGATGTTAGTTAATTTTTAATATTAAGATGATTGCAAAGTTTTTTGTTTCTGATAGCTTGCACATCGCGAACATCTATTGCTGTTTGTTTTAGACAAATCCCAAGATGCAAATGCTGAAGACGAGGATGAATCTGAGTATGACAAAACAATACGACTCAACAAAATATTTTTAGAAGCCCTCAAGAAAATCGAGTTGTCAAATGAAGATATTCTTCGCTCAATTGCAGATAAAGGTATGTACCCTATTTGTACTTCGTTCCAGAGTCCAGCAAGACAGCTCTCAGTACACAATAGACCACTCAGAATCCGCACTATTTTTGCTTACCAGTTAGTCAATAGGGATGCAAGTTGCATATTATAAGAGAACTTGTAGTAAATGAACGGTGCTACCAAGGGATTGACTGTTCCCCAAACAATTAGGTTTTCCAGGGTCCTTATTACAAGTACAACTATTTCCAGTATACCTTAATACTCATTTGGCTAAAGAAATTCTATGGAGGGGAGAACTAATCTAATAAAATACTATAATTCTGCATGATTATGGAGTACCAATCAAAGGGGCACTGTGGGGTTCCAAAAACTTCAGATTGCATAGTATTTTGTGGTACTTGAAGGAAGTTCATCATGGTACATTCAAGAGTAACATATATTTTTATTATCTACAAAGAAATAGTCCCCCTGGATGAACATTATTTCAGCTGATATTCCTCTTGAAACGTGGTGAATCTTAAAAATCTATAAGTGGGACTTCCTTTATAGAAGCTTTGAACTGAATTTACACTTCTTAATGCTGAAACTGAGAGTTTATCCATACATTTTAAGAAAATAGGTATGTCAAAGAAGATGTTAAGCCAAATATTGACCTGATAGCGCTGAATAAATGAAAAATTCTAATTTTCTCTCTACAGTCCTTGTTGCCCCTTTTATACTGTCAGATCATTTATACATACCAATACTACTGACACAGATTTATATCACTGTATCTTTTGGTCTTTCAGCACTATTAGTTTCAAGAGAAAGCAGCTCCGATGATGAAAAAGATTCAAGCGAAGATGAAATTGATGAAGATGATAGCAATGAACAGGAGCGTAGAGTAAAAAGAGATACTGGGAATAGCAGAAAATATGACTCCACCGACACCCTTCCTAGGCAGAAAAGGTAAATTTGCATTCTAAAAAAATTTGCTCACTGAAGAGATCATAGTAACGTTGGACATTTTTTCAATTTTCCAAGGACTTTGACAACGATTTTCATTGTAAAATAGGAAGCTTTATACATCCACTATTATAAGTATAATTTCCCATAAAAATGGGGCCTCGAAAGGGTAATAAAAAGACAATGATCTATCATCAAACAAACAACATTTTGACACACTCTATGTATATAAGAGTACAAGCGGCCCAAGATGTAATATAATTTCTCTTGCGACAGTCATCATGGTTCAGTTGAACATACCTTAGTTTATATAACGTTAATAGAGATAGTAGATTGAACAATAATTGATTATGATTTCTTAAGGCGTTTGTAAAAAGAGTACAAAACAATACCCCTTACAACACATCGTGGTGGCTAAAGTCTTCATTGGCTTTCATATCTCCTATACTTGAGACTTCTTCAAACTCTTTGATGATCTGGGATATTGCAGAACCAGCTATCATCCATCGTTTCAGTGCAGTAGGATTCTCTGTTATTCTTATAGCCCCACCAGAACCCTTAATCAGAGCATAATTTTGCTCATGGGCCTGGTCTATAGGGATGGTTGAGAATGACCTAGGTGTCTTCTGAACTGTAAAAATGACCTTCATTGAAACACTGATACAGGTCAGGGTGAGTTGTCTTCAATTGAACCATGTCCCTTAGGTGTATTGGGAGCCATCTGGAATAGTGTGTATGATCCATTACAAAAAACCAGGGCATCATCTTGGTCAAAGCAGATCTGTAGAGTTTAAAGTCTCTCTCTCTCTCTCAGGGATCTAACAAAGATCATAAGCAGCATTTCAAGGCGCTGTGTTATAGCCCAGTATTTGAAATGGGGGGAATTATCTTCCCCTTCCCTTTTCCATTCTTCAAAGGATAGGGGGGCTACATCACTGAGTTCGCCAACAGCTAGGTATATGTTGAAAGCTTTCTTCATTAGGATGCTGCCAACGTAATTTAACGTGCTCTTCAAGTCTTGGTTATATGGCTTCCCTTTAGGAAGGACTCTGCAGTACCAACTGATGCTGTATTTGACTGAGCAATTACATTTACCCAACCGCTGTCTGTCAGCCAATCACCAATCACTTTCTGGAATGCCATTTCTATATGGAGACCTCCAAACATGATCAAGTATTTGAGCCTGGCCATTGGAAAACCGGCCTTATCACAAAAATACAGAGCCAAAAATGTGCCCAAGATTAAGAGGAAAATGTGCTAAATTCAAATCCCACTTTTTGGTCTATATATGCAAGGAAAAATTGTTAAGACATAAGCCATGGCTCATTTGAAAGGTCTCTTTGTGCTTTTTAAGATAAACAAAAAATCAGAATATTTAAGAAATCTGTGATAAGACCACTTTTCCTGTGGCCTGGCTCATTTATTTTCCCCATGTGTTTCAGGTTATATCCATTGAATGGTTTTCAGGGAAGCAAACAATGGTTGGTCAGCCGCAAGAACTGGTATTTGACCAGGATTTACTATATGTATGTCACGTTTGACTATGTCCATACCATGTTTTAACATGGTTAGAGATTTTTTCCAAAAGATAATATATTTAAAATCCCTTCAGTGCAGAATCTATCATGCATTTATTCTCAATCATATGTGTGACTCTCATATTGATATGTGTAATTATGAGTAACTCAATAAAAGCTTATAAAATAGTACATGGCTTAATACTGAACCTTGCTGAACACCCGTTTTAATAGTTAAATATATTGTAAAGTAGTTCCTATATCACAAGCAACTGTCTGGAATTCCCTTAAACAAATACAATTGATTAGAGCTAAAATACAACATTAATTCAAAGATAATTCAAATTTTTTAAAAATCTATATGTATTGGCGGCCATCTTGGTTTTTTTTCAGAACGAGGCTCCGGATCACTTGCTGCCTCAAGCCAATTTTTTACAATTGCCTTCAGCTACACTTGTACCAATTTTGGTGCTTCTATCATAAAAAGAATTATCGTAAGGTGATTAGGCTTAGCTATAAGCTTAGAACTGACAGATTACAAATCACATTTTTTCATATGTTTCCAGGTCATTTTACAATCCAAATACACGAACACCTCCGTTTATTATTCTACAAAATAGGCGCTTTGAACGATATCACTATGGACGAGATTGGGAACACAAAAGAGACATTCTGTTTGCTGGCCGACGTTTCAAACCCATGGTTGTTTAGCGGTTTTAAAAAGTGCAGAGTATAGTTTGGCATTTTCAGACTACTTGATTATGACAATGTCACCACCTCCATTTAGTACAGATGCCAAACACCAGATGCCGAATGCCAAATGCCTAACACAAAAAAATTGGAGACTCTAACAATACAGCACCACTAGTGGTTATGACATTAAAAATCTTGAAGTCTGAGCACCTGCCAATCAAAACACTTTTAGTTAGTCAAAGTTGAATTTGGATTAAACAGGTTTTACTGTCTTTTTTATTGTTGTACAAACCTTCTCTGATTGGTGAGAAAACGTCTCCATTGGTACTGGTGCTAGGAGGGTGACTTGTCGTAACACCTGACTTGGATGATGTTACCTTAACACCTTTTGCTGAGAGAACAAAACAAACAAAGAACAGAAAACAGAAAATATTAAACTAACATGCAGTATCAGGGGTTTCAATACAAGTCATCTTTCAAATTAAGGACATTTTCTGTCAATCACTTATTGTCAATTGTTTACTCAAGAAAGAGGTTAACTTCTTTCTGGAATCTAGAGATCCTTAAAGCTCGAAAGACACAAAACCATTGCATTAATAGAAATAAAATGTTAACATTAGTATCAAAACTGAAATTATATTACAGCTAACTAAGGCAAATCATAAACTGCAGAGAAAATATAGTAATGATCGCAAGAATGTTATATGTAAGTTGTCAAAGACTCAAACAAACAAGAGAAAAAATCTCAAACAAAAGAAAACAACATACTTGTGCATGTGTTGATTTTAAATTAAAAAAAATTACATTACTACTGAAGAGTTAAATTCAACACAAAAAATCTAAAACAAAAGTTTTAAAGTGTTATGATACACAAATGTTTTTGGTACAATCTCAACTTATGATTCTATTGTTTATTGTGAGATGAACAATGATTTGCGACAAAAATCATAAGCTAATGTTGTTCCAAAAACAGAGCCATGGCTTGTGCTTGCTTAGAAATACAAGCAGCACAAGTACATTGCCTGGTCAGGACTGGGGCTGTAGAAATACATGTATTTCCCTTACCTGTATTGGCTGTCTGTGACCTTTGTGGAGGTTTACTGCTAGATGGGACTGTTTTCTCTAACGTTGGTGTTGATCCTATTCTTGGTGTCCTGTTGCTCTCAGACTAAAATAGACACAGCAATGCAATGATAGCATATCACAAAATAGTACTAAATATTGCAAATATTAATGCCCGGGTCACATTTGCTCTGATCCATCGGCCGGCGCCCGGCCGATTGAGTTTTTTGTTCAATATTGTATTCAATTTTGAACAAAATACTCAATCGACCGGGCGCCGTAGAGAAAATTGGAGCAAATGTGACCAAGGCATTACTGATCAATCTACATATATTAATTAAGTAAAACCAGGGGTTTCATTAGCAGCAGGCAACGGTTTTCACAGGTTGTTTTCATAAAATCACCTGCTGTTTTTAGGGACTTTTCAACTTTTCCATGTTAAATTTATGATTTCCATTTATTTTGCCTGTTGTTTTCATTTGTTTAGCCTGTTGTGAGAAATTCTAGTGATCCCCTGAGCATAACTCCAAGAAGCTGCAAATTCCTTTATCATAAATGAATGTGATTACTGTCAATAAAAATTTTGCAACCATAACCACATTGAATATTTTAATACATTTTTTTGGAAAAGGGGCATTTGAAACTGCTACAATATATGAAATGTGCTACTGTTTCGTGGGTTGGATTATGATTATGGTTTCTGAATCTTAGCGATTTCCTTAGTAATTATTTCTTACATTTTCTTAGACTTTTTTCAAAGTCTTTTGGCATGCTTTTGGCACTTTACTATAACATTCAATGTATAAAACTCAGATTAATTTGATGTATAACATTCAGTATAACACAATGTACAACATTCAGTATAACACAATGTACAACAATTAGTGTCATTCAATGACAATGACTTTCAGTGTAATTTAATGTATAACATTCACTGTAATTCAGTGTATAACATTCAGTGTTATTCAATAAGTAACATTCAATGTAATAGAGTGAATAACATTCAGTGTAATTTAATGTATACAATTTAGTGTAATTCAATGTATAACATTCAGTGTTATTAAATATAAAAAAATTCAGTGTAATTCAAAGTATAACATTCATGTAATTCAAAGTATAACATTCATGTACTAGTAATTCAATATATAATATTCAACATAATTCAATGTATAAAATTCAGTATAATTCAATGTATAACCTTCAATGTAACATAATGCATAAAATTCAGTGTAATTCAATTTGTAACATTCTGTGTCTAGTTCAATGTATAGCATTCAGCATAATTCAAAGACTATATCTTTGATAATGAGGCTAAAAGTAGCTTACGAGTTTTCTAGGTTTTCATTTAGTGCATTTTATTTTGGACAGGTAAAGTTTTGTTTAGTTCAATATTACAGTTTATTTAGCTTTTTGTTTGATCTTGTTGTTCAAAATGTTTCAAATTCAATAATGCTCTTAATAATATAATCTTATTTGAAGGAAATAAAACATTAATTGTAACAGGTCATATCACAATAAAATACTGTTATACGATGTTCATAATTCAATACTCAATAGTTCAATATTCAGGTATGTCTGTCTATTTATTCATATTCAACATATTACTCTGAACCTTCAGGTATAACAATTGCTTTAAGTGTCACCCATTTACCAAATATTTACTTATGAGTTTTGTACTTAATAAATAGGTAAACAAAGGTCAACTTGTGTTTGTTTCCATATGTCTAGAGGGAGAATTTTTTATACAGTAAAACCTGTCTAATCTGAACACCCATGGGACCAGCCAAAAGCGTTCAAATTGGCAGGTGTTCAAATTTCGAGGATATTGTTGGTCGGGGGGGGGGGATTTTCATTGTTCAGTCCACTATATTGAACACTTAATACTTAGTCAGAAAACAATACATGTTGTTGATGAGTTTATTCTACAATAGGCCTATGTCCTACATGTATATGCTATGTTTTATTTACATTTTGAACAATTTCATTATTTTTGGAAAAATAACTCTTTAATTTGGGCAAAAACTTTGTAATACACTGAATAAGTATATGATAGTCTTGTACGAAATCTTATGCTTATTAAATGACTTATCTCATATTATGGTTACATAGCACTGCTTTACTTTAGCTTGAAAAAGTTCATTGTTGTTTGTTTCTTGGCACTTTTAGCATTAGCAATATTTGAGTAGATACCCTCTTCAATTAAAAAGAATTTTTCATGAGTGCTCATTCAAGATGATGCATAATCCTTCAAAATATCAAGGGCATTCAGGATGGCAGATGTATGCCTTTATAGGAGACATTTTAGTGATAGGATATTACAAAGTTGAATTTTTTCTTTCTCTTTCTCGTGATATAATCTTGTCTGCAAATGTGTCTGTATTGTCTTTGTGATTATAAAACATTTACTGATTGAATCCTAGCTATCATAGCAGACACATGGGATATAAAACAGTTAAGATTTGTTCATAATCCAAATCAAAAACATCCAGTTAATTTAAAATAAGGATAAACCAATTATCTCCCAGATTCTCACCTTTCTCTTAATCCAAATCAAAAACATCCAGGTTATTTCTAATAATGATAAAACAATTATAATCTTGTCTGCAAATGTGTCTGTGTTGTCTCTGTGATTATAAAACATTTACTGATTGAATCCTAGCTATCATAACAGACACATGGGATATAAAACAGTTAAGACTTGTTCATAATCCAAATCAAAAACATCCATTAATTTAAAATAAGGATAAACCAATTATCTCCCAGATTCTCACCTTTCTCTTAATCCAAATCAAAAACATCCAGGTAATTTCTAATAATGATAAAACAATTATAATCTTGACTGCAAATGTGTCTGTGTTGTCTCTGTGATTATAAAACATTTACTGATTGAATCCTAGCTATCATAACAGACACATGGGATATAAAACAGTTAAGACTTGTTCATAATCCAAATCAAAAACATCCAGCAAATTTAAAATAAGGATAAACCAATTATCTTCTTGATTCACACATTTCTCTTAATCCAAACATAAAACATTCAGTTCTTTTCTAATAGGATAAACCAATTAACTCCCGTATTCACACCTTTCCTGTTGTTTTCCACAATTAGGGATGTCATTGAGACTAAAAAAGTTGATTAGGACAATATTGGTTCTTTGATTACATTGCATATGTAAAGATAATAAGAACTATAACATTGACTCAATATGTGGCTATTATTGAAATGTCCAGACATTTGATTTCTGATAAAATGTTCAGATTAGACAGGTCAGTTTTTCAAATCTGGTTGTTCACTGTTCAGATTAGGAGGTGTTCAGATTTCAAGGTTTTTTTAACATGGGAGTCAATGGGAGGAAAAAATGGGACCGAAAAAAAGTGTTCAAATTGGAAGGTGTTCGGATTAGCCAGGTGTTCAGATATACAGGTTTTACTGTAAATAGCTATAGGTATTTACTGATGTATTTATCAGCAGTTATAAAGGTCAAGGTCACTACATGCTATCAGCAATTCTCTCAATAATTTGTTAATATTCAACCGAAGGATTTTTAAAAAAAACCAGTAAATCAATGATTATCTAAAACTTTCGAGTAGAGAGATAACTTTATTGTAAAACCGTTAAACTACAGGAGCTAATTCAAATCTTTAAGAGTGTGAATTAACACATGGTTTGATATAAAAATTAGAAAGAATGAGGAGTGCATCATCATCGCAGGATCTCAGAATGTCAGTCTGTACGTTATGCAATATGACTTTGAGAAACCCTCGGATCCTTCCATGTTTACATGTATATTGTGTAGAATGTCTAGACAAACTGGTGGTAGGTGAACAAAGAAATTTAAAATGCCCAGAATGTAAGGAGGAACATGTGATACCAGAAGGAGGGGTGGAAGGCTTCAAGACTAGTTTCATACATGATGACATTTCCAGTACACTTTTCCAGACATATGATAAAGATGGTAAACCTACATGTTCTATATGTGTGACGCAAGATAAGAATACTGTAGCGAGAGTTATGTGTTTAAACTGTGGTAAAGTGTTGTGTGTAAAATGTAGGCAGTCACATGATCGTTTCATAGGTGACCATGCTATACTTAACCTGACTGGGGACAATACCGCAGATGAGAAAACTGCTCAGGAGTATAATATGAATGAACAAAAAGTGAATTGTCCAATTCACAAAAATAGTGTTTTAAATTGGTTCTGCGAGACTGACAAGACAGTCATATGTTCCGAATGTATCGCAATCAACCACAAAGGCCATGAATATGTGGACATACATGTGGCGGCAGAAAACAACAAAAAACGCATAGATGGTCTACTCCAAAATGGAGACAAAATGATAAGTGTATTTGACACTGCTATCAAAGAAGCTGAACAGTACAAAGAAAACATGCAGGCTACTGCCAATAACATAACAGATGTGCTGACAAATGATATGAATGCAGCCATATTTGCTATCAGAGAGCGTTACACTGCTGGTATTGTTAAAGTAGTTGCAAGTATAGAAGATTGTACACAGCCAGCTGAAGACCACATTGAGCAGATTCAGCACCAGAAAGCCAACATTGAAAGGACCATTGACCGACTGCACACCATAATGGACAATGTCAATGATGCAGAGCTGGCAAATATCACAAGCGAAATTGACTCTAAAGCAAAGCAGTGGAAGAAAAACCAAACTTTTGTCTTTGAAGGTAAAACTCTTCGTATCAATTCAAAACGAGGAGAAATCAAACAAGACTCAATATTATTGGGCAAGGTCAATGTCAAGGTCAATGGTGACCAATCAAAAACTACATATACCTTTAAAGTTCCAATCATGCTTATAGCTGCATTCTTCATCATCTTTGGTATTGCTATTAACCATAGAATACAAGTAGTTGGCAAAATGAGAGAACAAAACAGTGAGAACAATCATGCAACCAACAATTATGAGTTCAGTTCATATCTAGAGTACACATATAATTATATCCATATGCCAGAAAAACATGAAAGACAATTTGATGAGCCCCAACATATGAACAGCCAAGGAAAAGCACATGATAGCGTTGACTTAGGATATTAAATGTCTTCATATCCATGGTACTTTTGACTATAAATAGGGACCAATTTCATAAGGGATTTATTCACCAGCATCAAAATGTTCAAAAATTTATGAATCATAATTTATAATTAACTTACTTTAAATTTCAATGTTGACTGGAATGCAAGGCCCTGTACAGAGGACTTATGTGCTTGTATAGACTGTATAGGTTTATTGCCCTGCCTTAAGTCGTATGTATAGATCTTCCCCCGTGTTGAACCAACAGCCATTGTGACACCATCTTGGAGAATATCTATTGAGGTCAGGGGGTTTTCAGCAGTCATACTCTTTACACAACTGCAAAATATTATATCAGTTTATATAACACAGCTGCAAAATTGTGATGTCAGTTTATATAATACAGCTGTAATATTTTATGTCAGTTTATGTAATAAAGCTGCAAAATATCATATCAGCTTATACAATGCAACTGGTATATAATATCAGTTAATACAACACAGCAGCAATATATCATATCAGTTGATATAACACAGCTGCAATATTTAATGTCAGTTTATATAACACAGCTGCAATATTTAATGTCAGTTTATATAACACAGCTGCAAAATTTCAAGTCAGTTTATAATACAGCAGCAATATATCATGTCAGTTTACATAACATAGCTGCAAAATATTATGTCAGTTTAAATAAAAAGCTGCAAAATATTGTCAGCTTATATAACGCAGCTACAATTTCAATTTAAAAAACACAGCTGCAATATGTCATGTCAGTTCTAAATACAGCTGCAATATACTATGTCAGCATATATAACACAGCCTGTATATAATGTCAGTTAATATAACACAGTTGCAATATGATATGTCAGTTCAAAAAACAGCTGCAATATATTATGTCAGCATATATAAAACAGTCTGTATATAATGTCAGTCTATGAAACACAGTTGCAATATGTTGTCATTTATACAACTCAGGTGCAATATATTGTCAGCATATAAAATAAATACAGCTGTGATGTACGGTGTCAGTGGTAACGGTGTCAACGGTAACAGTGGTGGTATATCAGTAAATGGTATAAAACATTGTAACTTGTGTTTGTCAGTTCATACAGTTCATAACATGATAAATTATCTAATGATTGGTAGAGACAGGATTCTTATATCAAAGTAACATTTTATATGCCATTTGAAGAAAGTAATCCTATTTTCTTTACTTTATTGCTACATTTACTGTTATTGAAAATTGTATGTCGGATGTACGTTTGGCCCTAAAAGGGCATCAGTACTAATAAAATCCTATTATATATGTGTTAACAGTTGCTGTAATTCTAAAATTCGTCAAACCACACAGTTGTAATCTTATTTTGTTGCAATTGCAATATAGAAGAGAATATTTAGAGAATATTATATAAATATTGGTTTATTTCAATTTATTTGCACTGTGGACTGAATCGAGCAAAACAGTAGAATTTTATCCTCTATCATTTGAACATATCTGAAGAAAATCTAATGAGCGCTTTTTTCCTGGAATCGCGATGAGATTTATCAAAAACTTCCAAAATGGCAGCCAGAAAACAAGATACCCCCCTCAAAATCAGCTCTAGAACTTAAAATCCTCAATCATGTGCATTAATTTGAATAAAATCCAATAAAAATCTCATGACAATCATGATAACGATCAGATCACGGCATCAACACGATGACTATATCCCACAGGTGGTGTGATAAAAACTTAGTACATAAATAAACTTACGTTTTTCCCTGTACATCATAGCAAATAATTCTCTTATCCAGTCCTACACTCATAAGAAGCATCTCATTAATTGGAGAGAAACAGAGACCAGTTGCAGGAGCCCTGTGAGCTCCTTCAAAACTGTGAATGAGACGGTGGGAGTTTGCATCCCATAGGTTGAGTGCCCCATCATCTGAGATAGCTCCAAGTAAAGACTTTCTATAGTGGCTGTATTTCACTTGTTGGATGCCCTACAATAATGATATCATAGTATATGACCTTGAGAATAATGATGTCATGGTCAGGTATATGACCTTGAGAATAATGATGTCATGGTGTATGATCTTGAGAATAATGATGTCATGGTATATGACCTTGAGAATAATGATGTCATGGTGTATGATCTTGAGAATAATGATGTCATGGTATATGACCTTGAGAATAATGATATCATAGTATATGACCTTGAGAATAATGATGTCATGGTATATGACCTTGAGAATAATGATGTTATGGTATATGACTTCAGAATATTGATTTCGTGGAATATAACCTTGAGAATAATGATATCATAGTATATGACCTTGAGAATAATGATGTCATGGTCAGGTTTATGACCTTGAGAATAATGATGTCATGGTATATGACTTAAGAATAATGATTTCATGGAATATAACCTTGAGAATAATGATGTCATAGTATTAGACCTTGAGAATAATGATGTCATGGTGTATGATCTTGAGAATAATGATGTCATGGTATATGACCTTGATAATAATGATGTCAAGGTATATGACTTGAGAATAATGATGTCAAAGTATATGACTTGAGAATAATGATATCATAGTATATGACCTTGAGAATAATGATGTCATGGTATATGACCTTGATAATAATGATGTCAAGGTTTATGACTTGAGAATAATGATGTCAAAGTATATGACTTGAGAATAATGATATCATAGTATATGACCTTGAGAATAATGATGTCATGGTATATGACCTTGAGAATAATGATGTAATGGTATATGACTTCAGAATATTGATTTCGTGGAATATAACCTTGAGAATAATGATATCATAGTATATGACCTTGAGAATAATGATGTCATGGTCAGGTATATGACCTTGAGAATAATGATGTCATGGTATATGACTTAAGAATAACGATTTCATGGAATATAACCTTGAGAATAATGATGTCATAGTATATGACCTTGAGAATAATGATGTCATGGTGTATGATCTTGAGAATAATTATGTCATGGTATATGACCTTGATAATAATGATGTCAAGGTATATGACTTGAGAATAATGATGTCAAAGTATATGACTTGAGAATAATGATGTCATAGCATATGACCTTGAGAATAATGATGTCATGGTGTATGATCTTGAGAATAATGATGTCATGGTATATGACCTTGAGAATAATGATGTCAAGGTATCTGACTTGAGAATAATGATTTCATGGAATATAACCTTGAGAATAATGATGTCATAGTTTATGACATTGAGAATAATGATGTCTTGGTATATGACGTTGAGTGTTGACCTTCATTTAGAGTATAATTTCACTTTATTTGAGAATGTCCCTCTTTGGCTAATATGCGTTAGTCAAACATATAGCTGAGTTTTGGCACCATTGGTGGTAAATACATATGGTTCCAATTATTTCTTTTGAGCAATTCACAATAGACATTATCATGCTCTGTACTAACTTGTGTTTTAGGTGTTGACATAGGATTGTAGCTTTGCCCTGTTATAACATTGAATATGATGATCTCTCCACTCTGCCCTCCAGTGGTAATATGAGTGTCATTGCTATTGAACGCAACAGTGTTCACAGCTCCTTTGTGGCCCTGGAAATAAAACAATTTAACATTATTGTCTTAATAACATGGAAAATAACATGAAGAAAGACAAAACAGAGGCCACATCTAGGTAAGGAGATAGGTAAATGGTGGTCCAAAGACAAACTGACTTAATGTTAAATGAAGCTCTATAAATGGAACACCTCCCAGGTGAAACACCTAGAAGTACCAAAGGTGTTCCGCTTTAATTTCTTGGCTTGCTATTGTTACAATAATTCACAAGTCAATTACTCCTGCTAAAGGGTATAAAATACAACGGCACTATGGTAATTGTAATATGAATTATACATACAGCAATTACTTTAGCAGTTTATCATTTTCAGAAATAACAACTACCATTAGTGGTTCGTGTATAAATAACTGAAGAAAATGTAAACTCCATGGATTAGCAATTCTCAATGAACAAAATATGGTTCCCTAATTGAGGTTCTCATGAATCTGTAAGAAAATCACCATATGATATTTTGTCATACATTTTAAACCTTTGATATGCAGCAAGGCTACATGAATGTAACTCAAGCTACATGAATATAACTCAAGCTACATAAATGTTTTTGTTGATATCCAATTAAAGGTGTTATAATGTATTTATACAAAGTCACTCATGCAAAAATACATTATTAATATTTCATGCGATCAATTATACAGGGTGTTTCAAAAAAAATACAGCCCACCTAACAATGCAGATCTTTGTAACAAATAGAGAATGACAAATCTTGTTTGGCAGAATGAAAGTTTGTCCAATGTCCTTTAAGTTGACAAAGTTTCATCACTGTAGCATGTGTATGTTCTATTTGCTGGCCATTTAAAGAACCTGCCCCAAATTTCTACCACTTTTCTGAAGACAGACTTGCACACTTTGAATGATGTTGTTGACAACACACAGATTTACTGCAGTTGTGAACCTTTAAGTCACCAATTCCAATATTATGTGTGCCTTACCTCATAGGTTTTCTTCAATTTCTTTGTTTTCAGATCCCATATTCCACAGAGCCCATCCTTTCCTCCACATAGTAAATACCGAGAGTTTGAGTTGAAAATGGCGCATGTCTTTTGTTCCTGGAAAGCATTTTTGGATTTTAAATTTCATCACCTGGATTTATTTTATGAATACAAAATCTTTAATGTCTACAGTACAGGTACATACAGTGCTCTGCGCAGGATTTTTTCTCAAGTGTGTCACAATTATCATTTTCAGACTACTTATCAAGATTGGATGTGAGATCAAAAATTATTTTAAATGTAAAAAGTGCAGATAAGTCATTAGTCAAACTCTAGCGAAGAGTTATAACATGTACATGTATACTTACATCTACAGCAATATCAAATGTGGAGTAAGCATTATTCTTTACGGCAGTTAGTACCACTTTCTTCCCCGACACTTGAGCAGATACCAGATGACTGTCTGTTCATCATAATAGGACAAATAAAATATTTTGGAACATGCTATTGACAAACACAGTGAATGACAAATTGAAATTCTAGAGTATTGGTTTATATTAAGGACAGAGAAGGAGATTTACCAAATCTAAGAGAGGCCATTAATACCTTTGAATCACTATATATAGTAATACAGTTTTTGAAGTAGCAATATTTTCCATCACTAAGATTACAAAAATGATTGACCAATATTGTAAACTTGAATCATTATCCAATTAAATTTATCTTGAAGAATGTTTGTTATTTTCATGAATATAATCTCATGAAGTTTGGATAGAGTAACTCAAATAGTATAACCATAGTTGTTTAGAATTGATAATGTTCAATTAAAATAAACAATAAAAATAACATTTAGTCATTTCCATGATTTCAAAAAATTGCTTTGTACATGTTCTTGTTATTGTTCATGTGATATTATCCTGAAACTTTATTGGATAGCCAATCAACTTATATGCATAATACTGATTAATTATTAATGAGTGGCAAGTAATATACAAATAGTGACTGCCATTGAGGGCAATAGTGTAAATGATTTCCCCGAGGGAATATCCTCTACAATGTACTATTCCCGAAGCCGCAGGCAGTCACTATTTGTTTTATTATATACCCTATACTGACTCGTGTTCCGTTTCCTCTGCGAAGGCCAAAAAGGCTTAGAAAGCCCCCTCCCCGGGTCCATTGTTAGCATTATAAGCTGTGACGTCATGAGATGCTCAACAGAAATTTTTGCCTCTGAGACTCTCACTTGACAAATTCAATCGCGTTTAACATATGGAATAGATTATCATAACACTTGAAATTACACAGACGTATTGAGCTTAGGGAACTTTATACACGCTGCTTATATTGTATCGTTCACGCACGTCTGTCATGGTGAACGAAGTTGATTTGTGTTTGTGCTCATCCTCCATTTTTCTGTTTTTCGTCTGCGCAGTGATGATGCGCAGACGTTTCCAAGGGTAATAGAACTTGCAATTGTGACGTCAGCAGGCAATAGTTCAAATGTATATTCCCGCTGACGTCACATTTGAGGGAATATAACTTTCCGAGGGAAATAGTAAATCTATTTCGGAACACGTGACTAGGTATTGACCAATCAGGATTAGTGTTACATATTGGGTATATAATAATAGCAAATAATTATGAGAGCTACTCACTTCTTTGTATTGAGAAAATGAAACCATTTGTTTATATAGATTTACAGTACTGAAGTATTTAGAATTCAATTCTTTTTTCCAGATGATAGCATGAGAATTACAAAGAACCCATTAAGCATGTTCTTAGAAGATAACATTTAGCACATTAAATTCACCCTCATTCTCATATGAAGATTAACTTTTTCTTGTTATAAAGGATACTGTCGTGACTCCAGGCTACTGTAGACAGATTGCCATCATGAGGGTTGAACTGCTTGACGAGAGAGGCACCTAGATTGTTCCATATCTTTACACAGTCTCCAGATGATGCCAACAAGAGTTCACTAGCCATTGATACATGTACATCAGGTTCTGAAAACATGTCATATGTATATCCATCTTGTCTAAGTTTGCATGAAGAGCTCTGTAGCTAAAATATAGCAGATCGGACTGAGTTGACATCCCTGCCTAAAGAAAGCTTGTACAGTAAAACTTGTGAAGTGGAAAACCCCTGTGGAAGTGGAAGAATGCCTTTGTGAGCGGAACATTTTTCAGAGACCCAGACCAGAAAACATAATCTAACTATACATAATGAATCTCTGTAAGTGGAACACCTCCAAAGTGGAATTCTTAAGAGATAACAATGATGTTCCATACACCATGTTATCTGAAAAATATTTGTCTGAATAGTTCATGAATTAAAATGTAATCAAACCTTGACCTATGTGAGATATTGCATAGAATTTTGTCTAAAATTGAAATCAATGCTTCCGGCCATTTTAAAAAACATCCGTGGTCATAAAACTTTATCTCGCTATAGTGAGAAATATTTAAAGATGGCAGCTTGGTCAGCAATGGTGAAATGGAGGAAATCTTCAGTAAACTGATTGTGATACTATACAAAAGGATCAATGAATATTCATCATAATTCTGTTTTTAATAGCAGTAGATCAGATAAAAAATTAATACAGGGAGGGCTTTATAGCTGACATGAGGCCAGAATAGTGAATATGGTGCATGCATGCACAAATAAAAAAGATTTCACTCTATTTCAAATAAAAAAGATCGCACAGCCACGTAAATGTAAAAATAGACTTTATAGTGGCTAAAGTGTGTGCTTGCGTGCTCGAATTAAAATGAAATAAAATCCAAATATCGGCATGTGTTTGGTAATATTACGTATCAAAACTTCCGGAACTTATGAGAAAGTGATTTGAGTCTGTTTTACATTAAAGGGACAAAGTGCGTAAATGGAGTCTCACTTTTGATCTTCATAGTATTTCCAATGGATAAATAAGTACCCGATCTTTCATTTGACACCAAAAACAGCTCAAACAGACCACATCAGAGTTGACACTAGATCATGAAAAAATATTTTTGATCTATCAATTTATATGTGTCAAGTTTTTAGCCATGCCATAGAAAGATGGCAATGTTGTTTGCATTAATTATCCATTCATTTTGATAGGATTTTCAAGCATACGCCATCTTTTAATCCAAGAGTTATTTAAAACATCCACAAATGTGAAAAGTGGTAATTCACTTTTTTCAGTCTCTGAACTTCAAATGCCGTTTTCTATGCGAGTAATTTATTTTTCAGTTAAGTATTATCCCAAATTAAAGTTTTTATCATATTTGATTGGCTGCGTGAGTGACATGTCTCATATAATATTTTGTCCTTTTTTTCTTCCAAAATAGTCACATTGCCTGTTTAATAAATATCCCTTGAACAATGTGCTTCATACTCAATGGTTGAAACAATAAAGTGGAGGCATTCATGAATGTTTACTAGGCTAACTTCCAAAAGGTCTCAATATTTAGCCAAGTCTTATTTTTGGATTTTAGCGAGTCAGTCAGGTCGTGAAAAAGTTACAAAGTGTCATGCTCTACTAGAACATCACTGATCATAGAATGAATTGATAAGATAGTAATTAAAATTTTGAAAAGAATGTTCAATGAATGAAAAGAATGTTCGATTCACAGATATTGGCCAGATCGTTTTGTAGTAGGATCTCATAGGCTCAAAGAATAATTCACAAGATACGACACTAAATTGGAAAATTTCAAAAAAATATGACCACCTTTCAAAAATGTTCCTCATACAAAATGGTACCTGCTTCCCCATGACATCCTTCAAGATCGGTCCTTCACTGCTTTCATAGCAGATAATGTAATGCAATGAATTACTCTTGGGCCAAGGATGCCCCATGACAGATTTTGCACTTATTTTATAGCTGAGATCTTCATCTTTCTATTTCTACTTGTTTGGTTCGAGTAAATGACCTATGGATGCAGTTATTTGACTTTTAATACGGCGAATATTTTTCACGAGATCCGGACTCTTGTGTGTCCAAATATCATTGTGCTGATGACGTCACATTTCTGGAACCACGGGAGCACCATTCAGATTTGGACAGACAAGAGTCTGGCGATAAAATATCACTGTTTTTGGCCTCTTATCAACGCAGCATTGCCTGAATAACGGTCATTGGTGATAAAAAAGTTAAAGAATAACAAGATGCTTCGAATGAGGTATGATTTGTCTCATATTTTTCAGAAATGGCTCCATAATCGTCATTTTAAAATTTGAAATTTTCTGAGGTGTCTCATCTTGAGGAATATTTATTGAGCTACTGATCCTACTACAAAATAATCTGGCCGGGATCTATGGTTCGATTGAAGATAAAATCAATTTTTACAAAGACCCCCCACGAAGTGCGGTTCTTTGTACCTTATTCCGGACATAAACCAGTGGATCGGTCACGTGACCTAAAGACCGCCTTTATTACCTTATATGGCAAATTGTCAAGGGAACTACTAAGTCGTCATATGACGCGATTACGGATCGATTGTGTTTCCAAGTAATGTCGTCATGTGACGTAGAACGCATTGTCCGCCATTGCTCTCAATTTTGTCTGAACGGGTAAGCGTATTTTAACATTTCTGTCATTTAAAGCCTGGTTTTCAGTATTTATAATCGAATTTCACTTCAACTTGATTGTAGAAATGAATAGAATTGTAACTTCTTATTTTACTGAATCATTATTCGAGCCAGAACATGAGAAGTGGCGCAAAATCAATTTATGAACTTGAAGAAATTTAGTTAGATCTAGGCCTAGGGCCTAGCCTACTCATGGTTCAACGAGTTTTTCAGATGGTTCAAATAGTCAACACTGATATATTTAATGTTCTGTAAATGGTTAGTATGATGCTATGCTGGTCGCAAGGAGAGGTATCAAAAGTTCAATGTCTGATAGGAAGCTAAATTAATCTAGTTTTGAGTTTGACCCACTCCCCCAAAAAACGTGATCGCGGACTTTTCGCGTGTGGACTTCAGTGGATTTTGGATTTTCATTGGGATATTACCATAACATACATGTATGTAGGCTACAATAACGAATTCTTAAAACATGTGACAACAACAGTAAACAGCATTTGCAGAAAACATCAAGTAAACTCTTTATTTAAAACCAAAAATTGAAATGTTAAAATTTGTCTGATAGCAAACTGAAATGGCTTTGACCCCCCCCCCCCCCTTCTAGATTTATTTAGTTTTATAGGCTTATCTGTCGACATTGAACCTTAGATGCCTCCCGCCAGACTTATGTCACGAGACTGGCTATTACCATCTACATAAGAAGTGAACGATAGTTTTTTAAACTGGAAGGTCAAGGTCGGAACTCAAATGAATATAGACTGCCCCAATTCATTTCTTTTTCAGAACAAGAACGCCAACAACAACAAGATCCTATGCATAGGAACAACAAGTGCAACAAAAAATAACGCAAACAATTATAAAGGTTATGTCAACAAAGACATATATTACAAATCAGGTGTGAAATCGGCAAAACTTGGGCTCAGTAGACAATAAAAAAGTTTACTGTAGAAGTGTACATGCTAAGTTGTCAAGGTATGTATCAAATCAAGAGATCAAAAGACTAAAAGCTAATGTATATTTTGTAACAATAGAGAGGTAAAGCAATACCATTTTTATTCCATGAACCACAAACGTAAATCTATACATTACCGTTTTCGTTCTGTGAACGTGCTACTTTAAAAATGGAGGAAACGTAATTTGTAGGTCTTAAACTTAAAACTGGTTTATTTCTTTTTGCTAGTGGTCTCTGTTTTATTTTCTATTTATGACAAAGTAATAAGAGTGTTTCGACCCTTCCAAGCCGCGGTTTATGTTGCAAGAAGTACTAATACAATAATATTGTATTTAAAAAACTATTAGTATGAACTGTACAGCTGTATGAATACATGAAATATCTTCATTCAAAGGTATAAATGTTGTACAAAGACAGGCAGGAAATGTATTGACTAAGGCCACACATATAAGATATGCTTTTATCTCATATTTCCAGGGCACGGTAATAATAACAAAGGTCAAGAAGGATGATGTACATTAGAACTTTCCACAGCGTCCAAATGATGTCACGACAAGATCCAATGAGTTTCAATCAGGGTCCAGATGTCATTCACTAGGGATTTAATTGGACTTTTTGAGATTTGTTGTATATTTTTGGGCTATAAGACGCCACAATATACTGAAATATGTGCTTAAGTTACATGATTGTTTTATGTCACCGTGTAGGCACGCGGTAGTATCTCTTCGGGACGTATCGAAACCACTCCGTCCCGAAAAACCGTTAATTTGAATTTAAAACCTACCCCAGTGTTTGAAAATCAAGGATTGTGAGTCTCACACTTCACCGTTTTTCTTCAAACTTGTTCCGTACAAAGCTTCACAGAAATACCTTTCAGTCGATACATTGTTTTCGTGTACAAAGTACCTCGTTTTAGCGGCGTTTTGGTCCCCAGCTGCGAGATAAAGCACATTTTCATAACTTTCAACTGTAAGTCAAGTTATCTCGCCAGTCTTTTACCCATTCTCGCTCATAATTTCAGAATGGACTCCCATTACAACCTTCCATCGCTACGTTTTGATTTTTGGGCATCAAACGCAGCAGTTTCTAAATCATTCACACATCTCTTAAAATTTGACTAATACGTCCCGTCACCTTCCACTACGCCCCGCCGAGTCTATGACTACAAACGTGGAGTTGTATTCTAAAACATTTTGTTCATCGTTGTGTAATTTTACATAGGTTTGCCTTGGTCGATTCTTAACACCAGTCTTAAGTTTAGCATACATACGGAGTATAACTATAACTGATTGCATGAAATTGATAATTTAAATGTTTGTGAAGATGTTGCTTTTTAACTTTTTAATTATATGTAATTGTCCTGTATTTGATTTTGTGAGGAAACCAAGTGTCTGCTTTGAAACACAATAAAATCTGGAATCTTGTTTTGCTAATGTTCAACATAAATAATTTATAAATTATCGGCCGAGGGCAGATTAGAGCGGATCAATTCTCCTTTTCGCGGTTCGCTCTTTGAATCAGAACGTTCGCAAATATGCACTGAAAAAGCACTCAAAAAGCACAAAATTTGATTGGTCAATATTTTCCCACTATGCATTTCGCGTAGCTATTTGCGTGACACGAAAGTTCTAAATCAAACTAATTACTCAATTTTGTTTTTACACCCGCACGCTAAATAAAACAATGACACCATCGTAAGTATTCTTCTTTGTCATTGCTTTAATAGTCAGTATACCGAGTTTAATCAATAAAAGATTGTACAATGAACAACAAAATTCGGAAACGAGTACTATAGATTTGCTTTGCTGACCACTGAACAGATTGACCTATATAATAGCGACGCGTCTTCTTTGGTCTACTGCTCAGTTGTTTGTGGGTTTTCAACGTAACTCTATAATGTAATTTGAAGATGAATACTTTTATTCAGTTGTTGCATCGATGTCGCAGTTTGTAGTGCGGTAAGATTGGCATGAAAGTATTGAAAGTCGAATGGAATTGTTTTTTCCAATATGGCGACTAGTCTACTGATCACGTGACCTTCTCTTCCGGAATATTTTCTCACTTTTCAATCATCGTTTTCACCACGCTATGAATTAATACAATGAAAAAAATAGCTGTTATATTAAGATTAATGAGAGATCAATCGTTTCTAATAATTTTTTCAGTACTCTCGTATGGGAATATGAACGAATATATCGTTTGAAAAATAGGTGTGAAAATCCCCATGTTAAACCTATGAGGGAAAATAAGGAAGTATAAATTTGTTCCTCCGCGAACTGCATCATGGGAAATATTTTGCCCTTATAAGGAAAGATTTTCGCGTCTTCTCTTTTGAAGAGGGAACAACGATTTCGAGAATTAATGATGTACAAAAAGTAACATGTAAAAGAAAAAACGCTATACTATTGTCATGACTATTGCTCTCGACAGAAAGCTTCAATTTTCATTGCATCATATTTATTTATTTACCTGTATTTAAACAGAGTGGTTTTAAACATATGCAGTTACTACTTAAATGATAATTACACTATTTGCTTAATTCTATGAAGAATGTTTTTATAGTTTTTAATATTCTATCGTCCAGCGTATTCTCTCCGAATTATTGATCTGGCTATGAATTTTATGCACTAAACATAAACATGTAATACGTATCAGAATGATACTATACAATATTATATCACAAAGAACATTTTGTCATGACTATACATATTTTCTAAGTTCATCATCATGCCACAGTGTAAATGCATCATCATACAACACTAATTGGTATATAAACAACATCTACTGACTTGGTCTGATAATGTAATATAAAGATTTTAACTGTTGTGTGTCAACCTTTCTTCTGTATGATTCCATTGGATTACATTATGAAACGTGTACCATATAAAATGATACATGTTTCTAACGTTATGCTGAAAATAATATAATTGACATCACCCATCCTTTCGCATTTTAACATTTTTTCAAGGATAGGGCACTTTAAACGTTTCTTAAAAATATTTTCAATTGTTCAGTAATTAAAATCTTTATATTGCAATATCGGGAAATCTAAATTTTAGGGAGATTTTGGACCACTCTATTATAGGTATATTGAAAATGGACAAGAATGGGTAAATCTTAAAACACAATCCGATTGGTATTTAGAATCGACAATGGCAACCTACAAACGGACACATCGATGGACAAATTGTTTTAGAATGCAACTCTACGTGTATAGTGATAGACTCGGCGGGGCGTAGTGGAAGATGACGGGACGTATTGGTCAAATTTGAAGAGATGTGTGGATGATTTAGAAACTGCTGCGTTTGATGCCCAAAAATCAAGACGTAGCGATGGAAGGTTGTAATGGGAGTCCATTCTGAAATTATGGGCGAGAATGGGTAAAAGACTGGCGAGATAACTTGACTTACAGTTGAAAGTTATGAAAATTTGCTTTATCTCACAGCTGGGGACCAAAACGTCGCTAAAACGAGGTACTTTGTACACGAAAACAATGTATCGACTGAAAGGTATTTCTGTGAAGCTTTGTACGGAACAAGTTTGAAGAAAAACGGTGAAGTGTGAGACTCACAATCCTTGATTTTCAAACACTGGGGTAGGTTTTAAATTCATATTAACGGTTTTTTCGGGACGGAGTGGTTTCGATACGTCCCGAAGAGATACTACCGCGTGGTAGGGATGGTGACATAATGAAGTTTGTTAGAGTTTATTCGTATATTTAAACTTTTTCCTGGTAAATGCAATACTGCATCAAAACACAAAAAAACAGATATAGAAATTGTGTTCACAGTTTGAAAATCTGATTTAAAACTCCTTGCAAAATGTAACATAACGTAAAAGAGCACGAAGCGCTATCTATATTGTTCTTGGTAAAAAAGTCATTTACAAAAATAACAATTGAGTTCCTTACTTGTAAGTCACCCTACCCCATCCAGAACAGTATACCAGTAGCCTAATAGTATAAGTGGCGCTACATTCTTCTGTGACAATATAACCATTTACTTAATAGATTCCATGATCCACTAAAAGCAACATTTCACTATCACTCCATGATCTTTTCAGCCCCTTATAATACCTAACTTCGGGTCTTTGTAGTTTTTCAGTGATTTTTTCACTGGATTATCTTGTTAGGAGGGAAATTTTTCCAAGTGAAAAAATCCCCAAGAAACAAAATAATTGGCTCAGAACATATACACTTACTTCGACATTTAGAGTACGCTGGTTAGTGCGTTTAATTCTGCAATAGGTAAATTGATAATTCTGTTTCCACGAAGCTTTAATCCAAGGAAAATGATTCAAAAAGTAGATTTTTATTTTGAATTTTGACTTCCGGTGAAACGTAATGTCAAACTTCACTTTGTGGATCGAAAACATTGAAATAGAAGTTTTAACCATACGCGACATCTTTTATTTGTTGAGAAAATTTATTTATATAGGCCGAAACTAGAAGTATTTTGTGCCAGTCTTTCGGGTCACTTTTTCAAAATAAGGCTTAAAAATAATAGATTGAAAAATTTGGCTTCTATTTGCAAAAAGTTGACACCAATTTTTACTTCCAAGAGCAGAGCTTAAACTGTTCAATTCAATTTCACAGGAACTTGTAGCACTATGACATGAGATACTTTACCCTTTGCATTCGTTCGACTTTACTTCTTAAAAAGAGAGCTCCGTCTCCGTTTAACTAGACTCTGCACGCAGGGTAGAGATACTTATGCCAGATCTGAGTCAATATATATCTATCTATAAAAAGGACGGTACCCTTCACCATTTCAGGGAACTGGAAGTTAGAAAGATATGAATTAGTGGTCAGAATTTTATAAATAGGGTTTCATTTGAAGAAAAATCTTTCATCAATTATTAGTTTAGTCATTGTGTGTTGCTCAGAAACACACTTCGACACATTTGACTGACATGAATATCATAGAGTAATCCACAAAGGACCCTTTTTGGTACATCATACTATAAGCCAATATCTGATTCTAAATGGCCATGTAACAATTGCAAATGCAAATTCTTTCAACAAAGCATGGTGTTACATCTGACTTAAACATCTAGAGATTGACACAAATGTTTAGAGATAATAGAAATGTACTTGTGTCATCCGATGAGCTGATTAAGTCTCTTCATGATATTAATTCGTTTAAAGATTAAAACTTGCGGATTGTAAATGCTATATATAAATATGATTCTCAGGGGGGGGGGGGGGATTGGCCAAAACTTGAAATCTCCATGCAGGGAACACCTGTCTATAATGAACATTTTTGGCCAGTCCAGAGATCGAGCGTTCCCTGTTCGCAGGTTTTGCTGTATTTGAAAGAGCATGAAACCTAGTGATAATTAAGTCTAGCTTACTCAGCCAGATTACTCTTGCATTCCCCTAGTTCTTCCTAAGAAATAGCAACTCCGATTCGGCCAGTCTGGAAAAGATACAATGTACTTCAACTTGTTTAGTAGCCATGATCATATGTAACTTGGCGTATGCACATACCGAACGTTCGTCTCGGTAACAAAATGTCGGAACGTCGAAGGTACGATTTTTCTTTTTTGCTTATTTCGCTCGTTGTAGGCAGAATACCCACGACATTTTTATAAAAATAGCTCAGAAGACAGAATCGTCGATTTAATTCCTTACTTAAGTTACATAAACGGTAAGGGTTAAAAGTGCAGATCTTAACTGTTTTTCGAAATACCGTTTCTGTCACTTAATTGAGGGATTAAATCGACGATCGATTCCGTTGTCTTCTGAACTATTTGTTCGCAAATGTGTACATTTTCTTAATCATATGATACTGATACACGTTTGTGATAAAAATGTCGCATGAATTCTGCCTACAACGTGTGAAATAAGGAAAAAATAAAAATCGTGCCTTCGACGTTCCGACATTTTGTTACCGAAACGGTTCCAGCGTAATCGAGTGGATCACCAGTGGTATGGTTAGCTTGTAATGAGGCACATGTATTCGGCTTGTAATGAGGTGCATATTTGTTAGTTGTTTAGTGCGTGTTGTCCATCATATACTTATATTCTACGATGGTGGTTAACGATAACATATGAATCCCACCCTGCTATGTTTACACTTACAGAAACTTCAAATCGATCATGATTCGTGGCGAGCAAATCGAATATAAAATATTGATACTTATATATTTTCGTGGGTTATCAAAAGAAAGCAGTAAGATCTTTACAATGTTTGAATATCAGCTGAATATAAATAATATTTATATTGGATATAAATAATAAATAAATAATAAAGTAATTATATATAATAAATATAGTTACGCATTATAATACGTAATCAGGTAATAAAAAACACAATTAACGATATACTTCACGTGGAAACATACACACATTTGGGAGGGGTTGATGCCATGGGATATTTTTAAAATTGTTTACAGAGGGGAGTGTTTAGATAACAGCAAGTGATGGATACCGTACCTATAATTAGTATAGTAAGTACATACGGCACTCTATGGACCAGACGGGCCACTAAGAATCTTAAACAGATCAGTAAATATCTTTGGACTAATTTCAAACTATTTCACAGAGAACAAATTGAAACACATACATTTCAAGGTAAGTACGCACGAGATTGGGAATTGGGAGTATGCATGCAAATACATGTTCATGTTTGCTGTATACAGTGCTTTATATTTCAAGTGAGGATCATGCATGGTGAAATTACACCGGTTAGTTAGCAAGGATGCTATAATGCCCAATGGTCAATGTTAGGAGTAGTATGCAATGCAATCATAACCCTAGCCAGGTGATTGGTTCGTAAACGCACATTAATTATAAGTGAATCCAAAGATTAATAAGATGTTCTGCGCTGTATATAATACTACTCTGTGTTATATTAGACGTAGGTCTACATCAACACACCTCAGAAATGAAAGCATGCGCATAGTTTTATGATATCTTCATTTTAGGACGATCAAATTTCATCAAAGTACATCGAATTATTTCTTGCTGAGAGCTGTGATTTAGTGGGTTTAAAATAACAAATAGTGATTGAGGTTCGTCACAGATCTTGTAGAACGATCATGTTTCAACAATATCAGATATAAATTACAACTCATGTCTTCGTTTTTGGAAAATACTTCATTAAACCTACGTATGAAGTGCTTATAAAGTTATCAATATCAAAGAAAAAACCATGGCAACAGAATCATCCCGCATATGCAAACCAGATCTAGATATGTGATGAGTATCAGAATTGCAATAATGTTTTATAATGATTTATAAAGAAAGTTTTATGATGATTTATAAAGAAAGTTTTATGATGATTTATAAAGAAAGTTTTATCTAATCGTCATCTCTTAGAGAATTCACTTTTAAGTAGTTTATATAAGAACACATGCCTTGTACATACAGTGTTTCTGAGATATATTCACCGCGGTAATTTATTCTATTTCATTAAATTTTGTACCTTATCATGAAATGTGGCGATGGGGGTCTTACTCTATTTGCGAGAATGAGATATACATAGTTATGTCAGATATCGAGGAAAATCCAAAAATAGAGCACTCTGGAACGTTATCTCCGTGTTTACGTACATTCTTCTATTTAGCATCTCTAGTGTATCACTCACAGCTTTACATACAAGGGGCTTATGAGCGTAGATCATACACAGATGCGCGAACGTTTTCCAAAATACCTTTCACCTGTAACGGTACATGCTGACTTGAGGAGTAGACAGGAAACCACAAATGTTTTGGTTTATATATTTTGAGGTAATGAGCTCATCGTGGTGACTAAATAGTTTCTTCTTGGTTGTGGAAATCAATCACTTTATGGAGTGACTGAAGTTTCTTGCAAAAACAGACAAAACCGGCGTTACAAGTTTAAAATGTTCTGTTGACCTGTTAAGCATGTCCAACCCACATCTTTCTCATTCGTATCAGTTTAGACCTCAATAGGACCTCGCAGTAAAAAACTGCATGTATAATTTCTGCTTGTTCGCACTTGCGGATTTTTTATCTTTATTTTGGATACGGATCTAGTTTTGCTCAGATCACCGTCTCCACTGGCCAAACCTCCTCATACCAAATCTTGTAGTACCGAATTCTCTTAATTTAATTCTATTGCATGCATGCTTGCATCATCTCTATTATGATACTAAAATCACACAAGAACTACCAAAAGTGTGCAATAGCATACTAATAGGGTACAATAGGGTACCTACCCTTTAATTTGAAGGGCTCCTTTGATATCATACGCATGCGCAATGTAGGCCTAAGTTACAACACGTTTCTATTTTTGCATGAAGACTATCTAATATTTAGTGAGCACAGCTGCATCTTAGACACCGGACTCAGGATATTTTCATGCAAAAGGGGAAATCAGACATAAGATAAGTCATTTTGGCAACGTTTTGGCGAGACTGACATTATTAAGGATATATTCACCATAATGGTAAATATGAAACATAACCCGGAGTCATTAAGATAAGCAATAACTAATAACTGATCATGATTTTATCAATTTCAGCAACTTTAATCTTAGAATTCTTCTGACTCACTATGTATGTTTATGTGACCTATTTACTGAAAATCATTATAATGCTTTTAATTCACGCTTATTATTTAGGATAATTCATTAACTGTTATAAAAAATTATATCTAGTAGGCCTAGTTGCAGTTTTGTTCTGGCATTTTGATAGACCTACGAAGATTATAACCACGCATCGTTTTGACATATCATTTTAATTTTTAGCATATTTTACTTGGCAGTCCTATAGACGATGAGCATGTAGGAGAACTTTAATGAGTGGTATCACATTGTCGTAACATGTTATGCTCTAAATATGTTTATTTTTATATTTTCAAATGCAGACTGATCCTACACAAGCAGCAACAATAAATTCAGGTAACTAAGTTGACTTATTTGCATTAATTGTTAATTGGTTATCATCAATTTATGGTAGTTTATGGTACTCATTAAACGTTAACTTGCCACAGTAGGCTATTACAACTAGTTGATGTCTACATTATATGTATGTCATTATGAAAAAATATACACGATACAAGAATGCATAATTATGAAAACATATATAATGAAATACACTGATTACTATATCATTTAAACTTTAATTTGATTATTTATGAAATAGTACTCATTGGGGCATTGTCAGTCATATTTGGATTAATTATTTTATTACAAAGGCCTTTAAATTAGATTTAAACAAGGGCCTTGTTGGACGATTGGACGTAATGCGAGTCTTAATGATATCAAAAGTTAGAAGATTTGATAGCTTGTCGACCCATACCTCATATATCAATGCCAGAATGAACTCCATAAAATGGACATAATAATGCCACCAAGAACCTTACCAGAGAGTAAAATATATTATTTTTCACATTTTGCTTGTCATACGATTTTATACTAGAGAATATCGTAGAAAAAGTGGATATTTGATAAATATCCGCAAAAGATTAATTTATAATTTAGAGCGCTTAATTTTTGTTTTGGAAAGGGAATGAACCATGCATAGCCTGGGTACATATTATTCTTCTGGATTAAACCCAATCCGACTGTAACTACGTGTAATGATTTAAAGTTTCATCGTGCCAGTTAGATGTTTATGGAATCCTATCTGGAAATTCTCACTAACTCCACAGAGATAGAGATAATTTGTATATAGAATGGCCTACATATTTGCACCTGTCTACCGGTTATACTGTGCAGTAATCATCATTCATACTCTTCTTAACACTTACCCAGAGTGACTTAGCTTGCAAAATAGGGCACTGCTTACTTGTTGCATAGGTGCTACTGTTTATATCTTTATGTTGTTATGTTGTGAATCATACATTGGACGCCTTTAATTGAACTTTAATTTCTGTACGGAAAATAAAGAACGAATTACACACAAAACCACATTGTTTGATTAATTTTTTTGAGAAGCATCATCGGTCAGGTTTTGAGATAAAATATGACTTCTTCATTATCTTTGGTATCGTGTTACGCAGATTGATTTTATTGATTTGAATTCTCAATTTAACTTTTAATTTTATCTTATACCTCCAGGAGAGATAATTGGCGAACAGATACAGCCAACAACGGAAGGTGATCGTGATATGGGCGCATGTGCCAGTATGAATAAATCCGATTCTCCAAATGTGTCCCCAGCAGGAAGTCAGAATCCATTATCAGGTGCCCCCACTGAGAAGCCAACAGAGAAGGCTGGCCCACCCCCAGAGGTGAGCGCTGAGGGAGTACCGAGTGAACCACCCCCGCCCTACACTGTTACAGATGAGACACAGGCACAAACAGCTGCTGATGTAGAACCTTCACCAGCTGTGGAGGATATTCCGCCACCCGTTGAAACAACAGAAGAGGCAGTCGCTGTTGAAACTACAGAATCGAAACCAGCTGCTGAAGCAACAGAAGCACCAGTCAATGTTGAAACAACAGAAACACCAGTACCTACTGAAACAACAGAAGAACCAGCAGTACCCGCTGAAACAACTGAAGCCACAGAAACGCCAGCACCGACAGAAACAATAGAAGAACCAGTCACCACTGAAGCAACAGAGGCCACAGAAACGCCAGCACCGACAGAAACAATAGAAGAACCAGAAACGCCAGCACAGACAGAAGAGGAACCAATAGCCGCTGACACTACAGAAGCCACAGAAACTCAACCTCCCGTCGAATCAGAAGAGGTACCGGTTACTGCTGAAACAACTGAATCGACAGAGGCCCCACCAGTGACTGAAACATCAGACGAACCTGTAGTTGTAGATGCGACAGAATCACCAACAGCAGTTCAACCAACCGAAGTACCTGACGCAGCTGATCCAACGGACACTACAGAAACATCAGAACCTGCTGAAGTATCGGAAACACAGCAAGCCATTGCTGAATCTTCAGAATCGACAGAAACTCCACCTCAAGTTGCAACACCTGAGGCCCCAGTTGCTGATAAAATTACAGACACTCCAACACAATCTGAAACCGCAGAAGAATCCGCCGCTAGTGAAACAGTAAGTGACACTCCCGTAAAAAGTGAAACTGATACAACCGCAGAAACAACTGATGCAACAGATGCACCTGGTCCAGTTGTAGACGCTGTACCAGAGGATGACGGAGAATACAAGGAAATGCCACTACAGCAAACGGTAGTGATCAAAACGTACACGCTAGCATTGAAACTCCAGAGAGATATCGCCAAGATGCAATTGGAGTTATCAAGCTTACAGAGTAACCTTCGGCATGCCAATGATGACTTGCAAGAACTACTGGACTTTACACTGAAACAGATGAATACTGAATAAATGCTGTTAGTGAATTACACACTTCTAATCAGTCAAAATACGAAACCATGTGACGAAGGCATGGGGAAAACTAACACTATCATATCGATGGATATAGTAAAGGTTTCAACTTTCGAGATTGAGTGTAGCAAAAACGGTTCTTTATTATTAAAATCAAATGATAATCGCAAACAATTATTAAGTGACGACTTATATACTAGCATTGGCTTGATATGCGTACATAATATACCATGTGAAGATGATCTGACACTAAACGCAAGCGCACAAACCCAAATAATTAGTTTGTTGAACAGAAGTACATGTAATAGCTGAGGATATTGTGAATATTGTATCTCACAAGTGACAAAAGTAGTGTATCGTGTTATATTACTGTATTAATTTGTTTGTACCTCATATTCTTTTAACGAAACCAAGATAATAATTTAGAACTTCAACAATTTAGATGTTTTTAATTTAATTTTCATCGAATTAAACTATCAAATTAATATTATTATATCAGACATGTTGCCAATGCTAAATCTCAATAAAAATGAGACTCGCGGCGCGGCGAGAACTAAATAGCAAATGGACTTGAGTTATATAATTTGTAATTGTTTGGTTTTGTTGCGATTTACCTCTTATTATCAAAATGTAGAATACTAAAAGTTCCCGTTTCCATCATCAAATTGACAGGTATGCAAAATTTCATATATTGACCTTCACAGCTCTAGCTCTACAGAACACGCCGTCTGCAAAAGAGATGATTTTGTAACGAACTTGGGGAAATACGATGATTGGCAATTCAATGTAAATACGAGTGTTCTGCAAGTTCGTCTTGACAAAAAATTTGAAATGTGAAGGAAACTCATCACATGAAAATGTTAATGTTTTTCTCAAAAAATCCAATGTAATTTTTCGTTTTTTCGAGTTAAGTAATTATTTCCGGAATTTCATCCAGGAAACCCGGAATGTTTGGGCAGTGAGAATATAACAAATAAAACTTATAAAAATAATCGAAACACGCACAAGGCAACTGCGCGACGTCATATTCTAGTTAGTAAATCCGTGGATTCCCATATGACATCACTCCGCAGTTCATTGTATTTTATGACGTAATCAATAGGGTCATTATGGTAACGTTGCCTATGTTTTTTTGCCATTCTTGAGACAACAAAGAAATTCTTTCAAGTCATCTTAACAAGTTGTGATAACAAAATATTCCTGTATTTATCGAAATGGAAATCCTGAGGAAAAACAGGAGGGGCTTGATCACTGTTGCTCCAGCGAATGAGGTAAACGTACTTGTTTTTATGTTCATGTAATCTGCAAGATCGTCTTGACAAAAAAATGAAATGTGAAGGAAAATTTAAATTTTTTATTGACTCAACTTTTATGAAAAACGAAAATTCCCTCACATTCAAAACCTAGCATTTAAAATATAACAGTAAAATATAGAACCTTCAAGAACAAAGATCAGTTTACCTTTTTAAAGTTTAAAAGGCCTTATTGAAAAATAAGTCCGAATTTGATAACGTCCAGAACTGCAAGCTGAAATGCATTGTGATTAGCTCTTCTTTATCGATGATCAGGTGCAACGTTCACCCAGTCATGTTTTGTGATTCTGACTCTTACATTAGGCCATATTAATTGTAATCGATCGGGACCGTTGGCACCGTTCCTGTTTGAGATCATTGGTTTGGATGTTGAATTTTGCTTTACAATCTGACTTTATTTTTCAAAATGCTAAATACACTTTTTAGACTTCCCATTTGGCCAATGTACTTGCATGACTCAGAGAACGACTTCGATAGTTACAACCTGAGACATAAAAAAACTATGCCAGAATATATGAATTTCCTTGTGACAATTAATATTTTCATCATCCAGGCCAACACAGTGGACAATTCTTACGTCAACGACGAGTGGCTCCGGGATGTGGAAGGAGCTAGCAAGAAGAAAGAATGTGTCTTCAAAAATGATCTTCTAGAAGAAAGAAATGCCGAGAATGGTCTTGAAGAAGACACAAGCAAACTTAAAAAGAAAGGAATTGTAGAAGAAGAAGAAGAAGAAGAAAAAGAAAAAGAAGAAGAGGAAGCCAAGCTTGAAGAAGACACAAGCGCGCTTAAAAAGGAAGAGGGTGTTTTAACGAATGTTCATGTAGAAGTAGAAGAGGAAGTCGGAAACGAAATCGAGGAGATCATGAATGATCAAAACTACGGACAACTAGAAATCGTAGGTCAATCGATCGAGAATGGCCAAAAAGAGAACAGTTTGACCAGCGACGGAATTTCACCGGACAAAGAAGGCCAAGCCCTTGCGAAGAGTCCGACTTTAATGTCGCTCGTTTCATTGGATCTAGAAGAAGATTGGCTTGAAAGTTCATTTAACAACACCCCAATTATTGATCAACAAGACGAAGAGCCAGCCTGCTCATGTTTCCCCTGGGCATGTACCATGAAAGGTAAATTATATTCCTAGGTCTTGTAATGGCACTTACATGTATTTGCGATTGATATTAGGGAGTTTAAGCTTGCATATAAAATCTAAACGCCAACTTATACGTATGACCAATCGCCCATACAAACGCATCGCTTAAAAACTTTCCGTTCAAGTTCAGGTTGTGAAAAACATTGCCTCTCTTAAAAAGTTAAAAGAGAAAGGGTTTGTTTCAAAGTGTGATATCAGAAGTGAAATGGTTTTGACTATGAGGTATGCGTGATGTTTAAGGCTATTTTTCAAAATAGAAAATGTTTGGAAAGAATTTATTGATGTATTTTTAAAATCCATGTATTTCTCATTTTATTTCAATTGCAGATCGCTTCAAGAAAGTCAGGGGATTTTTCAGCAACATTTTCCAAAGAAAAAGGAAGTAAATAGGAGAAAACAGACTCTTAAGACATGATTAAGCATGATTACACGGAGCATACCCCGTCGTTTTAGAATTAAACTTATTCTTAATTTGATATGGGATGGATCATGGGTTATTCTTAATTTGATAGGGATGGATCATGGGTCACGATTATATTTGTTTTCGAAGCTTTTTCTGAATGAATGAATTAAATATGAAAAAGCGTTATATTTTGTATTCAATCTAACTTGCGAAATGTATGTGTGGTAGAAACCATGTAATTATCATCTGGCCACATTACTACTGATCGGTCGAGCTGTGACAGCTTGATTAATAACTTCACCCAGGGCCAAGACTGTGGGGTTTTAATCTTTGGCTGTCGAGGTTTATTAAAATCACAGGACGTCACCGGAAGTGTCCGGGTGGCTATCAACCCATCCGCTTTGGGGTTCAACTCCCCATGCGTCCATTTGTTGTGATTTTTAGTGTCATATTGTAGCATGTAGGGTTTCTAAAGAAAGGCGATAATGGCTTACTAAGAGGTGACATTGGTTTGTCGTCAGGATGTAGTTATTAGCTCGCTACGTTCTTGGCCGATCAAAATTTTCAGAAACAATTATTTTAATTTCTTGTGTTATAACAGAAGATGTTTGGTAATTAAAATAAAAATATATTCCATGCTGTTTCCTCGAACACACGTTCTAGGGAGGACAGGGATCAGGTTTCAGTAACTCATCTGTATCACGTTTTTTGGTTTTACGGGGTATGCTCAAGGTGTCTTATCAATGCACATGCGTAGTGATTATATATGGTGTTCAGATGTATACTACTAGGTATAAGTGTGTAGAAAGTCAATAAATCCATTGAACATAAGAATAAAATGTGTTTCTTTTTAATCACCTCATCTTTGATGTGTATGACAGAATATACAATTGCCGATAATGTTGACAATGGCAATTTGTAAAAATGTAACCGATTGATTTTTAGAAATAAATGTGAAGTATGTAAAAAACACAAAAAAACAGAATATACAGAAACTAGAAAAGTTATACTAGTAATTATTTAAATATTTTGTACATCTAAGATCATTCACATTTTTATGCACATGGATCTTCCTGATACAAACAGTCTCTCTATTCCTTGGGATAGTAGAGATTGAATTCCACAATGAGTAGCACTTTCTATTCGAAACCTGATTTAAGATACCACCTAAGGCTTAAGCCCTTAACCCACCCTTGAACCATCATATTGAAGGTAAAGATGATGCCACTCAAATTATGATGAGTCACATGACCAATGCTGAATGATAAACATGATAAATGATAAACATGATGGTGATAAACATGATAAATGATAAACATGATGGTGATAAACATGATTAATGATAAACGTGATAAATGATAAACATGATATGCCCATCACATAACAATTTACAAAATGAATTATTTTTGTCTGTTGTCTACAAAAACAAGTACTTATCATAGATGATGAACTTTTAAAACTTTTGTTACGTGATTTTAGATTAGTGCGCCATACTGGAAAATTCCTGAATGCTGCTATCAAAAGAGCAAGCTTCAATTAATAATCTTATCATAATATTGTTTTCAAATATATTGTGCAATGTGCCCCATAAGCTTAAAATAGGCTGGGTATACTATACGAGGCACTTTAATAAATATATATACATACATACATATATGACATGATTAATGATAAATAATAAACATGATTAATGATAAATACATCCTGGTCGAGCCGAGCAAACTTTAACAACAACTATTGGTTAAGTCTTTTTTCTCTGAGTACCAAGATGGTTACATCTGCTCAAGGATCAATTATTGCATAGCTCTGTATTTCATAGTCCTCCATATCGTATTTTATGACAATTGGTCCTCTTTTGATTTTCATAGTGAAAACATAGTTTGAGCTTCATCCATTAAGTCCATCATATCTGACGAAGACACAGTGTAACTATAAGGATTCACTAAGACAGGGAAGTAATAAAGTGGTTTGAGATCACTAGATAATTCCCAAATTATCTGAAAATCAAAATGTTTCTGGTTTAATTGTACAGCATATCATAGACGTAATCAAAATGGAATTGACTAGTTAATTATTACTTGGAAAATTTTACAGAGAAATAACAATTCAGACTGAAAATAAAGTCTGATGATAAAATAATTTTGCTTTTAACTTAATTTTTGGCTCTATTTGCTTCGCCTATTTTTAGGTCCTGGCTATGTTAACAAATAACTTATAAAGTCACCGCAGTTTTGTATTATTCCTATGAATACACTTTGTACATTGTAAATAAAGATTCAATGACATTCTTCACAGAAATTCAAAATCTATAATAACATACCTCAATATAGGGAAACCCTGGTTTCTTCCCTCCAAGCTTTGCGAAATAGGATGCGGAGTGCAGTTGTGCCTTGTAGGCGCCATACCTTACAGCATCCCCTTCTAGCATCATTCCCGCTTTTCCCATTGTATCGGTAATGCTAGAATGAATTCATTATCTTGAGTTAGATTTCAATGCTTAACAAAACTATCAACTGGTGGTATTGCTAGTGATGATTATAAGCTAATCCTTAGAATTTTTGGGGAAAAAATCGAGAATCAAAAACCTATCAAGAAAAAAGAGATTACAGTACTTCTTTAATCCCGGTTACAATGGAGTTTATTTTAGAAAATAGATTTAACAAAAATGATATACGAGCTGAAAATATCTACAAACTCCGATGCTACCTTACATGAATATACACACCATTGGCTCATTTTAAATTTTGATATTTACCTAGTATGAATATGAGTCCAACCACTCATCTGATGGTTATAGTAAATTGACATGGTCATATTATGAGCTGGTCTACCGATTGACGTATCTGTCACCATTGCCAATATTGTAATATTTTGACAGATTGTGTCTTGTGCATTGGTAAAAACTGGTTCGCCCGCTGGTACGTCGTCAAAAGCGGGCGTATTTACAATAGCTGTTGGTGTTATTGTTGAAGTTGTGGGCTCGTCTAAAATCATATCATTCAATTCAAACATCAAATTATCTCACTTCTAGTATTTAATTATTGATCACCCATTCCAAAAGTGTTGCAAAATAGCTTCATCTACAGTACTCCATGATATACTATGTACTTGACTTATTGAACTAATTCACACTTAATACACTTACCATCAAGTCTTTCGTAATAGTCTATGAAGGGATGGTACTGCGGAGCAAAAGGTGTGTTAGGATCATTGTGATTTGAGCTCGATAGCATGCACTCGCTTGTCTCTTGCACATAGTCCACCGACTTGCAATAGAATTTAGCATATTGGACGCACGCTTGGAGGCATCCCAAACGTGCCATGTTAGTCAATTTGACGTCGTTGTTTCCTGGTAGATATGATTTAGGGAAAGGTATCCAGAATCCACCACCACTTTGAATATATGGCCTTGAAGTTCTGCGTTCTTCTAAAACATCAATTAGCTGAATAAATCTAAGGTAAAGTTTGAATTAATATTTTGCGTGAATTTAACTGAAATGATATAAGTTAGCAAATAATCAAAACAAAAATAAGCACGATAGTAAAATGAAAATGCCAAACTGATTTAAAAATGGAAATACATCGAAATGAAATACACAGAAAATCTTACTTCTATAAGACGTGTATCCTTCTCCAAACACAAGCATCAAATCATCAATTGCAACATCACCTTTCCAACTCTTCCCGCGTGTCACCTCAAATATGATGTCAAAATCCCTTCTGGCAACCTGAACAGGAATATCAATTTCAGCATATCTCCAATCTGAGTTTTCTTGTGGACCTGAAATGGAGATCAAGAGAAATCTTCGAAAATGTTAAAAATATGAAGACCAAAAATTATCTGAACACCATCTCATTTCGGTATGTGTTCTCTGTCATTTGTATCATCTGAATGTAAGGTCCCAGGCCACCTACACAACACGGTGTAAACAAGGATAAATGAGCTCATGAATGAGGTATTGATTCATGAGTTGATATAATGTTTTACCTAATACGTGAAACCTCGAAACAACTTGGTGATCAGAGCTGTTGGTCATTACATCAAGTTTTCCAACGTCTTGTCCGAAAGCGTGGTAGAAAAACATCAGTTTGCCATCCTCTGTAGTGTTATTATGTCCCTTCACATTAAGTACTGCTTGTGTTTGGTCGTTAAACTCTACTGGAGGGGAGACATCCGTGTATAAGTAGTAACCTGTGAAATGAAAAATTACAGTTTAAGTTAACGAGGGAATCCCATGTCAAAATCACTGTTTAGCTTATTTCCAAAAATGTCGCATGGGATAAGTACAACAAATCGTAAAATCAGTTTAGAAAAACAAATGAATAGGTCAAAGTTATAAATACCATTACAATTACTGTTTTTTGGAACTTTTCTGAACTTCTGAGAACTTAATTATGACTTGACATATGTTTGACTTACCGTTTCCAGAGGTATGGTCCCAACTAGGTCCTGTACCTCTTGTTTGCGTCTCCCCCTTGTTTCTTTTCCACTTGAACCCATGACTGCTTAAGTTGAGACCACAGCTGCTAACCTCAAAGTCGCAACTAAATGCTGTAAGTAAAAGTGCAAATTTAAATTTCACAACACCATGTATACGAAGCGTTAGATTGAGCATCTATTGACACTAGGGCATATTCTCTTTTAATCAAACATAGCCAAGATTCTTGTATAGTTTGCATTCACTGTCCGGTATATTCTCTTGGAATCAAACATAGCCAAGTGAGACGATACGTTTTCTATTCTTTTACATATTTTGCATTCACTGTAGGGTATATTCTCTTGGAATCAAACATAGCCAAGTGAGACGATACGTTTTCTATTCTTTTACATATTTTGCATTCACTGTCCGGTATATTCTCTTGGAATCAAACATAGGCAAGTGAGACGATACGTTTTCTATTCTTGTACATATTTTGCATTCACTGTCCGGTATATTCTCTTGGAATCAAACATAGCCAAGAGAGACGATGCGTTGTCTATTCTTGTAGAGTTTAACTGTCCGGTATATTCTCTTGGAATCAAGTATAGCCAAGTGAGACGATACGTTTTCTATTCTTTTACATATTTTGCATTCACTGTCCGGAATATTCTCTTGGAATCAAGCATAGCCAAGTGAGACGATACGTTTTCTATTCTTGTACATATTTTGCATTCACTGTCCGGAATATTCTCTTGGAATCAAACATAGCCAAGAGAGACGATGCGTTGTCTATTCTTGTAGAGTTTAACTGTCCGGTATATTCTCTTGGAATCAAGTATAGCCAAGTGAGACGATACGTTTTCTATTCTTTTACCTATTTTGCATTCACTGTAGGGTATATTCTCTTGGAATCAAACATAGCCAAGTGAGACGATGCGTTGTCTATGCTTGTACATTATTTGCTTTCACTGTCCGGTATATTCTCTTGGAATCAAACATAGCCAAGTGAGACGATACGTTTCTTGTACATATTTTGCATTCACTGTACGGTATATTCTCTTGGAATCAAACATAGCCAAGTGAGACGATACGTTTTCTATTCTTGTACATATTTTGCATTCACTGTCCGGAATTATCTCTTGGAATCAAACATAGCCAAGTGAGACGATACGTTTTCTATTCTTGTAAGCCTACATATTTTGCATTCACTGTCCGGTATATTCTCTTGGAATCAAACATAGGCAAGTGAGACGATACGTTTTCTATTCTTGTACATATTTTGCATTCACTGTCCGGAATATTCTCTTGGAATCAAACATAGCCAAGTGAGACGATACGTTTTCTATTCTTTTACATATTTTGCATTCACTGTCCGGAATATTCTCTTGGAATCAAACATAGCCAAGTGAGACGATACGTTTTCTATTCTTGTACATATTTTGCATTCACTGTCCGGAATATTCTCTTGGAATCAAACATAGCCAAGTGAGACGATACGTTTTCTATTCTTGTACATATTTTGCATTCACTGTCCGGTATATTATTTTGGGATCAAACATAGCCAAGTGAGACGATACGTTTTCTATTCTTTTACATATTTTGCATTTACTGTCCGGAATATTCTCTTGGAATCAAACATAGCCAAGTGAGACGATACGTTTTCTATTCTTGTACATATTTTGCATTCACTGTCCGGTATATTCTCTTGGAATCAAACATAGGCAAGTGAGACGATACGTTTTCTATTCTTTTACATATTTTGCATTCACTGTCCGGAATATTCTCTTGGAATCAAACATAGCCAAGTGAGACGATACGTTTTCTATTCTTGTACATATTTTGCATTCACTGTCCGGAATATTCTCTTGGAATCAAACATAGCCAAGTGAGACGATACGTTTTCTATTCTTGTACATATTTTGCATTCACTGTCCGGTATATTATTTTGGGATCAAACATAGCCAAGTGAGACGATACGTTTTCTATTCTTTTACATATTTTGCATTTACTGTCCGGAATATTCTCTTGGAATCAAACATAGCCAAGTGAGACGATACGTTTTCTATTCTTTTACATATTTTGCATTCACTGTCCGGTATATTCTCTTGGAATCAAACATAGCCAAGTGAGACGATACGTATACGTTTTCTATTCTTTTACATATTTTGCATTGATTTTTACGATGGTGTAAAGATGGCAGCAGTGGTAGAATTTTATTATAGAAGAAATGTATAACAAATTGATTTGACTGCCATCTTTATTACAAACTTATTTCTATCACCTCAAATACACGCGGTCCTAACTTCGACCGTTAATTTGAATTTTTGACCTACCGGATGTTTGAAAATCAAGGATTACGAGTCTCATACTGCACCATTTTTCTTCAAACTTGTTGCATTCAAAGCATAACAAAAATCCCTTTCTGATGGTACATTATTCTCTTATAAAGAGTCCCTACTTCCAGCGGCATTTTGGTCCCCAGCTGTAAAAAGGCCTTCTAACAGCTGGGGACCAAAACGCTGCTAGAACGAGGGACTCTTTACAATAAAGTAATGCACCGACAGAAAGGCAATTTTGTTTTGCTTTTAATGGTATAAGTTTGAAGAAAAACGGTGCAGTATGATACTCGCAATCCTTGATTTTCAAGCATCTGGTAGGTCAAAAATTCAAATTCACGGTCGAAGTTAGTACCGCGTGAAATAGCAAAGGGTATTTTGCGATGGCCCCACTTCGGTAAAATATAATTAGTGTACCACAAACCTTTGACAGCTAGATTCGCTATATAATCTGTGATAACAGTTTCAGAATCCAATTCCAAACAGCGGTAGCGTCCAGCATCTGATGTGTCAATGTTCAGTATGTAAAGCCCAGATTTTGGATTCATAATATACTTATCAGCAACTAATGTAAAGTTCCCTTGAGGTACCTCAGCTATATCGTTAGAGTCAAATATGACATCATTGAGCACCTCAGTGTCACCTAGCTTTACGATCTTTAGCCGTTTCTGTTCTCCCTTGTAATCAAATAGGTGGCAGCCAAGTATTTCGTCTGATCCAAGTGATGTATCAATGTCATTAGGCTTGGTCAGATTTCCTTCAACATTAGGACTTTCAAACCCAAGTACACCAACATCATATTCACCATCTCCAGATGAGTCGTCTGAATAAACATCTGAAAAAGTTGTGTTCGAGGTAAGGGTATGGAACTTCCCATCATTCTTCTTCTTATGGGTCATTTTTGATTACTTTTAAATAAAGTAAAACATATTATAATGCATATTTAGGCATAGTATACTTATCTCGTATTATTTGAAAAATGGTCAAAAAATTAAAGCATGTCAAAGTATATTCCTAAATTCCTATCTTTATACCACAGGATATCCTTCTCTTAAAGGCCCTTGTCTTAACCTTTTGAATGTTCACAACTTCGAATGGCCATGCTGAAAGATTGGATTTTGAGCAATTTGAGCAAATTACCAATGAAAACTGCAATGCTGAATAAGCGTTGGCTCTGTGAGTGTCCAAACGAATAGTTCCTATACAACACAGGAGGTTCCCCATTCCCATCATTGGAGTAGTCAAACATCCGGGTCTTGCTTCTGGGACTTTTGAGGTCATTGTTTCTGGCAATGACACCAGTTTGACTAAGCTCGGTGAATCCTAAAAGATCGCCCTCGAGAACCTGGATCCCTCCATCTCTGGATGGGTAAACCTGTAGCAATTGACAATTTGCAATAATAAGTATTTAGATGGATGGCAGCATTGGGAAATGTTTTCAACCACCAAGAGTTCAGCTCGGTCTTCCGAAACATACTTGGACACGTTTGCTTATTTAAACCTCTGACCTCCTGTTTGTGGAGATATACAACAAGCATACATTATTGTCCAGAGGTTACAAGATGGGCAGGATTAGAAATTTTCTGCTTTTATTTTGACCACTGTGCTAAGAAACGCATGTAGATTGTAACCTAGTAAGACTTTCTGAGCAATTAAGTATTTTGCAATCTTACCGTGTGAAGCAAGTTAGGCTGTCGCACAGCAACGTTTTCTTCCCCTATAAGGATGTTACGTTGTCCAGGACCGGAAAGTGGTCTCCATATTTGCATGCGAACCTCCAATGGGGTATCCTGGTCAACCACTAGGTTAGTTGCCGATCTGAACTCAAATCTGTTCACGTTACCCGCCAGGAGAGTTGAATATTGAAGTATCCAGGCCTGGTTTGCGGCAATTTCAGTGTTTGGACCGCTGGCACGGGGATTGCCAAACTCAGCAATCATTTCTGTCAGGACAAAAACAGTGTCATGATATAAATCATTAGACACAAAAAGCTGGCTGATAATGGAAATTGTTTGCAAGAATGGATAGGTTTTCTTAAAATAGCACAGCCAATGTAATCAGGGTAACCGTTTAAGTAATAAAAAACTCTTAACCCAAGAATATTATTCTTGTATTCACTTTTGTTTTATCTATGTTATGTACCTTAAATGAGAGGTTTAAGTATATCTCACCTGTTGTTGATTCGGGGTCTTTAGTCACTGGAGGCTGTGTTGCTGGCTTTGTTGTGGTGGGCGGCCGTGTCGCTGGATTTGTTTTGGTGGGTGGTTGTGTTGCTTGCTGTGTTGTGGTGGGCGGCTTTGTTGCTGGTTTTGTTGTTGTTGGCGGCTGTGTTGCTTTTAGTGTTGTAGTGGATGGACGTGTTGTTGGTTTTGTTGTGATTGGCGACTGTGTTGCTTCCTTTGTTGTGGCTTGCGTCTGAGTTGCTGGTTTTGTTGTTGTTGGCGGCTCCGTTGTTAGTTTTGTTGTGGTGGGCGGCTGTGTTGCTGATTTTATTGTGATGGGTGGCTGTGTTACTTGCTGTGTTGTGGTGGGCGGCTGTGTTGCTTGCTGTGTTGTGGTGGGTGGCTGTGTTGCTGGTTTTGTTGTGGTTGACGGCTCTGTTGTTAGTTTTGTTATGGTTGGCGGCTGTGTTGCTGATTTTGTTGTGATGGGTGGCTGTGTTATTTGCTGTGTTGTGGTGGGTGGCTGTGTTGCTTGCTGTATTGTGGTGGGCGGCTGTGTTGCTTGTTTTGTTGTGGTGGGTGGCTGTGTTGCTGGTTTTGTTGTGGTTGACGGCTCTGTTGTTAGTTTTGTTGTGGTGGGCGGCTGTGTTGCTGATTTTGTTGTGATGGGTGGCTGGGCTGTTTTCTGTGTTGTGGTGGATGTATTTGTTGCTGGGTTTGTTGTAGTTGGTGGCTGTGTTGCTGGCTCGGTAGTCGTTGGCAGTTGTGTTGATGGTGCTTCAGTCGTTGGTTCAACTGGAAATACAGGTGAGACGTAGCAAGGTTGCCTTGACATTTAAAGGAGTGGCCTAATTAACGAATCGCGAAAGTGACATGTACACGTTCATTTCATAATGGTTTAAGATTATAGATACGGATAAATATTTTTGGGTATTATTTGCTCAAATTGATCGTGTCATCATTGTCACACTCGTCACAAATAGTTGTAAAGCTTTTGTGCAAGATTTCAATTAAAGTATGACTTACTTTCATCATAGTTAACTGCAAAGGCAAATGAATAAGGATAAGGAATATCATCAAATGTCTCAATATCGCCAACAGCATATTCTCCATCTAATGTTGTCACTTGTTTGATTTTAGAGTTTGTGTTGAATGAGGCGCTGATTGGGATGACTTGAGTGGGCGCGTAAAATCCTAATGCGTCCCCATCGGTTATGGTAAACCTTTCACTTGGATCGAGAGGAAGCTGTATGGTAAAGAACGCAAAATTGGTGAGACAATTAATATGAATACATTCAAAAGTGCACTGTGCTTAATTTTGCTTCCTGTTAATGTTATTTGTGCTGCAGAATTTGTGAGATATTGAATACAAAATTGGCACACGCGGAGCAATGTATATATAGCGAGATCATCATATTATACAGGGTGGGCCAAAAAACAATACCCAAGTTTAAACATGAACTATCCATATGATATATGTTAAACCATGTCATGTATTATATATCATTTTAAGGATAAATCATTTCCTAACAATATGACACCATTCAAAAATCTTTGTTTTCTTGTGGAGTTAGAGGAGGGTGCGATGAGCGACCAAAAATAAAAAAATGAAAATTGCAATGACAGCTTCACTCAATATGCTTGACTGAATCATTATAAATTCATTTAAGAGTAATACACAATTTATAATTAATTAAAAAGATTTTGCACTAAGCTTGTATAAATGTGTTTTGAAGGTGCCAAAGTTCAAAGTTATCTTATTTTCAACAAATTGGAAATCCGCATTAAATGGTCGCTCATTTCACCCCTGATGTCAATTTTAGTAGATTTTAGGTTTTCAATCAGATGGTGTCATATTGTTAAGAAAGGATTTATCTTTTAAATGTTATGTAATACATTGCATGGCGTAATGTTATATCATATGATATTCATCCTTAAACTTGGGTATTGTTTTTTGACCCACCTTGTATATACATGTATAATGTTGTCATGGACACGGTTTCAGTTTGGATCAGTGTCGGAGATATGACCATGTTATATAATTTTAATATGTAAATGACTCTGGTATTCAAAAATGTGTGTTGCTTACAATGAGATGCCCTTTGCGAAGACTATCGTCGGGAACTCGAACCTGACCAACTAGTTCATACTGGTCGCCTGATTTTGGCCTCCACACTTGGAATGTTAAGGGAGCAGGCTCATCAATCCAAGCTTCGAAAGATTCTACCAATCCCGCAGATAGAACTACCGTAGAATCCATCTCTCCTAGCAAAAACACCTTTTCACCGCCACTTCTTAAATTTGAACTCCCTTCTTCAATTGGTAGCATACCTCTGGTCTGTTTGGCTGGAAATATAGTTGTCTGTCATTAGATAATAGAAAACATGGTTTTCTTGCTCTGTTGGCTGACCGACCATTTTGAACGACCCCGCCTTAAAAGAAAATTAATTCTGAATCACAAAGAAACACGCTGAGCTTCTTAGCTATTTATGATGTAACCATTTAATATTTCGTTTTGGTCATCGTGACGGCAACTGTATTGGTCATCGTATTTTAAAGATGCATGCCTTTCTATCGAGCTTATCAAGGGAAGAATATCTTTTAGCTTGATTTTATACACCAACAATGATTGAGATTACAAATTATCGAGTCTACCTGAAGAAGATTTAGAAATAAACTGAAAATTTGTAATCTCAATCGCTTTTGATGTTTTAACACTTGTTTTTAGACGATATGAAAATAAGACTTAATTGTGACAAACCTGCTCCATTACAGATACAGCAGACCGCTAGGACCACCGTACGTATATCTAGTGTCATCATACCTAAAAGAGATTGATAAAAAGCTTAATTGAGCAATGTGTTGTAGAAAATGCACCCTGAAATAAAGATTAGTTCGTGATATATTTGTCTTAGTTTCCTGAATATTTCGGTGCAATATAAGTGAAAAAACAATAGGGTAAAAAACAATGACACCCCCCCTATTAGATTGAGATGAAAGTTCCTTAAACGTAGAGTGAGATGCATTCAAAAAAGGTCCTTATGTTTTTGATCATATTTTGGGATTTTTGGGATTTGTTTTCATTTTACTCAAATGGTGTAAACTGGAAAAAGTAAACGTATCCAATTATTTGTAAAGAACGAAATGAACAGTCAGTAGCTGGGTATATGAGGGCATAATGTCCTTTCAAGTGTCTCATTTATCCATCCTCATGATTCGTTGACTTTAAACGCTGAAAAATAATGTAATCGATGAATCTTAAAACAAGGTTTTAATTATGACTATTTAAAACTGTAAACTATTTATAACTGTTGGAGCACACTTAGTATAAACAAGGGCGTTACATTTACATTGCGGAATCACGGGGCTAAAACACCATGCAAGCTATGACTAGACAAATTGTGAGCAGTGGTCCTGTGGATCAAACCTAGTTTTTGATCAAATTGGCAACTATACAATTACTATGGCACAGGATGAATAAGGAGACTTGAGTAAGCATAACTCATTATTAAATAAGGGAGTTACCTTTTCAATGCGGAATAACGGGAAGAAAACGCTGTGGTAGCTATGACTCTGCTAAGCATATCATTTGGCGTAACCCAATTTACGTTTCACTTCATTGAGCTCAAATAACTATTTGATTTTAAATCATAAATATGTAACCTCTGTAAAGGAAAAAGATGCAATGTATTTTACCAATCATATCTTTTTTATTTTTCGTTATTATCAGATCAAAAATGCAGGGGTATAATGTATGTATACCTTGGCCAAATGGAGAAAACTTCAAAGAATTTCGTACAGATGTTAAAAAGTTAGGAAGGATTGAATAGAACAACTTCCGAAATCATAAGTGACTTTTTACCATAAATTGACGTCATAAAAGATGGGTATCGATATGGCGAACTTTTTGAACACAAAAAACAGTCATCAAAAAATTCTGAAAATTTTACTCATTGTCAATTTAATGGTCATCTTTTGAATGGTAACAATATAATTGGAAACATATATATATAATTTCATCTATATTGTTTTAGAAAACACATCAAACACTTGTTTTGTTCTTGATATCATGTTTCCAGAGTGAAATGAAACATCTTTCCGAACCTCATTGGAACAAAACGACATAAACACAACATGTTTAGGTCTCTCAATATTGTAATTGTTCAAAGGAGATTTTGGTTGATGTTAAAAAAGTATCTTGTTAATGAAATAAAAGGTTTATCTTGATTTATCTATTTTGGGGGATTTTGTTTTAATTTTTTTTAATACTTATTTAAAATCAACCAAAAATTCCTTTGTATAACTATAATATTGAGAGGTCTAAAAACATGTTGTATATGCTATTTTGTTCCAACATTCGGAAAGACATTTTATTTCATTCTCAAGAATTGGTAGAAAATAGCAAAAATAATTGCACTAGAAAAACAAAAGAATGTTAACATAAACAGTTATATAAAATATTTCTAAATAATTTTCGCATTAAAGTGTTGTCAATCAGTCAACATTACATAAAATACCGTGTTTTTTACAGAATGTTTTAATGATTGGTTTAAGAGAAAAACATTGTTGAATTCAGTTCTCCATATCGATACCACTCCTTTGAGAAATCCTATACCCAGCAATGTTTTCAAGAAGGGAATCGTCTGAGACATGAAGTTAATTATGTTTAGAGGAATGCATCATTTTAAAAAGTTTTCAATCCAATACAACTTTGTGGAAAAATATCAATTATATAATGAAAGTCCAATTAATTACAACCATTTTGTTATAAAATCTGAGGTAATATCCTTCAGATTCAAAGGCCTCTTCTCAGTTCAAAATTAGGGATATTGGTAACATATATTACAATAAACTGGAAATTGTAAGATAATTATTATAACCCTTAATCTTTATCAATGACCCATTAATATGTTATACTAAGCTTGTGCATACCAAATAGCACTAGATTGGCCAAAGTCTTTTATTGAGGAACTATATGGTATATTAGCAAGTGCTATAAAGAAATGAAATTAACTATTTAATTCAATTAATAAACACTATTTTTGTGGTAAAAGGACCAGGTTTGGTATAGCAAATTCACATTAACCCATGATAATGTTATACTAAGTTTATGTCTAGCAAAATGTTCGCCGCCAGATATGAATATTAATGCCTTTATTGAACAATACGATTACGGCATAGAAAAGTCACAGAAAGATTTTAAACCTTTAAAGATTTCAATTATTCACTTTTTATACACAACATACCACTAGAATTCAGTATAATATACAAAATACTGAAGATGTTTTGATTGATAAATAACCATGGCCTTTTTTTAATTTAGAGAGGGTGTATATTGATACCTGTTATCTAATGAAAAGAATTATTGTAACTTAATGTACTTTCACATTTGTTATACACGATTAAATATATCACATTTAAAAGCTAGTCTAAATTGATCAAATAAAAGTTTCATATTTCAAACGGATTAAAAAAGGAAAAAAAGAATGATACTCACTGAAAACCCAATCCAGTAGCAAACGTATTCAGGTGTTCCGAATGATTGCTAAAACTAGCGATGTGATATTTAAAACAAAACTTAATGAGCGTACACGTGACATATGACTAATAATAATTATCGGTGTCATTTGTATCTACACGTATCTACTTATTTGTTATAAATGTCATTTCCCTTCAAATAAGTTTGCTGTCTCAAAAGGTTTCAATCACTAATGTGTGAAGCACAGTTAGATGCAGAGGGACCATTGTCGATATACTTCTGAATTATTAGAAAACATGACATTTCACGTTTTTTCTGGTATCTTTTATTTCTTGTTGAAAGGGACAATTCAGCTGATCGTGAAATTATACTCATTTTATGTAATAATGATGCGCGGCGGCTTCACGTGAAATATTTTTGGAGGTTGATAATTACTAATTTTTTGACAAAACTCCAGGATATTTATTTGAACTTGCGCATTATTAGCCTATCGCACAAATAACAATTATTGATTGAGAAATAGCCCGATTATACAACACACAGGATCCTAAGACGGCTGGAGTAAGAACTGTTTCGAAAATTGCAAGCTAATATATT